AGAATAAGAATCAGAACTAGAATAAGAATCAGAACTAGAATAAGAATCAGAACTAGAATAAGAATCAGAACTAGAATAAGAATCAGAACTAGAATCAGAATCAGCTACCAGTACCATCCTTCATACATGACATTGAACATACGATACATGTGCGCCTGGGCGCTGGAGAAAGTCTAATAATAATCAAAAGTACATGACACATGTGTTCTGCGAACGGGCAAAAAGAGCAAAGATGACGGACGAACTGTTTTGTTCAATCCCGGCACCATCCTCGCCTGCGGGTGCGCTCACAGCACCCATCCATATCTCCCTCCCCCTTTTTGGGGCGGGGGAAAATCCCAAGGCAACTCTCAACGTCCCAGAAGAGGAGACTGGCATCAGGCTCGGCCGGTCACCCGCAGATCTGGCCCGTGGGATGGTCGGAAATGTTCCTCGATGCGAAATGGGTCCAGTGCTCAGGCCCAGCCTTTCGCTCTCGCTAACTGAATGCCGACCGCCGACTGCTCGCCTCGACCAGGGGCGAGTCTTGTCTGGTATGTCGTAACAAGGACGGAAAATGGTCGAGATCCAACGAATAATGGATGCGTCGAACCGAGACAGAAGAAAATTTAAAGAAGAGCATATTGGGCGTTCCAAATGCTCGCAAAAGATACCAGAAGACAGGTCCGTTGTTTTCCAAACCCCAAGATGTGTCGGGCCCAATTCTAGATGATGGTTTCGTTCTCCAGGCTGTCATTGTTTGGTCGGCTCACCCTTGCCCACGCTCTCGACGATGGCTAACCACTCCGGCGCCCCGACTCGGCCCATGTCGGCTTTCAGGACTGCTCGTTCGAGCACCCTCTCGACAACGCCCATCCGGGGTACTCTAGTACCTTGCTCTCCATTCCTGACGTGGTCGATAACCATCCAGCCTTGGGTTGCCATCGCTTGCCGTTGGAAAACACTGCCGGGATACACAAGCAACTGGCCGGTAGCAGCAACGAGGAGAGTGACGGCCAGTGAAAACACGTCCGAGGCCGTGGTCGCGCTCGATGTGGGATCGCGTAGCACGCTAGATTTCAGAAGTTCCGGAGCGGTGTATTCTCTGGTCACTGCGGACAGGGTGTTGGGTGTGGTTTCGCCTGCGTTGAGGAGCTGTGCAGACGAGAAGTCGGCATAGATCGGGTCGAAGGTTAACGTCGCGTCGCCGACGATGTCGGTTCCGGGCTCCGGTCCTTGCATGTGCGTGAGGAGGATATTTCCCGGCTTGATGTCACCATGAACCACGCCGGCATCGCAATGCAGCCAGGCAAGAGCGGAGACCAGGCAGTGCGCGAGCTGGAGCCATGTGGTGGTGCTACCGATGACAGGTTTGTTCATGGTCCCTGTGGAGAAGTTGCGCGACGCGGAGACTGCGCATTTGCGAATATGCCCTTCGAGCGAGAAGGGAATGGCTTCGAGAACCAGAGTCGCCTCATCCATGATGCCGTGAAAGGGAACAATATAGCGGCTACTTCCAGATATGCTGTGAAGATAGCTGAGGACTTTGGCCTCGTTTCTCAGGATGGTGGTCGAATCCCGTCGCGTTGGCGTCTTTACGGCCACGACAACAGGTGGAGACGCCATAGGGGACTGTGGTGGAGTCAAAGACTGTGAGTTGGCCTGGATTCGGGGGTGCGCTATGGCTTTGTAGACGATGCTCCAAGCGCCGGTGCCGAAGACGATATCTCGCCCGCGCTCATCATTTAGGATCTCGACGTCAAATGGACATTTGGGGACTAGAAACCCTGCAGGAGACCCTCTGCTGTTGCGTACATCTGTTTGAATAGACGCGCGGCTGCCGTCCTGGTATTGCGAGCGCATGTCCGACGATCGTTGATGAGGAGCAGGGAAAGGCGTCGCGAGGGAGGACATGTTCGAAGATGACCGGCACGATTGAGGGGATGTTGGAGGAGTCAGAACTGACATCGCCGGACGGACGGGTTCAGGCTTGGAGTCGTTGTCGTTAGGAGGAACTGATGGGGTTGTCGGAGGGGTGCTCAAGGCGCGGTTGAGCAGAAAAGGGCGTTGAGGAGTCGTCATTTCAGCCTTCTTTTCTTTTCTTTTCCTCTGGCGAATTCAACGTGTCCTATCGCGCCCGGGTTGTGCAGGGTCGACAGGAGCTGGGGCGCCGTTCCATACACAATGCCACTGGCGTTGGGTCGCGATGAGGGTGTAGTGACGCCCAAGGAAAAGAGAGGTGTCAGTGTCTGGAATATGAAATGGCCCAGGCCATATCGACGCGACGACAGGAAAAAATCGCTCGGTGCCGTGGCAGTGCGGAAGGTTATAAGCAGACTGGGGGCGCTAACCAGCGCGGTCCCATGGATCTGGGACTCGGGTCTGTGCTCAGGGTGGCGCGAGAATAGGACAGGGAAATTGTATGCGCGGCCGCGGGGATGGACGGGGAGTAGCAGTGGTTGGCAGCAGAGAATCGACTTCAGGTCGGCGACGACGAGGTGCGAAGGAGAGAAGCAGGCTGACAATGCGATATAGATGCGGATGATATTGATTAATATTAGCTGCAGAGATAAGGGCGTTTTAGGACTCGGTACTCCGTAGTGGTGTTGGATGGTAGGTGGTGGGTGGTGGTAGGGGTCAGGGCGCAGGGGTCAGGATGGATGATAAGAAAAGCCAAGAGCCCAGTCTGGGGAAGAAGAAATGAGACATGAGGAAAAGTCACGAGGAAAGTCGACTCCGAGTCCAGACCGGCCAAAGTGACATCACCGCCCAGCGGACACTGTATCCGACAGCTGCAGAGATACGATTGGATGAGATTGATCTAATACACAGCCTTTGTTGTACTAATAATATAACCTTATTGCTGAGTTCTGACTAGTTTGAATACTCGCTAGTACTATCCAGCACTAGTCCCTAAATAGGTGTACCTACTACCTTGTTAGGCATCACGTACCGGGCACCCTGTACTAGTGGATCTCGAAATGGCCTTTTGATACACCAGCTGAGGTACCTGAGATATCTTGCCCCAGCTCTACCGAGTACTAATCCAAAAATAGAAAAAGCAATACCAGGCCTCTCAAGCCTTCTCACCTCCTCCGACCTCCTACACTCGAGCTGGAGGACCAGGACCAAATGACGGACTCCCAGTCCTACAGAACCTACCCTCTGTCCTGCTCCGCCTCAAGCACCGGTACCACCCCCGTCCATTCACCCCGTACTCGTTCCTCCCAGTATCCTTCCCGGCCCGTCTTCAGCTTCCACACAGTTTCGTCTCCTAATTCGATCTTAGAAAACCAGCGCGCGTTCCAGGTTTCCCCTCTGGCCTCCATCTCTCGCCGCCGTGCTCGTTGCTCTTCCTCCAACCGGTTCTTAAGCTTCTCGGCTCTGGCATGATCCCCCTGCTCCAACGCTTGCTGATCGGGTCGAAGCCGACTGTCCGTTGGAGGCAGCTTGGCCCTTTCAATCGGTGTAATCTCGTTCAATTCCGCAGCAAACAGTGTCATCCCGTAGTGTTTCGGAGCATCATCGACCAATGGCCCCACTGTCCAGATTGTGGATCGTTCAACCTTGCCCGGTTCCTTCATCTGAAGCGAATTCGTCCACGTCCCCGTCAGACCGATCGACAATTCTTGCCCGTTGTTGTCAATTGTGTGAACCTCCACTTCCTCACTGCGTCCAGAAAACATTCCTTTAGCCTTGAATGTCACCACAGCCTTGTGTCCTGACGTCTCGTTGACAACGGTCATGGTCCCTGCCGGTTCCACATACTTTTCCCCGGCGATAATGTTCCGTAGGAAGCATGTCGCCGCTGACCAACTATACACTTCGCCCGTCGAGTGCAGCACCAACCGCGCTTTGCCTTCCATGATAATTTCGGATGATTTACCCCAGAACTTCTGCGACGGCAAGGGTGATTGAGTAAAGATCCAATGCGGGGACTCGGCATGGAATGCAAGCTGCACCGGGTGGTGCGACACCTTCTCCGCGATAAAGCGGAATCCCCGGTCTTCTCGCACAAGCTCATATGTTTCTCCTAGCATAGGATTGAAAGGTTTGCGGATCGCCCGCTCCTTGACGCGTGAATTGGATAGTGACGATACAGCAAACGCCGTGACATACATGAGTCGCTCAAATACATCCGAACACTGGACAGCATGGTCCAAAAGCTGCGAGTATTCCAGCTGCTCTGCCGCTCGCTGCAGAAGCGACAACGGTTCATTTGCAGACACCGGCATCGAAATGGTGGACAAATCTTTGCCCACGTTTTTCCGAAGGAAACCTATCAGGCTCGGAGGCATGATGGTCGGGGCCAGGATAGACCGCCTTCTGGGAACCGGAGACAGTGGCAAGGGTACCAGTGACTTGGACTTAGGCGGCAGAAACATCGATACACTGCCAGATCGTCTCCTGATCACATCCAAGTTGTCATCGCCAATGTCGCTGCTTGTAACGGAATATTCGTCCGCGGCACCGCCCTCGTCAGAGCCCTCCTGCTCAGTGTCGCTGTGGATGTCAAACACCCGAGACCGGTCTTCCGCGTCAAAGTATTCTTGGGAATCCACCGACTGAAGACTCAGTCGAGAAACCGCCGACTTAGGTGGGGCCGACCGTCGGATCTTGTGCTCCGTTACGAAAGTTGAAAACTCGCTGACCACGGCGTCGAGATCGTGAAGCACCGCTCTACAGTGATCATGCATGCTTTCTTCGCGAGCGACGTGAGGCCGCTGGGCCACTGAAGGAGACGTATATCCGTTGCGTGGACCCGGTTCCACCCCAGAGGTTGGGACTGCCAGTTGAGCAGAAACACTCCGCTTAAAAATGTTGGTCTGACTGCTGTTGGTGCTGGCCTTTCGTTTCCAGAACGGTCGCCTGTCGTCTTGTTTGAAATAATCCTCGGTCGGACCATCGGTTGGGGTCGAGCCCGCAGATGTAGCGCCCAGGCGGGGTGACGGAGGTGATACCGGACGAGCCAGCGTCTCCAAGCAAAGCCTACGCACGGCATCTCGTGTTCCTGAGATTCGACTCAGTAGTGTCTCCAGCCTCGCCCATTCCTGGTCGTCAACCGAGTTTGCACTCTCGCCGGCGCCGGCATCGCCCGTGTTGACGTTGAGGTTGTCGCCAGGAGTGGTGGAGTCTTTCACCAGCCGCACAGCCGCTGCTAGTGCTGTTTTCCATTCTTCGAAGTCTCCTCCATTGCTCGCCTTCAGATGCCAAATCTCGGCGCCGGAGTCAATTGTAAATTCACGTGACTTGGCATTGGCCGCAATGGCTGCCAGCGACAGAGGAATTGCACCTCGAAGTGCCGAAGAGCTCCGGTCATGGTAGTAGGACAACGTGGATGTAGTCAGGTCCAAGCAAAAGAACCTCCGCGCGTATCCCTGGTGCTTCTTTCGTCGGCGCTTGTGTAAAACTCCCGTGTGAATGGTGGCAGGATCCTCCCCCAGTTTGAGACCATCTAGAGCAAGAGCAATGCTCCCACCGCCTGACTGGCCAAGGGACGATTGTCTCAGTGAGTCCTCCGATGCCTTGTCTTTGGCTTTCAGCTTCGGGCTCCTCTTGAACATCTGGGAAGATGCCGAAGCGATGGCCATGGCCGAGGCCATTGCTGGAGCATGCTGGGTCTGAGCTCCAAATTGGATTTGTGATTGACATGCCGTGGGATAAGTCAATACAAAGATGGTTGCTGTCTTGGACGTATTCTTGGAGAATGTGTTGTCGAAGACCAGAGCATAGTTGCCGCCTTCTCCTAGCCTCACATCATGCTTGCCTTGGGTTGCCTTGTCGGCTTCGCACTTGCCCACCCATCGTATTTGTTTGAGACCAATACTGGTCAATTTCTCGATCGCAGTAGAGCTGGTGTCGCATCTATCGTCGTCAATCGCTGACGGGTTGGGTGAGGGCGGTGGTATCGAGGGAACGCCGGAATGTACGTTCGACTGTGGCCCTGGATGTTTGAACAAGCCAAAGTTGATCGACTTCTTGTGAGGCTGAACGGTCCAGGAGATGGTGTGCTCCTGCTTCACGTTGACCCAGCGTACGAGGTAATTCTGCATGCTTGTCGGTTAGCCACCATTGCTGCGAATCGCATGTGAAGCGGGAATCGGCGCACCCTCGAATGCACCTCAATTTGCTCTAGTCCAGCCATGAGTGCTCAACCTCGTTCACAATGCTGCTTTGGTCAGGGCATGCTGGGAGATGTTTTGACAATAACACCGATGGCTTAGTCGCGTCGTGGTAGCACCCAGACCCAGACGTCAGCTTGCCCTGTGTCCGAGAGGAATCGCGAAGCAACCTCACCCCCGATTTGGAAGAGGGTGATGCCGCCTTAGGATAAGCCTTGTACTCTGGCCCTGCTCAGGCGTAGGCCCCTAAGCCCTAAGCCCCTAAGCCCGCCAATCTTGCAGAATAGGCACCTACTTTATCCACCGGTGCTGCTCACAACCACACCCGGAAATACCGGAACAATGATTTGGACACCTATGCCACCTATAAGGCTACCTAGGCGAGTTTGCTTCTAGGCATGCCGCTCGATAGCAATAGCCTATTGTGGGGATATGTACATGTACATCAATGTCATTTGATTCAATGATGGCCGGCGGGCTCTGTGCCGTGTTTGGTGTCGAGGCCGCCAGTCAACCTCATCTGCATGTCCCGGCGGTTTCTCTGGCCCTCCAATTCGGTGGCTTGATCTGTCTCTTTGCTGTCTGCTGGAAGTGCGTCAAGACGAAAAATTACCTGCAAGAGGAGAATGCCATAGTCCCGGTGGCACTCGATAGTCGCGCGTTGGAGTACTGGAAGGAATAGAGATCCAGCAGGGTAGTGCTGGTCGAGCTCTAGAGTTGGTATTTGTTGAGCCAAGGAAGGAATGATGAAGTATTGATACATAAGTTTCAAGGACCTCGAAACTCTGAACCAAGACTCAATGTCAGGGTCTCTGTTTGCCATCAACTGTCGGTAGGATCTTCCAGTGGTGGGGAGTGCAACATCTTTCTCACAGCAGCTTTGTAGGTAAATATTCCACCAATCTCATTGCTGAAAGGGCGCATGTGTCAGGGGTAAGTATTCAATGCTGAATTGTGCATCTGACTTTGGGCTCAGGTCAATCTATGTCTTCCCACTCGCTATTGCTATACATCCAACCATAATCTCGAAAATTGAACTCCATCAACGCCAAACCTCGCTTAACTTATGCCTCACCCCAGAACAACGGCCAACACCACTATCAGTAGGACAATGGCTAGAATCAACAATAAACAGCAAGCCTTGTTGCGAGCAGCTTTCTGGTAGCGACTGGCACTTCTTAGTTCCACATCGGCTCCTCGTGTATCGGTCAGCGTAGTTTCGACGTTGACATCAATGGCGTCGATCAGATCGCCTTGATCTCGTACAAGGGTGGCGACATCACGGAAAAGTTCGTTTAATTCCCCCACGGATTGCTCAATCTGGCGAATCTCTCCTTCTCGTTCAATAATCAAGTTCTCTTGATAGTCGACTTCATCCTGTTGGGCCAATCGGGGCTCTTCCAAAGTCTGCAGCTGTTGCTGTCCTTCCGCTCCAGGTGATTGAGCCGAGGCAGCTTCTTCGAGAGCAGCTTTCGATGCTCTTTCTTTCTCTATTGCTCTTCTTTGCACAACTTGAAACTCGGATAGGGCAGATGCGAATTCGCGTGATAGTTTCTGATTTGTGTATCTTTGCGCAGGCTATAACAAGTCAGCGGCCTGGACAGAAAAGCGGGCGGAATGCTCACATTGAGATCCGGCCAGGCTTGTGCTCTCTTGATCCCTTCTCCCGCCTCCTTAAAGCCTTCGCGGGTCTCTTCGAGAAGATCATGTACCCTTTCTCTAACTCGATCGGTATCTCGTTTGGCGAGTTGGTTGGACAGGCGAGAGATGTTCGAGATCAGTTCAAAAAGTTTGGTAGATAACGACTCCGTGAAGCTCTGGAACTCGGGGTCATCTCTGTACTGCGCATCGTCCTGGCGTCGGGTGGTGGTCGGTTGCGACTCAAGTGAAGAGAGCCTGTCGAAGGACATTGCGGCTAGGTTGACTGATGTGCAAGATGCCGAGTGCTCATCACAAAAATACAAGGTCAGGTCTAGACGATGTAGCGAGCGTTGTGGCCGAGATGTGAAAGCAACGAAGAAACCATGGAAGCCTAGAGGATGAAACCCACGGATTGAAGGCAGGCGATTACGACCAGCCACCCTCCGCATGACGGCATCACGTGCGGCTACCTTACATAAGTGAGCTAGTGGGGGGCATTCGGCGAGTTTCTGCAGCGACACCAAAAAGTTTGGAGATGCTACGCGCAGCCAGGCTGTTTACCCACCGCAACACCTCTTGAACATTGAACACACAACTACCTTAGTATCTTGCTGTCCGTACCAACTTGCAGTTTACGCTGGTCCGTTACTGCTGGTTGAATATGCTTGGACTCTATTAATCCTTTCAATCTAACTATGGCGACCTCGTCCCTGACTGCCCCTGCGGCTCCGCGGCCTTACCGAAGATTCTTGACCTCCGCCCTGCATACGCGATTCGTGCATGCTGCACTGATCTCCTTGCTTCTGGCTTTCAACAATGCTTTCTGGTTAGGCTCTAAGAATGGTACGTGTCTAACACTTGCCTAGAGACTGGACGCAGACTGACAAACTCAGACCTCTTCTGGTCATGGTTTCCACTTGGGCCGGCAGGCATCAAAGCCTTGCTGTTCTTTATGTCGAGCCTCTTCATATTCATTCTTCATATAGCGACCCTCAAAATAGGCAGGCAAACAACCGCCTCTCCCTTTGCAACATTCCGAGCCAACACTATGGGCAGCACTGCGTTCCAGACGACATTTTGGTATCTGGTTTCGGCCTGGTGGTTTACTGAAGCCTACGTCTGGTCGGCCCCTGATCTTGGATGGATCACAAGAGGAAGCCATAATACACCTGATATGTTGAATGAGAGGCCGATCTTCTTCCGGTTATACGCCCTGATTATGGGTCTCGCCTATGCTGGGTACCATCTATACCTGGGGAAGTCAGCGTTTATTATTCCCGTCTCGAAATTACCTGCAACTCCGGCTGAGGAAGGCAAGAATGCAAGCACTCACCCGCAGGATCCAATACAGACTCGGCTCCAACAGAGCGTGAGGAGTGCACTTTTGCGAGCTAGCATAGCTGCAGGTTCCTCGCTGCTTGTGGCCGTTATTCTTAACACTGTCTGGCTCCGCCAGCCACTCTGGCAGCTCCATCTCATGCTAGCAAAGCCATTCTTCAACCTGTCCAGGGCCAATGCACGGGCTGCTGGATTTCCGCCGTTAGGACTGTTCTTCCTGGCCCGAAGTCTTTTGGCAGGATTTTTGCTGGTTTTGACCTGGGAGCTTGCTTCGGTCTTATTCTTGACTTATTTGAATCAGGAACCTACCAAAGCTGGGTTGCCGCTTTCGTCTTCCAGCAAAGATCCAAACGGCACACTGCTCAACGGTCTGAAGGCTAAACGGGACGTTGTCAAGACGTTCGCTTTTTGGGAGTTGGCCATCATTGCTCGGAAACATAAGGATCGAAGAAAGGCGATATTTGAAGACATTGAACGACCTACTGGACCAATATGGAACCAGATCTCAGAAGCTGGCCTAAAACAATTGCGAGATATCAACGCCCGCATCTCTGGGCCGCCGCCGAAGGCAACACAGCCAGCAACAAATACTTCCATCCAGTCTCTGCCACACATTGTTCCTGAAGTCGCCGCCCCAACAATTTTCCAATCAAACCCTACCTCCAGAAAGGCGGAAACTCTGGTTTCCAACCAACTACGCCAAATCGGGAGCAGTAATAATCCATGGCACCCACCAGTCGAACAAACTACGAAAGTGGTGGAGACAAAGCTCCTTGAATATGCAAAACCAACAGGGGTAGATGACATACCTTCTGAGGGCCTGCTAGCGCAATGGGTTGTGTATTTGCAAAGAAGTCCAGTTGGCTGGTTTTTCATTTCTACCAAAGCAGCAAAGATCAATGCAGCTGTCCTCGGAACTCCATATGGCAATGCAGCCATCATTGTCGATGTGATTGACTCCATCACAAAGATGCTGGTTGCAAGTCTTTCCGAAGACACGTACGGAAAGGCGACACCAACAGTCCCAGAAGTTGTAAGGACATTTACGAAGACATTGCTCACTGTCGAGGATTTTGTAGCCAAGAATGACTCCAGGTCAAGGACAGGTATCGAGGAAGTCGAGATCATAATTGAAAGGTTGAGGTCTGGGTTGAAGGAGTTATTGTCAGCATTCCAAGTCTATCTGATCGACGTTGGCCTGGGAATATCTGATCTCAACCAAGCGAAAAGAGCAATCCAGGTGCGGCAACCAGAAGAAGTCCGAGAGGAGACTGTGGAGCCACCAATCAGGAGACAATTATTCTCCAGCAAGGGACAGAAAGCGAGAAGTTCCAATCGAACATCCATACCGATCGCCGCAGACGAGCGAGGAAGACTAGAGGCACCTCAACGACCTTCCGAAGGTACGGGCAGACCAGGAAAAAATGTGAACAGTCGGCAGTCCCAGCGAAGGGAGATGGAGCAGGTTAGTTGAGATGCATTTCGGGAATACCAACAGCAATAAAAGCGACGTTTTCGTTGGATTGGTAGCTGCAGCGATGCAACGCTTCTATCTAGGATGTAAGCAGTTCGCTCGGAGCCCAGACTTTGATTTCAGGCGCATCTTTCTTCTTCTGAGTTTCCTGTTGGCTATCCCAGAATACACCATCAGCTCCGGGAGGTCGACCCTCGCCTTGTACATCGTGGCCCAGTTCTGATTGCATTTTCTCCCCCTGAGGGAGCTGCCAAACTTCGACTCTGTCTTTGGAGCATTGGTCACAAAGATCCTTCATGACTTCGTCTACTTTCGCCGCCTGATCACGCATGCCACGTCTTAAAAGGCCACCTATCAAGCGTTTGACCTCGTCGTGCATGCCGTTGACTCTGTCAATCAGTCGTCCGACACTGGCCACAAGGTATTCTTCCTCGTAAACACTCCCCTTCTTGCCACGGGCACGTTTTCTCTCCTCACGTCGCTTCGTCTTGGACGTTTTGCGCGACACGTTCGAAGCGACCGTCCCGCCAAACTTGCTCGCGTTGGAGCCATAGCGCGTAAACAAGCTCTGCCCACCAACCGTGGTTGCATCTGTGCCGGCCAGAGAAATGTTATCAGGAATGTCTACGCCGCCAGCGTCCATGAGGCTGGGATCGCCTCCATAGAAGGCCAGCGGATCTTCCTCTTTCTTTCTGCGCAGTTCTTGGATGCGCGGGATCTGGGCGCGCAATTGCGCCTTGCAGTCGGCCACTAGTTCCAGAATCTCGCCAAACTTTTCGGTCAGTCCAGAATCGACAATCACCGGTTGGTCGGAGACAAGGCCCTTCATGGCTAAGATGCGCGAGGCGTCGGCGAAGTAGGAGCCTTTGCAGAGCAGCCTGGCCGCGCCAGGGATGTCGCCCAGATAGTCAATGTGGATGGTCGCGGCGGAGCGATAATCGCGCAAGACGTCGGCGCAGGTCGTGACGAGAGATGAGGCAAGGTCGATGAGTCGGTCGCGCTCTAGAGGCACGAGGGTCGCACAGGTCAACGATTCTCGCCATTTGTGAGCCAGTGCATACAGAGGGTACGCGGCCTCATACTCTCCAAGCGACTCGAATAAAGTCGCGGCTGAGGCGTGCTGGGACTGGCTTGCCAAATGCTCGGCGTACAGCCGTGCCGTACCTTCTAGATGTTCTTTATCGTACTTGTAGAGGTCCATGGCGGTGGTGTAGAGGTTATGCTTGATGGTGTACGTTCTCACCTCGTCGTGGGCTTCAAGGGCGTGCAACGACACCAACGCCTTGTGGTACCTTTTAAGGTGGTTGTCGATCTGATACCGACGTCGAAGCATAGGTAGGTCGTGCAGTGTCTGTAGGAACGGCATGTACTCTCTGGGGTCGCGCTGGGCGTTCTGTGCCACCAAGAGCGTGAGATCAAGGTCATACAGTGCCAGCGCAGCGTCGAACAGGCGATTGGCATCCGTCAGGAAACAGAGGTGGGCGACGGCCAGGTCGGCTTCCTCTTCCGAGGACTGGCGCAGCGACGAGACAAGCGATAGTGCCGAGTTCAAGTCGGGCGGCCGTTTCGACACGTGCGCCGTGATGATGTTTTGAAGGTATGCAGCCGGCTTGTGTGCTAGGGTCGATATGAACGCATCGGCTATACGGTTCACTTTGTTGCTATCGCCGACAGCCTTGGAGGGTTCTGGCTGAGGCTGAGATTGAGGCTGCGCGGTGAGCGTGTCTCGATAGAGCGTCTGGGTCACGTCCTCGTGTTTCAATTTCGACAGAAACTCGTCCACACGGCTTGGTTTCTTTAGCTGATCGATGAATTTGGGCACATTTGCCAGGAGAGTCTCAGGGTCGTAGTCGTACAGAATGTTCATGTCAACCTGATGTGTCTGACATGCCAGAAATGCAGTTAGGTAATCCTGTTGCTTGAGGTGGTGACGGATTCCAGTCAAGACAAGCAGGCGAGGATAAATGGTCTCGAGGTTCCCGCGCGGCATCTGCAATATCAAGGCGTAGCCGGACGGAATGACAGTGACAATTTTAGCACCGCGTTCGACATTTCGACATCTTTCATCAATTTCCGGCATGTCCCCTGGGACCTGCATCTGTGTTGGTTCGGCCAAGTGGACGAATTTGAGAAGGTGTTGTGAGGTCGTGAAAATTAGGTGGGCTGAAGTAAGAATATATGACGTGCATTCCCGGACGAGAAGAGTGTCGTCCACATATAGATTTCCCTTAGGGGTTAGTGATACTCTGTGATGTTGAGTGGTGTGTCCGTTCATTTCTCCATTAGCTGCACTGCTCTGGATTGTGAATAGGGAAGTATTTGGTCGACATCCGTTGAGCCCAGTCTGTTCGACACTGTGGTCGTGGCCTTCGGATAATAAAAGTGTGGCATTTTGACTCGGATCGGTGCAGAAGAGCGACTCGAAGAAGATATCGACAAGCAGGTTCTGGCACCCAATGGGTACCGAGACCTTTTCAAAGCTCGCGGACACTGGGTCATCACCCCATATCAATTTGTGGCAAGTCGCTCCACGATTGGCCTGAGGAGGTGCAAGGATAAATACCCCGTTGTCCTTCTGGACCACTTGAGTATATCGAAGGCCCTGAGATGAAAGCCCTTCGCGTGGAAGCGCAATGGAATGGCTCTGGATTTCTGGGGTGAATTTGACCTCGCCTTTCGGGGTCGGTCTAGTAGCCCACTGGCACAGCTCAACCGTGTCTGTCGTCAGAACCGCGATTCTCTTTCCATCCCGACTGATAGTAGAATCAAGGACGTTGAAGCCGAAAGAAACGTCGCAGAATGACATGGGTGGAGGCACGCCGGCCTGCTTGAATGGAGTGACCTTCAGTGTTTTGCCGTCAACAACACTGACAATCCCTTGGTCGTATGGAGGAACAATGCTTCCTCGGGTCACCGCGAATTGGAATGTCAGATCAAGGAAGTATTCAGAAGCTCCAAAAGACACCCTTAGAGGCGACTCTGGGTGCCATCTCAAGGGAGCCGTGGCCATGTGGGAATCAAGTTGGATCTCCTGTTTCAAGTAGTAGTGGTAATTGCCCATCGTCCAGAATTGTACTCTATCCTTGAAAGAGATAGCCAACACGCTCGAGTCGTTGTTCCATGACAGAGAAATCTCGGATCCCCAGCTGTTCATTTCCTCTTCGGTTAATCTGAGATCGAACTGACCGTGCCGGAGACCATTCCTCTCGAAGAAGACGACTTCGACCTGGTTTCCTGATCGTTTGATCCCAGCAATGAGATTTCCGGATGGTCTCCAGCTCAGCGCAGACTCCATGCCATCGACCGGCTCACTTGCACTGTCTAGTACGGCCTCGCGGGAAAAGACCCTGATGGCTCGGCGATGGTCCGGTACTATGCTGTTGATAGCCACGTACTGGCCGTCTCCTCGCCAGCTGACAGTAATCTTTCCATTCTCGTATGGACTTGGCTTGCCTTCGTCGACAGTCTCGGGCATGGTAGGATCTCGCAGCGCTTTAGCCCTTTTGCCTTGAAACTGGGTCTCTTTCTTGCCCCATCCAACTGAAACATGTTTGGACACCTTCAAGTCCTCCGGGTTTAGTGTGGTTTCGTTTAGCGGCTCAAAGTTCCTGCTCATCAACACCAGCGTATCGGTTCGGGTGACGATGGCAAGGAGTTCCTCGTCTGGAGCCCAGGCAGCAGCACAAATACCAACATCAATGCTGCCAATGATTTCAATCTTTTCTTGATCAGGCGAGGGTTCTTCACGAACAACAACGATGTCTCCGCCAGCCAGGACGAGGCATGAGGTCGCAATATCGGTAAAATGCTGCAGAAGCAGAATCTCGTCGCACTCGAGATCTGGCAGAGGGCATGGAGCATCCCATGATGTTATGCTCAGAAGATCTTCTTCAGAAGAATAGGTAGAACCTCTCCTTTTGAGTTCGATAATGGGCTGTGTTGGGGTAGGGCCAAAGGCACAGATAATCGTGTTGTTTCCAGCATCCCACGCAGTTGCGGTCAGCGGTAAGTCATTTTTCAGCCTGGTCTCATGATATGCAACAGTCTTTAGGTTTCTCATCGTGGTTACGAGGCACCATAATCCAGTCCGAGGGTGTTAGCTGTTGATTTGTTTCGAAAGCGAAGCATTTCCCATGGCAAAAAATCAAATGTCGTTGGAGAAGTTAAATTTACTGCATTAATCCACGTAATGTGATTGGTCTATTTCCTCCAGGTGAATATGCCCCGTACACTGACAGAGGAAGAGCTCGGAACAACGCGCCACATCGACGTTTGCAAGAGAGTGCGAAGAATAACGAAGCGAGTACTGGAAGATTGTGTTGATTTTGGTATTTATTGAGGGCTCTGTACAGATTCCAGTCTTCGGAAACGCCACTCCCCGACTTGAATTCATGCGACCTGCGATATCCTCCCCTCGACTTCCGACCCGTTCAAACAATTCAAGCCTTGTACGTGTGGTAGACTGCAATAATGTGAGTGAATATTTCTCCTGGTCTGCGTTAATATACATACCGGCCATGCCGAACGGAATAAAGAACCCAGTAGCTATGAGATTTTCAGTGTATTGTTCTTCGCCTGTCAGATTCAAATCATACCCATGAACGTCCAGTATCGCAGCCAAAAGAATCTCGTCTTCGGGTTAAAAGGTAAACTGGCTCGTGGGCCCTCGGGATAGTGGAAGGGGCTGTCGAATCGAGGTCGTGTGGTAGAGAAGCCGCGGCGGGCAATTTGCTGGGTTGCCAATCTGGCGCGGAGCATGGTTTGGGCGTTCATCTGCAAAGTCAGTGTGTTACAAAGAAACGGCACGGGGCAGACATACATCGACAGCTTCTCTCGCACAGAGACTGATGGTGTTCAGAGGGACAAAGTCGTGCAAGAGTGAGTGCAATCGTCAGTCAGTCCACTTCAATGAAGCTGCAGGAGCTACAGGCCTTGGCGAGGCTTCGGCAAAGCTTCCGCAATCAAACAATAGCCATGGATTTTCTTTCCCCAGACTCTTGCAGTGCATCTGCCGCAGATTTCTTCATTCTGAGATACACACTTCTGCTTGTGCACCAAACAGAGAGCCAACGGCTTAGTCAACATGGACGACCTCTTTGACGTCTTCGAGGACAGTCCCCATCCTGTACAGCCCCCAACTGATGCATCTACTAGACCAGACAAGACGCAGAAAAAGCGACTCAAGCGACAGGCTAATGGCGAAGTTAAGGATGCGGTCAATGGCGAAGAGGCTGCTCTTCCCAGCGATGTGAATGACTCAGACTCCGAGAACAACGGCGCAGAAAGTTTGGCAGGGGATGAGCCAGACGTGAAGCGCATGCGCATAGGAGATGAGCAAGATCCTGTTGTCACAGATACTTTTGAGACCGAACAATCCAGGGAGGTAGCAGCATCCGCTGGTCTGCAAGCGTCAAAAGAGGAGGAGAAGGTAATCCTCTCACATCAAGTTCGTCATCAGGTCGCCCTTCCCCCCGACTATGATTATGTCCCGATCTCAGAACACAAACCTCCCGCCGAACCTGCTAGGACGTGGAAATTCCAGCTTGATCCTTTCCAACAAGTCTCCATTGCCTCCATCGAGCGAAACGAAAGTGTCTTGGTTTCAGCACATACCAGCGCCGGTAAAACTGTGGTGGCTGAGTATGCCATCGCGCAATGTCTCAAGAATAACCAGCGGGTCATTTACACCAGTCCTATCAAAGCACTAAGCAATCAAAAGTACCGAGAATTCCAGGCCGACTTTGGCGATGTCGGTTTAATGACCGGAGATGTCACGATCAATCCTACTGCTACCTGTCTCGTGATGACTACGGAAATCTTGCGCTCCATGCTGTACCGAGGTTCTGAAATCATGCGAGAAGTTGGTTGGGTTGTTTTCGATGAGATCCACTACCTGCGAGACAAAACTCGAGGTGTTGTGTGGGAGGAGACAATCATCTTGCTACCAGACAAAGTGCGCTATGTCTTCCTGTCGGCGACCATCCCCAACGCCATGCAGTTTGCCGAATGGATTACGAAGACACATAGCCAACCATGCCACGTCGTTTACACTGACTTCAGACCAACTCCGTTACAACACTATTTCTTCCCCGCAGGAGCAGATGGTATCCACCTCATTGTGGATGAGAAAGGTGTCTTCAGAGAAGACAACTTTGAGAAGGCCATGAGTACGATTGCCGCCAAGCAAGGAGACGACCCTGCTAATGCCATGGCTCGTCGGAAAGGCAAAGGCAAGGACAAGAAACTAAACAAGGGAGGAACGAAAGGCCCTTCTGACATCTACAAGATTGTCCGCATGATCATGACCAAGAACTACAACCCTGTCATTGTTTTCAGTTTCAGCAAGAGAGACTGCGAGGCCTATGCGATCCAGATGAGCACCATGTCTTTCAACGACGATTCTGAAAAGGCCATGGTTTCGAAGGTCTTTGACAGTGCGTTGGAAATGCTCTCGCCTGAGGATAAGAACTTGCCACAAATTCAGCACTTGCTACCTCTGCTAAGACGCGGCATTGGTATCCATCACTCGGGTTTGCTTCCCATTCTCAAGGAGACAATTGAAATCTTGTTCCAGGAAGGGTTGATCAAAGTTCTGTTTGCAACCGAGACCTTTTCCATTGGACTCAACATGCCAGCTAAAACTGTTGTATTCACCAGCGTTCGCAAATTTGATGGTGTTTCACTCCGATGGGTCACCCCGTCCGAGTTCATTCAAATGTCTGGACGTGCCGGCCGTCGCGGTCTCGATGAGCGGGGAATTGTCATCATGATGATCGACGAGGAAATGGACCCCACCGTCGCCAAAGAGATCGTCCGTGGTGAGCAAGACAAATTGAACTCGGCTTTTTACCTCGGGTACAACATGATACTCAACCTGTTGCGAGTGGAAGGTATCTCTCCGGAGTTCATGTTAGAGAGATGCTTTCATCAATTTCAGAATACGGCAAGCGTGTCAGGCCTGGAGAGAGAATTGCAGCAACTGGAAACCGAAAAGTCGGCGATGGTTATCGAAGACGAAAGCGCCATTCGCGCATACTATGAACTTCGAAAACAACTCGACGTTTATGCCGAAGACATGAGAAACGTCATCATCCACCCAAACTACAGCTTGCCGTTTATGCAACCAGGTCGTTTGGTCGAGATCAAGGATGGTGAATATGATTTTGGTTGGGGGGCAGTAATCAACTTCGCGCGGAGAAGCCAAGGCAGATCGAACGAGCAGTTGCCTCCTCAGGAAGAATGGATCCTTGACATCGCCCTGGAATGTGCCGAAGGTCCAGCTCCTGCCACGAAGACGTTTCAGTCTCTGCCAGCCGGCATTCGCCCACCTCAACCCGGCGAGAAGTCCAAGATTGAGGTTGTTCCCGTCCTCCTCAAATGCGTCCAGAAGATTTCTCACGTCCGCATCTTTCCACCTTCAGACATGACAAACCCCGAAGAACGTAAAAAGATCCAAAAGTCTCTGGCAGAAGTTAAGCGTCGGTTCCCGGACGGCCTGGCGGTGTTGGATCCCATCGAGAATATGAAGATTACGGACAACTCGTTCAAGGAGCTCCTCCGAAAGATCGAGATCATGGAGTCAAGACTCGTGGCTAATCCATTGCATAACTCTCCGCGACTGGAAGGCCTTTATAACCAGTACGCACAGAAGGTCACTCTAACAGACAAGATCCGAGCGTTGAAGAAGCAAATCCAGGACGCCCACTCCATCATGCAAATGGAGGAGCTGAAATGCCGAAAGCGGGTCCTTCGTCGACTCCAATTCATCAACGAAGATGAAGTTGTCCAGCTGAAAGCTCGCGTTGCGTGTGAGATAAGTACTGGTGATGAACTCATGCTCAGTGAGCTCTTATTCAATCGGTTCTTCAACGACCTGACTCCAGAACACTGTGCTGCCGTTATGAGCTGCTTCGTTTTCGAGGAGAAGGTCAATGAGCAGCCGACCTTGCCAGAGGATCTTGCAAGACCTCTACGTGAAATTCAGAGACAAGCGAGAGTCATCGCCAAGGTATCTGTTGAGTCAAAGTTGGCGGTCAACGAGGAAGAATACGTGCAGAGCTTCAAATGGCAGCTCATGCCTGTGATGTTTGCTTGGGCGACGGGAAAGTCATTCGGCGAGATCTGGTAAGTGTCTCGAAGATTGCTAAAGGGATTTGCTGACATCTTCTTAGCAAAATGACCAATGTCTACGAAGGTAGTCTGATTCGAACTTTCCGGCGACTTGAAGAAGCATTACGCCAGATGGCGGAAGCCTCAAAGGTGATGGGAAGTGAAGAGCTGGAGAAGAAGTTTGAGGAGGCGTTGAGCAAGGTAAGACGAGATATCGTGGCCGCCCAGTCGCTGTATCTCTAGACTCGTCATGCCATTGAGGCGAACGTGCTTTGAGCGATGCATAGCGATGCATAGCGATCGTGTGGGAGTTATGCTTTTTGCATGGTACGATTGCAGCGGCCTGTTGGACAAAACCATTTCACAAAGAGATCTCGTGGGGCCAAGCCGGTATGATGTTATTGCCTGAGCGAATGTCCCACGAGAAAGCTCTTGCGCTGCGATGTGGACTGTCGAAGGCCAACGCTACTGCTATGTGCAGAGTATTCTCTCTTTTCCGTTGTACAGATTCCAATCAATACCCTTCTTGCCAGGCAGCGGCGGAAAGCTGCCTTGAACCCAACTGTTGGATGACCGTGTTCGTAGATGCAGCTGCAGCTGCAGCATCCGTAGACCGGCCGGGTAGTGTTTCTTTGTTGCCCAACCGACGTAGAGGGGACGAGGAGGGCTCCTTAGGCCTGGGGAAAATCCGCACTGATCCATGTGTAAGAGCGTTATTAGTCGCAAGCTCTGAAGTGCGCCCTGTGCGGATTGGGCAGTTAGTAGCAGTTACAGGTGTGGTCGAGCCCCCGGCCGGGATGTCAGGCAGAGCGGTAGCAAATCACATTGTGTCGAGGCTGCGCCCAGGTTGAAACTTGACTTTCCCTCCACTCCACCAACCCAACTACTAGGTGACTACTGACCTATGTAAGTGCGTTGCCATCACTTTCATCCCTTGGGATCAAGTGCAGTGCAGTGCAGTGGCAGCCTCCTCACCGCCGCTCTGCCTCTCAGCACTGACCTTTGTCTTCCTTTTTCTCAACGCCCTTCCCCTCTAAGACAGTCACCACCTAGTCACCATCCTACATACATTACTTGAGCCTTCGACAAACACCACCCTTCTGCCTGCTAGGTTCTGATAAACAAACCGCCACCGGGCCTTCGCAGCCACGATGAATAGCCTGGCCACGCCGCCTGTCCCTCCGCATTTCCACGAGCACACTCGTCTCTCCCCCAACAGATCTAGTAAGCCGCTTGCCCTGAGTGCCATTGCTTGTCGTATGCTGACCGCCCCTTCAGTGTCTGCCACCGCTCCCTCCCGGAAACGGAAAGCGTCGCCCTCACCTGATCGAGATGATGAAATGTCAACTTCGCCTGCGATCCCCAACGCTCGACTGCCCCAGACCTTGACTCCTTCTGCGAGAAAAAGAGCTCGTCCTAATCTGGCTGGGAGGTCACTCTCGGTGGACAGACTTCTGGAAACATTGGACACGGATGCTTTGAGATCAGTGTTGAAATCTGTGTATGACCGCAACCCTGGTCTACGGGATCAAATCATCCAAGTCAGCCCACGGCCTAGCATTCACAGCACATTACAGGTTCTACGGAACTACTATGATCGGTTGATGGCCTCTTTCCCGCTGGATCCGAATCCACGATCCGACTATTCATATGATCGAGTCCGTGCTCCGTATCACGACTTACTGGAGGCTCTGACTGATTTCACGCCGCATTTCTTGCCACCAAATGAACAGCAATCTTCGACGTCCCTCGAATATCTCAACGGGGTGACGCAAATCATCCATGATCTTCCTCAGTGGGACAATCCTCAACACAATCTGGCTAAGCAAAATGCCTACGATGAAATCTCGAAAGCCTGGGCAAGTGTTATCAAAGAAGCTAGCAAGAGAGGCGCCGGCATCCAATTACAATACACTGGCTGGGAGGAGAAACTCCGGGTTCACAACGAGAAGAGTGGCGGACGGTTACGGGAAGCCTACGAAGCGCTTGTGGACGCCCTAGGATGGCTGAGGCCAGCAAATCAATCAAACCACCACCAACAGCAACAGAGTATCCGACAACAGCTTTTTTCGAATACCTACGGAATGGAACAGCCCATGATCCGAACAGGAAACTGGTAAAAAAGAACAATCAGATCGAGAACCGGCAAAGCCAGACTCGACAAGAGTGTCGAGAAGAAAGAAACACAGCATACCGAAGTATCCAACATGTGATGCTACCTTGTCACGTCAGAAACGAATTTCCTTTGTCACCGGGTGGCATGAGTGGCACCTTGACCTTATGAATTGAAACGGCCTACGATCATTTGCACCGTTGTGGTGGTTCTTGTTGCATTTCGTTGATAGAGGGATATACTCCTCAGAACATACCTGCAAAGGGCCGAAACTGGCTTGCTGTTGCGCCGATCCACATTTGCTTTGGGTTTAGGGTTGCTGGCGTTTGCGATGCTTTTTCGAGGGCTCTGTTGAGGCAGAGTCTTCGCGATTCAATTCATCGTGGTTTGGCTTCCGTTTCTAATGATACCACAGGACGGAAACACATGATCCGGTTACACCACAACCTTCTACACTTTTCAGCTCGAAACAGAAACTGGGAGTTTGAGTGGAACCTTGGCTCGGGATAAGATGGATGGGGGGCTCGGTGATCGAAATTGTTGATATATACACATGCATTGAGTAGTTTTATGAGCATTATCTTCTTCTTCCCGTCATTTTGTACAGTTCATGGCAGTCTACGCAAGCTACCCTACATCTACAGCCGTCCACCGTCACCTCCAACCGAGGGAGTGTTCAGCACGCATTTTCCAACCCTCGAAGCTATTCAGCTTTGGCCGTACATCGAGATAAAAGTTGAGCGAAGAGTCTTTCGTTTTAGGATCCGACTTCCCTTGATAGAAGTCTATGACATATTCGACGGTTTGGCCGTCGCACCGCTCAACCACCCAGTCGTGCCGGTCAAACGGTTCCGTATACCCCATGAGACTCTTGACACGGGCTTTCGGCGACTTTGCACCACTGCCTAAGCCTTTGAACGACAGAAGTTTCGGTCCGCCACAAGCAGCAGAAGAGTTTCCTTCCCAGGCCTTGATCAGGGACCAAGCGCGTTCGTTGACGGCATTGTGGATTGGAATTATGTGGCTGATGGAGCTGACGAGGTCGGCGGGGTTGGAAGAGGTTTGTTTGCGCATCACGGCATTGAAAAATTGAGATTCACTGGGATAAATCCAGTTTCCCGAGCTCGAGACGCCCGTCTCGGATTCGTTGTTCATTGGGATATTTGAAGGGTTGGGGCTGGAGGGGACGGCGCGTGGAATAGAAGAGACGGCGCGCTCCTGCGATAATGGGCGTGGCGTCTTATAATAAGTCTCTGGGCTGGGAGTGGCGACAGGCGACTGTGATATTCGATCCGACGAGCATTCTTGCGAAGAGCTAGAGGGTGCTTGTGCCTGTGGTTGGGATGGCGGAATTGGCGGATGTGAGGATGGTAAGGTTGCAACATGTGTCACTTGCGACTCTTGTGTGGCTGATTGTGATTTCTTCTGCGCTTGCTGTAGCCATAACGATCGTGTCTTCGGGTCGACCGGACATGCTGAGGCTGAGTCGGCGTTGGACTGTGAAGGAATCGGATGTGGTGAGATTAATGGGACTTGGGATGTCGAAGTCGAAGTCGAAGGTGCAGGGTTGGGAACCGGATCTGCTTTCCACCAGCCCATGGTTGTGAATTAATATACAGAGTCTGTTAGGACACAGATGGAGAACGCAGCGTGGTGTGGGTGTGCTGGCTAGTAGAAAAGTTGGAAGTGAGTAGTACAGAGTACAGGAGTAAGAAAAGTGATGCGATGCTGGAGAAACAGTTTCCGTGCCCGCGGATTTCCCTCATTTCCCCCATGACTTTAAAACCGCTGCGGCCAAACAGCTGGAGAACTATTTCAGAACTGCCCAACCCAACTTCCCAACCCACACAACACAGCGCCTTCGTCGCCTCATCTGTACAGGTGGTGAAATCATGTCGGGCTCCTCGCACATCTATCGTGCAAGCACGACTGCCCCAGTGAATATTGCGGTGATCAAGTAGGTACGCCATCATTTCCCTCCCGTCCCATCAATCGCAACCAGTGGCAGGAGTTGAACAGGATGTTAATGTATGGATAGGTACTGGGGCAAAAGAGACACCTCCCTCAACCTCCCCACCAACTCCTCGTTATCGGTCACTTTGTCTCAGAAATCTTTGCGGACACATACGACGGCATCCTGCTCGACATCTTTCAGTGGGCCTGATTCCCTCATCCTCAACGGGGAGGCCGAAGACATCCAGTCGTCCAAGCGGACACAGGCATGCTTGAAACATCTCCGGTCACTACGGGAGCAGCTGGAAGTAAAAGATGGATCTCTACCCAAGTTGTCGGAGATGACTCTGCGCATTGTCTCGTCAAACAACTTCCCTACAGCCGCCGGTCTCGCTTCTTCGGCCGCCGGGTTTGCGGCCTTGGTCAGAGCGATTGCCGACTTGTACGATTTGCCTCAAACACCTGAGGAGCTTTCTTTGATCGCAAGGCAGGGGTCCGGGTCAGCATGCAGAAGCCTTATGGGTGGCTATGTTGCCTGGCGAGCAGGTACCAAAGCCGATGGCAGTGACAGCATTGCAGAGGAAGTGGCGCCAGTGTCACATTGGCCAGAAATGAGAGCGTTGATACTGGTGGTTAGCGCGGAGAAGAAAGGAGTGCCTTCGACGGCAGGCATGCAAACCACGGTCGAGACATCGACCCTGGCACCAGCGCGGTTTCAGGAAATCGTCCCGAAGAGGATGGCGGAGATTGAACAGGCCATCCATGAAAAGGACTTTGAGACTTTCGCCCGCATCACCATGCAAGACTCGAACTCGTTCCATGCGATCTGTCTCGACTCGTGGCCCCCGATCCATTATTTGAACGATGTTTCTCGAGCGGCCATGAGTGCAGTTGAAACGGCGAACCGAAAAGCTGGGAAACTGATCTGTGCATATACATTTGATGCAGGCCCGAATGCAGTCATCTACTATCTGGAGGAACACACGCATCAAGTGGCGGGCGTGTTCAGAAGTCTCCTGGAGAGGACCCCCGGCTGGGAAGGGGAATTCGCACAGGACATTCGACCCAACGAGTCTGGCAGCCTGGATGCGAAGGCGTTGATGACTTTGAAGTCGGGTATCAGCCGTGTGATCTGTACCGGAGTAGGAGGAGGTCCGGAGCGGATTGAGAAGCACCTGGTGGACGAGAATGGCAAGGCAGTGTCTGTTGAGGAATGATCACGGGACTTGGATAATCTGGACGAGCACTTGGTAGTACCAGTCCCTCTAAGCCCGAGCAACAAGGGTGCCAGGATGCCTGATGCTAGGGTGAACCCTTTTCCTTATGCGGACCTCAACCCGAGATCTCGCCCATTCGACGAACGACTCGCAAGCATCGAACGAGGCGCCGGTGTCTGTAGTAGCCAGCAGTCCATATTCTTTATGGACTGATTATTAGTAGGTACCTGCTACCACTACCTGATCTAGTACTCCCGTAATAGTACCTGAGATCTTGTGTCTAGTATCTACTGCCATCACCCCCGCCTCCGCAGCTTCACGCCACTACTGGCATCTCCATCCCGGCGTCCCCTGTCTCCCACCCTCCTTCGGTTATTGCCACAGGTGCTGACAGGTATGTGACTGACCTTCAGGCATCCAGCATGTCATGCTCGTGTTCCCAACCGAGGCAATCCTCCGTACTCCGTACTCGTACTCCGGCTCTGTCTGACTACAACAGGTCCTTCGTTTGGTTTCAGCCTGCATCGGCCGCACTTCCTGTCCGTCTCAGGATCCTCCCTCATATAAAACCCATCTGTTCGCACATCTCGTTCCTTGCTCCCCAGTCTGCTTTTGCCACCGGTCGTTCCTCGAAAACATTCCCCATCTCTGATTTCTGTCAAGTCAAAAAGCATTTGCACCCTGGCTCGCCATGGCCGACAACAGCTTCGACGTGATCATCATTGGTGCCGGGATTAGTGGCATCAATGCCGCCTATCGCTTGCAAGAAGGGATCCCAGACTACTCTTACGCCATCCTTGAGGCCCGCCCGGAGATGGGAGGCACCTGGAGCTTCTTCAAATATCCCGGCATCAGATCAGATTCCGATCTGCATACGTTTGGGTTTGCCTGGGATCCATGGAAAGAGGACCGTTCCATTGCCGACGCCGCCTCTATCCTCAAATATCTGAAGGCCACCGCTGAGCGGCACGGCATCGACAAGCATGTCAAGTATCGCCATCAGGTAGAATCCATGGACTGGTCGACGGAGAAACAACACTGGCAACTAGTCGTCACGGTGGACGGTACCGACAAGCGAACATTTTATGCGCGACAGATTCTCATGGGGACGGGCTATTACGATTACGGTCGTGGTCTCAACACCAACATCCCCGGTATCGACAATTTCAAGGGAACTGTCGTCCATCCTCAATTCTGGCCCGAGGATCTTGACTACACCGACAAAAAGGTGGTCATCATCGGCAGTGGTGCAACCGCCGTCACCCTCCTCCCCAGCATGACAGAAAAAGCCAAATCCGTCACTATGCTTCAACGGTCCCCCAGCTATTTTCTCCCGGTCCCCCTCGTCGTACCCGTTGATCAATTCATCAAAAAGATCTTTCCTGAGAGTTGGGCCTACCAAATTGTCCGAATCCGATTCCTCGTGGTTTCATTTCTCTTCATTCAATTTTGTCGACTGTTCCCCAAGCAAGGGATCAAGGTGCTCCGTGCTGCGACCGAGAAGGAACTGCCCAGCAATATCCCCTTCGAGCCGCATTTTGTACCTCGATATCTGCCATGGCAACAGAGAATGTGCATCACTCCCGGTAAGCCCAGGTCATGATTGCCGGCTTGTCTGTTCGAGCATCAAGATGTACTGATTTCTATCAACTAGGAGGGGATTTTTTCGCTGCTCTGCGCACCGGCAAGGCCGACGTTGTGACCGACACGATCGAGACCATTACACCTACAGGGATCCAACTCAAGTCTGGGTCTAGTCTCGACGCAGACATCATCATTACCGCCACCGGTCTGAAAGTTCGATTCGGAGGTGGCGCCAAAATCCTGGTCGATGGTGAACCGTACCAAATCCATCAAAAATACGTCTGGCGCGGCGCCTTACTTCAAGACCTTCCCAACTTCGCCTTTGTCTTTGGATACACCGATGCCAGCTGGACCCTGGGTGCCGACGCGGCGGCTCAACTGTGGGTGCGGCTGCTCAAAACCGCCCGGGCCAATAATATGACCAGCATGGTCCCGCGTGTTGGCGAGAAGGAAGTCATCACGGAAAAGCCGCTGCTCAATCTCAACAGTACCTACATCAGAGCCGCTGAGCAGGAGAAGCTCCTCCCCAAGGCCGGCGCCCAAGGTCCCTGGTTGTTTAGAAGTAGTTATTGGAAAGAGATCTGGCATGCCAAGTTCGGCGACATCCAGACCGGACTGCAGTTCTACAGGGTTTCGAGTTGAGAAGAAGATCCAATACAGGAGCAATGAGACATAGACAAGTCTTGAAAGAGGGCGCAAATTGGTGATGGTGTTGAAAGACTGGGTCCGTTCCTCGAGATGGTGGAATGGGTCGACACTTGCTTTCTCGGTCAAGTCATCATCTTAAGTATGGAGTGCGAGTGACGGAACAACCAGATATATCTTGGACATTCTACATATAATATCTTCGTCTTTTGACATTCTACATATAATAATATTTTCATCTTTGTGTGTTTGCTATACCTTGGACATTCCACATATAATATCTTCGTCTTTGGTGTGTTTGATATACCTTGGACATTCTACTTATAACATCTCCATCTTTTGTGTAAACAGTTTGTGTCTTCCCGCACGACTGTCCCGTCGCAGGTGCACAGTTCGGCATCGTCGTAGTAACATGTAGTAAGCCTGCGCTTCTGTAGGTAGTAGTCTCACCACACCACCTCTCTCCTCACCTCAAAAACCAAAACTTTTGGAAATTGCTACATTGATAAGATCTCAGATGACAGAAAGCAGGCATCATAATAAGCGGCAAAAAAGAATACCCATGTATGTTAAGCGGCTAACAGCAAAAAACCAAAAAGAAAATTAAGCATGCCTCGGACGAGAATCGAACTCGTGACCTTCGGATAGCCCCTGTGTGTTACACAGGATCATAAATCTATTTATGAGACCGACGTCATAACCGACTTTCGGAAAGTCAGCCTTGAATCAAAGAATTGTTACAGATGGAAAATCATACCTAGACCACCAAGGCAATTGATTGGAGTGCGATTGCGAGAGCAAATTTGGCCATGATGATTATTATATGAGCCAATTCCTGGCTGGGAGTGGAGAGCGGAGGTTTCCGTACTGTGCGTGTTTAGTGCCGAAGCCGGGGGGAGAGGAGTGGGGGAAGGAGCATGACCGATACCTACCTACCTAATCTGACGACACTGTAAGACCAATATCTGACGACACCGACACTGTAAGCCCTGTGTACGGATAAGTTAAAGTGCCCGTGGTTGGGTTCAGGTTGGCATTTTAGGATGAACAAGGACCTCAACGCTGGCTACCTACCTAGAGACGTTGGCATGGTATGATAGCGTTACATTACAATTCGTTATAGGTAGTCATGTGCTGTGTGATAGTATCCAACGGCGGCGTTGGCCAAGAGGGCAATTTGAGTCGAGAGGCCGCTAGGTGAGCGAATTGCGCCAGGGCTAAGGGGCTCGAGATGGTCTCTCTGAGGAGAAGAGAACAGATACAAGAGGAGTTTCTTTTTTTGCCAGCAGTCCATACCATAATCAGATTCTTCATGTGGTTCATTACCTTACTAGGCTCATTCCGAATTTGACGAAAGCTACTCACTCCTGTCTCGGAACTACCTACATAGCGGTCCGGCGAGAACACTTTCGTACGAGATGATTTCTCCTACTCGTATTCAAGGAAAGCTCTAGCGACCTAGTAGGTCAAGTGCCGTTGGCACAGAGCGAGGGGCGTAATTTATCGAAAATGAAGCTCCCATTACGCGGGAAAACCACAGGATGACGTGTCGACTAGGATACAAACTAATTAACGCTCTTCCTAAATTGCCCCATTAAATATAATAGATAGTGCTTAACGTGCTCCTGTGGGAATCTTGAGTTCCTGAGCTGCTATCATATCAGGCCTGCCTTATCCTTGCAGCGTATAAACCGAGCCCCAGTATTTGTCCGTATCTGCGTTTTTTTTTTTGGCTGGTGAAATTGGCCAGAAACCTACGACTAGGCAACACTCGTCGTCGGGCATAATGCACTCAAGAGGACGGTTGGCTCCCCGCTGGTCGTCCCCGTACCCAAACCCAGTAAATCGCTGAGATCGGTGAAGATGGTAAAGACGCCGCCCTCTAGTGATGTGCAGGTAAACTGGCTTGTGGTCGGGTCGATCGCGCACACTATAGTGGTTTCTCCATTTCCCGGCGTGCCGTCGAACTGGACTGGTTGGTCGTCGAAGCCAGTAGGGATGGAGGCGAACAAGCCGTTATAGATCAGAGTGGTTCCAGACAGTGAGAATGTGGTGCTACCGATGGGCGAAAATGAGATGACATCTGCGCCGGAACCTTCGAAGTTCGTCAGCACATTGGCGATATTGCAATCTACGTCGGTGCCAGAGTTGTAGGCTTGGAGCTCAAACGACGTCGTGCCAGCGGGGCAAGGCTGAAAATTTGCGCAGGTGTTCGTTGGCTAGTAATTGACCATGTCAGCTCTACCAGGCGCAAAATTTGGGTATGGTCCAGGCTGGTCTCGATATGGACATGTGGGAGCAAGAACTTACGCCGACAGGTGTAGTTGTAGTTGTAGTTGTAGTTGTAGTTGTCGTGGTCGTGGTCTTCTGCGGTTAGCTTCAAGTCTTGACATATTGCGGATCGAGCAAATGGCTTACCGTTGTTGTGGTTGTGGTTGTGGTTGGTGTCGTTGTCTTCTTATGATTAGCTTGGAGTCTTAATATGGTGACTATGGGGCAGGAGCTTACCGTTGTGGTTGTTGTAGTCGTTGTGGAAGTGGAGGTAGAACTAGTGGTTGAGCTTGTGGTTGTGCTAGTGGTCGTCGGGCTGCTGGTAGTCGTCGTAGAGCTTGTCGTCGTGCTGGTGCTTGTCGTCGTGCTGGTGCTTGTTGTAGAGCTGGCGCTTGTCGTTGTGCTGGTGCTTGTCGTCGTGCTGGCGCTTGTCGTCGTGCTGGTGCTTGTCGTCGTGCTGGCGCTTGTCGTCGTGCTGGTGCTTGTCGTCGTGCTGGCGCTTGTCGTCGTGCTGGCGCTTGTCGTCGTGCTGGTGCTTGTTGTAGAGCTGGTGCTTGTCGTTGTGCTGGTGCTTGTCGTAGAGCTGGTGCTTGTCGTAGAGCTGGTGCTTGATGTGGAGCTTGTTAATGAGGCAAAGCTGGTCGTAGGACTCGAACTCGTCGCGGTACTAGTCGAAGAAGAGGAAGTAGTTGAACTAGAGAGGCTAATAGGAGTGGAAGAGCTTGGTATTGAAGTTGGGGTTGTCAACGTGGTCAAAGAAGTGATAGTACCCGTCGATTGAGTACTCGTCGGAGACTTCGTAGTTGTGTTGGACCAGGAAGCACTATGACCCCTAGTTTCGGAATGTGTAAAAGATCTGTGTGCGCCGACTGTGAACCCATGACTGCCTTTGGAATGAACAGAAGAGCTGGTGGTAGAGGACTTGACCGGGACCGTCCAAGGGACCCAAGAGTCAATGGTCGAGTCTACTGACCAACTATCCTGACCTGAAGTTGACTTCGTGGGAGAGGTATCGCCAATGCCGCCGTCGGAAGTTGGATGCGAGTGGGATGCTGCGCTGAAATCGACGTCTTCCCAAGGATACCCGGAAGCTGCAGAACCCTTGGCTGATGTCGTAACATCCTTTTCTTCAGATGACGCCGTTGGCAACCAGATCCAGTCTCCAGTGGTCACATAGACGACTGTGTTGCAAACATCTTTTGAGTTGCCTGCCCCGTGCCAGCTAGCATCCTGAGAAGGGTTGCGGTCATGAAGAGCGGCACATACGCTTCGCGCGCCCAGTATGAGGAGGACGAAGGATGGAAGTGAATTCGACAAACGCATTTTGACTTTGGGCGAGCGACAGAAGCAGCGAGGGAATGACAAGGGCGAGGAAGTACGATAGACGAAGACTGTCCTCGATAGGCAGGACTATGGATTGCGGACGGTGGTAAAAAGAATGACTTGGGTCAGATGGGGCAGCTTGAACAATGGCGAGGATGCAGTGACAAGAAGTTGCTTGAGATGGAAGACACGGGGACCCCAGATCAATAAGAAGAATCTGGAACTTGTGGAAACCACGTTGTGAACCATTTTGAGCCATTTTGGACATTCGGTTGTATTTTGAGTTAGCGATGTGATCTTTAGGAAGCGAGGACGAATTTGGGAACGACAAACGCTGGTTACGGCATGGTCAGGCTCTAGTATTCAGTAGTAGCATTGCCAATTTCGCTTGTCTCATGCCCAACGGGGAAAGGCTGGCTGATACGGAGTATAGGTTTCGTATATGTATGTAATAGTACCCGTATGATATGTTGAAGAGGATACAGCCAGGTTTGGAGGTGACGCCGCCAACTGTCGGCCTGGCCAACTGTACGGAGTACAGAGGAGAGAGGATGAAGGAGAAGGAGGAGGTGGTGGTAATTAGCGGTGTTGAAGACGACTGAAGTTGCAGAGATGGCGCCGTTTTAGAGCTTAAGCCGGTTAAGCCTCCATAAGATTATGCATATCTGTTGATTGGACTGCACTGTGCCTAGTGTGCCTAGTGTGCCCCCTGGGCGACATAGGAAAGTCTGCCGGCCCAGGCCCAGGCCACTGGCAGTCATGTGATCTCGGCGAAAGCCTTGCCTCCCTCTGACCCTAGGAATATTTTTTCTCCGTTCGACTTTCTCCTCCTCCCGCCTGTTCTGGACGATCTACCCAGTACCTCACCATCCCTTTCATTTTCGGACCAGATCAGTCTTGCTTCCAATATTTCTACGCAAATCCACGCACTAGAATAACCCCTTGTCTTTCCAAAAAAGAAAAGATGGGCAACGGAGCCAAAGCCGCTCAGAAACGCGAGCGTAATGCCAAAGACGGCAAGAAGGAGCCGAATAGCCAGTTGAAATCGGTACGTTTGAGCATTTCACCTTGATTGGCGATTTCTTTAATCTTGTCTATTCTGTTCCATGAGCTTGGGTCTTGATCGGGTTGGAATCCTTTGTTATCTTCCCTTCAAAACGAGGTTAGGCTAGGCGCCTTCTTTGCAGTACCATGTAGTGTGACGGCGAGTTCCGCGGAGCCTGATTGGAGCCTTTCAATCGACATGGTCCTCTACATCGAAATCTGGCCTGGTCGGATCCTTTTGTTACTCCTGAGGCAGGCACCTGTTCCAGCTCTTCAGCCAACGCTACTGGTGGTGAAACCCCGCCATCTCGGGCGCGGGGAGACAATGACCTTTGAAAATCGACCGGAAACATACCATGAGCTGTGGTTTCCGGCCTTCAGAAGAATCACGATTGTTCCACGCATACTGACGGACCAAATGCTCGCCCTCCTTCTCTGCAATTTCTTTTTCGTTTTCTTTTCCCGAGTCCATCTCCCCTCTGGTCGAGATCAAGACGAGGGATCCCCAGCACATCGGCCCGCGGGATACAAAATCAGGTGTCCTGCTACGCACATCTCCCTCTTCGGACTCATTTTGATTTTTTCTCTGCCATCACAACTTGCAAAACGAGAACACCATCCCGAGTCCAACTAACAGATCCCTCTCGCATAGAACGCAAAAGCCCAGTCGATCAAATGCAAGATCTGCTTCGCCACATTCCAGAGCACCACGGCGCGCAAAGGCCTCGATGAACACGCGAGCAACAAGCACAGCAAAAGTTATGAGGATTGCTTCGCGTGAGACCACGAAAGTGAGTCACCAGCACACATTTCAGAGATACACTTCGCAATACACAACAGCAACCGCCGCACCGCGTCAAGAGGGTTCTTTCAATTTGGCAACGAGGTGCGGTCAAGGTGGGGTGACGCTAGACTTGGGGATCAGAAGAAAGGGTTGAGCTGGAGTCGGCGAAGCGAAATGATGCAGTGCCACGGCATATGATGCAATTTGAATGCGACAGCTTTGTGGAGCCTCGTCAAGACTCGAACATGGATGCGCGGGATGAGGGACGACGAGAAAAGAGAGACACAGCAAATTGAGTTGAGTTGAGTTGATTTTCCGCCCTTCATCACGAACAAACAGGAGTCAGAGGGTCGAAGACGATGCGGATTTCTAGCGGAGGAGTTGCGGGTTTTCCTTTTAGCTTGATGCCTTGGACGACCACCTACTAGGGGTCTCTGGGCTTAGCGAATAGAATAGAACAGAACAGTCAGACTGATACTGATATTGACGTCTTGGATCAATTGTTGACGGCGATGTTGATTTGGCTGCCTTTTTACCTACAATCCTACACAAGACTTGGTGTGCCAACTATTCTACCCAAGACGTGGTGTGCAAGTACCGAAGCTTACTGTGCCTTGAAACCTGTTGCTGCGCGTCTCAGAACCGTCCGGACGGTGGACGGTGGACAGTCATCAGACCAAATGCTCCATACATACACCAGCATAGATCGGGTACCTTATGTAGCTCCGGTACTGTCGGATGGTACAGAGTACAGAGTACAGACACTGCCGTATCTACCTACATACTACGTACGTACCTTTACTACTACCCAAACTACTACGACCACCTACGGGACGACTACTAACTAATAAATCAAATATCATGTACGGATACTAGGTTCAACCAGTCCGACGGACTTGCCCGACTCGTCGAGGTGGGAGTCGAATCGAATTGATCATAATACTGGAGACACTTGATTGTGGACAGCAGATCCAGTGCGGATGCTATGCTGCCTACTCGTACGGGAGCCACTGTTGCTGCCTGAGTCGGTCGAGATAGCCACTGTTGCTGCCTGGGTCGGTCGAGATACTGGGGTAAGGTATGTAGTTGAGTATCCGTACCTCCAAAGGACTTTCCTCTCAGGATCTCACACTTCACATCGACCCCTCGGCGACATATCGATTGAATAAGATCCGTGTCCGTACACTCGATTTGACAAAATGTCGACCAACGACCACCATGGCGAAGATATCGAGAGCATAGGCTCAGGCTCAGGTCCAGGCGCCGCCGCCGCGGTGACTCCCCCGGCCTTACTCCATCGCTCTCTACATCAACAGCCATACAAGGTCAGCTCGGCGAAAGGCATTTACCTGACCCTGGACAGCGGGCGAGTGGTGATGGACGCCTGCGGCGGAGCGGCTGTTACGTGTCTAGGTCACGGCAACGACGAAGTTCTGCAGGCAGTGACGCGACAAATGAATACGGGGGTGAGCTATCTGCATTCGCTGACTTACACGACCGAGGCAGCGGAACAGCTGGCGCGGCATCTGATCGACGGGCCTCACGGTGGAGGCCGGTTCGGCCTGGAAAAGGCCTACTTTGTCAACAGTGGCAGCGAGGCCATGGACGCGGCCCTCAAGCTGGCTCGACAGTACTTTTTCGAGCTGGGCCAACTGGACAAGACCAGATTCGTGGCGCGCAGACAGAGCTACCACGGAACCACCATCGGCGCCATGACCGTCGGCAGTAATCTACCGCGGAAAGCACCCTACGCCTGCTTCCAGCTGGACACCGTCAGCTGGATGACTCCGGCATACGCCTACCAGTACTCGAACTGGAAGCAAGGCGAGACAGAGGAGCAGTTCGCCGAAAGACTGGTGCAGGAGCTGGACCGGCATTTGCAGGACATCGGCCCGGAGAAAGTCATCGCCTTCATTGCGGAACCCTTGGTTGGTGCCACGAGTGGCTGCACCCCAGCTCCCCACGGTTACTTCAAGGGAGTCAGACAAGTGTGCGACAAGTATTCCATTCTCCTCATCCTCGACGAAATCATGTGTGGCATGGGTCGCACAGGCACTTTGTTCGCGTTTGAACAAGAGCATATCGTCCCGGACATTGTCACTATCGGCAAAGGTCTCGGGGGCGGATACTCTCCCATTGCAGGCATGCTCGTCCATAAGAAGATCATCGACGTCCTGCAAAAAGGCACGAGCAGTTTCAATCACGGCCACACGTACCAGGCGCACCCAGTCGGGTGTGCAGCCACGCTGGCGGTCCAGAAGATCCTCCGACGGGACGCCATGATCGACAACTGCGCCCTCAGAGGCCAGTTTCTGCATTCATTGCTCCTTGAAACGTTCCAACACGCCAAGTATGTAGGCCATATCCGCGGACGAGGTCTGTTTTGGGGGATCGAGTTTGTCAAGGACAAGGCCACGCGCGCCTCGTTCCCTCCCGCAGTAGGCTTCGGAATCCGGTTTCAATCCCTGGCCTTCGAACTTGGTGTAGCCGTCTATCCTGGCTCCGGCACCGTGGATGGCAGTAGAGGAGACCATGCCATCTTGTCGCCCCCATACAACGTGACAGAGGATGAGTTAAGGAAGATTGTCCATGTCGTGAAGTTGGCCTATGATCGGCTGGAGAAAGACATTGATGATGCTGCAGACGAGTCTGGCCAAAACAAAGTCGAGACGCCATATTGAAACACCACGGCGTCGCTGAGGCGACAACAGATAACGGCGCGTGAGTCAAAGTCTTTGGACATTAAGAATTACTCTGCTGCTGGTCAATAGACATCACTCGCAGCCAGTAAAGACCTCATAGCCAGATTCGGTCGTACTCCCAATTGCTGCATTCCGTATCCAAGCTCGTCTCTTTCTGTACGAAGGTTCGTCGCCGGAAATGTCCAGATGCCGTGCTTTAACCCGATGTCCCGATGCTGGCCAATAACCCCCGTTCCAAAGTCCTTTCCCATAGTAGTTGCTCATAATACATGCCCTCAAAAGATAAATTCGAACCAGAGAGATCGTCCCTACCGTACCACCACTTCCGCTTTACCACTACTCTGTGGTCGAGGCATGTCTCCCAACTCGTCGCCTGTGCCGCTTTGACCTCGTCTCCGTCCTGGAAGCAGATGGAAATGATGTTTTCCGTCTTCCTTGACAGATCCGGTGTCGCCACTGGAGTCGCCAAATCGTGACAGAAAGCTTTTCTTTTTGGGTTGTTGTTTGGGCTCCTCGTTCAGCTTGACGTCCTCAAACCCTTCCTCGGCCGTGGGCTCTTCAAACGTACTGCTGTTGAACGTGGATCGGGTAGGGAATCGGGTTGAGGGTCTCGAGTCTAATGATGTGCGCGAGGTGAAGCTGTCGGTCTGTACAATAGGGGATCGCCCGGAAATGTCCTTGTTCGGCGTGAGACAGAGACCTGTTGTGTGGAAGCGTTCGATACTTACAAAAGAACGTCTGTACGACTCGAAGGATTCACGGGAAATGGAGAAGGGTTCGTTCTCGTTGAAGCAACTGCGGTGGTTGCTGTTCCCAGAGACCGGGGATTTGACCCAGAAGGACTTTTTCTCGGTGGGTGATGGCTATATAATGGTCAATCGCAGGAATCTTGCATGCGTCTTGTGCTGCTTACAGGAAGGTATTCACCACTGTCATTGACGGCTGGTCGATGGTTAGTCCGGGTGTGCTTGTGTGTTTGTTTGGCGGGGTAGCAGTATGGCACGTACAGCTCAATTTGAATTCATCCGGTGCTTCTCGTCTTTCTTTCACTCCTAGTGCTACAGAAGGTTTGTCCCTATACGGGCTGGTGACATGCCCATCGTTGGAGGTCGGGCGGGCGTTTTCGTCGACAGGCTCGGTGGTGACCATGGGTCGCTTGGAGGAAAAGGGCATGCGAAAGGGAGGCATGGTGGGCGATTATCGGTTCTATTGTTGTGCGCTGTAAAATCTATCGACGGAGGATCATGCAGAGGTCGAAGGTGGAAAAGGAAATGCTGTTTGCTTCGCAAGGAAAATACGTGCGATGTGATAGAAAAGAAGTAGCATTCCCCAGAGATGGTGGTGACGGCTTAAGATTCAGCGCGGGAAGAGGTCTTGGAGGAAGCTGCCCACCAGGAAGATCTCCGCCATACATACTATCCGTACATATCTCACTTACTACTACACCAAGGTTAGGTAATTAGGTCGTCAACGAACACGGAGTATGATCACAGTCCTGTTTCCGGGAAGCCCGGCAGTGTTGGACGTGGTGGGTGGGCTTATTGGGTTTATTGCGGCCCTTCTCTGCCGATCGGAAAGCCTTGGGAGCCCTCCAGGCTCCTATAGTCCATACGATTGATCAAATCCAATGGGTTGGGCCCGAGGCGCACAGGCGTCGCTTTAGCTTTGTCAAATGCCCGTCAGCCAAACTTCGCCTAGTGGCGTGCTGCTTGCGCCCTGACCCGTTGCATCAATGCATAAGGTACTCCGTACAGTGTGTCAGGTACAGTATCTTGCGGCACCCTGCGTTCTCCTCTCATGCAAGGTACGTTGGATAGAGGTGGAAGCAGACAGAGATATTTGCCCAGGTCCCCATATATCCTTTTCTTTCTCCCCAGTGGCCCTTTGGCTAGTCTCTTTGTTGGCAGATGAAGACTGCACAAAGTTGATGTTGAAGTTGATGTACTGTACGTTCACCACTCGAGCTCCAGCCGACGTGCTAGGTACTGTGGTGTTTGCCACTACTCTTCTTCTCAGTCTCCCCGTCGACGTGTAGCACCACATGTCTTTGTCATCTCCTTGTGCCTGACATGTCATGCGCCCTGCCGTCTTTCTCGGTCGCCCCCAGTCTGATTGCCGCGTTGCGTGGATAGTATTGTGTACCAAAGGGCATGAGTGTCTTCTAAAGGATCATCGCAGGTTCAAGTTGCTTGCTCCGAGTGCATGAAAGGTTGTTTTGGTTGCTCTGGACACGCATGTTGACATAGGGGAAAGTGTAGGTTCAAAATGCGGTGGGATCGGCCAGCTGCAGGACAGTATTGAAGGCGCAGGCAAGTTTCGCATTCACCTGGAAGACTCATGTTGATTGATGCTCCCTTCACTCTCCTAAATGCCATGGCGGCCCTTCTGGGTTCATCCATTCATCTTCTAGTTCTCGCTGCTTGCTATTCATCTTGAGCTGGGAGAAATGGAAACTGCGATGCAAATTTGTCGTCCATGTACCAATCTCAAGCAAGTGCTGCCGTCATCTAACATCGCCAGCGACACTGCTCTCTTTTCGCTTGGCCTCTCTCTCTACTCTGTCTCTTGCGCTGCACTTCGCCATTTCCACAGCTGCTCTATCGTTTGTGCGGTGCTCGTCTCCATTGCTCTACAGACATGGGGATGCCAGTCTTCATCTTTCCCAGCCTGTAGCATTCGTACCTTATGTTCGTCCATCAGCATGACTGCTCTCTTTCCAGATGGCGTTTTCTTTGTGGAGTGGCCGACATGGGCGCGGCTAGCTATTGTGAGTCTCCCTAGATTGATCCCACTTGTTCAGCGCTCACCGAGTTTGTAGATTTTAGGCGGCTTGCTGGTTTGTTCTCCCGCGACCCTCTCGATTCCAGTTCTAACCCGTCTTCAGACAATAACCTTGATCACTGGGTTCTGTGTCAAGCTAAGGAACTGGAGAAAGAACATCAAGCTAGAGAGAAGAGCGGCCGAAGAAGAAGCTGAAAGGGGAGAAGTAACCCTTGTGAGCCGATCAAGCGATGACATCCCTTTCGGCATACGTGCTCTGTTGGAGGATTCGGAGGTCGAAGGTGTCTGGAACTCTCGAAATGTCACTCCTCTGAATTACGATCCAGTCGAGCATGATCGTGCGACTACTTTTCTGCAGTCAACAGCTCTCCCCAAGGAGGATTCCTCCACACTGTCCAACTGTCTCTATGACCCTGCAGATATAGGCCTGGCAGCAACCGGTGGTAGGCTCTCAATACAGCTCTGCCCCCAGATACTGACGTTTGCAGATCGAGATCCAGTCACTGATTACACGGCCATGATGGAGCTACCTGCCGGAGTCTCGTCCTCTAAGCGGAAGAAAAAGACCCTGATCATCAGCTACAATGGGCCACACATTCGTTCTGAGTCTGCGGGGACTGTACCAGGTAAACAGCATCATGCTCCGACTGCCACTCAACATCATGGCTCAGACCGCTAATTGGTTACACAGCCGTCCACTCTCCTGTGACACAAGTTATACCAGGCAGCTCACCGTCCAAGATGCATTTACGTCCATGCTCCGATCAGCCGTCTTCCGGAGGACGTCGATTTGTGATCGGAAGTCGACAAAAGAATTCGCTAGGTTATAAGAGGGCAGATCTCCAATCTGATATTCACTCCCTTGAACGCATGGAAGCGCACCGGCAGTTTCATGCTGCAGAAAGTGGACAACTATTGCCCAAAGATCGACGACATACTGATCTGGTTCTCACTACACCTCTGGCACCTTCTGTTTCGGACGGCGAGGAAAATGACTCTTACTCAGCTCGTGCGTTATCCTGGCCTGCTAGAATGGAAGACAGCATGCAGCTGGGAAAGCGACTGTCACGCAAAGCACAGAGGAGGGAGGGTCCACGACCTGTGCCTTTCCGCGCCTTCGTGGAGTCACTGCCTCCTACTAAAGCTCCGCCATCGTCATGGACACAGAAGACTCAAGCAAAACTTGATGTGAACATTCCAACGTCGTCTACTGGGAGTGACGCTAATTCCAAGACGTCCTCGCACACGCCGAAATCATCCATTAGCTCCAGCGCCACCAGCTCACCAACATCACCAACTGATTCTATCTCCATTGCAAATATTCGGACTCGGAAGATAAACGATGGGTTTGAAGTATTACCGGCCGGAACATTGACCAGGGGACCCAGTGTAAAGGAGTTTGGTCTGTGGCCGGAGAACGTGAAAGTTGCCAACAAGCCTAACAAGCTGCGAAAACTTTCTCGATCGAACCCTGCCAGTGGTCGGAGCTCAACAGAAAGTCGGAGGCTCAGTGACGAGAGCTTCCGGTTGCCAATTTTTTGAGTCACTCTGAGTTGCTTCGAGTTCCAGTTGCGGATGCTAAGATGCTGTTGGAATATGCTTCTTGAGGCTTTGGATCTTCCCTAAGCTGAGGGCTGGGATCGCGGTCCGGGATTCAGGTCCGTAAGGTGCTGCGACGTCTCGCCTTTGCTTTGAGACTCCCGCTCCTCCAAGGTCAACATTAGTTGGGATATAGATGTTTTCACTTGGAGCGCAGGATGCTGTCAAATCCTGCTTACTGCGACGGAGAAAGGTGGAAGCAGTATAAGAGTTAGTCAGGCGACGCAGCAGAGAGTGGCATCGAGTGGGTGTCATGATCCATTCCGCATAGGGTGATATAGGGTAGTACACAAAGTATTTCCAATTCCTCCTTGTACCTCACTGTAGCTTCGAAATACAGCCAGACTTGGGCACGGCGTCTTACCCAGCCCCATCTCTACCATCCATCTATCTAGTCAGGGCTCCCCCCAAGCCTATTCTGATAGAGAACCACGAACCTTTCTAGGTACTTTTGACGGTTAAGGTTTATCTTACTGGAGGATGAACACACAACATAACTTCAGGCGAGTTCACGATGAATCTCTGTCTGCTTTCCAACTCTTGTTCTGAGTTGATCCTCTTGGACCAGACCTGCTGAGCGAATGATGTCAATTCTTCCCCCACTTCTCTTCCAGCCTTGAATAACGCTTCTCGTCTTCAACGCTGACACTCCTTGTCACCTCGTTTCTCGCTGCCTCAAAGTCTGCTGCACATATTTTGGCAGCAACGGAGTCGACGGAAATGGAGTGTTCAAGGCGGTCGATAGCTGCATATCCGGCTCTACGTAATAGGGATTCCAAGTCAGCGCCACTGTAGCCTTCGCTTGATCGCGCGATGGCGGCAAGGGACTCGTCAAACACGAGTTGGGAGTCCATATTCTTGCACAAGGTTCGTAGGATATCCACCCTCTCCTCAGCATCGGGGAGTCTGATGAACAACTTGGTATCCATACGACCGGGCCTCAACATTGCTGGATCGATCATGTCAGGCCGGTTTGTTGCACCAATAACAAAGATTCCGTCTCGACTATGGCCAAAGCCATCAAGCTCGGACAGCATGGTGTTGACTACGCGGGCACTCGCCTCGGAGGTGCCGCCGTCGCGTCGGGGAACCAAAGCATCGAGTTCGTCGAAGAAGATGATGACTGGTACACTGGATCTGGCGCGGTTGAAGACTTGGCGAACTGCACGCTCCGATTCACCGACATACTTATTGAGCAGCTCGGGACCCTTGACACTGATGAAATTGGCGTGGCTCGCGTTTGCACATGCCTTGGCGAGCAACGTTTTCCCACAGCCAGGTGGGCCCCACAGCAGGACGCCAGAGGAAGGAGTGATTCCTAACTCACTGTACACCTTGGGTTTCAGAATCGGATTGATGATGGCCCTCTCCAACTCTTTGATATGGCTCTTCAAAGCCCCGATAGAATCGAAAGTCGTGGATGGGATGGTGGCGAAGCCTTCTCGCAGGGCCGAGGGCTGAACTTGTGCAAGTGCGGTCATGAAATCATGAGAGGTTATTGTCATGCTGCTACCTGGCTCTGGTGGGTTTTCTCGCATATATTTGACCAATTGGTAAAGCGAGGCAACTTCAGACGATGCCGGCGCAGTGAAGTCCTCGGGCGGCACATCAAGGTCCATGGACGACGGCTCCGACTTTGCTTGTAGAACATCAAAACATCGTTCCATCGCAGTAGTACTGGCCACGGAGACAAGATCGTTCAAGTCTGCGCCCACATAACCGGGAGTGTTTTTGGCGAGGAGGGAGAGGTCCACATCGCCAGCAAGATTTGCCTCTTGTGTCAAGGCCCGCAAGATCTCTTCGCGCATAATCTCGTTCGGCACACCCATGTTAATCTCGTTGTTGAAGCGCCCACCCCGTCTCAAGGCAGGGTCGAGACTGTCCGGATGGTTGGTAGCAGCCAACACAATCACGGGCTTTCCATCCGTCAATTGGAGGTCGAGGTCGTCCATAAGCGTCATCAATTGCGCGACGATCCGCTTCTCCATCTGACGCTCTGTCGAGTCGCGCTTGGGCGTGATCACATCAATCTCATCGATGAAGAGCAGGCAAGGAGCGGCCTTTTTCGCCTCCTCAAAATGGTCACGCAACGCCTTCTCCGACTCGCCAGACATTCCTGACACAATGCTGGGCGCGGAAATGGAGATAAAGTTCACCCCCAAAGTCGCTGCGAAAGCATGGGCTATCATCGTCTTCCCACACCCCGGGGGGCCATGGATGAGGACTCCTCGCGGTGGTTGGGCCTTGCTCGACATATACATCTGCGGGTGGATCAGAGGTATGACCAGCAGCTTTTTGAGCTGTTTGATCACGGCGTCAACTCCGCCCATCGAGTTGAGCGAGACGTGGGTCGGAGGAGACGTGTCAATTGATGGAGTCGTATGTTTGCGGCGCTTTTGGGATGGTTCGCCATTCGGAAGGCGGCGACTAGCCGCGGATGCGGATGCGGATGGTTCGGAGCGCATAGTATCCTGTCCACCCTCTCGTCTTGCCCAGGCTTTCACAATGCTCTTGTTCAGGCCGTTGGACGCCGGTATCTGTTGCTGTTGTTGCGGCACCGCTTGAGCAAGGGAAGCGTCAAAATCATCAGACTCGGCTTCTGTATCTTGCTGTATCGTTTCGAGGACCCGCCCGATGCTGTCTTCTAACAACTTTTTCGGCCTGCGATTCAGGCTCGAATTCGATCCTTTGATTGTGTCGTAGACGTTGGCGAAAGAGACGCGGCTGGTGGAGGGGTCGCCGTATTGCGAGCGCTCATCGATGATCTTGCGGACGATTTGGTATACCTGTGGATCTTGTTGGTTATGGAGAGGCTTTAGAAGGGAGGGAAGGTCGCCAGGGATTCAATACCTCTTTGTCCAATCCCTGGCTCAGTGTGTGGTGGCGTTGATGATGAGGTGGCATACTAGGAGAAGATATACAAGACGAAGTCAAGAAACATAGAGAAGCAGGCCAGTAGAGAGCGTAGAGCGGAGTATATACTAGGTAGTACCTGGTAGGTAGTATTCTATCGGGCGGAGAGTGTCAGAAGCGCAGGCGGGATGAGGCAGGTGCTGGTGATGCGATACTCCGATAGTCGTAGGAAACTTTTTTTTATTGTACTTTGGTCGACGGCCGCGCAACTCCACACAACTCCGCGCAAGATACCTGATTGATGCTAGTGGTTTACTACAGTACTAAGGGTTTGGGGTTAGAGTTACAGCGGTCCCAGCAAAGTCTTGCACTAGACCCTACTGGTAGTTCTAGAGGGTACCATATTACCATTTTACCAGTATAGGACTAGCGTTTGCAGTATCAAAACACAGTATTGAGTTCCTGGTATCATTTGGAACTCACGTCGGAAAACAACCTGAGGCACATACGCTGAGGCACATACGCGCATTGAGGCCTATGAGTAGGATATATCGATGGGAAATTTCATTTGATTGGCCTAGTTCTCCGTGATCAACACCGACATCTCTCTCCGCCGCTTCTCACTCCGCCATATGATCTTATTACCTAGGTCGAGTCATCTTGTCCAGCCGCTGCTGATCCACCCGTGTCCGCACGCTCGCCAGCCGATTCCCATTCACTGGATAATAGGAATGTACACAATCGGGACCACGTTGGTCTTGATCTTGGGATCATCGGTGTTCTCGAGTTCTTCACGAGTTTCGATCAAAACGTCCTCGGGATGGAAGTGCTCGCTGGTCAAGTCGATGTGCAGTCCTTCGGCGAACCTGTTCTCCGTCGGTTCTGTAGGAATAGGACCGGTATCCGGGTCACCAGCGAAGGCCTCGAAAGCATATTTCAAGCCTCCCTCCAGAACCAGGCGGTTGAAGCTGATGAGTTTGGCAGAATGCCACTTGCCTCTGGCGTACAAGTAAAGTATCTTGATAGACGTATCGTAGATGGCGACGAGGTCGTCCGCCGGGAGAGGCACAGGACCGGGTGCCATGGCTTTGGTGATGGTGGGGCGTTCTGATGAAAGGCTTAAAGGCACAAGAAGTTTCTTTAGCAAGTCCAGGATGGGTCAAGGCTGATGAGTATGAGTATGAATGAAATGATGGAATACTCCTGAAGGAAGAAGAGTAATGAGCAGATGGAGTAAGGAGAAGGGATACTTATAGCTTCGAGCGATCGATTTGAAGATGGACTTTTCATCGCGCGTGCTCATAGCCTCAGGTGGCTTGCGTCTTCCTCAGCTGCCATCACTTTCGAGATGGATGCATAGGATGATCCATCCCATTCGGAAGGGCCAAGGTGGTGTCGCTGAGGGTCACCCTTCGAAAGAATGTAGCTCCAAATCAGCTTGAGACGTCAAAACCTGGCCAACGATCCATTGTTGCTGGCAATTCAAGGTTGAATCGAGAAGGTGGCGTGGCTGAAGTCCATCCCTCAAAGCCATTTGAGGGGGGCACACCTACAGGAACGAGCTGGTGTGAGACACGGGATTGCAAGAATGCTCGTAACTGTCCAGGGTTTTAGAGGTGCATCATGGCGCCACATTTGTCAAGAATTCTGTGCAGCTGCAATGGCCAATGGTGCAATCCCCAGCTACTTCAAGCAGTCAAATCTCAGGGCCCCCTGGCCATGCGAACCCCCGTAAATGAAGCCGTGCTGCCAATGACGGAAGGGTTGGATGACGAAAGCGGAGGGAAAACAAAACAGAATCATCAAGGATGCGGTGTAGACACGGGGTGCTTGGCCTGTTCGTTGAGTTGAGGCTGTCTGAGGTTCGAGCTGAGGTGCCTTGTGATGTGATGTGATGGTAGGGATATGATCCCTGCAATTCGACCAGGTTGGCGACGACCCCCGGAGGAGCTGGGCGAGAAAAGATGCATCTTCAGAGATTCCAGCTAGCCATTCATTGTTCGGAGGTCCGTTGGTCGAATCGTTCGAAGCGAAGTTGACTGTCCAGGTGATGTACGGAGTGCCATCAGGCGATGTTCTAGATGGGGAGCTGAAATCAGCATCAGCATCACGAACGAGGTCAAATTTGAGGTGAGCAACCCCGCTTACCTGCTACCCCGTACATACGCATTCAGCGTACTCCATATTCCATACCTAATTACTCCGACTATATGCTGGTGCGTGTAGTGTGCTGCGTAGCATCTTCCTCCGGTGAGGGCTTAGGTTAAGGCCGAGTCCGGTCAAGTTGCACACCTGCAGTTCTACGTGTACCTGGTATTACCCAGCGTACAGCACTCCCCTTATCCCTCACGACCTAGACATGAAGTGCGCCCCGAAGCCCAAATCTCTTAGCTTTGGGTCCCCGAGGCAGGCTTAGCAGAGATCACCATCCAAAGATTTAAGGCGGGGTTGAGCCTATCTAGACGTTCCCTGTGGCCGCCTCTTTCGCCCCTCATAGTTTTATCCTACGTCAGCAGTCGTTCAAACCCAACTGAGTAGAGATGAGGTGCATGGGGTTGCATGGAGAGAGATTAGTCCGAGCATACTAGGTAAATAGTGATCCATTATCATGGTAAGCTGTACCCCTCCAGAGATAAAAAAACACAATCGCAGTAACACCAATCATTTCGAATGGGTTGTCCAGGAGTCCTCTCTCACATAGCTGTTTGTTCCCCCAGTTCCATCATGTGCCTCACTAAACCTCAGGTGGTGGAGGTGGTGGAGGTGGTGTTGGTTGTGGTTGTGGTCATGGTGTTTGTTGTTGTGCGGGAGTAACTGGTGCAGGAGTAACTGTCCAGCCAGCATCGCCGTATGTAATTGCCGCTGTGTACGTCGGGGGCGTCCCCGTCGGATCCTGGAATACGGCAATGAAGGGCTCAGACTGATCCTCAGCAGAAAAATCATCATCCGTATCTGCTGTCTTGATGCTGAAGTACACCCCCACTCTGTTTGCTCTCTTTGAGGGGCGCAATACAGCATGACCAGGGACGAAGACTGGAAGTCCCTTGCCTAATGGCGTCTCTGAAGGTTGATCTGGCGCAGTCGCTAAATTCTTGAAGAGCAGGACTGTGGCGGGTTTCGTATTCCAAACACCGAATGCGTCTGTCGGGACCCATTTTGGTCTCTCAAGGGGTGCCTCTTTGCCATCAGCCCCTGGTCCTGGTGGTGGTATCTGGAACATTTCTCCAAGCTGAATTTGACGCTTGATGATCTTGTCCCCATCAGCATACCCGATCCAGTAGTTTACGGGGGGAGAGGGGTCAGCTAAGAAGGTGACTTTAAAGTCTGGATGAGAATGAATTAGCAAGGCACAACTCTCAGGCTCAAGTTTCGCTTGCCTCCTCCTTTGTCATCTGGCCCATAGACTTTGGCGTCCAATGCTGGGTCGCCAGAACGAAAGTCCTTCTTGGAGTCAGGATGAAACAAAATAGGCTGATACCCTCCAGTCTTGATGGTCTCGGCAATGTTGCCAGTGACCGTGATGGTAAGGGTATGTTGTTCAGGGGTGTGGTCGCTCATACTGTTCAACAGATCACCGGTATCTCGAGGTCAAGAAGTCTGTGATACACGAGCCGAACAGGAATTGATTGAGGGCGGCAAGGGAGTGGAAGGAAAATCCTTTTTCCAAACAAGAGCACCGGGACATGAATTTGTAGCAGTCCCCTCACACAGCTGAACAGCTTCTTCACCGCTATGGTAGCAGGGATAAAAGGCGCCACACGGTCGAGAAATAAGTTTGCAGGAGGCTAAAGATTCTGCTCGAATCAGGGCGTCTCCTATTGAATGGAGGAGGCGACAAAGTCTTCGGCATCCTGCCTAGGTATACAGAGAAAACCTGCTTCTCTGCCACAGCTACAGGATCCAGACCAGCTGTGGCAATTTTCGACATTTATCGGTCCGGATCTGGAACTGGGTGAAGTGTGGGCGGTGGCCTCAGCCAGCCTCGTCTCAGTCTCCAGGTGGACATAGCCAAACTCCATTGGATGAACAGACAGACCGCGGCGCTCTGCATATGCGGATCGAGGGAACTCTACCGTATCCCTGAAATTTCACAGGTTGAAGTTGCTGGAAGCAAAAGGTTGTCGGACTTTGGCTGCTTTTGGACAGCACATTCATTGACTAGACCCAACGCGGTCATGGGATGTGAATCTTCGTGGGTCGAGGTCAAGAAACACCCAGAGATGTGTGCTGTCTGTCACAATCTAGCTCTTCAGCTGTTGGATGAGGTGCTGGACGTCCGCCAGCCACACAACCACCCCCGCTTTCTAGCCTCGTCTGGGCAAACTCGAGCGACTGGAAGAGATGCAGGGTGCAGTTAATTATAGTACTCCGTACTGCAGCGGCAGATCTGGAGCACTAAAAGATGGCTCTCAGATGTAGCAGTTGTCACAGGCTGAGCTGTCAATGATGGACTCATACCTGTGGTGCTCAAGAGATGTGTCTAGTCTTTGGTCATATTGGCAAGTTGCCCGTTTTTGAGAGATAGGATTGACCGCAGTTGTACACCCTCAGACCCAACATATTGCATTGTTTCTTTCTCCGAGACTAGGCACCGAAAGACATGGGATGCCGCCGCTGTGGCGCCCGGAGGACGGCTGACCAAGATGGAGTTGGGCCGCACCGCAGCCTCCAACCTGAACAACAGTCTGTAGCTTCAATTACAGCATCGAAGGCAAATTGTACTCAACGAATGGAGCCGACTGTCCAAAGACCATACTGTTCCAGCAGCTCCTAGGCGCAGCGATTGCTGCATCTAGCCCTATTAGGTGACCAAACGCCATGGCCAACAGCAATGTGCGGCTGGCACCGTCCACGAAATGCAAGGGGGTTCAAATACACAAGGGATCTAGACCGTGATATTCGTGACCGCTTGACCCTTGAATCGGGATTTCAAAGTCTAGACCTCGAAGCTTTCGAACTCAGCCAGGACATCTTCTCGGTCGATCGGTGGAATGGCCTGATTTGCCTCTTGCCCACAGGTGTGCAAGCCACAAGTCAGTTTATTGGCTGAGTTTCGAAAGGACCACGCTCCTGAGCACAGACACCATGTGAATAAATTCAAAGGACGCTTCACCAGCTACGAGGTTGTTCGTTAGCGCAAGCAGTGAAGCAAAAGTAGTCACAAGGGACAAGGCAAGATCGAGAAGCTCATCGTCTGCGACGTAGGCAGCAAGGAGGGCAATCTCACCAGGAACAGCCCACCTCATCTGTTGAAGGATTTGTGCACTCAGAGGAGACACCGAAGCCGAATGATCGACTTTTGAAAAAGGCGTCAAACCCAGCTTCAGGCCCCAATACGACAAGGGAAAGGGGTACTCGATCGAAAGCGTCAACGTTGAGGAAGAAGGAGGCTGGACTCTTGCACGCAACGCCCAGTATTGAACATTTTGTTTTCACTCCTCACTGAAGAACACACCGATCACGTCAAGGATGGAAGCGACTGTACTTATTTATTTGCACCGAAACCGTAGGGTTCCTTCTTGGCAAAGTCCCTGAAGTCGCCCGGTCGACCACAGACTCGGGGGTCTTGTGATGACAAAAAGCTCAATACTGAACGTACTGGACAGCTTATATCTGAGAGGATGACCACTTGCCGTCCTACTCTTCCGATATATTTGGCGTATGTGTACTCCGTACGGTGTAACGAAAGAGTCGTCTGGATGGGAACTGCGGAAGCCGTCTTGGAAGGATAAAGACTTGACGCTGCCCTAAGATAAGTACTTAATTGGCGCCTACATAAGCAGCGGACTAAGGCCCCTTAGCCTTAGGCCCTTAGGTCCCTTAGGCTAAGGTTTAAAGCAGCACCAGCAAGATACTACTGTAAGCCGGTTGTCCACGTGCCTTTAGCCCCCAGATTGACTGCGTTTTTGCATGGCGCGTGAAGCTGCGAGGAACCTGACTGATCCGCACACTACTCCTCCTAACCACTACGCATTAGTGGAACAATGGCCCGATGACACTTCTGAAGCATTGCCCTGACATGTGGAATCCATTGCAATATCATCTCCAGCAGTTGTTGCATCCCTCAGACGCCTAACAAGGCCACAACTCTGCCTTAATCGCGTTCAACCACTCCATCCAAAGCTCAACCCCCTTGTTGACTCTGGCCATCGGACCATCAGCCCAACCCAGCCCGTGCTGACCACTTTCTCATGCCGATGCAATCAGCGCCTCGATGATCTGCGCTGCCAAACTTAGGCGCATCGTGCCTGGATGCCCGTCCTGAATCCCTTTCTGCGCGCGCTCTTTCAGAGTAGTGTGCTGGGAAATGCACTCTCCGCTCAGAACTATGTTCTTCTGGTTCCGACAACCGAGTCCCTCTTGTATGCCCAGGACCACGACACCCACAAACGATTCGCCGATCAGGTTGAAGATGAAGATTTCCTGGGCAGTCATATCCTCCGAGTTCTTCCACCTGCGGCCGGTAAAGAGGGGAATGTGCGCGACACTCGGAGCAAGGCAAAGACCTATGCCACTGTTAATGGGAGATCTGTGATCCTGAAAGAGAATGTCATCTACACCAATAAAGGGTTCAAGCAACTCACCCAAGCCAGCCTGTTGACCGACATCTTGTACTATGCCCCGGGCAATGATATGCAACAATGGCTTGTCTACTACATCACGAAACCACTCACTGGTGTGTTCGAACCGTTGCCTATCAAGCCGGCTATGGTTGTGGAGACCAAAGTGCTTCCGCACACGCCTGCTTCCTCTTCTGAGCCCCCTACTCCTAAAAAGAAGGATGTAAAGACATTCAGTGAACTTCTAAGCAGCTTTCCCATGATCGCACGCCAAATGCAACCGGGCCTGGAGAGGCTCTTCAACGAATTTGGAAAGGAACTGGGCAGACCACTACCTCCGCCTCCTTCACGCAGTTCTACGACCGGTTCGCTGGACGGGACCACTCAAGCGTCAGAAAACGATTCTATAAAATCAAATGGATCGCTGAAGCTGCCATTCAATTCCGCGGCTTATTTTGAAGACGAGGAAGATCTCATGCGAAGAGCTCTCGAAACGGCTGTTACAGCTGCGATCGACTTGTTTCAAGGTGTGGATAAACAACAGCTTTCCTACCTGGGTGCCACAACGGATTTGACAGGACCTGATGTGGAGAAGCTGATTGAGCGATACGTGGCCGAGTACGTCCACGATTCCCTGTTGTTCCCCCGGCTCTGTGCGTTCTATAAAGCCCAAGATCACGAGCTAGACCGGCGAATACGGCAGATGGATTGTCTGGATGTTTCACAGGTTGGAATCGCCATTGAAGATGGCCGGACTGGAAAACGGGAGCTGATGGGACGGATCTCTCGTGGAGTTGCTACCTTTCGAAAAATAGGCGTTGCTGCTAGTCCACAAGAAATGCTGGATATTCTTCTTGAAACCCAGAAAATCGTTTCCGAGCCGCAGGGTATCTCGGACGAAGAGAAACGGGCAGTGGCAATGACCATCAATGCCGATATTCTGGTGTCACTAATACTCCTGGTCGTCATCCGGTCCTCGGTGAGACATCTCCAGGCAAGGCTGTCTTATATGCAGCGTTTCATTTACATCGATGATGTCGAAAGTGGCGAGATGGGATATGCGCTGAGTACCCTCGAAGCGGTCTTGACGTATCTGGCCAGAGATGCTGCTGGTCTTCGGAAGGCGTCCAAACAGAACCAACTCCTCTGGAATGCTGTGAAAGCTGGCAAGATCGAAGAGGTCAGGTCCATTTTCGAAGAGTCTGCCATCCTTTCCGATGACCTCGTTGATGAGCCTGCCGAAACTTCCTTGTCGAGAGTGATAACCAGCTCGAGTTACTCGTCTGAGTCTCGTCCCACAGGGTCGTTGTCGCGGACTTCCTCTAGCGACGGTGGGTTATCACATGTCTTCCCTTTTCAAGCGGCAGAAATGAAGCCTTGCCTCCCCAAACAGAAGAAGAGGGTCCAAATGGCGGCTAGAAGCATGTCGGTTTCTTCGTCATTCTCTTTGGCGTCCAGAGCTGCTACCATCGAAACTACACTCAGCGGGCTTGAAGGCGACACCTCTGTCCAAAGCCTTGCACAGACACAAGATGTCATGGGCAATTCCGTCCTGATGATGGCCATTGAGAGTCAACAGCCACAATCTCTCCGGTACCTGTTGAGTCTTTCGGAGCATTATTCGCCGGATGAAGTTCTTTCCGATATCACTCAGGATGGAACCACATTATTGAGTGCTGCAGTCCAACTTGCCAATACCGAGCTGGTCGACATCATTCTTGAATACGCAGAGCAGAATGCGGACGAAGCCCGGTTCAGGAGCTATCTTGCGTCGACGGATTCTCGGGGTCGGAGTGTGGCACATTACTTGTTCAACACGCCTCAGCTGATCAAGAGGCTTGCCAGTGTGCTTCCATGGAGGCAGAAGGACAAAATTGGACATACACCTCTATTCGCGATTTGCCGTACGTACGACCATCCCGACTATAGCGGCATGGTCTCGGAAGCTCTCGTGGCTGCGAAGCAAGCCCAAAATGATGGTGAGCCGCTGCGCATCGAGGAGCACACAGACAACAAAGGGAATTCATTGCTTCATATTCTCAATGATGCTGGCATCATGCAACGGGTCCTGCAGTATTGTGATGTGGATCTGAACGCGATGAATGACAGGAAGTTCACGCCGTTGATGCTTGCAAGTAAGTACGGTCGAGTCGACATGGTACGCATTTTCCTAGGCGATCCAAGAATAGACATGCACCTGAGAGAGGCGCGAGGGTTGACTGCGGTCGAGCTGGCCAAAGACGACGAGGTTCGAAACCGAATTGACGACTTGACACTGTTTACGCCCGCCAATACCGCGGACGTGGCAGGTCGGATCACCTCGATCGTTCGATCATTCTTCGTTGAGGATGGCTCATCAAGACATATTCTCAAATCCGGCGCCCCAAATCCCTCCGTCTCAAGCACCACATATACGATCACAACTAGTCGGAGATCTCTGCAGGATTTTGAGAATCTGGCCAAGTGGCTTACGATGGATTCTCCCGCGTCGTACATGCCCACCATTCTCGCATCGAACTTTCGTGGTCCATTCCAACTCCACTCGCGGCCCTCCCGTGCTGTGCTGTATGATACGCAAACCCACCTCGATCGGTTCCTCAAGATTCTCATGAACCACCCGACATTCTCGACGCATGAAATGCTGTGGGAATTCTTTTTGGTTCCCGATATGCTTCAAGAGCAAATGGCGGAGCGGGCCAAACTCAAGTCGGAACTGGTTCAAGAGAAGATCATGGACGAGTATGACGCGTTGACGTCTAAAGCTGACATGACTGCGGTTGATCTGTTTGTGACTCACTCGCGAGAGATGGTGAGAAAGCTCAATCTCAGTACGCGATCCGTGATCAGGAAAGGCCATGTCTATGTGCAAGCACAGGCGGACCTCGCCGAAGCATTGAGCCTGTGTGCAGTCGCCGTTGCTACCATGGGACCCCCAGCCACGACGTTGTCAAAGGTGCACGTTGACGCCTTGATCAAGTTTGCGTCGTTAGCACATACGGAGCCGGCCTCGTCGCCGCTGGCGAACTTTATTTTGTGTCTCAGCTCGCTTCACTCGACGATTGCGGCCGTGCAATCCGCATTGCTGAAACCGAGCACTTTGATCAGCCAAATCAACTCCACCCAGCGAGCCTTGGAGAAGCACAAATCCAATCTCGCCAATAGCGCCGTCCCCCGCAAGGGGATCATGAACATCAACTTCCCCGGCACGGAAGAAAGTCGTGCCAAAGCCATCAAAGACACCGAGAAGAAGATGATGCAGACGGGAAGAGACATCGAACGACTCGGCAAGGAGTTGCGATACACGCAAGAGGTCGTGGTTGGGGAGTTGGCGGGTTGGACCACATGGCGCGAGCAATGGGGTAGAGAGGAAATCAAACGAATGGCCCGGAACATGGTGGTCAAGGAAAAGGAGCGACTGAAGAACATGCAAAGGGCCCTCAGGGCGTTGAAGGAAGCATGATACAGCAGCTGCGGTATTGCCGCTGGGCCGGTCGCCTTTCCCCGAAGACAAGGGATGAATCCCTAATATGAAGAATCCTCTTGGGCTGGTCTGCTTTGATTCAGCAGCCAATTGGTACCCCGTTTTACAAGGGGTAAGCCCTCGCTCTGAGAATGAGGAGCGGGCAATAGAAACAGTTGTAGCAACCCACAGACTAGACGGACCACAATTCCTGTTTCTTGTTTCTTGATCCACACTCTCAAATTTAGCTCTGGCTCTGTCTTTATGTTTCAGTACCACATTTGTACTGACTGGTCATATACACCCTGTCGCACGAGTACCGAATACTCTGTGGTCCATGCTATCTCGTACAGAGCAAGGCCTTCTGAGTTCAGACCTGCATATCTCATGTACTCGTATTGCTATGCTATTGAACTGATAAAGTGGGTCGGGTGTAGTCCACCAACAGCTCAAGTTTCTAGACTCCAATCTACGTCTTCCGTTCTTCAGACCCCAAAGGGCATGTGGGAATCTGCAGTCTTATCCATGAGTGACCTTCTTCACTGTCCCGTCCTTGTCAACGTGGACGTTGAGTCTGTCAATAGTAGTATTCTGTCAGCATCTGTATCTGGATCTGTGTCCCTGTCTGTGTCTAGAATGTGTGTGGCAGGAATGGAGGATCTCGAAGGACATGTGTTGGGGGGCGGGGGCGAAGGGTGTATGGTCGGGTACGCTCTCGAAAGATAATCATGATGGGATGAAGGTATTGGCGTCAGCCACCTGCATACAATGCAGTACTCGTACGGACTGACCTATCAGGGTTGTGGTCCATGGTCAAAAACCCGCCTTCCTCGACGACACGGTGGTTCTGCGGCAGATCCTTCTTCGCGAAACTCGTCTCGTTGGTCTTGTCTGAGAGTTGTTTGCCCACCAGCTTCGACATCCACGAGTCTGTGGATGACGAGTCTTTCGAGTTAATGCCGGGGACGACGAGGGGCATGATGATGACGAGGGGTAGGGAAGTAGGTAGGTAGGTAGCTAGGTAGGTAGCTAGGTAGGTGGGTAGGTAGGTCAGCTGGGATGGGTCGGGATGTGATCGTGCTGCAGTGGGCTGTGTAGGGTAGATACGGCGGTACTGTTTTCAGTTGAGAGAAATAGAAATCTAAGACTGGGACTGCGGGAGAACGGATGCATATATATATCTACTGCGTACTTGGTCTACTTTTACCTTTTACCGCCACAGCGGTGACATATGTTGATGCCTGGTGCCACGCACCGTGCGCAGTTCTCAGCTGGCCAGGCACATGGCGGTGATGGAAGTGAGCTCGAGCAATGACGTCGTTGGACGACCGAGGCACCAGAGGCACCAGAGGTACTACGCACCTACTACGTACTACATACTGCTACTGTACGGAGTACGGAGTACAGAGTACTACAACCGTACCTCTTCTACTGTACGTATGTAGTTCGGATACAGCACATCCACAGTATCTGGGATGGAGGGTGCCGTACATGTATGTACATACACAATAGCCCGAGTCTGCACACTAACTGTCAAGTCGAGCAGCTCACACACACGCCCTCGCTCCCGGTCCGGGCCACGGCAAACCTCTATAGAGTCGGTGTCGCAGCCAGTCCCTGCCTGGTCTATCGTTCGTCCTCTGTACCTCTCCACGGAGCCTCCTCTGTACCTCTCCATGGAGCCTCTCCCCTTAGCAGATATTAGTACGATTCTACCAGTCGAAAGCTTAGCCACATACGCCGACGACGTGAATGGGCGCAGGCTGAAGCAACAAAACTACTGTCGACCTTTGTTCGAGAGAAGAATTATCTTGTATTTTGTTCATCTTGACTCTTCACCTCAGAAGCTTGCGGACAGGACACCGCGACTGGACATGTTAGCAGCCGTTCCAAGGTGCCCCGTGTTGTGTCCAGCAAAGCATCCAGATCACCATATCACACCTGATCCGACCTCATCATACCTAGACAAGAGTAGAAATACATGGCATGGGAAGTTCCGTGCCGCCCATTTGGCCACCCGCTCTCCAGGTCTGGGGAAAATGTACACAGATTCGGCAGTGCTCTCCTCTGAGAAAAATGACACGAGAGAAAGGAAGAAAAGACAATCTCTTCTTTTCCGGTCCCGAATGCTCGCTAAATGCAGGAACACGCGATCTCTCGAAACCTTGGTCGTCCAGGGACTTAGCAGACCCTGCATTAGATGTAGTCTCTGGCTGCCTTTTGCAGTTCAATCATCCTCCATCCACGTGTCTCGGGGTTGTTGACTTCTTCGGGCAATCGCGTCACCCCGATGGCGTACGTGACCAGCTGGACTTTGTCCTCCATGCCAGCGGCTAGTTCGTTCGTCTTCTGGTTTCGATAGACGTGGACTTCCTGGGTCCGGCATGTGATGATGAATACGGGAATGTCGCCTGGCTCCAACAGTCTGGCGTTCAGGATGTCGACGTGTCGAATATCCAGAATTCGCCCGTCTGATTTCAGCCCGGCCTTGGTGTATTGTTCCATCAAAGCAGAATACACCTGGAACTGCGCTGCCGACAGCCAGAGTTTGAGAGTCTCCACATCGCCTTTGACGTAGGCATCCAGAACCTCAGGGAGGATATATTCTCTCAGATCGCGCAGGAAAGGTTCAAGCTGGAACGAGGGGTCCATCTCGCGGAACTTCTTGATCACCATTGCCGTCTCATTCTCGGCGAAAAAGCCTGCAAAGCGGTCCGAGATTGACCGTGCCGTCGAGATCAGTGGGTTTTCCGACTCTTCATACGTCGTTTTCATGTTGAACAACCCTTGCATCAGTTTCGAGTTCTCTTTGAATTTGTTCCACGATTCTTTCCATGCCGCGTCTTTGTGGACAGTGATGTTCGTTCCAGCACTAAGCACTGTCAGATGGGTCGAGCCGGAGACGTCTTGCTTCACTTACTTTGGATCTTCCACCAGTGGCTCGGCCGGGGCGCGCTTGCCCTCCCTCTCCTCCTTCAATCTGAGGGCTTCCCTTCTCTTGCGGCGCTCTTCCTTTTCGATCCAACCACCATATCTCGAACTGCTTCCATCATCAACGGCTTCCGAGATGTCTTTGAATGCCTTGGTTTCTCGGACCGGCCGAGTTGCCTTCTCGATGGTCCGGCCCGTAGCATTCACTCCTTGTCGGAATCCCTGAACCACCTTGGTATCCCAGGTCCAAGCTGCACCTTTACCAATGGCACGGCCGGTAGTTTTCAGCACCTCAGACGTGCCTTTGGAGGCGGCTTCTGAAGCCTCGCGGGCTCTCCGTACAGCCTCGGATTCTGTGAATTGTTGGACAGATCCAGAAAGCTGTTTTGTGGATTCATTCCATTCTTTGGAGGCCTTGAATTCGGTTCGGAGAGTCTCGGTGAAGACCTGCCAGGGAGTCTTGTCCCCGTGAGGCGGTGGTGGTGGAGGTTTGGAGTCTTTTTCTTGTTTGCCGGATTCCTCATTTTTGGTATCGCTCTTTTCCTGCTCTGCTCCTTCACCCGCCTCCTGATGCGGCTTCTCGTCCCGGGGCGGGTCTCGCACTTCCTGCTTTGGCTCCTCTTTCGGTTGGGCTTGCTGGTATTGTGGTCGGGAAGTATGTAATGATCGTAGAAGGACATGACTTGGCAATGTAAGCCGAGGGGAGAATGGTGTTAGAGGTGAGGAGGGAGTAAGAGATGTCGACTGCGTCTCTCGCGAGATCAATCTCTGGACCGCTGGTGTTCGTCCATATTGCGCCGCTCGCAATGTGGCGACTGTGGTGGAGGCTGTCACATACTGTCGGACACCATATACGGGTGCGCCACGCAGTACAATCATGCTATAGAGTAGGGTCTTTACAAAGGAGGAGACAAGGAGAGGGTTGAGCGGCGCAGGAAAAATTGAGACCGAGCTTGTTCATGGTGTAGATGCGGATTCTCAAGAGCAGACGGAAAAGCAGACTGCTCGGCTAAGTTTCTCCTTTGGCCGAGTTGCAACAACTTCAACTTGGAACTTCGACCAAATTGCTTGAGGAATCTTTGTAGCTGGAGCCGCCGATTGTTCAGTGGAACAACCACCAACCACCGACCAGATCCCACCATGTCTCGTCCCAATGCCTTCACATCGATGTGCCGATCATGTCGACGGTCATATATGGCCCAGACACGGACACAGCCACAGACACGACGCCACGCCTCGAATACCGCACGCAGCCAGGAGCCAAGCAGCCTGGCCGAGCGCCTCGGAATCCGAATTGAACCAGAGACGCCTCCGAAAGAGCCACAGGCTCTGGACCAAATCGCCGAAGCACTGCGAAAGCCGCAAAGGACATCGACTTCTTCGCCGCACCCCCAGCGACAGGGTCTGAACTCCCTATTGACAGGCGATCTTCGGTCGATTGCACGAAGCGCACGAGACGAGGCGGCCACCAGACCCAGTGCCCGCGTGTCGGCGGACGAGCCGTACCACCTGACCGTGTATGCGCACAAGCACAACACACACATCACCTTCACCGAGCCGTCACGGAACCCGATCATCTCCCTGTCCACGGGTAACCTGGGACTGCGAAAGGCGCAGCGCAGCTCGTACGATGCCTCGTTCCAGCTGGCCACGTACACGTTCCGCAAAATGGCTGAGAAGCAGTGGCGGCTGGGCGGCAAGAAGATGACGCACAACCAGATGATGACGCTGGCCGACATCCGCAAACCGGGCGCCATGTCCGGAGGCGCGGGCATCGAAGTCATCATGAGAGGGTTTGGGCCCGGCCGAGAGGCGTTCCAGAAGGCCTTGCTGGGCACCGAAGGCAGGATGATCAAGCCCCTGGTCTCCAAGGTCACGGACTCGACGCGCTTGAAGTTTGGCGGCACGAGAAGTCCAAAGGTCAGAAGATTGGGTTAAAGGATGCCTACCTGCCCTTTCCATGGGTTGTACCATAACTATGTTTTGCATGTCTTGACGCGGCTTCTCCGGGCCCCATCAAGGACCGCCACCTACAGAACCTATGTGCTGTACCGGGCGTGAATGCTGGAGGCTTTGCTACCACTGGAAGATCATGTACTGTAGACTTTTCTAGGTGTTGAGAGCCTGGCCGGGATACGAATACAGCCATGCATTGGCGTGCATGGCCGTGCAAAAGAGAATGCCTACTAGGTGCCTACCACTGTTACTCTACCGTCTTTTGACCGTACAACATGCAACATGCAACATACAACATGGAGACTGTAGAATTATTGAGGAAGAAGAAAATAAAGCTTCGTTTTCTGCATAGAGCTTTCTGCTGACTTTCTGTTCATCGCCTTCGCCTTGCTGACATGCATTCGGGGTGTATGGGCACAAAACACTATAGGTACCTAGTAGCCAAACAGTTCAGTTGGTTGCCGGATTGATCAGCCATCTTCTTTCCGCATCTAAGGGCAAGAAACCTCGACGTCCATGCAATTCATCTCAATGCAATGCAGATTCATGTATCCTTCCTCTGCCCGCCTTCTCTACCTATCCGTGCACTCCGAGCACTAAGTTTGACAACTCGGATAGTATGGACAAACGCGAACGTCGAACATCTCACGTCGAACGTCAGTCAACCCCCGCCGGGCGACGAGGAAAAGTAATCTCCGCCGGACAAGGAGCTCGGGGTCGAGCCTCCTCCCTCAGGGCTTGATTCTAGCCGTCTATTCTGCGTCAAGGCCGTGTTCAACAAGCCCGGGCTCGGGCCTAAGACGCTTCGATGCGGGTGCAGATGGGTGATGGGCTTGCCGCCGAAGCCAACACCGACTATGACGCGACGCAGGGCGTCTCCTCGCGGATCAATGCCCATCATGAAGCGGGCCAGTTCGGAACACAGCTCGAAGTCGGACTTCTGACGCGCCAGCTTCATCAACCGGACCACGTGGCCCTCGAACTTGCGCGCGTCGTATGTGTCCGACTCGTCGTCCTCCTCTAGGCCCTGCAGCACGATCAGGAAGCCCGTGGCTGTCTTGAGATCTTCGAGTTCGAGCGCCTGCTCAAACAGCCCCAGTGGCGGCGGCAGGTGCACAAACAGCGTCCTCCACGAACTCAATTCCGTCTTGCGGATGCATTGTACCACCGTCGACAGGTACGTCGTAGGCGGAAGCACCAACTGCAGGAACGACAGGACGGCAGGCAATGGGCCAGGAGTAGGCTCACCGTCGCCGCTGTCGTCGTCATCCTCATGCAGCTTGGCTTTTCTCGTCCGATCGACTTCGTCGTCGAGCACATGGTGCAGCAGTATTTCCAACGCGTGCGGGAAGTACGACAGGTGCTGGTACTGATTCGCCAGCCCAAATGCCGCGGCCGTGTCTTTGGCCTCGCATAGTTGATGTTGCAGGATGTAGGGCAGGAAGAGCTGAGTGCGGATCCCCGACCGGAACTGGGCGAAATTGACGTCTCGTCGTTGGAGCAGCTCCGATTCGATCCCGAGCACGACGCCTTTGGTGAGGAGGATCGACAACGGGTAGAAGTCGACGGACATGGAAAGTAGCGGCGACGTGCTCAGGTCGCCTTCAGCAGCGTGGTTGAACAGATCGCGCACATCGGGCCAAAGACGCAGTTCATCGCCGCTGAAGATCCACAGCGAATCGCGCAATGAGTATTGGTGTTGGCTGCGCATGGTGAACGCCGATCCCGGCGACGGAGTGGGAGGTGCAGATTCTTCAGGCCCGGTGAAGTTGAAGTAGATCTGGTCGCGCATGAGGATGTAGTACTCGACATGCTGGGCAATGACCCGCATGTCGTACTTCAGCTCGTCCTGCTCGTTCCGCGTCGACTGCAGCAGTACCAGTTTGTCGTCGACCAGAAACAGCACAGACGCATACTCCACATCGCGAGAAGGGTCGCCGCTTCGGAGTTGAGAGTCTGGTAGGACCCAACTCACGGATCGCACTCGACTCGGGGCGCGAACGATGCCGTGGAAGGCGATCTGGCCTACTTGCACAAGCTGTGCACCTCGCGGGGTAATGTTCAGGATGTAGTGATACAGGATGTTTTCGTATGTATACACCAGCAGCGAATCTTCGCCTGACGGGCCAACAAACACGATCGGCATGGAAAAGGCCTCGGTATGGAGGGGAAAGCGACCTAGTTCGAGTTCGCGAGAGTAGAGTCGCAAATCATAGCCGGCGGCATTCTCGGTGGCGGCGGCGAGAATGTGGTTGAACCAACACATGCCTCCACGGACCGCGAATGAATTCTCCACCGCGAGGTCGGAGAACGTCTTCCATCGTCCGCTCTGGAGGCTGTAATGGGCGAGACCGCGGCGGCCAGCAATGGCGACATATCTGCCATCCTGAGAGACCACACACGATTTGACGGGCCACTGGTTATGGAGATAGATAGACGGATATTGCGCGTGGTGCCACAGTGACGCCTCATTGGATATGGATGTCAGATCGGGGAGTTCGTGGCCACGATAAACCGTCAGTTCGGTGGGAGTCTGGAGAAGGGCGCGAACGAGGTTGGCGCATGAGAAACAGCCCACGGCTGCACTTCGCGACATCTCCAGCTTCCATATCCTGTCTTCACCTGGCGATGTGATGAGGATTTCGGCCCCGCCGCTTATCCAACGCGCCCGATGGACCGCCAGCAGCCATTTTTCATTGTTCGACTCGGCATGGGACACGTTCATGTGGAACGTCGAGGCCCCTTCCTTTCCGAAGACTGACCACATCGACCACCCATGTTCGTAGCCGGCGAAAAGACAGTGCCCGTCGGGGGACCAAGTGAGGCACGTCACTGCGCCTCGAGAAGACGGCGAAGTGGGCGGTTTGAAGGTGTGGGATAACGGAATATTTCCCACATAGTCTTTCGCGGCATAACACACTATCTCTCCGGCAGAGGTTGCGATGGCAATGAGTGAAAAGCGTGCATTAATACTCGTCAGTCTAGCTTCCCCGAGCGTGTCTGGCTTGTGGAAGCAGTAGCCATCGAACAGTCTCGTTGCGGCAGTGGTAGAAGATCTCGACGACGGAACAGAGTCATCCGAAGACACCGACCTGGCCAATTGAGGTCTGATCCGCTGTACTGCGTAAGCATGTCCGTCCTGTGACAGCCAGACCGAGAGATTCATTGCCCGATCGTGCACCATGGTTGATATGGCCGATTTCTGGTTGTTCCAATCCATCTTACTTAGTAGCTGTGCCACCGCGTGGGAGCCGTCTTTGGATGGGTCCCATCTGATGCACTGCACAGCGGCAGGCTTCGTGGTGGCGACGACCAGCTCTGAATCCAGGGCGACGACCGAGTTGATGCCCGCGTCGATCTTGATGGCGCGTCGGAATCGGAGGAGAACTTCACTGATCCCCACTGTGTCATCCACTCCAAAGCTCCGCATCAGGTTTTGCCGTTTCGCCTGGCTGTATCCGTATTGCTGTTGAAGGGCTCGTGCGGTTTGATCACTTTCCACCGAGTACACGATCAAGTAGCTTTCGGTGGTTCGCAGCACAATAGTACTTGAGTCTGGTTTGAACACCACAGACACATTGTCGCCATAGCTCTCGAGAGACTTTGGTGATCTAGACAGCGAGGCAAGCAGAACAACAGGCCGAGTGCACCAGAGATCCAGCCTGGAGGCAGTGATGGTCGCGAACAGATGGTCGTTGCGCGCGGTCTGCAGATCGAGGATCACATTGGCCGGTCCATCGGCATCGCCATCGCCATCGCCATCGCCATCGCCATTGCTTCCGGTGTTGTCAGGAGCACCTTGAGTCTCGTTGACGCGGATGGCCCCCTTTCCGGCACTGGTGACTTCTATCCCTGGTCGGGGACCGTGATATGCGGAAACTTGAGGCACACTGCATGGCCAATACATAGCTTGACATTGACAACTCAAGGGTGGTGAGCATCTTTACCTAGTGACCTGTCATAATCGGTGCGCCGCTGAAGCTGGACTGCTGTACCACTTTGCACCCAATCTGGCTCATTACTAATGGCGGTAAGTCAATTGTGTAGACGCGTTGAGATTGTTGGATGAATATCGCGATTGCCAGTGTCGGGTCAGTGTCTATGAGGTAGTAGTTATACTGCGGAGGACTACCACCACGGAGTACGGAGTACACCGTGCACATATGTGCATACTACTACGGAGTACAAGGACCATGAGATGCCAACCAAGTCTTGGCGCCGACTACATGCTACTGCATTCGTACCTATTCCCACGCTGCTTTGGCCAGCCATCACGTGCATATAGATGAGCTCTCGGGTCCTGTTGCTTCCGATTCCGAGGTGAGGGACAGTCAAAGAAGACACGCGCGAATCGGAAGAGGCAGATCGGTTCCTGGTGGCGGAGAAGGGGTGAGATGGTTCCGCAGTCAAGATGAAAGATACTCCTACGCATACTCGTAGTAATATGGAGTACAGAGGAGAAAGCCTCGACGTTCCCACAGGAAGGCGAATGGCGACTTCATTGGCCGGAATTAGAGCTGTATCCCCGATGGAAGAATCCCAGACCCAGTATATATAGCATGTTGCTTCATGCTTTATGCTTCATGGTCTTCTCGACATGATTCTTTCGACCACAGATCGAGACTGTCCCCCGCCTCACATCCCAACTTGAACGTCGGCGGAAGCAGACTTGCGTCAAGCAACACTTCAGCAACCATGGCGCCTCCGAAGCCAATAGATATAGGACCAAGTAAGGACCGACCCTACAGCTAGCATAGCCACCGCAAGCACCAACCCTGGTGGAAGCAGTGGCATACCCGTGCTGACATACCGACCTGCTTCTCAAGTCATCAACTTCGTCCCGACCATCCGCCATGACACATACCCAGCCATCGATCCACTGCAAGCCAACCTCTCCGGCAAATACGTGCTGATCACGGGCGCCTCCAAGGGCATCGGGCGCGCCACTGCTCTCTCGTTTGCCAAAGCAGGCGCCTCCGGTATCGCGGTGCTGGCGCGCTCCGACCTGTCGTCTCTTGTGTCTGAAATCTACGCCGCTGCCGAGAAAGCAGGTCGTCAACGGCCACACGTCCTCCCCCTGACCGCCGACCAGACGAACGAGGCCCAAGTCCAAGCGGCAGCGGACAAGATCGCGACCGAGTTTGGCCGGCTCGACATCTTGATCAACAATGCCGGCTACCTCGAAGCGTGGAAGCCGATTGCAGAATCTGACGCGAACGAGTGGTGGAAGACGTTCGAGGTCAACGTCAAGGGCGTCTACTTGCTGGACCGCGCCCTGATTCCTCTTCTGCTCAAGACCGAGAACGGCGAAAAAACCATCATTGTCGTCACCAGCATGGGCGCCCTCACGGTCGCGCCAGGAGCGAGCGCCTACCAGACGACTAAGCAGACCGTGCTACGGCTGAACAATTTCCTTGTCGCCGAATATGGAGACCAGGGCCTCCTCGCCTATGCCGCGCATCCCGGCGGCGTCCTGACCGAGTTAGCCAAGGGCATGCCAGAGTATATGTATGATTTGTTGAACGACACGCCCGAACTGGCGGCCGACATGTTTGTCTGGCTGACAAGGGAGAGGCGCGAGTGGTAAGTGCTGCGTGTATATATATACATTCCTCCACCGTTTTGAGACTGGATGGTTTGGCTGATGAGACACCTACTTTTATCTCTTAGGTTGAATGACAGGTTTCTCCGGGTTAATTGGGACGTGGACGAATTGCTGACCAAGAAAGATCAAGTGCTAGAGAACGATCTGCTCAGGTACCAGATGCGCACTTGAGTGAAATCCCATCATGGACGGCTTCGGAGATAAAGGCAGGATTGGCTTCGCAGAGATCCAGCCATCTGAACACGCACTTAGATCATGACCATTGCCATTGATGGAATTCGTTCAGTTGTCACCCCAGTAGACATTAGCACTTCTCAGTGTCCGGCTGACTTCCTACAACCAGCGTCTCCAGATCTGACAGCGGAGCTTGAGCCTCAGTTTGGACTGGATGGCGCAGTCACGTCGTGTTCGTGGAGTTCTTCGTTCAGAACTCAGAATACTTTTGCTTATATGAGAAGTGCTATTGAACCTGGCTGTAGATTTGTTGCTCCTCGCGAAAAACATTCATGTTGCTGCTAAAAACAGTGATATCATTTGCAAGTTGGACGCGAAACATACAGGTATGCTCATTCCGTTTCAGGCACCCGCCCGCTGATTGGAATCGTCACCGCTGTTGCTGTCAGCGGTTTTGTCTCCAGCCTTGATCGTGACGGTAGTTTTGTTTCCGCCTTTGTCATCATCGGCAACCTTTCTGGATGCACCAGCCAGGGCATTGTCGTTGTGATTTTCTCGAGTCTGTTCCCGACGATTCTTCTGTGCCTTGGCTTTGTCCGCGAAACGCTGCCATTTCTCCTCTTCGTCGGGCCTTAGGTCGCCCGGGAAGAAAGTCGCTCTCATGCTGGCGCCAATCCGAGGATACTGTTCTTCCACCGCATATAGCGTTTCCATGACCTTGGGAGAGCCAATGACGTTTTCCAAAGTGAGTGGAATCCCATATGCCTCCGGGAATCTTCGAAATCCGGCGACGAAAACATTCTGCAAGATCCCAATCCCACCAATGGCAAGTAAGAACCACGTATTCCGCGACAGCCCCCCTGCCGTGATTAACAAGAGAATCCAGAGGGTAGCCAAGATGAGTGTCCAGGCTCTGGTATCCCATGAGGCTGAGAAATTTACATTCGTCTGTCCGGCGGCAAGGTCTTCTAGGTCCAATCCCTTTCCGTTGCCCACGATGACAATGGCATGTTGGCTTCCGTTGCCTTTGGTCAAGATGACGGACTTGGTAGAGTTCTGTCGGCATGCCCATTTCTCCGCACGCCATTGCGGCAGGCTTCCGGTCGCGAATGAGAGTAGGATCCCGGCAATAGTGATCAGAAGGATTCCCCAGTCACCAAAAAGGCCGCAAGGAATCGCTGCGATACCGAGTTGCAGGATGGCGGTGGCAAACCCCATCCAGTAGACAAGATCGTAGCCGGGATATCCTTTAGTAGCCTGCCCTGGCTGGTAGATAGACACACAAAGACCGGCTTGTACTGGTTTCTCAACTCTTGCTCCGGCACCAGGCTCGGCCTTCTCTGCCTGGGCTTTATCGTACTCCCAACGATCCCGAAGCATCTTGTCTACTTGTGCTCTCACTCTGCCACTCGGATCGCTTCTGTCCATCCAGCTCTCAAAATCTCTCACGATTCGACCGATCACCCAGCTGGTGTTGCTCCGCACGTAGCCCGACTTGCCATTGATGACTTGGCAATCACAGTCCGGGAGAGGCATGAGCTTGTTCTCGCCTACTGCGGAGACAACTGCAGCAGCCGCATAAGCCACCCATCCTACACTCAGGTCCCGAGTCAGCACGGAGCCCTCTGGGGTGGGTTTGTGACTTGCTGACCGAAAGAGAACGCAACGGGGGTAATGGGAGATCCGGCGAGTTGAGCGAGAGCACGCGCGACAACATCACCGCCGATGATCAGCAAGAGCGTGAAAATATCGCCCGGATGTTTCCACTGTGACCGAAAAGCGTCTGAAGGTGCGCCTGGGTCGAAGGAGCGGCGGACCACGTTGTCGATGACAGGAGCCATCACGATACAAGATGGAGAAGGGATGATCACTCAGAAAAAGTGTACGGAGTATACATGTAGGATGGCATGTAGGATGGCATGTAGGATGGCATGTAGGATGGGGACGGCCGTGCGCAGTCGAAATCGAAGTGCATGTCACTGTCACCTAGATGTAAACAACGCCCAAGGCGCCCCTCGGGGGCCTAACCCCTAGGACGGAGTACGCAGTAGGTGCGCAGTACGGACTCGAGAGTACCTACCTAGGTATGTACTCCGTAAATACGGAGTACGGAGTGCCTAAATGGGGGCCTAAACCTTCGGGTAGATCCCTCGCCGCTTTGACGGGACCTAGTATGTATCGGCCCCGCGCCCCCCGAGGACACGGACAGGCACTAGCAATGATTGGAGGCATTGGAAGCAGCGGACCGAACCATAAGAGGTGGCACATTTATGGTGGATCCATGTGACTGACATCCCCTCGTTGTGGCACGTCTTGCAATTGCACAATGTGTACTCCGTAAGGAAGGGTCTCATCCGCCGTGCACGAGCCTGAGGGATGGGGAGATCAATGGAGGATGAGTCATGGCATTATACGACGGCAAACGAAGAGTCATTCTTTGCCATGCAGGACTTGCTTGCAGCTCAGCATTAGGATTGTCAGCTTTATCATGGCGGCTTCTCATGACCACAAACTGACCCTCCCCTACTTCGGTGACGATTTACCGGGCCCTCTTCCAACACAAGAGCAAATCGACAGTGCCGAGCAGATTCTGGTAGAAGTCGGAGGCCGCAAAGTGGCGCGAGTTGGCGAACATTATGTTGTCAAGTGCGGCGAGGCCGTTGAAGAACTTGAAGTCGAAGCAGCCACCATGTCTTCCTACGGAACACGACATGTATCAACTTACCCAAGGTGTATGCCGTATATCGATCGGGAGACCATAAAGCGGTTGTTATTGTCATGGAATTCATCCCTGGAAGCAATCTGCTCGAATCCTGGCCCCGTCTTTCAGCTGCGCATAAACAACAAGTCTGTCTGGATTTGAGACAACAAATCGATCAACTGCGAACCTTACCTTCGTTGGGGTATTTTGGAGGCGTTGGAAAACAGCCTATGCCGGATGGCATTTTTTGGACGGGGGAGGGAGACGAACAAAGTCCTGGGGTGAATGGACCGTTCTACTCCGAGAATGAGTTGAACAATGCTCTAGTGGGAAAGACACTGCTTGTGGACAAAATATGGAACGGCCGGGGACCTCAAAGATCACAGTTCTACCAGCGAATGCTGCCTGTCGTCCTTCGAAATCACGCCTCCGTGTTTACACATGCTGACCTTCAACGGAAAAACATCATCATCCAATCAAGCTCCGGCAGCAAGGTTTCATTGACCAGCAACGGCGACTTTGATCATCTCCAGACAGCGGACTTACGTGTTGTATTGGTGGGTTGGGAGAAAGCGGGCTGGTATCCAAGCTATTGGGAATACTGCGCAGCCTCATGGACATTTCGATTCAACGATGATTGGCCTGAATATCTCGAGACGGTTTTGGACCCATGGCCCGCCGAAAACGCCTGGCTTCATATTCTTAGGAACGAGCTCTGGTCCTGATTTAACCCCTAGACGGCACTGTCTGAGAACCTACAAAAGCATTTACACCGAGGCATTACGTCTATCAGATTCTTCTTTACCTTAATGACCGATACCATGTCCTTGTTCATCACATTTGACATGTCATTGCTTGCATAGCGAGCAAACTCGACGGGACTTTTGGTGCGAGCGGCGCGAGGGCATTGTCACGACAGCGAGCCCAATGCATGCCTACCATAGAGCATGCACAAGACAGAGCTGCCTTGGAAGGGGAAGGTCAACCCAGCTTGAAGTTCCGATCGCGGCCAAAATGTAACTATCGAAAGGTGATGGCACGAGGTGGTAGAAAATTCGAACGCGAACTTGAACACGAGTACGAGTGCGAGTACGAATTATGAATATCAGGCCTTTTGTGGCAGATGAGTGGCGGCCCAAGCCAAGCAGCAACAATCGCATACTCCGTACATACACTCCAAGATAAAGAGGACAAATCCAGCTAGCTGCAGGCGGATGGATAAGGTAATACTAGAAACATGTTTGTGGCTTACTTTGAGTGAAGGATAGGATAGGACTAAGGGGAGTAGCAGGCCTGGAGAGCCTGGATCAAGATTGGGGGGTCTCTATCCTAAGTATCTAACCTTTTGGAGGGGTAGTTACACAAGCCCCTCTATCTCTTTGTTTGCCTTCTCGTACTGGGATCGCTATCCAGCTGTGATCTCCCTTGGAAAGTGATATTGGTTGTTGCTCTCCTCCACTCTTTGTAAGGGGCGCCACAGCGGCTGTCTTGCTCCCAAGCGAGCGAGCTTGCTTATATTAGACAGGAATCAGGTTTGTTATATTAGTTGGCACTCCAACCTTGGTAGAAGACTCCCCAGCCCATCTCTCCGTAGACGCACTTCCCTCTTCGCCTTCGGGAGGTCTTGCGTGAGACTGCTTCTTTCAGAACAAACCCATCAACTCGTCAGATAGCACCCATGCTACGCTCTCAACTCTGACCGGTACTGCATTCTCCGCAGACACTATGTCTATGTCGACGCCCACAAGTGGTCTCGAAAAGGCGATCGCCGAATACACGAGGAGATTTGGACAGCCAGCCAACTACAACCCTAACGATGATCTTCGACAGGCCATTGAAGCTGCAAACATCGACTTTCAAAAATGGCGCCAATCTCATGAGAGTTTTTGGAATGCTCTGGAGGCATGTGTAGCTCCAATTGTGTTGATAGGAGGTTTCGCTCAGGAGGCAACTGGCGTATTCGCGGCACCGGCTTCTATTGCCCTTGGGGGAGCCATCAGCTTGATTCAGGTCACGTTTGTAAGACCTAAATCTTGTTTCTGAACTAACGAGACTAGGCGTGTGAGAAGGTCAGTCAAACCTACGACTCTGTTGAAGACATGTTCAAGAAGCTTGAAGAGTCACTGTCTCGTTGGGAAAGCTATACCGACTCCCGGGCTGAGGTTCCGGATCGTCTGGTCAAGTTGGCGCCTGTCGTTGCAAGTTTGTATGTCCCCATTTTCAATCGGTGCCCGTTTACTGTGTTAACAAGAAATTTAGGATCATTGCCATCATTGCAAGGTGAGTTGGGAAGTGGCCCCCACGAAGCGAAGCTGAGGCAACCGTGACCAGGGCTCGAATTCTCGTGGAGGAGGGCAAAATGGGCAAGTTTCCCAGTGAGATAAGAGTCTGCCGTCACAGCTGATAGTGCCTGACAGGTCGCTACATCCGTAACTTGGTAAAAGGAGGAGACAAGGAGACATCCAAGCTTTTTCAAGATCTAGACGACGTGATCTTGTTTCAAGATCATGCTGTTGCCGACTCAACCTTTTCCCGTCTCAATCAATCCTGGGGAAAGATTCTGGACGTCGAACGACGATTGGAGGAGATCCTCGAGCATCAAAGGAAAGAAGATGACCGCCTCCGACTGAATTCTTTTCGTACAGAATCCTACAAGCAAGTGCACGAAGCCTACCAGCGAAGAGTGACGGAAATGGTCGATTCGACTGGTTCATGGATGCAAGATGAGCGAGTTTACCGAGACTGGTTGGCTCATCATCAGCCCTTACTTATTATCCTGGGAGGACCCGGAACCGGGAAGTCCTTTCTAGCGGCATCAACCATTAAGCTCATAAAGGAAAAGGCGTCTGCTGATGTGTCCGTCGCTTTCTTTTTCGTCAAAGGTCAAGACGAGAAGTCTCAGAATATCAAGGAAATATTGAAGACCGTGGCCTTCGATCTACAGCAATCGAAGCCGTCCTTTCGCAGCCATCTTCTGGACGCAATCGATGATGACGATAGGTGGAACGCCGACCAAACATGGACCAGTCTGTTTGAAGGCTTCTGGAAAAACGATCTGCCCAATGGTCGTCTTGTCCTTATCATTGACGGGCTGGACGAAGCCTCTGAAGAACAGCAAAGGATTCTTGGTGACATTCTGCGCCGCTCTTCTACCAGCACGGCGATGCAATTTGGCGTCTTTGGGCGCTTTACGCTTCGAACCACGCTTCGGCTTCAACAGATTACCGCATGCATCGACATTTCTGCCGCTCTGGTCCGAGATGAATTTGCCCAATACGTCCAGCGTGAGATGGATTTGGCCGAATGTGTCAAGTTCGCCTCGAAGGAAAAGCGAGACGGATGGGTCGACAAAATTATCACCAAAACTCAAGGCATCTTCGAATCCGCACGTCAAGTGACAGTGAATATTCAGCCAATGGAGGGTTATGCGATCGACTTATTCCTGGAGAAACCACTGAACTCGTTGGAGAAGATCACTGAATGTTCACTTGACATCATACGGAAAGAACAGGCGCTCGAACCAGACGTGCTGCGAGCCCTTTTGACTTGGCTTGCATACTCGCGGCGCCCATTGAACCTCGGCGAAGTGTACGAAATCCTTCGGGCACAGGATGGACATGAACACGAACTCCTTCTCAAAAATCTGCGCTTCAAGCTTCGTCCTATTGTTGAATGCATTATGTTCAGCGTTGATTCCTCCAATAACGGCTCTGGCAAGATCAGTGAGAAAACAGAAGAAAAGGCTCCTGATCAATGGACCGAGGCCGAACTGATGCTGACCACGGTGAGTCTGAGCCACGAAGGCATCCGGGATTATTTGAAGGGACAGACAGCGTCCGGTGCTGGCTACACACATGAGCCCGAATCAGCACAGGTCGCAATCGTCAAGAGTTGCTTTCAGATGTTGAAACAGACAAGGTCGAGTAAGCTGCAGGTTGATACACCGCGAAGATTCTTGTTTCCCATGATGTTTCTCATAACGCATCTGAAAGCACTGAATCTGTCAAGTTTGGCTTCTGAGGACGTGCGAAAGATCAATGACGGTCTTGCGTGGCTTTTGTGGGATGATGCCGGAAAGGAAGCATTTCTTACCGCTATCGCAGTCCATTGCACGGCAGTGTGCGATACCTTGTTCTTCGACCAGGATGTGACAACAACACTTCAAGAATCCATCTCCATCTCCCCAACAACGAGCGTGCTGAGACGTGATGAGAGTGCCGGGTTTGGAGTTATATCTTCTGCCTTACAGTCTTACTACATGTCTGTGCTGGCATTTTTGTCCTGGGTTTGGCTTCTCCCTCTACGAATTTCTTTTCCAGGTATCAATGTTCAAGGAATCTCTGACAAGCAACCACAGAGCAAGCCAGAGCGCTCTTCTCTTGGAAAGGACGAGTGGCTCCGCAAGGCACGACGCTCAATGATTCATTTGTTCGAACCTCTTCGTTTGACTGCAGCACGGGGTTGGTTATTGTCAGATCCAATTTCAACCTCGGGCGATGATGCTAGAATTGCGGCCCAGAAACTTATTAGCTGTGTCTGGACGCTGATAGTACTCGGAGATATGGTGAGTTCTGAGGCTGATCTGCCTCCGGCTTTGCTGACAATTCTGTCAGGATGAACAAGGGAAGTTCGACCCAGACTGTAAAGCCTCACTCTTGCACAACAAATCAACCGATGGACTTGAATCACATGAGATTCAAGCGTTGGCTCGGCGGCAGCACCTGGAGCAAACGGCAGATTGGTTTCTTAACCTTGGATTCACGTTGCAGCGGTTTGGGCACTATCATGAAGCCGTGGAAGAATATCAAAAGGTATTGAAAGAGGACGAACATTGTTTTTGCGCAGTGTGGCGGTTGGCGCAATGCTATACAAAACTGGGTGACTATAATAAAACGCACCAATGGACCGAGAAACTTCGCCAAATCCGCCCGGGTTCATCGCCGCACCTCGAGGACTTGTCCATCAGGCTAATGAGACTCAAGGGCGACGATGAGGGTGTAGTCGAGCACCTGAGAAAGGCATACTCGAAAGATAACAGCAACGCGGAGAAGCTGCTCGACTATCTTAGGTCACTCGACCGATCTGGGAATCACATGCGAATGATCGAAGTTCTGCTCGAACTTGCCGGCCGCGATGTACCGTCCAAGCCATATACTCGGCTCGCACAGTTACTCGGAAATGTAGAGCTAGCATGGTCCTGGGTTAGCAAGTCTTTTGCTTCTCAGAAAGGTACACCTGATGTAGCTCTACTGCTTGACGCCATAACGTCGAGTAGGATCAATATCGAGCCCACATATCTTCAAATTCCCTGGGAGAGAAGATTCAACTGGTTCCAGTATGCCCACGTCAACAAACATTTGGAAGATGCCATTCAGATACACGAAACCCTCCTCCAGAGAGCTGGTACGATCGCATCAAAGCACGCCAACGGAGAAGAAGACCAGTTTATTTATCAGAGTAGCTTGATCGGCGATCTGGCTCAACTTTACTTCGAGCAACTAACCAGGCCGGAAGGAAGTAGCTCTAACATGTCGTCAGCCGCTGAAAGACTTGACAAACTTGCACAACAGTCCAGGTCCATGGAAGACTTGCCTCTAAATAAGTACCCGACTGGTACTTTATTGTATCCTTGGTTTCTTTACGGCCGCTATCTACGTCAAACACACCCGGATGACGAGTCCAAGTGGAAGCCAATCTTTCGGCCATACTTGACACGGTATGTTCCTCTATTGGAGACCACCACAGTGGCAGATATTGGACTGAAGATCCTGTCCGTCACGAACATGCTCTTTCATGCTGGTGACGATGAAAGAGCGGTTGCACTATCCATCTTACTCCTGAAAGCCCATCATCAAAGCTCACCAGATCACGACATCGGCAGGGCCAGCCAACCGGTAAGGTCAAGGTCACCAGCAAGGCTGAACGACGTCATCCAATGGCTCGCTCCAAGCAGGAAATTCCTTTCAGCACCTATGCCGTCCCCATCATCCCCCCCAGCGGCCGGACAACTTGATCCAAACACGCGATCACATTCTAAATCGCACACCTTCGACTCTCCCTTTTTGAATTGTGGGGTGTGCTCACGATTCGGCCGTGAAATCGACGAGTATTTCATCTGCGTCATCTGCTCCGATGCCAGTTTCTGCGGCCGTTGCAAGGACCAAAGGCGATATTTGTACGGGGCAACTTGTCCCGAAAGCCATGGGAAAGTCAGAATATGGCCGATTGATCCAACCCTCGAGGACGTAGCTGTGGAAGAGGGTGAAGATGGTCGTCTAAGACTGAGGCAAACATGGCTTACCGATCTGAAGGCAGAATGGGAGATCTGAGGATGCAGGATTGGGCAGAAGATATCTGACAGGCGTCAACCGCAAATATTTTTTGTTTCTCTTCGACCTGCCTCCTTGCCACGGTTTTCTTGGAGCTTCAACAAGATAGCGATAGATGCTGAACAGGTATAGGTTACCATTAACTGTCCAATCCTCGGTCCCAGCTATATGGACGATGATGGCCATGGCGCAACAGTGCCAGGTCCTGAGTGGAGGGCTAAGGGTCCTTGGGCCGGTGCGTACTCTCTCCACACGTCTCGTAGCCAAGTTTCCACAAGAGACTTGATACAGAATGGACCAATGTTAAGTTTGTGCTGGCCAATCCAAGCGAATATTTTATAATGCGGGCTTCTCAATCTTTCTACCATGACAAGGCACAAGGCAACGGACAGACGAAGTCTTTGGTCCTTGGTTGCCTTGCATCGAACTTCCACATTCCCCTGCACTCCGAGCCCAGCTTTGCTCGATATCATTCACGTACACCGCCATTTAGCAAGCAAATTCCAGATGGCAAGTATTCCCGTCCCATGAATGTCACGATTGGCGCGGTTGATGCCGAAAAGGTCGGCAAGCCCGCCCTTATCCAACAGGTAGGGGCAGGGACGTTCCTCACTGTAAGACGGGTCTCAAATTGATCCTGAACGCAGTATCTGAGGAGGAATGTCAGATTTGAGAACGAACAACAGACGGCCTAAGCCCAGCCTTTGCTCGGCGTCCAGATCCTGTATGACAGACGGTTTCCATCAACCCATACTAAGCCAGAAGGAAGGCAAGCGGTCAAGCCTGATGGGCGGATAGTGAAGTTAACAGAAGGGGGAGAGTGGTGTCAGGGGCGGCATGATAAAGGGAATGAAGGCGGTCTGACTAAGGCTGGGGTTGAAAAGTCCCCATATTGGCAGCCATTTTTCTGTCAGACTGACTGACACCTGTCCTCTGCTAGTACTCCGTACCCTGGGCGAAACTTCTGGAGGCGCCAAGGCTGCGATACATCATAGGGTGGTACGTTGGTACTACTGTTTACTGCGGCCTACAAGGCAGTTGGCATTTGGCATTTGCGTGGAGTCGATTTGAGTCCTGTCGAATATTCCTGCTCACACCATAGCAATCATTCCATCCTGCCTCACACACTGATTGCCTGACAAGATGGTATGTAGCATCGCCCCGGAACGCGGACCTGTGCTGACCTTGCGCAGCCACCCTCCGACGCCCAAAAGCGACTGGCGCTCTCAATCATAGACTTCCTGTCGACTTCTCTAAAAGATGGTACACTCACATCGGACGATGCAGACAATATTGAAGTGGCCACAAATTGCATTGCAGAGGCGTTCAAGGTCGACCCAAACGACAAGGCCGCCATATCGGCAGCTGTCGGTTCTCAATCACTGCTCAGCGTCTTTTCAGTCTATGAGAAACTGAAAGGCACTGGCACCTCCGCCGAAACCCCTCTTCCCAAGCCCTCGGAACTTTCTGCGATCAACCCCGAAGCTGAAAAGCTCAAGAGTGCTGGAAACGCCGCCATGCAGCAGAAAGACTACAAGACCGCCATTGCCAAATACACCGAAGCCATCAAGTACGCTCCCACAAATCCCATCTACCTGTCCAACCGGGCGGCTGCATATTCTGCAACTGGGGATCATACATCTGCAGTGCAGGATGCCGAGTTGGCCGTTGCGGCCGATCCCAAATACACCAAGGCGTGGTCAAGATTAGGTCTGGCACGGTTTGCCCTGGGCGACGCCAAGGGCAGCGTGGAAGCGTATGAGAAAGGGATTGAATTTGAAGGCAGTGGTGGAAGTGAGGCTATGAAGAAAGGACTGGAGACTGCCAAGAAAGAGTTGGCCAGAATGGAGGCGGCAGAAGACGATATTCCTGAGGACGAAGTTGACGATGCGCCCGGCAACACCAGAGGTGGCGGTGGATTGCCTGATCTTTCTGGACTGGCAAGTATGCTTGGTGGGGGAGCTGGAGGGGGAGGTGGTGGGATGCCAGACCTTTCCAGCATCATGAACAATCCGATGTTTGCATCCATGGCCCAAAATCTGATGCGAAATCCCGAGGCCCTGAGTGGACTTATGAGCAATCCCACCATCCAAAACATGATGCAGGGCCGCCGAGAAGGAGGCGGTGGCGGTGGCCTGCCAGACATGAGTCAAATCCAGCAGATGATGCAGGATCCTGCCCTGGCGAATCTGTGAGTGTGGCCCTTCCCTTGATCTTCTGACTGCTGACTTTGGTTCTCGAAGGGCACAACAGTTCATGGGTGGAGGCGCCGGTGCCGGTGCTGGGAGAGGGGCTGGACGGTAGAAACACATTTACCAGGCGATTGTTTGTTATGCACTCCATAGGCGACATGAAGTGATGATACACCAAATACAGCGAGTTTTACATCAAGACGATCTGGCGTGTCTGTCTCGGGACGCATGAATTTGGTGAACCCAGCAGCGCGATCGTGACTCGCCAGCCTTGTTCTAACCGATACGGCTGCCATGTCAAAGCATGCCAGTCATTTTTGCATGGCACTATACCTACTTGTAGGAATTCTTCCTGCCTATCTGGAGAGTTTGGTGGTCCGTTAAAACCGTGACTTGCTGCTGCCGGCCTCGGTAACGGTCTCAGTCAGCCGACTGACAGTTGGTTATCGTGCATGAAGCTAAAGTATTGCTACGTGGCACTCACGCAGGCGAAGGTGCAATTTGCTGGCAATATGCAAGTGATTCCCAGGGTGCCCCTCGGCAGAAGACAATAGTGACTTACGACGTTGTACCTGGACATTCCTGGCAATAAATATCGCTCAAGGTTCGCCTGTCACATCTTCCTCTTCCAGGTACCGGTGCGGAGATCCATGTCCGACAGTCGAAGATATTGTATCCCAGAATATCTGACCAATCACTTACAAATCTACGGTGCGCTAGATCGTACATACTGACAGCCAGCATGGCATCTATTGCTGGCAAGGTGTTTGCCCTCACCGGCGCGGCGTCGGGCATTGGATTGAACACATGTTGCCGGCTTGCACGCCTAAAAGCCCGTGCCATCTCCATCGGCGACATCAACCCCAGTCACCTTGAAGTCGCGAAGAAGAAGCTGCTCGACATCAACCCCGATGTGCAAGTCCTGACCTCCAAGGTTGACGTTGCTTCGAGCCTCGACCTCAATGCCTGGGTCAAAGACACGGTCGGCACGTTTGACGCTCTGGACGGATCAGTCAACTGCGCCGGAGTTATCAACCCGGCCACGTCGCAGCAAGGCCCCTTATTCTTGAACGAGACGGACGAATCGTGGAACCGAGTGGTCGGGATCAATCTGACGGGCGTCCTGTACAGTCTGCGAGCGGAGGTCAAGGCCATGTTGGCCCTGCCTAAAGCACCCCGAAGTATTGTCAACATCGCGAGCGCGGCCAGTTTGTTCCACGACCCAACCATCCTGTCATATTGTGTCACGAAAGGGGCCGTCGCAAATCTCACCACGACGATCTCGAAGGATCTGGCTTCGGTAGGGATTAGACTGAATGCTGTCTCTCCTAGTAAGTGGAAGGGTTTTGGTAGGTCCCGAAAGACGCAGTTTTAACAGATGCGCGTGTAGGTGCGACAAAGACGGGAATGGCTCTGCAGTGGTACAAAGATGAGGAAGAAGCGGTGGCTGATATGGCGAAACGAGGCATCACGTTGCTTGAACCCGACCTAGTTTCAGACACGGTCGTGTGGCTGTTGGGTAACGAGTCGGAGGGTGTATCTGGAGTCAACATTCCCGTTGGAGCAAGTACTCCGTGAGGTGGTCTGTCGACCAAACATCGGAGAAGAGATGACGGCGCTGGTAATGATGGAGACAAGGGAGATCAGCATCAAAGTATCCTGTACATGGAATACCGTGGAATCTCTAGCAAGCACGAGGTTGCATGTACTTTGGACACTAGACTCGTACTCCGTCGAAACCGCACCCACCCCCAGCACCTAGCATCCACCGCCCACCGCCCACCACCCACCAATTCACCAATACCTGCTTTGCACGGAGTATCCGTACTCTGTAAGTAGACACCCTTCACTCCGTCTTTTTCTCCCAGCGAAGACATATAGCTCCCGCCAGGATCCATCGTCTTATAGGCGGTCGACCAAGACTGACATCATCTTGCAGCGCCTCTTGATGACCTCAACCACGGACTTTGAATAAGACACAGACACCGGCCGGTCTTGTTCGTCGACCACTCCTGGTAATCTTTTACTGTTACAGAATGCTTTTCTGTACGCGCAAGCTCGATCCCGGACCGGAACTTGCAACGAATCCAGCCTGAATCCTGCAATTGTCCTGCAGCCTTTGCCCTTGTCTCCAGCCCCGCCACCACGGCATCAACGGCACCATGATTGGGCCATACCACGGCTTCAACAGCCTTTAGCTCTTCCCACATCGCGCCATATGCAGCTGAGCAATCATCGTCGCGATAAGACCTCCTCCTCGCCCTGCCTGGCGAGGACACACGGCTACATTTGGACGGGGCGGACGGCAAACTACGGCGCCCGGTCTTGACGGCGGGGTTGCTAGGTTTGAGTCCATCCTCGCTTGGCTGCTACAAACCGGAAATGCAGTGCGAGGTAGATTCTTGGATCTTGGAAAAAGCTGGAACTCTCATTGCAGAGCTGCATCATAATGGGAGCTGAAGTTGAAGAGCTCCTCATTAGCAGCCTCCCAAGGTGCCCCGCAGCTTGGACAAGCTGAGACGGCTACATCTTAACGAAGTCTACTTCGATTTCCAACTTGACATCGATGTCGATCCTCAAATTGGCCCTAGCAAGCGTCATGTCAGGTCGACGTACCTGAGGCCGGGCATTCACCCATAGCTTCATCCAGCTATACTACTACTTAGCCTCATTTGCCATCTATCTTCGCCCACCAACATCTCTTGTTCTTTGTCGCACTGATTCCCCTTGCCATATCCTCCCACTAATACCCTCTCCCTGTCTTCAAGCCAGTCTCATACATTTTCCGCGCATCTGGCTGTTTCGTTGGCCAGGCCGGGACTACCTCTATCATTCTAGTGTCAACCTCCACCCAGATGCAATAACCACGACGATGATCACCTTCGAGATCGCCGTCGTCATTTTCCTCGGCCTGGTTCGATGCGGCCTGGCCAAGTATGTTACTTCCCAAGCCTCGACGGCGCCTCCAACAGGAGTGTAGCGATCCACGTACAACCACCTGGTGCGGGCTGAACCATCAGGTGTGTTCCTAGAATATCAACTGACTTTCTCTACCTTCCTATCCTCAGTGACCAAGGCTACTGGACATCCGAACAGACAACAACGGCATGGTGGACGCCGACCACGACCTCGTACTGGGAATACTGGACGCCATCGACGACTTACACGACATGCTACACGCAAGAAAACGTGGTAGTGACCGTCACCTCGGTAATTCCATGTCCGGTGACCTCGACGATCGTCTACTGGGAGTGCTGCGACCAATGTGCCACCGACTGCAATTACCCCCCTACCACGACGTACGACTACGGCGTTGGCACCACGACCGTGACGTCGTATACTACCACAACACCCGCGGCGGCCGGATTGCAGACCATCACCAGCAACGGCATGGTCATTGTCGTTGTAGACACCTCCACTGCGGCCACGGTGCCCTCACAGACAGCCAGCGTCGTGTACCAGGTCGTCAGTGACGCACAGGAGGGAAGCCCAAGTTCGAGTCTGTGGTCCGTCGGCATGTTTTTGGCCGCCGTTGCCACCATTATGATCTTGTTATGATTTCAATGCATGAGGGGCTGAGGGTTGTTCTTTCTTAGCTCATCCTTACTCTGATATGGATGAGTTCATACGTACATTGGAGGCTGGCTTCTTGGGGGTGGCTATTGTATCACTGCATGGGTGGCATATGTGAAGTATAAATCCGATACCCAACAGCAAGGGAGGTAAAGAGAGCGTTACGACTCCAGCGGCTTAGCAATTAATGGTAATGAACTAGAATGACTGTATGAGAATTCAATTCAATCAACTACTTCCTCCATTCAGGATTCTTGTGCTGCGAACTGTCTGGATTGTACTACTAGTATCCAGTGTCGGCAAAGCTGCCTTGCCTACGCACTTAGTTTCGGGCGGCAGCTTTAGTGAAAGCTTGGTGCGATAAGCTTATCGCTCTGCCAGAGCTGCAATCCTCCGATTGGCCCTCGCTATCGACCTCTCTTGCTGCGTTACCACCATGACACTATCCCCCTTGTGAGGCGAGGCGATGTTGATTGCTTCTGTCACTCACCATCATAGCGTCGACGCTCTGGAAGATTTGACACGGCATCGACCGGATCGCTAACATGTCAGTCTCAGTCCACGTCTTGCGATAAATCATCCACGGGGGGAACCATGCCGTCAAGAAAGCCACCGTTCGGGGCAAGGTCGTCCAGTTCTCGCGGGTTCACTCGCCAATTCCGTCTGAACAGCCAGCGGTCAGAGACCGAGGCTTTGTTGGCGTCTCAGTACGATGAAGAAGACCAGGCCGATAGTGACGGCTTGTATCCGCCACATTGCACCTGGACGAGCAGCCAGAACGAGCCACCTCGCGCAGCAGATGTGTATAGAAATGCCGACTGCAATGTCTACGAAAACATCCTCCGGTAGAAGACTGTACCCAGAGACCGTCGATGGCCACGCACTAACTGACATTGGGGTGATAGTCTCCGAAGAGACATCATCAACAGTATCGGTGAGCAAGTCGACCCTATACAGTTTCCCTTCGTCTCACCTCCCCCTTAGATGACCCATATTCGCTCGAGCAATTGAAAGCGCCGCGCATGAACATCTCTGTCGTCCGTCCTCTGGTCGATTCGCTCTACGAGAAGCAGGATCTTTCGCTCGGTTTGGTCCGTCGCTCTGTCGGTGGAATTCTCATTGACTCGTCCCAGTATATTGCCTCCTCGTCAATCGAATGCAATTCATCCGTGAGCAGTCCTTCGCGACCCATCATCAGACAGTGAATCTTACCCGCGCACTTCTTTGCGAACTGGTCGCCGAAAAGCTCCTTCGTCGGTACAACGAAAACAACCCTGGTCCCAGAGGACTCCTCAAACTGGCAAATATACTGGTCGCTGGTTTCGACCCATTCCAGGGTGCTCCGCCCGAAGTCACCCAAACGAGCGCTCATCCCATGCACTGGGCGGCGAGAAAGAACGGCGCAAAGATCGAAAAGAAGCTGACCGCGCTTGAACTGGCCATTGTGAGCGCGAGCAAGAGCTTTCTGGCCAGTAGCGCATGTCAGAAAGTCGTGGATGCAATATACCGGGGCAAACTGGTATATACTCCGAGCAGCTTCATCGACATTCTTCCCGATGGCTGGAAGAAGCGGCCAATCTCCCTATATGATCCGAGGAGAGCACCGTTGCTAAATCAGTATCGCCTGATCGTGCCACGGACCCGGAATATCGTCGAAGTCTTCCAATTCGTGATCCTGCTTGGTTTGTATGTCGCGGTGATGATGGGTCGTGAAACCCGAATGACTCCAAAATACACGGCTGTTGAAGCAGTGTTCGACATCTATGCTGCTGGCTGGGTATGCTCGTCCGTGTACTGTAGAACACGCGCTGACCCGGGCAGGTTCTCGATCAAATCGCCTCGGTTCTTGAACACGGCTGGGGAGTCTATACGCAGAACTTATGGTCGTTTCTCGATGCCACCTTTAGCACCATCTTCATGATATACCTGGTCCTTCGGCTGCATGCTTTGCGACTCCATGATCCAAATCAGTCTATGCAGTGGAACCGTACAGCCCTTGACGTTCTGAGCTGTGCGGCGCCAGTCTTGATTCCACGACTGGCATTCAACTTCATGTCGGAAAACATGTTGTTTCTCTCTTTGAGAGCAATGATGTCCGATTTCCTGACCCTCACGGCTCTTGCTGTTTGGTGCTTTGCGGGGTTCATGTTAAGTCTGAAATGGTTGCATGCTGGAGCGCACTCAGTAAGTTTGAGATCACTTGTTGGAGACGCGCCTAACGTGAGTAGTCCATCACAATTGGCAAATGGATGATTTGGATCTGGTTTGGTCTGGACGGGACAGGCATTGACGAGTCTGTGGATTTCCACTGGCTCCTGGGGCCGGTGTTGATGGTTCTGTTCGCCTTTCTTGGAAACACGCTGTTTCTGACCATTCTTGTTTCGATGTTGACCACCACGTTCGGCAGTATCGTCTCCAATGCCATCCAGGAGATCCTGTTCCGCCGAGCAGTTCTGACGTTTGAAGGAGTGAAATCAGACGCCATTTTTGCATATATGCCGCCATTCAACATCCTGGCATTGGTCGTCATGCTTCCCCTCAAGTTGTTGGTCTCGGAAAGAATGTTTCACAAGATTAACGTCGCAGCAGTCCGCACCCTCAATTTTCCGACGTTACTGATTATCGCCTGGTACGAAAGAAGGACATTGTGGATATCCGACAAACCTCGACCACAGCATGCCAGAAGAATAGACTGGAAGAATGCGAATGGACCGAGAGCGACCATTTCGCCATACTGGGCTATCTCGAGGTTCTCTGTGCACGGAGATATTCAAGCAGTGTTTGACATCGACCCGCCGCAGCAAGTGTTGGACAAAATTGCCGAAGAGGACGATTTGGAATACAGTGATGGCATTGGAAAGGCCGTGAACAAAAAATTGACTGGGGGATTTGACTCTACCCCGGCATCCCGGCGGCCAAGTCGAGCAACGGATTCGAAGCGACGAACGTCTGTGGATGCGAGAGCTGAAAACAAGGGAAAAAAGGATCCCAAGGCTTCGGAACAGCTCGAACAGGAATTCCAAGAGTCGAGTGAGGCCGAAGACGAAGCCAGCCATCCCCCACGATACCGCAAGATAAAGCGAGGGGAAAGGATGGATTCCATCGTCGACTTTAGCGATGATGGCAACGATAAACTGCTGGAGGCGAACGCACGGCTACACAAGATGGAAGCGGCCATAGCCAGGATGGAGGCGATGCTATCGCAGTTCTTGAATCAGGATGCCAGTTCCGAGAACAGTGAAGGGAAGGCTGAGTTGGAGCAGGAAATACAGACCAACACGATCAAGTAGAGTCGTGATACTGTTTGCGTCACGGGTTAGCAGGCGATAACATTTGGCGCTGGCATGGATTATCTGGCGGGTGGTATGAATACGAATATCTGTACTCTGCACAGCACTGAATCGGAGTACCGGAGACGGAGACCAATTACCTTACACAGTATAATATACAGTGTGCTCCGTCCATGTCTATGCCATAATTAATTGTATATGTAAAATTAATATCTGTGCTCCGTATGGATAGAGAAGGAGAGGATTGATTAGTAGGGGGATGGTGGTTGCCCCTGACAACCAGCGAGGCTGAGATGATGTTGTGCCCGTGGGCTGCCAATCTTCGCTCTCCTCTCCCCCTCTCCAACGACTTGTAGACGCATCGCATCGTATCGTATCGCATCGCACAGCGTGGGACGAACCACTCTATCTCACCTCGACCGCTGACCCCGAATACCTCTTCACTTCCCTCCCTCCATGGCTGCAACAATGGCGCAGACGTGCTTCTCCGCCAGCACCTCCTCGTTCCGCACGTCGCAGTCACAATCGCAGGCGCCAAATGCGGCAATGTCTTATTCGGACAGCCCGCTGACGCAACTGCCGGCGGTGGACTTCAGCTTCGACGACCTGCGGAGGCGGATGACCGAGTTCAGTGTGAAATTTGACGCCTTCATCGAGCGCGGACGGAAGCGAGTATTAGAAGAGAGGAACGAGTTCCGCGCGCGTCTGGGCGAACTACATGGTAAGGAAAACCCAACCCCTAGACTTGGGGGGCTCAATCCCAAGGACACGCGGGCTGACTGGGCTTGGGCTTTGCAGAGGAGCAGCGATCGTCCAACACTCAAATCGCGAGCTTGCAGTCCACCCTATCCACACATAACCATGTCCTCGCCAGAGAACAGCAAGAAAAGAATGAAATGCACGCGCAGATCTCCAAGCTGGAAGCCCACCAAGCCACTCAAGCCGCTACGCGAGATCGGCTGAAGAACGCGATTGCCCAGACGCAACGACAGATTGAGGTCAAATTACAAGCACAGCGCGACTATGCCGCGAAGATGGACAAGCAGAGTCGATTGAACGGGCCAGAGCTGGGGTTCTGGGAAACATATCTGGGCTGCCGCATCGAAGGGAGCGGCGACGAAAACAAAGTCAGCATTGTCTTTGTCTTTCCTCCCCTGAAAGGCGGGAAGAGCGATGAAGAGAGGGAGGCCGTCTTTGACTTGGAGATTCCGGCCACCGCGACGGGAAAGTATGCGGTGGTACACATGAAGCCGAGGCTGGAACCTGCCAAGGTCGAGAAGGTGCTGGACCGCTTGAACTCGACCCGGGAGATTGGAACTTTGTTGAAAGGCATGAGAGGACTGTTTGCGGAAGCGATGAAGTGAGGCTTGCCTGGTCTTAGTCCTGGTCTTAGTCCTGGTCTGGGTCCTGCACATCTCAGTAATGACCGATATATACCCCCATATTGCATGGTAAATGGAATGAACAATGGACTGAGAAAGACCTTGCAAGACGCCAGTTGGCGACAGTGTGGTTTACAACGAGCGCTACAAACAAGGAATGTGCTTTGTGCTTTGTCGTGTGACTGCGACGGGCTAAGGCTTTTCCTTCTGGCATTCATGAAGGGTAGATCGGCATCTACTGCCATAACCCAGCGGGTCCAATCTGCCCAGGCGGTCTGTCCTGTCTAAGAGAAGCAATCTACCTATATCTGTCTGGTAGGAACCAGTACTGAGTAAAGATTCACATCATCTCTCTTCCGCATTATTGTCCGTTCGAATTCGGTTCAGGCGGCCGAGTACTGAGGAAGACAAGTGTCGATACCGACCACCTACCGATAGATTGGCGAACCTCCTCCTCCTCCTCCTCTTCCTCCTGGCATATGTTAGATGGCGAATCTACTCCTCCTCCTCCTCCTCCTCCTCCTGACATACATTAGATGGCGAATCTCCTCCTCCTCTGCCTCCTCCTCCTGACATACATTAGAGCGAAACTCCCGTAGAGCATCTCAGAAGAAATATTCCGACGGAGAAGGGTTCGCGACAGCAGTCCACCCGAAATCGAAATTATCTGTTTTGGTGCAGCCTTGTGCCCTGGGTACCTTCGGTCAGAAAAGGACTTGCACAAGGCGGGGCTAGGTGCCGGGCGTGTTGATATAACGTGCCTAAGCCCCTGCCAGTGGCTATAGGTCCTAAGTCCACCTAATGTATCCTAAGCCCCCGCGACTAACCCGTCACGGGTGCTCACCTACCACCTTAGTACTGTACGTCTAATATTGCTGGTACAGTAGCTGGCGCGAGTTGCGGGTGAGCGCAAGGCGGCCTCACCCCTCAGCTTAGGAGTGGTGGGAGGCCAAAAGCGGCGCCCACGACTGTTGTTTTCGGCACCGACATGTGTACGCCATACGGAGTAGGTATGCGTAATTCGCTTATTTTGCAATTTTGGGTCCGGTCTTAATGCTCCGCCTTACTAGTCACTAATCTAGGAACTGCGGTTCCGTATTCTGTACTCCGTATGCGTCTCCGTCTGCGTTTGTACTGAGTAGTAGTTCACGACACGATTTCATTCCCAGCGTACCGAGTACCATGTCGTCCACCAACATGGCCTCAATGCCCGCAGGAGGTACCACTTGCTCCCCAATGTCCATGCTGTGGCTCTGTGTTCGCTGACGTATGCTGCAGACCAGAAATCCAAGAAAAAGAAAAAGTCCAAGAAGAAAGGCGCCAATGCTCCCTCTTCGGCTGTCGATGCTCCCACCCTCCCCGTCGAGTCTGAGGCTCCCGATGCCGACGACGAGCCAGAAACAAAGGACGCCGTAGAGAAAGAAAACGAGGGCACGGAACCGGAACCGGAACTGGAACTGGAAGATGATGCCAAGTCAGGCCTGGACGGCAAGCAGGAGTCGTCCAGAGCAACAGACACAGCAGGACAAGAAACAAACCCTACTACTACTGAATCCCCAGACTCCGCAACCTTGACCAATGGAGACGCCAGTGCTGTTCCCGAAGCCGAGAAAGACGAGGGCGGTGACGAGGACAACGATGCAGCAGTCCGGTTCGACGCGCTCGTCAAAGACCGCGATACCCTCCGTCTCGAAGTCACTCAGCTGCGCCAGTCCCTCGAGGAATTACGGTCCAGGCATGCGACAGAAATCGAGACCATCCAAGGTGAATTGGCTGACACACAAGCCGAGAAAGAGAGTGCAGAAGAACAGTATCAGTCGCTACTAGGCAAGGTGAACACGATCCGGTCTCAGCTCGGGGAGCGACTCAAGGCCGATGCTGTAAGTGACTATGACTAGACCTACAAGGCTGTTATCCCTCCAAATCTCTACATGTCACGTCTAGCGGCCCAGAACACGGCACATTGACATGATCCCCTACGTAATAGGAAGACCTGGCGCAAGCGAGGACACGAATAGACGAGCTGGAAGAACAGAAGTCCGAACTCCAAGAGAGATATACGGCTCGCTCCGCCGAAGTCGAGGAGCTGACGGCCCGCAACCAAGACCTTGTAGCCAAGGAGGCGGAACATTCGAAGGAGCTGTCGAGCCTACGCAACCGCTTGACGCTGGCCCAGCAGAACTGGCGCAAGGAAAAAGAAGAGCTCGTCGACCAGGAAGCGTACCTCCGCGAGGAATTCGAAAGCGCCAAACAGGCCATGCACGACTGGGAGGTCCTGGCCATGGAGGAACGCACTCTCCGCCGCGATCTGGCCGACCGCGCCGCCGATTTGGAGGAGCAGGTCTCGACGCTGAAAGAGGCGTACGACAAGGCCGCCGGCGACCGCGACACCCAGGCGAGCGCCGTCGAAGGACTGCAGAAGGCACTGTGGGAGATCCAGTCAGTGCGAAAGCAGGAATTGAAGGAACTCGTCGAGGCGAACCAGAAGGAGCAAGACGAACTGCGTGCACAGCTCCATGAGCTTCAGGCCAAGCACGATGCGACCGTCACCGAGTTGGAGCAGACCAAGAAAGAACTCGACAGGGCCCTTCCGTTTGAGAAAGAGGTCAAGGAGAAAAACCTGCTCATCGGAAAGCTGAGGCACGAGGCGGTCATCCTGAATGACCATCTCACCAAGGCCTTACGGTTTCTCAAGAGGGGCAAGCCAGAGGACAATGTGGACAGGTGAGACACCATTTGCGTTCTTTGTGTTCCCTTTCCGTGTCATTTTCTCCTCTCCCCTCCCTTTTGACGTTGTTTCGGCCCGAAATACTCAATACACGGGCCTCGAACGTCACGTGTAGCCTCAGAAGCCGACTAGGACTCTCAGCTAACAAAGCATCTCTGCACTACAGACAAATCGTCACGAACCACTTCCTCCAATTCCTCGCCCTGGACCGTGCCGACCCGAAGAAATTCCAGGTGCTGCAGCTCATCGCTGCCCTGCTCGGATGGAGCGAGGAGCAACGCGAACAAGCCGGCCTGGCGCGCCCGGGTGGCCATGGGTCCAACACCTCGAATTCCAACTCCCTCCGACTACCCGGGTCGCCGCTGTTTCACCGCACGCCGAGCACGCCTGCATTTCACCATGACTATTTCGGTCCGGACAGCGTGACCAGTCCCGGATCTGCCACCAAGGAGTCTCTGGCCGAGCTGTGGCAGCATTTCTTGGAACAAGAGGCCGGGGCGAGTAGCACCAAGACGAGGCCGACCAAGTCGAGGCAAGGCAGCCAAAGCACGATCCCGCCGCCGACGCCGACGCTGAAATAAAAGAAAAGAAAAGAAAAGACTGGAGTTTGAGGCAGCTAGAATCAAAAGTCGAGGCACTGTCGTATACCCGATGTTCCTACACGCAATACAATATGATGTGATGCCTTTTTGCTCTTACTTGATCAATTCTGGTAGCTGCTCATGACTAGACTCACGCTACAAGTCCTTTCTATCCGTGCCGCGTGTGCGTGTGCATCCTCCTCAGGGGCAGGTAGATTGCCCACTGGTTTATTCAGAGAGAAGGTAGATTGTCCACTGGCTTATTCAGAAGAAGAGACCTTGATCACCAGTTCCAGCCAGAACTAACCTGGCGAGCCTGTTGATCCACTTCTTCTTCTTCCCATCACCCGGGTTTTCCTGCAGTGCTCCGCCCACGACACCCTCAGGGTTGAAGTGCTTGGTTTTTCCTGCACTGCTCTGGCGCGCCAACGACACCCTCAGGGGTTAAGTGAAGTGAAGTGCTTGCCGATGCCGATTCTTCCCTGGCTCGAGAATGGGCCACCCACAACACAGCCTCCGTCACAGCCATATTAACCACAGCCGCAACCATAACCACAGCCACAACCATAACCACAGCCACAACCATAACCACAGCCACAACCATAACCACAGCCGCAGCCACAGCTAGACCATCTACTCGTAGATAGATAGTGATCAAGCAATCCGAGTTCTATCCAACCCCAACCATTAAATGATATATCGATCTATATCTATAACGCAATACTCCGTACAATGCATTGGAACGTAGGCATTCCCATCCCATCCCATCCCATCCTGACCTACTCCACGAAGCCCAAGATTAGATTGGTCCCATCCCATCCTAGACGGAGTCTTCAAGTCTGTAGAAAGTGAAAGGAAAGACGTGAGCAGCGTCGCTGGTTGTTGGCCGGCCCATGCTAGGCAGGAATCAGGAATCAACAAGCCGTAATAAGCGGTGACCATTCCCACATATGAATCTGAGTCTGGGATCATGTCTACATACTCATGAGTCTAGGATCATGTCTACATACACATGAATCTGGGATCATGTCTACATACATATAAATCTGGGATCATGGCTCAGCCAGCTCAAGCCAGGCCGTCCTCGCCTGACTGCATGCTATGATTATATGTTGCCCGTCCTCGCCAGACTGCATGCTGTGATTATGATTATGTGTTGCGAGGTCCAGTCTGTTTCGTACCAGTGTCTCGACACTTTCGAATCGATTCGTGCAGGTTCAACGGGTTTCTTTTACAATGGGGGTTGGACTATGACTTTCCTGCCACGCACACACACGTATTGCTTAGCACTTTTCTATCTATCCTTCACCACTTCGCCCGTACTGTTGTCAAAGGTTGAAATGTTCCATGTTCTCTATCAAAGGGTCGCAGGGAGATCGCAGGCTATATAGTATAGTGTAGTATGCCTAAACCAGCCTTCTGGTTACAGAACAAGGCTGGGAATGCACCTAAGTTTTACAACTGTAGGTCGTTAGGTTAGCCGCCCAGGAAATAGCGCGCGGATAGGAGAATCAAGACTCCCACGAAAATATCAAATCAAGGTTGGAATGTTCCATGTTGTCTATCAAAGGGTCGCAGGGGTAGCGCATGCTACATAGTATAGTGTAGTATGCCTAAACCAGCCTTCTGGTTATATACCTAAATCAGCCTTCTGGTTAAAGGGCAAGGCTGGGAATGCCAAAGTTTGACAGGAAAGAGGGTTCTGTGTTCGCAACCTGCTTTCGATATATAACCCTGATAGCATGCCAGAGTGAAAGCAACCGAGTCGTGCATGTACGGTACTGTGCAGTCCAAGCGTGTCACCGAAGTTCACCATCAAGGAAACTGATAGCCGTGGTATTGAACTAATCGAGGTAGTTGCTCCTACGACCCAACGCGTTAGTATCAGTGTTAGATTTCCAGCCGCTGTGGAAAGCCCCCAGCAGAAACTTGAAACTTGAAACTTGCAGGAGTATAAATACTTACAAGATCCAGCCAGTCTAAGCCATGGAGTGTAATTTCTTTGGCAAAGACAAAGCCGTCTTCTCTAGACCGTCCTTGCTCTGGCTTTGACTTTGATTCTGACTCTGACTCTGGCCCTGGTCCTGGCCATAGCCCTGACTTTGACCCTGACCCCATCTGAATGGACAGTACGCGTGTGTGCTTGTCGACTGCAAGCTTGACATGGCGCAGACCGACTTGTGAAGAATGAGGAAGAGGAAACCGTTCCCCAATTTCTACCAGAGCTTCGGCAATACTGGCCGCGGTTTCGCTGTTCCAAGAGCCCTCCACCACTTTCGCCAATCTGAGTGCCATCATTGCTTTTCTTCTGACTTCGGCTTTCGTCGACGACGTGGCTGCGAGAAAGATTGGTGGGATCAGACCCAGCGCCGACGGCAGTTCCCGGAAGGACTCGCCCATGGCAACAAGGTCGTTCTTCAGCATCTCCTCGACCTCGTGGACGATGAACTTGCACCGACACTGCTCCTGCTGCGACGACTCCCTTGAGTAGGAGTAGGATGTCTGAGCCTTCACCTGATCAAGTAAAATATATGCTGCGACATTGTGCACCACCAACATCCTGCGTTGGAACACCGGGCCCGTCGCTGCCAGGTTCTGAAAAAGGCTCATCCATTTGTACAATCTCGCATCAATCTCCTGGATCGTCTCAGTCAGCTCGGGACTGAGTGGCATATGTTGCAATGTCAGAATTGCCTGGATACATTGGCCCAGATAGTCACTAGCCGCATTCAGGGTCTGGAAGGTGGGAAGCTCAATGTTCATGATTCTCCTGTCCTGTGCGCTCAGCGACAGCGTTGACATCTGGCCTTGCAGCTCTTCCAGCCTGTTCTTGGAAACAAATTTGATGCAATCCCGAATACTTGGTTCAAGGTAAGTGGAGATGAGGTCGTCGGCAGGTTTGTCTGGCCCGAGTTTGGCTTTCCATTCGCCCAGTATTGTGATGGCTGCTTTCATGTGATCAAATGCCGCCTGACTGCTGCCGTTAAAGTTCTCCAGTGCCCAAAAGATGACGCATGCCGCGAGTACAATGTCGACCGGTAGCTTGCCTTCGAGCAGTGCCCGAATTGCGTTGTTGTAGTGGTACACAAACTTGTTATTCGATCTGACCGAGCTCGATTCGACGGTAGTCAAGGACAGGTGCAGGCATGCTAGGGCTATGACGGAGTGTTTGATGGCAGGCTCATGCCATGTCGCTTGCGGCAGGATCACCGTCCATAAATATGGGTTTGAGTAGACCGAGATAAGGTCGGACGTCTTCTCTAGGAAGAATTGAAAGGATTGGCATTCTTCTTCTGTTCCGAACGTGGAGGTGAGAGCTAGCCCTTGCGGATGAGGATGGGAGGTAAGGTAGGATTGCAGCTGGAGCCGGTTGGAGGGCGGGTTTGTCGACACCGCCGGTCTTGCTGAAGATGATGAGGTGGGTTCGAATAGTCGGATCCTGGGTGGCGCGTAGCCGAGACAGTTGATGTTTGATCTAGTACATCTGATATAGAAGAAACGATGTCATCAGCACGGTTCCAATGTGGAGGACAAGTGTGCAAGAAACTGTAAGGGAAGCGACATCATCTACCTCAGGCATTTTGGTTTCTCTTCGTCACACTTGATCCTTCTCTTTCTGTCATTCAGCACTGGTCAGCATTGGCCATTTCCAGGAGATCTTAGACCAGTCACTGCAACTCCATCCCCCCCTTAGTCGTACGTACTTGCAGGTCAGACAGCCATTGAAAGTCTTTGGAGCCCATTTTTTGGTCCGAGTGCTATCAGCTGATAAAGATGTGGAATGGTGGTGTTGAGATTGAGGTGGAAATCTAGCTTCAGATTCAGAAGCACGATATGGTATCGACTGGGGGACATCAACATCCGTATTGGTGTTGCTCACGGGCGAGCCCATTGAAGACATGTCCTGAAGCATCGGGTATCAATGATATAGAAAGAGAGTTCCGCAACAGAGAATGAACTCACAGGCCGGGCCTGTGAGACAATCATGTCAGGGCGGCTTGTCACGGACCCATCAGCATGTCAGGCAGTGGACGATGAGATCTCGTATTTGAAAATAGTAATAACAAGGATGCTGGAAGCGCAAAGGAGAAGGTGGGATTTGAACGACGGTGAAATCGGAGCATTTAGAATAAGGCCACTGAGTGCAATGGCCACTAGTTGGAACACACCGGAGGCAATTCAGACAAAGAATGGATGATCATTTGCCGGGCTTAAATCCACCGAGTCGCAGTCAGTGCCAGATTGCCGACTCCTATTTGATGGCTGTGTCCCTGTGTGTAGTCCGGCCCGCGGCTGTACACCAGTCAATTCATTTCAGGCACCGGAATGCACTCTACAGCCTCGTAGGCTGTGTGAGGCTATGAGCCGGTCCACTCCGGTATCAATCCAATGTGCTAATCGAGCAAAAGCGTTGCCAGACCAGAGTCTGTACGGACGGGTGAAACCCTAGAGCCGAGGCCACTCCCCACGGCAGGACCATGACCGACAGGCTGGATTGGAATGTGTGGTAGTATCTCAAGCTGCTTTATGCACACCTTAGGCCGTCCATTGTAGTCTCGATGTACCGTAATTTGCAGCATTTCGGCTAGCCATCCACTGTGGAGATATCTCTGTCTGTTAACGGCGTGGCAGGCAGGCTCAATGGTACTCAAGCCGGGGTAGGAGGGAGGTAGCGGAGTATCAACAATACAAAAGCCAAAAGTAGCAGTTCTGGCCCGGTTCCACTCAGGCACTTGCAGATTATTGTATTCCCAGTGCGCCAGACTGGATATGAGAGGCGCTGCAATCGGACGGCAAGGCCGCTAAGAAGGCACTGACTCGAACTTGTCGCCAAATGAGACGTGGCGATGGCTGGAGCGTAGATGTGTAAAATCCCATCACTTCAGCTCCAGCTTAGACGATGTTCTTCGGCTCGGGCGGTGGAGCAGGGCGAGCAGTACTAGCCTTGCTCAAGGTGGGAAATAGGGCTGAAAGTCATTCCAAGGGCACATCCACTTGGCTGTGGAACTGGCGGCTTTTGAGTGAGATGATGGCGCACATGCCCATCGGTTCGCTCAGAGATCGCCATCAGACCAGATCTTGTGGGTATATCCTTGAACAGTAACTCCAAAATATACGGCGAACAAGTTAGGCAGTGCTCTGTCTAAGAATACAGCGCAGGGGTTCTGCAGCCTTCGGGCACTACCAACGGTTTGATCAGATCACCTAAAGGTAGTATTGCAGTGGCGACACAAGGGTGCCTGCCAGGCGACCATGGGAACCTCACCACGACGATCCTCGGCCTAAACTTTTTTTCAGCTGCGTGGCTGATTCTCAGAATATGGGACTCATCGAGAAGGGATCGGCATGGAGCGTTCGCAATCATCCCATAGATGATGGTGAGGGAGGGAATTCTCTCAATTACCGAGCCATCACTCGGAGGAAGGCCTTTCGCTAAGGCGGTCTAGAAGTCTGACATGAACGTGTCGAAGACTAGGATGAACGGTTCGGTTAGTCAGAGGACGAAAGGTCAGGCACGACATGAAGAACAAGCATCGGCAGAGGCGGGAGCGTGAGCGTGAGCGTGGATTGATCTGACCGCAGTTTCGGGTGATGGGCAAGTAGAAGGTGGTGAGGAAGATGCGGTCTGGTCTACAGAGTTACATCACAGCGTACGGAGTAGGTATTGAGTCGGTGTATCGTTACCGCCCCTCGCACAGACGCCTGCCCGAACCGGCTGTATTGCAGTACCGGTATTACCCACGGTTGTCCTTTCCTACTGGCCCGTCCCTTCCCCCTTTTCCATCGCTCCTTCCGTGTTCGACCCGTATCAAAGCTTGGCGCAGCTCTCCCGCGGCTTGGCAGTGTTTACCTGACGAATCGTTTGCTCTTCGATTACTCCATTCGGCTACAGCCTCTCCTTTTTGGCTTCAATTCCAATACTCCGTATACATGAACGGTCCATGGCCGTCCAGCTTTGCGTGTGCGACAGGGATATTCACTCATTGCAGTCGTTCGGCGAATTCCCACGACAAACCCGGTATAGTAACTCGTATCAAGTACAAAGCTTGGTCCCTGTGTGATTTCTGATGTCTTGGCTCTCGGGTCCCGTCATGTCTGCATCAAGTCTCCCCAGTCCCTCTCCCCCCAGGTCCTCTCCGCCAGTCGGTCCTCTGCCCTCTGCCCTCTGTATACAGCCGATCTCTCTCTTAATTCGTTTTCTGCTTCGTTGAATACATGATCCTTTGTACCCTGCATACCGTCGCTCGGATCATAGCCTGGAGGATAGTCATCGCTGTTTCCGTTCATCCCGTAACCCCATTTAAAGGGGGTTATTCTTTGCTTACCGGGCAGGTGACCTGCCAGGATCGACTCTTGCTATATGTCCCACACCTGACGTCCTCATGGCATGGCTGAATGTCGCCCATAGGAAATTGGTCAAACTCGCCTTTGCAGTATTCACCCTGTTTGGGATCATCAGCTTCCTCACAGCCGGCCCGTCAAAGCCAACCCGGATCCAGCACAACTTTCAACGGAAGCCTCTCGCTCAGTCGGCCCGCCAACATGCCGTCAAGCGCGAGTTCTATCATGCTTGGACGGCCTACAAGGACCATGCGTGGATGGCTGATGGACTGATGCCTTTGTCTGGAAGTAGGAAACAGCAGTTCTGTGGTTGGTCTGCCACTTTAGTCGATTCTCTGGACACTCTCTACATCATGGGATTTGACGATGAGTTTCAAGAGGCCGTCAATGCCACCTTGACAATCGACTTTTCTGGAACAGTTGGGGACTGTGTCGTCAATCTGTTCGAGTCTACCATTCGTTATCTGGGAGGCCTCCTGGCTGCATACGATCTCAGCAACGATGTCAGACTCCTCCCCAAGCTCGTCGAGCTCGGAAATTTGTTGCACTCGGCTTTCAGAACTCCCAATGGCATGCCGTGCACTCATTGCAAACTCGGAGCTAAAGACGTCCTGCTGCGGGCCCCCAATAGTGCTTCTTTGGCCGATGTTGGAAGCTTGTACTTGGAGTTTGCTAGGCTTGCTCAAGTCACCCAGGATGACAAGTACATGAGGACGGTCGAATTCTTGGCCGATGCCTTTTCTCGAGCGCAGAATCAATCCAGTATTGCTGGGCTGTGGCCGGAGATTGTCATTCCCAGTTCTACCGATGGCGACAATGGCCGGTTCGCCAAGGGAAACTTCCGCTACTCCCTGGGTGCCCTGTCGGACTCTGCCTACGAGTATCTGGTCAAGACTCACCTGTTGCTGGGAAAGAGCACCAAAATCTACGAATCCATGTGGAAATCCGCATCCAGGCAAATCAAGCGACACCTGTTATTTCGAGCCTTCATCCCTCCCGCCAACAAGGCCGATGTCATCTTCTCCGGAATAGCCACTATGGTACCGTCGGGCGACGAGCCCATGCTCGAGACGCGGACGGAGCACCTGGCTTGTTTCTCAGGAGGCATGTTTGCCATAGCCTCTCGCATATTTAACGAACCGCGTGACTTTGACGTTGGCAAGCAGATCACCAACGGCTGTGTTTGGGCATATCACAATAGTCCCACAGGCATCATGCCTGAAGCACTTACCACACTCCCCTGCTCGACGGGTGACGGGAAACAATGTGCCTGGAACGAGTCATACTGGGACCAAGAAAGCCGCCGTCCCGCCAACTGTTTGATGGCCGACTGTGACAAGTACACTTTCCCACCGGGCTTCCTGCAAGTGTCAGACCCTTCGTACAAACTACGACCCGAGGCAATCGAGTCGGTCTTTGTCATGTGGAGAATGACGGGCGATGAATACTGGCGTGATGTCGGCTGGTCCATGTTCGAATCCATCATCGAACATACCCGTTCTGCTTATGGCCATGCCTCTCTGCTGAGCACGATGGAAATGTTCGACCAGGACCGGTATGAAAAGGGTTTGATGGTCAGGAAAGTCTTGGCTAGAAGGCATGACGACATGGAGAGTTTCTGGTTTGCTGAGACGTTGAAGTATTTCTACCTGCTCTTCAGCGATCCCGGGTTGATCAGTCTGGATGAGTGGGTGTTGAACACCGAAGCCCATCCATTCCGACTGACACCGGGGATCCGAGGGTTTTAGCAGGCTTAAGGCCCTGTGCGTGGCCCATCACTTCCGTTGTCCCGGCCCATGATTCCATGTTGTATGCCGAGCCTCAGTGCCTTCCTACGTTCTATGCCGAATGATCGTCAGTATCAGTGTCAGCGGCTGGACCTCAATGAACCAACAAACAAGTCAACCGATCGATTGATATTGTTTAGACCTACTGTGCTTCCGCGACAGAAGGCAACGCAACACCCATCAACAGGCGAATTCCAGATCCAGAACTGCGCACCTCCCGACCACCGCACGTTGTGCGTGCCACTGCGGATTGCAGTTAGCCCTGGGACAGCTGACCTAGCCTTGATCAATCATGTGTCCAGTGGCTCCATAGTCATGCCAAATCAACTGAACCCCGAGGCTGTGGTCAAAAAGAACGAACTGAACCCCGAGACTGTGGTCAAAAAGAACGAACTTTCATGAATACAACCGAAAAAGAAAGTGTGGCATGGCATACAGAGATATCCATACTGGGTCGTGAATGTGGCCTGGTCGCCTTGAAAATCCTACTTGCTGTACAAACAAAAGGTATCACACCTGATCTATCATGACACCAAATTCGGAGAGATCACAAGTCGAGGAAGCGAATGATTTCTGCTCGAAAGGAATGTCATGGCCATGCCAAACTAAATATATATATCAAAGCGCCATGTCACAGCTGCCCATGTGTATTGCGCAACGGGAGTCTACAAAACGGATAGACACACTACGCATTGGCCAGCCTGGGAATCCGAGTGTCAGACCAAACAAGCTGTTTGATAGAATGCTTCGCGAATTGTACATTCGAAAGGCAAGGCAGAATCGAGATTGGCAAACTGGAGTTCATGTCATCTCAATGGGAGAATAGGTCGAAACTTTTGAAAACTCTTCTCGCGACTGCTTTCTGTTTGATTCCTTTTCCAGCCATCGTCTTTGCACCCCGTGTAACGTCCAAGCATAGACGGCACGTCGCTTTTTGCAGCTATCTTGTTCTTTCCCAATCCAATCCCGATTTTGCATCAACTTCCACCCGTGCCAGATTTACATCATAGCATCATGCGCTCAGTCCAACGAGAAACACAAAATTCAACGAAACGCCTTTCCTCTCCAATCATACACTCAACCAATCCAGAAATTCGGGCGTGAAGTAAGACACCACGATACCCGCCCCGGCTCGGAGGATACCTTCGGTGCTTTCAAATGCCATGCTCTTGAGATCAAACACGCCCGCTTTGGCCCCGGCGTGGATCATGGCATATTCGCCACTGACCTGGTAAGCGGCGATGGGCATGTCTTTGCCAATCTCCTTGGCATCTGAGATGATGTCCAAATACGACGAGGCGGGTTTCACCATAATGATATCCGCACCTTCATTGATATCTCGTACGATGGCCCGGCGAGCGAGCCCTCGACCGCCCGGAGGGAGTTGGTAGCATTTGCGGTCGCCGAAGGAGGGGCACGAACCCGCGGCATCGCGGAATGGTCCATACAGACAACCCGAAAACTTGGCAGCGTAACTCATCAGGTTGACTTGGTGCGCAAGTCCAGCCTCGATCAGCTTCAGTTTGATCGCTCGTATCCGTCCGTCATTCATATCTGAAGGTGCGACGCAATGGGCACCGGCCTCAGCATAAGCCATAGCGACGTCGGAGATGCGCTCCACAGACATAGCGTTGTTCAAACTCCCGTCGTCACGTAGAATGCCGCAGTGACCGTGAGAGGTATACTCACAGAGGCAGACGTCTGCGACGATAAACAGCTGAGGAAAATGCCGACGGAGCAATTGGATGCCCTTGATTACGGGGCCCTCAGGGTCGTCTGCTGCAGTGCCCAGGGCATCTTTTGCACTGGGAGCGAGGGGCACTCCAAACAGAATGACTGATCGCAGTCCCTTCTGTACCAACGGAGTAAGGAAAGGGACCAGTTTGTTCAAGCCTAGCCGGTTCTGGTTGGGTAGCGAGGGGATGGGAGTGACTTCGTTCGGGTTGTCGGTAATGAACAGAGGGTAGATGAGCATTGACTGGACAAGAATGCGTTAGCAACCGAACAACACTGTATGGTGCACCACTGGCGTCCAAAACCACAACTCACAACACACCTTTGTTAATTGTCTTTCAGCCTGCCATGCTCTTGACAATGGATGGCTGTATCCAGCGTGTAGCTGACTTGATATATCACCGGCAATGCTCACACTCGTCGCGGCGGTCGAGGTGTATGACCGTGCCTGAGACGGCCGGGATATCGTAGATTGATTGTCATTGCTACTCGAGCTCTCTCTGCCATTGGGGTGGTCACGGAAGGCGAGATCTTGGACGAGAGAAGAGAAGGACATGATTGTAGCTGGGAGCCAAGGGAGACTAGTTTCGAGGTTGGTGATGGCTACGGCGGCAAACGATCGTGGTGAGAGAAGGAGGCCACGTCGCGAGCAGAGAGAGGGTCGACGGTGACTGGGACAGCGGTGCTTGCGATCAGACACAAAAGATAATATGCGGTAGGGCGAAGAGGTGAAACGCCAAAGGGCGGCGAAATCTTTCCTGTCGCAGCGCAGCCCCGGGGTCGGCAAAAAAGAGAGGGTCAGGGTCAGCGGGAACTGCGAGGAAACCACTCGACGACTGAGCGACTCACTCAGCGACTCTTCGGGCCCCGAACCCTGCCGCTTATCTCCCGCCACACACGATTCGCCCGCCCTTCGAGATGCCTCGGATATCTTCCAGTCAAGCATCCGCCATTTTCTGTTTATTCCGCGCCCCAGACGGACTGTTTCAAATGAGGATTATCATGTTCGTGATAGGATTGGGCCTCTCTCTGTCTTGACGCTACCTACACCTATATCTATCGCCAGAAGAAAACCTATGATCATGCGCCGTGAATCCAAGCTGTCCCTCGGTTTCTTTCATACACATGCAGCTGCCGTCCAGAACGCCGATGCCATGCAGTGGTAATATCACTAGTCTAAAGTTGGATATCATTGTTCAAGAGACGGACCTCCTCGCCAGGCTTGAAAGCGGGGAGACCAATATACGGGCATCCATCACATCGGAAAGCATCTGCACCATAGTTAGTAAAGGGAACACATTTGTTTCCGACAGTGAAGCTCCTTTCTTACCGCCTAGGCTGCAGTTCCCGCAACTTCCGACTTTTCCTTGCACCGTGAAGTCGACTTCGGCAAGGTCGTCGGCCTGTAGTTTCATCGTATTTAGCGTTTTATCCGCTTTCTCTCGTCTGGCTCGATCTTCTGCTTCCAATTTTTCCGCAAGCCCGCATGTACAATCTTTGCATGCTCGCCGCCGTTTCGCTTTCGGCTTGCATTCGGTGGCTATCAAAGTCAGCATAGAGCCACGAACGGCGTGTGATGACTTACGAATCTTGATAGGCCTCTTCAAATCTTCTTCATCCAGCAAGGTATCTTCATCAATCAACTCATCGTCTGAGTCATTCGTTCCATCATCGAACCCTACACCGGCAAGGACCGCGTCCACACTCTTCCGTTTGCCATTGAGCGGGAGGGAAACAGAGTCGCCGTTTGTGTTTAATCCACCGGTGGCTTGTGCAGTCTTTTTCCTTCCAAACTTCAACGGAACAGAGTCTTGCACTCCAAAGTCGGGCTTGAGAAATCCGATCCCTGGCTGGAAAGACAAGCCGGCGAGGATGGCTTCGTTTTTCTCCACTCCATCAAGGCTACCAAATTGTCCATCTTGACTTCGCAACTGTCCTCCACTCTTGAGTGCTTTGGCCAGCAAAGCAAGTATCTCCCGACTCAACAAACTTTGACTCTCGCGACGAGACCCATCGGCATCGGCAAGGATCATGATAAGGTCGTATGTCGATTGAGGAAGGGAGACGAGGCCAAGAGACAGTCTATCCAGCATCTGCATATCTGTCATGGTTCTATCGTGCATTTCCAGTACAGCGTCCAGTTTCTCTTGGTGGGATGAAAGGGACGGTGGCGACAGTAGCAAGGTCCGTTTAGAGGACGGAGGGGCTTTTGCAGTCGGCACGACGAAATCGTCGGAGAGGTCCATGAGTATAGAAGGCGACATATTGACTCGCTGCTGGGTTTCGAGTTGGCGTCGTGCTGAGAGTTGGAAGAAAATAAGGACTTTCTTCGACGAGCGCAGAACGGCAGCGCAACCACCGCCGCCCAAGCGGGATTAGAAATCGGGGATCCTTGTCCGCGCGCCTTCCGACGCCCAGGGCTGGATGGGCGCTAACAGCCCTAATGGCTCGGGAAAACACACTACTGTCGCAAGGGTTCCGGCTGTCACTAACTTTGGTGAGGAGAATTCACTCCTGCCCCCACGTAGTAAGAATAATTTGTAGTCTGGTACCTGAGTGCCGAGGGCGGATAAAGACTCAAAATTCAGGCGCTGGACGGTGCTGCAAGAATAGGGGATGTCATAAAAAGCACCAGCACAGCAGTGTGATCAAAACTACTCTGAGGCTAGATCAGGTGCAAGCCTGTACGACTCACGTGATAGCTGGGCGCCGGCATACTCCGTTATCAGACCACAAGCTCCAAATAGGACAAGGCTACCACTACGGAGTACAGAGTGCAGAGTACGGGGTACAGGTCAGCTAGTACCGGGGGGCCGGAGTCGGTGTTACAATTTCACTGCTGAGTGGCTACTGCTATTAGATATAAAGCGCATAATAGTACGCCGTACATATGTATTGCTGCTGTACCGGAGTATGAGGAGGGACAAGATTGAACACGGCGGTGTTTCCGCCCCTGAGCCGATCTTCTAATCAGATAAACAGTAAGCTAATACTGGGCCTGTCTTGCGACATCAGAGAGGCATTCGTATCAGTTGACGTCTCCATAGTCTCCAGACCGACGTCAGCCTGCGCCACTCTCGGCCATGTAAGAAGCAATAAAAGGCTGATCTCGTGTTAGATGCTCGCCGGAGATACTTGGTCCATGGTGGATGATACACGGTGTCTCCTTCAGACAAGGAAAGGTACTTGAGATAGGTGCACACGATCGTACTGTTAGAGGTACCCGGAGTAGTCCCTGTCAGTGCCCACTCACTGTCATATAGCACTCGATCGATCGTTGGTACCTGGAAGCAGGCCTTTCCGGTGCCGGAGTGGGGATGAGGTCAAGTGCACAATCCCTGACTAGTGGATGTGCTATTCCATATTCGGTACTAGAGGTTCAAGATAGCCACTAAAATGCCAGGAACAATCCGGGGAAGGGGCTATGACGATTGGAAGGAAAGCACCAGAACGACGAGGGAGGTCATGCGAGCAACGAGCATCTCCATCGCAGCCTGAACACCATCTGGCCTCTTCGCTCGTCTTCTTCCCCCAATGAGAACATTCTGACACGTGCCGCTTGCTTCCAGCCTTTATCACCCTGTCCATTCCCTCATCTCGTAGAAGGCTCCAAACCCAAACTAACAACTCAAACAAAACCACAACTCTCTCAAACAACTCACATAGCCCTTTCCCATAGCTGCCTCGGATCATCCTAACATCCCATCGTCCTATCGTCCTATCACAGACCAACACAAGGTGAGTGAGCCTGGTGCCGTACCCGATCCTTTAAGGATCGTCGTCAATGTGGTCCGAGCTTCTCTTCGCTTTGACTGCAGGGCCGCGCATCCTTTGTTCAACTTCACCTGACTCAGGCTGACTTGAACTTTCAGCTGTAATCAACGATACTCTCGTCTCTCAAATCACTACGACTTCTTTAACTCACTTGTGACGTGCCAGGTCCCTCCTCTACTTCATCAGTAAGTCATTCCGGGCTCTGTATCGATGGTTACTGACCCCTCGTCAGTGACTCGCACCAACAAAGGAAACGACCGCAACCACAGCGCCCTTGCTGACGGTACCGCCGGTGTTGAGGACCGTGTCCCCCGCTACTTCGCCAAACACGGTCACGTCGATGCCGACCCAAACAGTGTCAAGAAACAAGGATTCGGCAAGGGAAACTGGTATGACCTCACCGTTGACCTTTGCTGGGATTGGAACTCATACTCACAACATCGATAGGGGCCGTGAGGGCGAGGAGATCGAAGACTATGGCTACAACTTCACTAAGGCTCGTCGTCGATCCAACAGCAGCACCCACGCTCTAGGTGACTTCAAGACCAAGTTCGAAACCCTCGATGCCGAACCCGTTTTTGAGGAACAATTGCATGGACCGAGCGTGGATGACATCGAGAAAGCCTCCACTCTCTCCAAGGAAGAGAGCGTTGACTCTAGCATCACTGCAGGAAGCGTTGATGAGGAGGACAAGAAGTTGTAATACCACAAAACAAATCCTTTCCAGAGATGACCGGTCATCCAGATGGTGACCAGATCATTCTCATATATGGCGCTCAGGATGGTGCTCCAATGTATACTATGATACAACAGCAGTTACCTTGCTCCAAAGCCTCAAGGTCGCACCAGGGGGTGAGGACCCATGAATGAAATGGCTTCTATCGACATGTAGTAGCAATGCAGAATCGATGCGTTTGCTGCACTCGTGAGACACTAAACATGTTCTAGACTTAGAAAGTCATAGCCCACGCTCACCCTGCCTGTGCACAAGGGAATATACAGTGACCGACGCATAGTTTCCCCCTGTCTCCCTTCATTGTTACCGGTGATAGACCAATCCAGCTATTCCGCGCATGGGTATCGGCTCTTCAGTGTGCACCTCTTATTTTGCTGTTTGCATTGTTGCATCCTCGATCTAGCTGAGAACGAGTATGTGACCTTTTTTATCTTTTGCGAGTTAAAGCTCCAGGGGAAACTATTTAGCAACTGGATCGAAAGCCATGTCAAGGCCGGAACCATTTCAAGACGATATGCTGTAGACTCTCTACAGGGTATGTTAAAGTAGATTCAATACTTAGCGACACAAGTCAAATTTAGAATACCATGTCGTTGAGGTAAACACAACGTCGCGGAGAGTCTCTAGATGAACTGATTGCTCAGCAGGTAATAGTACTGCTACCTGTTCGAGTGTTTGGGCCCTGTGGCTCTGAAGCTGGTGAACATTCCCCCGGCACCTACCCGGGGATGCGGAGCCGGGGGACGATAGGGCGGCACCATTTTTGCCCAGAAGAAGAAGGATGACTTCGCTAACTAAGCAGGCTTGGCGGACGCGAAAGACGCATGCCAACGTGGTCGGGGTTTACAACGGTCATAACAATCGCATCTCATCATCCCTATGAAATAATTTTGAGGCAGTAGTTCATCGCTGGTGCCTTGCCCTTCTTTCTACAGTGCTCCGGCATCTTGGGCGTTGCCTTGACCTGCCCACGATGTTCTCGCCGGAGACCTCACGTCTACAGTCGTTGCGGCCCAAGAGATCTCGGCCGTCCGCAGGACAGGATGATTCAATCAAGCTACCACAAGCGAAACGAAAACGGTCGGCCCTTCGAAAAGATACCTTTGAGCCTCTAGCTGAGGCAAGCATAAACGAGGTCGCCGGACGCGAAACAACCGACGAGAAAACCCATGATCACACCGTTCCAGTTGTGCCAACAAGAGAATTGACCTTGAGAGGTACGAAAAGACCCGAAAAGCGGTCTGAAAGAGCGACGGGATCGCCCAACTCGGGCCTCGTCTTGTCCAACAACGAGTTCTACACTGTCGCGCAGCTGCCTGCTCTGCCAGACCAGATCAGGAATCGTCCTACAATTCCATATTCTTGCGTGCTTTCTCCAGAATATGGTTACGCCTTGGCCCTGACCCATACCGACGCCATAATCTGGCCGTACAATTCAAGCGCGTCCACTCCCTCTTCAAGAGATGTCATCACCTTCAAATTGCCATTCCCACCAGCCTCGGTCGATGATCCGTTGCCGCTGGCAACCTTTACGGCACGAGCAGCGAGCGGCGAACCTGGAGTTGTTGCTGTCTCGGCGAAACTGGGAAAGGTCGTGTACTGGGAAACAATCTCCAGCGCCTCGTCTTTCCTACCCGGCCAAACCTCCAGCGTACAGGGCTCCATACCACAAATGCAGAGCAGCGAAGTAGTTGAAGAGTTGATCAATGCAGAGCCGTCGGGTTTCATACTTGCGTTACGACACGGCCGAGCTGCTCATTTGACCATTCGGGATCAGATGGGGAGACCTGGCATCGGAGTGCAATTCCTTCGGAAGTCCACTAACGGTACCGGCGGCCTACTGGGAAGTATTCGGAATGTCTTCGGTGGCGATCGAAGAAAGGGGATACCGATTGTTAAGGCAGGAGGCTCAAGAAAGGGGCAGCGAGACATTGTCATTGCAACCCAAGACGCTGAATTGGAACTATGGAGTACCACCTTGAGCTCCGGCAACACCCTTGAGGCCTCCTTCAGTTGCAAAGACGAAGTGCTCGAGACATTGAAATCGATGATGCCGGAAGAAGCACAACTTGATTTCCAAATCCTGGACGTGGAACTTTCGGCAGGCCCAAGCATGGCATTGGCTCGACGAGAGAGCCATGGTGTACCAATGATGGCTCTCGCTTCGGTGTCGACGTCGGAGCGGATCAATTACTATATCATCGAGCTGCTTGTCGACCAAGGGGCCAAGGTCAAAGTGGTCCACCCCATAACTTGTTACTCGCCCTCGAATCCAGGTGAACGATCCTGGAGGCCTCGTCTGTGCGTGGCGAGATCACACCCGGTGGCGTTTGTTCTCTTCGGAACAGCCATCGTCGTGTTCTCCCTCGCGAAGATACGAGAGACTCCATCCTCACAACTTCTGATGGAACGACAGGAGCTTCCTGAACCATTTCAGGACTCGGTCCGCTTTCAGGAAGGTAGACTCTACCAGGTGCTAGGATTTGCACTCGACCCCTCGGAAAAACATTCCTCGGTCATTTTTGGAGTACAAGGCTTTGGCATAGTCAGATTGACTTACCATCCTCGGCACAGTGGCGAGATTGATGTTGACGAGCTTGAAGATCGGATCAGTGCAAAGAGCAAAATCGAGCAAGCAGTCTTCTTCGGAAGTATCAAACAAAATCCTCTGGATCTCAAAAGCGCCGGTCAAGGCTACTCGGCGGAAGAAGTCGAAACAGCTGCTCTGGAGATCAGCTCCGAGATCCTCTCATCGTCGTCGAAGCATCTTCCGAAGAGTGCACCTTCCGTCGAAATGCAAATGCGAATCCGGGCCAAAGCTCTCGACGACTTGGCACAGCATCTGTTTGAACACTACCCGTCCTTGATTTCCCGGAACACGCGCTTTCAGCTACTGCTGAACGCGGAGAAGTTGGCAGCCGCACAAGCGATTTGGAAAGTTCAAGAAGATGCTCAACGAAAATATCCCCAGAGTGACCGGGAGATGTCGTATCTTGAATTCACTCTTCGGGCCTTGCACGAGTCTCGCCAGAAATACCCTGATCCAGAAAAAGGAGAAAAGGATAGAGTGAGACACTGGCTGGTCAATAGTGTTGAGCACGTTGACCATTTAATGTCCGAGCTGGGCGACTGCATCCGCGAATTGGAACCCATGGATGTCACAGACCCCAGGGTCGTTGCGGATTATTTCACCGAAGCAGCCGACCTGTGGATTGCAGCATACAGTGCCGCCTTCAAGTTCCGAGAAGACAATGCTCCCATTTATGGGCTGGGAGACGAAGTCTTCAAAGATGGGGTCTTGGTATCGGGCTTTCCTGTCGATATACACCACCCGTGGACGTCACGCCCCGAGCCGCTCCGGTTCGGTGAGCGTCTCATCTACGACATCTGCACATTCTTGAATGAGTGGTGGGATTTCGCCCACGGCAAAAACAAAAAGAAGAAGATGCCTACCGATCTTGATGGCAAGCCGTATGGGGGACCGAGTAAAGCTGCGCTTGAACAACTGGCTGCGCGACTGCCTGTCCAGGTTGAATTGTTGTCCCGGCTTGTCAACGAAGAGTACACTCAAGCCGAGTGTCAGCTGAAAGCGCATGAGAAGGACGCCGAAGTTCTCAGTGACGAGATCAAGGCTATCCGGAATGAAGAAATCGACCGAATGTCTCAACCATTGCAGGTCATTTCCGCTTTCAACATGCCGGGTGCTATTCAACTGAGCGAGAAGTTGGGATACTTTGGGATGCTGGTCAATCTGCATTACGACTACTACAAAAGGTTGACGGCGGAGGTCGTGGCCGACCCTTCTCTGGCCGAGGCGAACCAACGAAAACTTGCCGAGATGCAGAACAAAGCAGAGAAGTATTTTGATAGATTTGGCAAGGGATGGGCAGTGGCATATTTCCGCCGACTGATTGAAGATGACGAGTGCGGCACTCTTCTCTTGAAGGGCGAAGAGGACGACCAGAAGAAGGAGTTTCTTGCGTGGTTCTTCAAGCTGGCCGAACATTTAGGTCAAAAGGTCGGCAAATTGAGCTGGATTCATGACATTGTTGGAAATGGAAACTATTTGCGGGCGGAGAGAACCCTTCACGAAGTGGCAGCCGAAGAAATGGACGATGTTTGGAACAAGAAGACCGAGCTCTCGCTTGCCAAATTGGCAGGCCTCGCAGCAGCTGAAGGGACCTCGACGATACCAGACGATCTCGAGCAATACGACAACGGACTGGCCATTATCGAGATCCAGGAACGGATTCATACACACGTGACGGCGGTGGTTGGTCCAGCACTTGATGAAAAAGCAGCAGCTGATCTCGCCCTGGACGCCTTTGCTACACGCTGGGTGGCGAAGTTTGCAGGGCTGAAGAGACAATTGAAGCAGGGGCTGAAGACTTTGTTGCGTCAAAATCCTCTATCGGCCGAAGAACTGGTTGACGTGTTGACTCTCATGGACCCCATGGACTGGCCAGGAATCCCCGAAGAAGACCCCGAGATCCGCGGACAAGAGTTCTCGCTGGCGTTGAAGGTAGTGGACCTTTCCAGATCAACGACGGCCAAACAAAATGATCTTCGAGCTCTGATCTGGAGAAGAGCGATGATCCGGGATGATTGGCTGTTGCTCAACGAAACCAGTGGAAAAGACGACCAGAGAGTGCAAAGCGAAATGCAACAGACCAGTCTCTTCAAGACCATTGAGCAGGTTCTTACATGGGGACAGGTGGAGGGGGTGGATGTCCATCTGCTGTCGCCGAGTGAGATCTTGGAACGCGAGTCCTTCCCCAACAGTCTTCAGGAAAGGTTCACCGAGAATGAAATGGAAGGCCTGCGCAAGGACCTGGACAAGGAGCAAGTGAGGCTGAAGACCTACGTGGAGAAAGGCCGACTCGAGGATCATTACGGGGGGTTGGTGTCAAGCGCTCAACGCAGTATCAGATCAACCATGGATGGAAAAGGGGAACAGATGGCGCAAGAGGTCATGCAACAGACCAACGGCCACGGCCACAGCCTTTGATTGTATTACTATACATACCTAGGTAGTTTCAAGGGTGGGAAATTACATGTAGGTAGTAATGCCTGTGGCTGCTGCAGGCCGAGAGCGTCTCGTGCAGCGCCCCAGCCTCGCCACATCAGTCACATCCGTCCCATCACACTCCCATCGCAATACTGCGGACCTCGCACCTTGTCTTGCACCTTCTTCCCCCGTCAATCTTGTCATCCTGCCCCGCCTTCAAACCAGGAAGGGAGGCCGTGGACAGGCCATCCATTTAACACCTAGATGCAGATGAGGGTGAGGGTGAGGGTGAGGGTGAGGGTGAGGGTGAGGGTGAGGGTGAGGGTGAGGGGGAGGGTGAGGGTGAGGGTGAGGACGAGGAAGAAGACGAGGAAGAAGACGAGGAAGAGGAAGAGGATGAGGATGAGGAAGTCTGAATGGCCAGGCCAGAGACAATCCGAATAAAATTAGGGCAGGGCGAGGGCGAGGGCGGGAACGAGGACAAAGTGACTGGACTGGACTGAGCACTCGGTGGAAGCTTCGGCGGGCTTTGTTTTACCACAGGGTAGAATATTGGATATCTCGACGTCTTTCGAGGAGTACAGAGATTGAGATTGCAGCCTTAGCCCCTTAAAGGACTGGATCTCATATACGTATTTATATCATATCATGTTTGGGCTTGGAGCAGTGTCCCTTTCGCATCATCTATAATCATGTCATGTTTAAGCTCCATGCAATGTCCCTGTCGCATCATGTTTAAGCTCGAAGCAGTGTCCCTGTCGCATCATGTTTGAGCTCGAAGCAGTGTCTCTGTCCCATCATCTTTGGCAGACTCGGAAATGGAATTAATCCACGCAGCCAACCGTCGTCCGGCCTTTGCCACCATGTCGTTGATGATGGGGACCGCGCCCTCGTAATACTCGCCCCCGAGGTCCTGCCCGTGCACGTCTTTGGCCAGGACATAGGAACACACGTGAGCATTGGCCTCGGTCGCCCACTGAAGTGCACAGCGGGTCGAATCCGTCAGGCATTCGTGGTCGAGCGGATGGGATTGGGATTGGAATTGGTCTTCGTGGTCGTCGTATAGGGCGCGCGCCCATTCCCAAGCGGCGAGCATCTCATCGTCTTGGTGATTCGTTCTCGCGGCCAGCATCTCGTCGCCTTCGCGGTTCGTTCTCGCGGCCTGCATCTCATTGTCATCGTGATTGTGACTCGTTCTCGCCGCCTGTTTGTTGGGAATCAAAGTGTCCCAAACACTGTGCAGGTTGGTGGCCTTCCCATCAAACACGACGGCGTACTCGTTGCCGCCGCGGTCTTCGGCCTCGGTGTGCAGCGGCTGGTGCACATCGCCGAAGAAGTGCATCATGAACCGCAGACTCTGGCCGCGGTAGTAAGGCGGCAAGGACAGGTCGGCAACCCGCCGCGTGTGGTTGGCAATCGCCGTGACCACGCAGCCGCCGCTGGGGTCATTGTCACTGTCACCGCTGACATGGCCACAGTCCCGCGTCATGTTGATGCCGCAGTACCGCGGTGGATCGTCGCGGGCGTCAATATAGTGCCAGCCGGCAGACCATGCGAACTGCGGCATGTGGCGCACCTTGTCGGCGAACAGGGCGGCCTCGGAAATGTCCTGGCCGTTCAATAGATGGTTCGTCATCACCGTCGATGGCGTGGTGAAGTACATGCTCGCCAGGTACGCCACGGTGCGGTGGCCTAGGCTGCCCCACGCCGAGGCGAATGGGAGCCACAGGCACAGCAGCGGGACGAGAGCAGATGGGAGCATTGTTGACCTGATCCTAACTAGGTAATCAAGGGATGAGGATGAGGTCGAGAGAGGAGAGATCACGGCCGGTGGCGTAGATAGGTAGGTTGATGGCAAAGGAGACTGGGAGGCTGGACCTCGACTAAGATAGGTAGGTATACATGTACTCCGTACATACAGGAGAGGTAAATATATTTCAACCAAAATGATATGGGCGATGTCTTGTTGGCTGTTGGCCCTTAGACTTGTTTGTGTTTGTTTACGGAGAACATGGTCGGCAATGTGGTCAACTGACTGTCCAACCAGTGTGTGATGTGATGTGTGTTGTCACAGGACCCTGCGGCACGGTGAGAGTGCATTACAGTACATCGCGATGCCGTACGCGTCACGCGTCACGCATCGGTCTGTTGGACGCGTAGAGTGGTTGGCGAGGAATGGCGCCGAGCATAAGGACCAGGGAACCAGGCACCTACAGGAGCGCAATTAATTGATCTATCGGCCATGGCTGTTCGTCTAGGCCCAAGAAATGCCTCTCGCACCCTCGCAAAGACCTGCCGAATCCTCCATCCTCAAGATACAGCACAGATCCTCGCAAGATCCGCGGAGTTGTGTTTCCGTCGGCCGTAGGGGGGGCGGACAGTAGCATTAGATAGTGGCTCGGCGGTGGCACTACAATATTCCAGACAGCCGGAGCCTAACAATCAGTGAGGGCCCGACTGGGATAGGCTACGTAATAAGGCTTAAAGGCCCCAAGGCCGCCTAAAGCCTCAGGCTACAGTACCTATAACCCTAACCCTAACCCCAAGTTGGCACTCGGAGTGCCCCGATACGTACCTATGTACTCCGTACTTCGTACTTCGTATTCGTACAGTACTGCCTGGGCCAAGGCCAGTGGTAGGTGGGTTGGCGGCCAAAGCCTCCCAGGGCTCAACCTCAGCTGAACGCAATGGCCGCGCCGAGACGTCATCCTCCAGCACTCTGGCCCTCGGGCCACGCACGACATCATGATGGCCAGCTGAGAGTCTGGACTGCAGTCTTTTCGCCAATGCTTGGAAGACGCGGGGATTTCCAATGCCCATGCGCCATGTATAAGTAGGTAAGTAGGACTCGAGGCCGGGTTGCTTGCTTGCTTGCTTGCGTCGTCATTCAACTTGGTCTCTGCAAAACACAAGACACAAAACATAAACCACACAGATCCTTAAAGCAGATACGGATACATCTGTATACAGAATCAGACCAAAGCCTTCACTCACAATATCCGTCCGAGCTTATTCACCCTTACCACGCAATCATACCTTTAGTCCAATTTATCCGGAATTCAATTCCTTGAGGATAACACACTATTGGCATCAGCAGTCATGTGTTTCGGCGCTTCTCCTCGACACCACGGTGGTTTCTACGGGCCACCACCACGACCTGTTGTGATCGTGGCGCCACACGGGCGAGGTTATGGTCCGCCGCCACCGCGGATGGGCATGGGCATGGGAGGAGGCATGATGCGCCACGGGCGACGGGGGCCACCTCCCCATCGGATGGGTGGTCCTATGGGTGGCCCTCGCCGAAGGTGGTGATGGGGATTATAAAAACCAACGACCACCGGGATAAAGAAGACGACCAACGATAACCAAGATAAAGAAGACGGCCTCCATCAAAAGCTGCAGAGGAACCAGAGGTGAACAGAACTCCATCTACGGCTGGGGTAGTCCTCCGGCTCCGTATAAACGATCGCTGGGAGGGGTGGGAGGGGAGTTGTGACAGCACGGGAAAAACAGAACCGTGACAGCAGCTATCAGGGCGATATCGACATCGACAACGCCATGGCCATGATGGCGGGCAGGGGTTATGCCATTGGCAATGGGTATGGGTACCGATGGGTATAGGTATGGATGGGCATGCATTAGGCATCCCTTCCCTTCGGCAGAAAGGCTCGCAAGGCGTCGAAGGATACATCCGGCATAGGAACCCTGATTGTGTATGTGTATATCTTAATGATATTTGTATTGCAGGTATATAACATATCATATCAGGGCCTAGGGTGGGTGCCAGAATCAAAGGCGGTTTATCTTACTACTACTTCGACAGGATTAGGGAACCCTCCAGCTCTATCGGAGAACTATCTTTCTAAGATACTAGATATACTCTACGGCCTCTCTAGAGTAAATCTCCCCTTCGAATATTGAAATTCTATAATGATCCGCTATATATTTTGGCACCCAGCCTTAGGCCTACATTATAATGAGATTGAAGTGAAGTAAAGTGAAGTAAAGTGTCTACCCACCTTTGTTTGCCGTTCCTGCCTTCCCTGTATAGCCTGCTCTGCTCTAATCTGCTCACTCTACCCTTTCTACTCTACTCACTCTACTCACCTCTGCTCTACCCTGCTCTACCCTGCTCTGCAATCCTGCTCTCATCAACTGCAGACCGGTGTTTCTGGATCCATTCCTCGTCAGCTTCACCTTCACCGTCAACGCACCGGCTCCGACCTCACACCATGGCGATCCTCGGCAAAGTCGAGGTCACAATCTCCAGTGGCGGAAAGACGTGTCAAGAATATCAGCCCAGCGCTGACGACAACGGGGCGCTGAGCGCGTATGTGTCATCCAAGGGATCCTCCACAATCGTCAAGTACATCGAAGCCATACCCGGGGCGAATTTCCAGATCGATTATGTGGTGAAGGGACACCATTCATTCCACAAATTCGATTACCTGTCACTGAGTACTTATGTCGATGGGCAGTCTGTTGTCTCACCAATTGTGACAGAGGAAGAGTACAAGAAAAGCCATTCCCGACAGTTGAACCGGAGTACACGCGGAGCGGAGAGCGGAGCTGGGTCAGAGCGGAAACTGCACCCCTTCCGCTGGAAAGAGCTTTCAATAAGTATGTCATCTCTCAGGCACTGCGAGCATTCACTTACAAGGAGAAGCCGACCAGATACATGATGGTGCCACGTCCAAATCGAAGAAAAAGTACCAACGACTTGGATCCATCAGAGTTGAATTCATGCGCAAGCGAAAAGCAGAGCAGCTGGACGCCCCAGAGCATGAAGTATCTGCATCTGTGAACGACCCCGTCCCGGAAAAGGCTTTGAAAGGTCAAGCAGTTGATACGGGATTCTGGTACGTGATATGAGACGTTTGAAGGCTGGGAGGACGCTGATTACAACATCTAGCCTGGGAGAAGCAGAGCCGCTAGCAGCCGGTCCGGTGTGGAAAGGGGAGATGGTCGACAAGCGCCCTATTGCCGTGTTCATCTTCCTTTATAGGAGCAAAAATTCGTCTCCCCAAGATTGTTGCACTGCCGACTCTGACTCTGACTCTGGCAGAAGCATTACAGGTCCTCGGTCTACTTCCACGGTCTCTAAGCCCTATCCCATTGGATGAAAGAGATCCAGATACCCTTACCAGGGAAGAGGCGCTGGAGTTAGTCCGTCGACAAAGAGTGCGTGCGCCAAGGACCCTGTATGAAGTGTACTCGCTGACTCCAACCCACAGGCAGAGGTGGAAGCTGCTAGAGTCAAGATCAAGCAGGAAAAGGCCTTGGAGAATCTGCGACAGCTCGCTGGGTTCAAGCGAGAAAACTCTGGGGATGAAGACGAGGAGGTCAGCGTCGTCGCAATCGCAAACAAGAAACCGCGCAACGAACTAGAGACGATCTACCTGTCGGACTAATTTGCAGTGGCGAAGATGTGAGAAGCGGACAGTCGGCAACCATTGGATGAATGGAAGAAAGGAAGGAAGGAAGAAAAAAGAAAGAAGAAATGAAGGAGAGACGAGAGCGTCCACGGTTAACATTCAGCTATGACCGCACAGTCCTTGCTAGCAAACGGCCAAACCAGGCCACATCGTCCCACATACCATTGGGCTTTTCGGGCGGAGCTTCCACCGAGGTTTCGGATGCCACACTGGCAGTCTCCTCGTCCTTTACCGGCACGGGAACTGGTGGGGAATGACCTGCCTCGAGGTCTGAAGACTGAGGATCGGGGAAGTCTTCTAAACGCAGAAAAACGTCCACAATTCCATCCATCCATCTGCCCAGGCGATATTTTGAGATCTCTTTTCGTACATCTTCTTCGTCTTCACTGTCAAATTGCCCTTCAAAGTCAAGAAGGCCGTAGGGATCGTCGTCAAGTTCGTCAGTAAAGTCGCTTTCGACCTGTGCAGCGATTTCCGCTTGAGTATGATCATCTGCCCAGTCCGGAGACGGCTCATCAACGGGAGTGGTCAGAGCCGGGGTCATGGCCAACGATCTTCGACTCCGCATCTGGCTGCTGCGGCGACTGACACTGGGCGTCGCTCTTCCTGACCTTAGTGCAACTCTCTCATCCGTCGGCGTCTGTAACGAGGTCGACGAATCTCGCTTAAAAATCCACGACTGGCCTTTGCTTTCTCTCGACCCCTCGGTCAAGGCCAAGCCGGTCTGAATCAACCAGGACGGATCTGACGTTTGCAGATGTAACCCGGCGTGATGTTTGTGACCAAACCCTTCGCTACTCAATGCCCCCGACGGGGTGCCGAGGTGGGGGGCGCCGCCATATGTGGACGCTTGAATCGACACCGTCGACCTCGCCTTCTTCTTCAGTCTCGTCCGCGAGCTGGCCCTCGAATGGGTGGCCGAGTGGGTGCTGGTCAAGATGCCGCCCGGGGACGGCAAGCTGGCGATTTGGCTGATGGACGCCGTCGTGTGCAATTCCGACGTCGACGGGTTGAAGTACGCCGAATAGTCGGCCGGGTCGATGGGGTATTTGGGCGTCAATGGCGCCAGGGACAGATGGTGCAGGTTCGGGTGTGAGCGTCGGTGTGGGCCGGGCGCGAACGACGACGAGCGCGACAGCGTCGGCGACTAACGTGACAAGAGCATCAGCTTATGATCAGATGTATGGTTACGGAGGGAGTGGGAGTGAGAGTGAGAGGACTAGACTGAGGCTGTTGGTGCTGGTGCCGAATTGGTAATGATCCAAGGCGACGAGACGTACGTCCATAGTTTTGTCCAGAACAGTCTGCAGTTCGAGTCGGCACTTTGACGGAAGAGAAGGGCGTTCGGGAGGTCGTTCGAGCTAGACGCGAGGTTGGATGTGAGGCGCGGGTTCGGTTCGTGGTGGTTGGCCAGACAGGAATACAGAGGAGACCCAGGATCACAGAGACGAAGCAGATGAGACGGAGCGGTGGAGGACAGGAAGCGAGAGTCAGTGTGTTGTTGTTTTGGGATTTGGGATTGAGATTGATAAAGACATTGAGATTGAGCCGCGTGAAGATGGAGATGGTGGAGAGTTGAGAGGTGGAATGATGTCGGTGCAGTAGTGCGGTGCAGTTGATGCGGGTTGATGCCCCAGGTCCCTAAAAGCATTAACCCTAAGCCCCTTAGCCCCTAAGCCCCAGGCCGAATAATAAGCAGCCCAGACCGAGGCTCTGATGCATGTGATGTTGATGTTGCCGCTCCCTTTGGGAAATAAGGTCATGCCGCCCTAATTACATCGTATAACGAATAGTACGGAGTTATAGGATCCGTAAAAACTACAGTACAGTACCTACATGATCATCAACAATTCGTTTGGCATACTAATGCAATACTGTGATCCTCTATCAGCTGTCAGTCTATCAGAATAGTCTGACTCTAGGTTGCTCTGTTGACTGTAGATGGGAGGGTAGATCTACTTCATCCCTCAATCTCCCATTTCATCGAGCGCCTGGTCCTTACATCTGACGTTCTACCTCCAACTGTAAGTTACGGTCAGCATTCCTGCTTACAGGAGATCATTTGGGACCTCCGACTCTACTTCTCGACCTCGGCTCTGTTAAAGTCTGCCTCTTTGAAGTTAGGAGGGTCCGTCTCCGGGGCAAGAAACAACCTTCATTCGTCTTAGTTTCTTTTTGAATCAGTGGCATAGCCATTGGTATCGCTGATCGCGCGTCGTTCTGACCATGTGGGTGTACCAACTTCGCGGCCCAATGCTCACCCAATGTCTCTGTAGGGTGGCCAGACAAAGTCATCCTGTTCTAACAGATCGCCCCAGTCACCCAAGGAGGGGTCTTCAAGAGCCAAATTCGGATCCTGAGGGAGATCAAACGACGCAAAAGTGCCCTCTCCACCGCCGAAGAACGAATGGTAGGTTTCGTAGGCAGGCCGTTGTGGCGATGGTATAGGAAGGTGGCTGAGAGGGCCATCGTTCTCCATAACAAAATCAGTGGGTGGCTGCTGTCGGGCGTTTTGAATCTTGTGGTAGAATTGCCGTAACATCTGCTCCCCGGACTCGGCCAAGGGGCTATTATCTTTGATGGCGGCGAGTCTACCTATCCCTTGCAGGATGGCCTGCTCAATGTGGGAGTCTTCGCCGGGGTCCGGTGAAGGTAGTCCAATCATGATGCCACATAGGAATATAGAAGCCTCGATAGTGTAGAAGATTGTGCCGTATTGCTTAGAGTACGTGTGAGAAGTGGGGTCGAAATCGGCTTGTTGCAGATTCAACCCTTCGAGGGCGGCAGTGATGGCGGCTCTGCGACTTGTCGCTTGACTTGCGATGTACGGTCGGTGGAGGGCCATGAGAACGGCATTGGTCGCGTTTAAGATCCCCGAGCGTAAGACTTCGAGCTTTCGGGTTTGTGCAGCAGTGGACGCTGGATTTGACTGAAGAGGTTGATGTTGTAGTAATAGAGGAAACTCTTCTCGAAGAGCATATATGTCATTGTGAACCGCGAGCACCTTGGAGTAATCCTTGAGAAAGACTCCGTTGGCTGAAAAGGACAAGATATCGTGGATCTTGTGCGCCAATGCGAGGAAGATCATCATGGTGGTGATGCGCGAGGTGTCGTTGGCCAGTGGAAGCGTCCGGGATGGGTTTTCGGGATACTCACAGTTCAAGGGTGCAGGGGTCGAAAAGTCCTCTCGGTGGAGGAGTCGAGGCCTGCCCAGCGCCAATGCCAAAGTACTAGATACAATATGCGGCTCAGCCAAGTTGTTCTGCCGTGCAGTCGAGGGAGATACGGGTTGTACCTACCTACTGAGAATGAAGAGGCGAGCCCAAATGTGTTTTCGGTGCTCGAGATCCCATGTTTTCAAAAGCTTCGACTCCAGGCTGTCGTCGGGCGTCTGCGTGATATTTTGAGGAAGGCGATGCAGCCCGAGTTCTTGAGCCTGGCTGCAGCCATGTAGAAACGAGAGTCAATATTGGGTTTCAGAAAGCTCTAGTACGTAGCCCCCATTCAAGGGTGGCGAGAGTCTTACCTGACCGCACTTCCCAGTCGACGCCATGCTTCTGCCCCTCGACTCGAATCCTTCAACCAGGAACAAGAGATGAGATCATGCTCGACTGAGCACAAGGTGGGATGATGCCGACCAAGGATGGAGATCAACTTACAGCCGATCAGGTAGAAAGTTCGCGACAAGTGAAGGCACTCGGCATTGTCGTTTAGCCCCATGGTTTTGACGGCAGGGTGTGATGGAGAAATATGGTGTAGGATCTGTGCCAGAACCTGGAAGAGTAACGCAGGGAAATAGAGCATTTCTCTTTGCCTTTCGCCCGGACGTGCTCTGAGGTGCTCTTCAACCGGCACGGCCAGCCACTGAAGGTACGAGTTCTTCACTTGGTGCTCGTCGATAACCATGATGGTCCAGTAGACATCGAGGAACAAGAACTCCAGAAGCGCATGAACGATGTCTGGTGGTGGAAGCCGGGCCACTAAGCGCAAATATGCACGTCGGCGCCCTTGGTGTGGTATTGACGACGACTCTATCGACAGAGATGGAGGACGGAGATCTGAGTCCAGATTCTCGCTCTCCAGGCGGACAAACGTGCTACTTCCTGGTGTTGAGGAATAGCCAGCTCGATCGACAAGACTGGGCGGCAATGGGGTATCTTCATCGACGTTCGAACCATCCTCTAACTCGTGGACTGGGACCGGCGCCACCAAGTCTGCATGTGCTGGAGGCGTGTTTGGCCAGGGAGTATCACTGCTGAGATAACAACACTTCTCGGGCACCTTCCGGGCACGACAATGGTTGCACGGCCGACTGCGATTGCATTTCTGCTTCCGCCGGTAGCATTCCAGGCAAGAAGTGATGGGTCTTCGTGGGGTGGACGGGTCCATAACGCTGAAGGTGAAGATGGAGGTGACGGCGCGGCTGGAAGAGGAGTAGCGCTGGAATTGCAGGGCCACCAACGCTGCACATCGACATCGACATCAATATCAGCATCGACCGGGGGTTGTCTTCCCGAGAGAGACATGGGAAAGCAATCGTCTGCCGAGCAACTCTGAAGAAGAATTGGAATCCTTCAACCTCCGCCTCCGCCCTGCGCCAGTCTTGGTTCCGGATGCCAAGCTGCGGATGGGTTGGTAACCACTGGCTCTGGCACCGGTCCTGACAATGGCAGGAGCAAGCAGCAGTTGGGCAAGATACCTGGTCTGGGGCAAGGCATCAATTCTCTTCTGAACCTGTCGCAGCTCACCGAGTTCTCTAGACTGTGGCACCGACGGTGACGGGTGACGAACCAACTGCAACCCTAGTCTAGCGTCGGCCGAAACTCGAGACACTGAGCCCACACACACGGACACGGACCTTTCACGGCTCATGTACGGAGTACAGGACGAGATCGAAGAGGAGGATCTGAAGAAACCCTTACAAAACTATATGCCGGATTCCATTGAACCAACTACCTGGGATCTATCATCACACGCCTGATGTAGCAGGTCCAGGTCGGATGGCTTTGGGGCTTTCAACCCAGTCGAACGTGCCTTGAGACTGTGTCCACCGGACTTCGCTAGCACGGGAAGCCAACTTCTGCGGCGCATCCCAGCCTTGCATCAGCGTTCCGCTCAAGAAGTTATGCGGGAAGCCAGGATCGAAGCTGTACGCGTTGTCGATCTCGACGATTTCCTCCTCGGTCAGAGTCACTGACAAGCCCTCGATGTTGCCCTTGATATGGCTGAGCTTTCTGCCGCCGACGATGGGAAAGACATACGGCTCTTTGTCCAAAATGTACGACAAGGCCACGTTGGTGAGGGTGGTCTCTTTGGCATCCGCCATCTTTTCCAACACCTGGGAGACCTGCTTGTCTCTTGTAGACACGGCCGTGAGATTTCGCCCTGGATTGTTGCTCTTGCGTTCCTCGAAAGCGGCTGCCGTCTGAAATTTCCCCGAGTTCAGAGCTGAATAGGCGCAGATTCCCATACCTTCGTCGCGGCACATGGGCACGACTTCGCGCTCGAGATCTCGAAACGCGGCATTCCAAGGGCCTTGGTAGACCACGAAGGGGCGCAGACCATGGTCTCGCGCGTATTGGTTGGCCTTTGCAACCAGCCAAGCTGGACTGTCGGATATGCCCAGATAGAGCACTTTGCCCGAGACCACGAGATCATTGAGACTGTGCATCACCTCGGGGATGGTGGCCGTATAGTTCCACCAGTGAACGTACAGCACGTCGACATAGTCGGTCTGCAATCGTTTCAAGGAGTCCTCCAAGGTGAGTCTAAGGGATTTGATTCCGTTGCCGCCATAGTTGGCGCGAATCTGGATGCTTGGATCTTGGAGCCTATGCGGTCCAGTGTATTTGGTGGCGAGCACAATTTGGTCGCGGTTCTTCCGAGCTGCCATCCATTCACCCAACCAGGTCTCGGTCCCCCCCCCTTGGTAGGAATTGGCAGTGTCGATGAAGTTGCCCCCCTGGTCGAAGTAATAGTCAAGGATTTCAAAGGTGGTTTCCTTGGAGCATTCCCCCAACATGGCCTTCATGCTGGTTCCAAAGTTCATGGTGCCCAGGCACAGTGGCGACACGAAGACCGCTGCCGATGGTGACAACTGACGGTAGCGGGCAAGCAGCGAGCCCGCGCTCTTGGTGGCCGCGGCCAACTGTTTGGACATTCTGTTCTGGTGGATGGTCAGGCGACGGGAAGCTGGACTACGTTGTCTCTGGCAAGATATGGGAAATCGAGCCTGGGTTTGGGGCCTTTCGCCTTTTAATACTCGCCCACACTCTCACATGGCGTCGAAGGAGAGACCCGTACAGGCTCTCGTGCTGTCGCAATACCCATCGGCCGACAAATGTGCCATCGGCATCCACCACATCGTCTCCTATAACCTAAAATATGGCAAATGGCATATGAAAGACGGTGGATCATGAGGTGGAGCTCTTCGGCCGAAGGGGCTGAATAGAATAGAGCGCTTCAGGTTCAGGTATCCGGGAGCAAAGATTGACGGATCAGAGTCTGCTTCTGTACCCTGCTCCTGATCTGTGCCGTGATGGGCCGGGGATCGATCTCATCGGTCAGCCTGGGATCGCCCTCTTCCAGCATTTGCAATATCATGGAATTGACGTCGACGGCCGACAGACCGGCGTCATTCTCGACGCCTGGGTGTGCTCCCGCATCCACCAGAACCCTGACCATGACATGGTTGTTCATCACGGTGGCGCAGTACAGCGCTGTCTGCCCATCGGCATCTTTCATGTCCAGCTGCTCCTGCACAGGCTTGAAATGGGCCATGAGCGTGTCGGCAATCAGCTTGCACCCTCCCTCCCCAGCTTCATTGGTCCTCCACATCTTGGCCACCGCGCAACTGTGCAATACGCTGCGTTGCTTGCTGGATGAGACGATGAAGTTCATGTCCGGCACCTCGTGCAACAGCCACTCAATCGCACCTAAAGCCGACCGAGTTTGCTCACGGATGAGGTAGTCCAGCACGGTGGCAGCGTCTGAGGACTGCAGGTAAAGCCCTTCCTGAAACTCCAGATGTGCGTCCGCCCCGTTTTCGAGAAGAAACTTGGCCAGCTGGAAACATCGGTTACGCACGGCGGCTGCAAAAGCGGTCTCGTAGCCTGGGGGGCGTTGATCAACGGGGACGCCACGAGCCAGGAGAGTCCGAGCAAAGGAGCCGTCCCGATGCCCGGCAAAGGCGCACTGCCACAAATACGATAGCTGTTTCCCGTCGTCATCGAAGTGAGGCTGGAAAGGGTCTGCACCGCTGGCTAGAAGCATATCAAACGCCTCCTTTTGAGCGCGGTAGATGGCTGTGGCCAAGGGAACCATTTGCGTGCCATAGTACCAGACAAAGGTGCGTATGTTCACTTCCGACGCGCACCCCTTGTGAACGAGGAGATAACTGAGTATCTCAGAGCTGCCCATGCCCACAGCAACTTGCAAAGGTGTCGTGCCTGCGCAGTCCAGGCCGGCGGGAAAGTGGTGCAGGTGCTCAGACGCCCCATGCTCCAGGAGGACGTCGACCGTCCGATGGAGATTCGAGAGCCATTTCTCGCCGTGACGGGCTACCATGGAGAACCTGAGACCGTACAAGTCGGTGCCATGTATGGCCGCGACCAACAGCGACAGACCGCGATAGCGCCTCGCCGCCGGCGCATGGATATCCAAAGAACGAAGCAACAGGTCCAGAATCTCGGGGTAATAGAATTGCGCCGCGAGATATATGGGGCATTTCTGGTCGGGCCGGTCGCCTTCATCGTCCGCGGCAGCTCCCACTTTCAGGAGAGCTTCGACCGCATCGACTCGGCCCCTGCCTACAGCCCGGTGAAGGGGCGTACCGCGTTCGTAGTCGCACAAGGGCGCCCACTGGTATTTGTGTTCTTTCGCCACCGCGTTCACAGCCGCGCCAGCAACGACAAGCCTTTGTGCAAGCTGTTCGGCTTCTGATCCTTCAAAGCTCAACACCCAATGGAGGGGTGTGTCGCCTGCAGTACTTGCAAGAGTCGGATTGGCTCCGCAGTCGAGCAGGTTCATCGCGATCGCAAAGTGACCGGAGCGGCACGCATGAAGCAGAGCCGATTCGTCCCAGCGACCCAAGGAATTTATATCGAGAGGCATTGCCAGCTTCCATGGCGACACGACAAGGTTGGGGCCGGCGAACGCAGCCACGACATGCTTGAGGCCGGCGGACGCACCGAAGTGAAGGAGACTGTCTCCATGCTCGTTGACATCAAATTGCGTTGGGACAAAGCCCGGCCTCTGCATGCGCTCGGTCATCGATATCAGGGTATCCCGATCGAGCTGTTCCAAGCTGACAGACATGTTCTCGTACAGCGGCGCGAAACGGTTCCATCCAATGTTGGCGAACCGTGATCTCACTCTTCGCCACACGCTTTGGCTCTCTTCAGGGGTGAGGACAAGGTGCAGGTCCTCATGGGCAGCCGGATAGTTGCGCTCGGCTGCGCCGACAATCCAGCCCTCGATCTCTGCCTGTACGGCCGATGGGATTTCACGCTGGAATGTCCGGTGAAATCGGACAAGCAGGCTTTGTGCGGACTGGTTTCCTGCTTGAGCTGCGCGTTGAAGCCATTCCAGACACGCAGCCTCTGCTTCGGGCCCCGACCTCGAGCGAAGAGCGTCGATTGCCAGTGAAAAAGCTGCGGATGCTCGTTGTCCACTTTCCTCACTTCGCCAAAACGTGTCTCTCAGCCGCTCTCGGACATATTCCAGGATGGTGGGACCCAATGTGTCGAGCATGTCTGGGCCCATCTACGGTCGCGGTCAGTAGCATCAGGGAAAGGGACGGCACACCACGCACCAGGATGTTTTCTAGGTGGGAGATTGTGGTGATGGGAGCGAACGAGAACTCGTCTCCCTCATCTTTCTTCCCTGGTATCCGAAGAGACTGGTCGACGAGAGTTGGCACTTCGTCTTGGTCCAGCGCATGCTCAAGCAAGCCGCGTAAGGTCTCGATGCTGCGAAGGGCAGGGTCAGTCACCACTGTTACGGCCAACAACTGGGCTATCAATCTGTGGTCCACCTGTGGTGCAAAATGTGTCTTTGCAGCTTGCATGAGACACTCGACGAAGTGCGCAGGTCTGTGACGTTTCAGCTCTGAGACCTGCTGTTGAAAGACGTTGAAATCGTCCCTGTGTTCTTCCAGGCCAAAAAGCTCGACGTCTTGGACCACGGGCTCCAATCCTCCCGCCATCACGCTCCAAATGAGCAGCCCTAGCGAATAAAGGTCGGTGGCCAAGAGCTGCTGTCGATTCAACCAGTCTTTCCACTCCGGTGCTTGCCACGGGAAACTCCCCATGGCCAGGCGACCACGCTCATGCTCTCCGACATCAAGGACAGACCCACCGAAATCGGCCAGGGTTGCTGTCCACTCTTTGCGGTCACCATGGTCGACCTCGAGGCAAACCAGCACATTTGCAGGCTTCAGATCCCCATGCACCACCGCACAGCGATGCAACGCATACAGGCCAGTCGCGATGTCCAGGCAGAGTTTGACGCGCTCGCGGAAGGTGAGGTCTTGATGTCGCCCAAGAAAGTCTTGCAGGGTGCCGCCGTCGGCATACTCGAGGATCAAGACTGGCCATTTCCTAGCGAGGTGTGCTGGATCTGTTTCCCAACCAAGGCCTAGCAGCTGTATGATGTTTGGGTGGCCGCGAAGCCAGGGATGGCTCAGACACCGCAGCTCCAAGATCAAATCTCCCAGCCTTTCTCTCTCCTCCCAGCTGCTGAAGTCGCCAAAGGGCAAGACACTTTTCAGAGCCAGACTCTTGTCGGGCGGGCTAAATTTCAGACAGCGAACGCTAAAGGATCGTCCTCGACCAACAAATCGCGCCCCAAAATCCGCCACGGCCACCTCTTTGTGCATGAATCCGGCGATGAAGCCCTGTTCAACATCACTGATGCCGAGGTGGACTTGTGCCACCAGGGATACGAACAGCGAGAAAAGATGGTCTGGAGAGGCATCTCTGAGCCCCTGGTCACGAGTACAAGTAGTGATTCTAAAACTTACATGCTCCAATTCGTGAGAAGAAGCCGCGGGTGCTTCTTGGTGCGAAGTGGAACGGTCTGTTCGTCTGATGGTCGACGAACGCCGGACAGAGACTGCCATTGAATGCGAGTCAAGGGAAGTCGAAAAAGGACGGTGAGAGAGGGGAAGATACTCACGAAACAGGAAACAAGGGATGAATGCCTAGCATGGTAAGCGCCCACTACCCCTCCATGGAGGTCTGCTGTGCATGTGATTGACCAACGGAGATGGCTAATTAAAGGGCTGAAGCTGAGGCTGATCTGGTTTTTCTTTGACTGGCCTTGACCGGTCGGAATGCAAAGCCTTCGCCACAACTCGACAGCCCCTGAGCCCCTGTAGCTCTATTGGACGCCGCCACTGACCAACTGCTATGCTCGGATGACAGGCTCAGGAGCCTAGGACCTACTTGGCATGCGGGATGAGGCTGCACCCTGTTCTTGTCCACGCCATCTGTGCCTCCTCAAGAACGTCCACACTCACTCACCCAGCAATGGCTACCGGCGGCGTGGCAGAAGCAGCCGCTCTCGCCGGCCTCATTGGATTCAGCTTCCAGTGTCTGGCCGGCTGCATCAAGGGATTCCAGTTGATCTCCACGGCTCTGGGGGTGGGCAAACATGCGGTCTACTTCCGCATCGCGCTGTTGCTTGAGGAGCAGAGACTGCTGTCTTGGTCCAGGCGATCAGGGCTCAGTGACGAGAAAGCTGACCCGCGCCTCCCTTGGACCGTCATCAGAGAGGCGCTGGCCGAACTGAGTGAGCTCCTCTGCTCCGTCGAGACGTTGAAGAAACGATACAAGTTGACGGTCGAGCCAGCGGGGAATCCTGCCGCGTCGCAAGATCTATCTGCGGACAGTCCCCCTGTGGATGAATCGCTATCCTTCCTCATGAGAGACGACATCCGGCAGGAACGGCACAGGATCCTCGACCGGGCCAAGACGATCAGGCACGATACCAGTGTGCTGAAACAGTTCTGGTTTGCCGCCGTCGACAAAGAGAAGTTCCAGGATCTTCTGCAAGAGATTGCCAACATCATCGATAAACTGAGCGAGTTGCTCCGAGACCGAGTCCAGGACGAGCTGCGGGAGGCGCTTCAACTGCAGCAGTATCAGAACGTCGTCCTGGCTTCCAAGATGGACGAACTCAGATCCATGATCGAGGCCAACAGTCTACGAAGACTGATCAATCTACCGGAAAACTCGGCTGCACTGCTGAAATTCATTAGCCTCTGCCGGCCCAGCAGCCCAGATGCGAAGGAACTGGAAGGCCTGCTTTCGCAGACAATGCACAGCTCTCACAGCTCTCTTCAGCCCATCATGCCGAATCGGTTCAAGGATCGCGAAGCATTAGGGACGGGCGACAGCTTCAAAGGAACCATCTCCTATGACGGGGTCAAATATTTCTTCGAGACCAAAAAGTACGACTGGCCCCAATCTGACGAGGAGAAGAAAAAGGTCCAGGATGCCATCGTCATGCTGGCCCTTCTCCTGAACGCGCCCAAGCACCCTTCGTTCCACACTCTCGACTGCTTTGGAATCGCGGCGGAGGAGAAAAACAGCCAGTATCTGTTCCTGTATCGATGGCCAGGCCAAGGCAGTGACTCGGGGAAACCGCGAACGCTGCTGGACTATCTTTCCGGCAGCTACAAGCCTTCTCTCAGCGCTCGCGTCCATCTTGCGCGCGAGTTGGCCAGATCACTATTCTTGTTCCACACCGCCAACTGGATGCACAAGAGCTTTTCGAGCAGAAACGTCCTGTTCTTCCCGAGATCGCCGGCTGGCCGATCGTTAGAGAGCCCGTACATTGTCGGCTTCGCCTACTCTCGGCCGGCGGAGAAAGACCAGCCCTCGCTCAAACTCAAGCACGAGTTCGAGTCCGGCATCTACCACCATCCCGAATATCTCGACGAGGCGTCCGTGTTCCACAAGGCTTACGACATCTACAGCCTCGGCCTGGTCCTGTTGGAGATCAGCAAGTGGCGGCCCCTCAAGGACATCTACCTCCAGACCATGGGCGAGCGACGGCAACGACAAGGTAGTTCTGCGAGTTCTCCGACGAAAGACGTCAAGTCTCTGAGCAGGGACGAGCTGCGTCGTCTCCACCGAGAACTCATGGACGGCTTCCAGAACGACGCCGCCGGTCTGAGAGAGGCGCTTTGTGACCGCTCGGCCAAAGACGCTCATCCTGTCGACGTGGCGTTTCGCGCCGGCGACATGTTTGCCGATGCGGTTTTCCGCTGCCTCGGACCCGAGTTTGATCGCTTTCGAGGCGACGGCAGCGGCAGCGGCGAGGACAATCTAGCTCTGCAGGAACTCTTTCTCGAAAAGGTTCTCCGGCCTCTTGAGAATTGCAAGGCATGACCTACTAGTAACCAATGTGCCCGTGAGACGGTGAGGGTCTCAGACGCTTTGGTTGTTAGATTGGGCTCCATGATTAGTTACAGTACAGCAATCCAGACCATTGGAATATTCTGAATATTCATTTATTCATTTTGTTCTGGCATCTAGCATCTAGCATCTAGCATCTAGCATCTAGCATCTGGCATACAGTGACACATACATTACTACGTACGGTAAGCAGAGAAGATATGCAGGCACGCAGACACTTGACTACCGCAAGAGACAATAGAAGAGTATCGAACAGCATAGCGATATAGACATAAGAATGGCCGTTTCAAATTTCAGGCTTCACGGATGCGGTGCGGTCTAACATATCAGCCACCAAGGCAGCCAAAACGGCACAGTACGGCACTGATATCAATACACGCCCTCTGGGCGGTCTGTCTGTCCTGTCTGCACCTCTGAAGCTACGAGGGATAGTTTCCCGTTTCCCGCAGTTATAGAACCATCTCTCTAAACCACAGAATATCGTCCTCCTGACCGCTCCGGCGCCTCGGCTGCACTCATGGTGCCTTCCTTGAGCAGCCGCATCAGCTCTCTCATGGCATCGCGCACCACGACCTCCGTGTCGCCTTCGACAAGAATGTACAGCTTCGGATTTTCCGTGGGCCCGGGCTCCTTGCCCGCCGGGTAGAAGGAGCCTTTGGTGGTGATGGACGTGCCGGTGGATTCGAGGATTTTGGCCACGTTGGTCCGGTTGGTGACGGCCCATCTGGCCTTTTCTGTAGTCGCGAGTCAGTCGGACTGTGCATAAAGGAGGAAAAGGAAAGCCAAACTTACGAGGAAAGTCGTTGATCTCCAGGGTCGCGTGGAAGGCTCCGGCATCGGGACCTTTGTTGTCGATCGGCACACCGGAGCGCATGACCCCGGCTTTGGAGAGTTTCTGGTTGATGCCAGCCACCGCGGCGGCAACCTTGTCCATCTGACTCGTCGGCCCAGAAGACGCAGGTTCCCGCTCGGTCCGGTGCACAGTGATCTTCCCGTCCAGATCAATACCTTTGGGCACCCCGGGGAGTGGGGTGGACGGAGTTGCATCGAATGCCTTGACGGTCGATGCTGCCTTCGCAAATAGGTCGTCGCCCAATTTGTCATCTTTGCCATCGTCCTTCTCTTCTTCATCGTCGCCCTCATCTCCAGTCTTGAAGGTCTTGCGCTCCCGAGCTTTGGCGGCGTCACGTTCCTGATCGAGTCGTTCGAGACCTTTGCCACCAAATCCAGATGTGGCGGCTTTCTCCTTGCCCGCCTTGACCTTTTCCATGAACGAATCGACGAGATTCTTCACAGATTCGGGGATTGGTTGCCCGCTCTGCCTCAACGCCTTTGCAATGTCGACGGCATATCGATCCTGCTCTTCCGTCAGGAACGTCACCGCAGTGCCAGTGTTGCCTGCTCTTCCAGTGCGACCAGCTCGGTGTACATAGTCCTCCAGATGATTGGGGGCGTCGTAGTTGACCACAAGTTTAAGTTGTTTGACGTCAAGTCCACGAGCAGCCACAGAGGTGGCAATGAGGATGGGAATAACGCCGGCTTTGAAGTCGGCAATGGTCGAGTCGCGGTCGATTTGATCCTTTCCACCATGAATCGACATGCAGGGATACCCTCTCTTCATCAAATCTCTGAGAAGGCTGTCAGCGGACTCTTGTCGATCCACAAAGACGAGCGCCCGGTCATCTTCGTTCTTCTCGTCTTCGTACAACTTGCCCAGTAGTTCGAGGAGGCGGACGAACTTGGTGCTCTCGTCTCGCACCTCGACGATCTGTGTGATCTCCGGCGCCACGACACTGCGACCGCCCACCACGATTTCGACTGGTTTACTCAGAGTCTTTCTGGCCAGGGCCTCCATCTGCCGTGGGAAGGTCGCCGAGAATAGCACGGTCTGACGATCTGGCCTGACGTTGGACAGAATCTTCATGACTTGAGGCTCGAACCCCATATCGAACATGCGATCGGCCTCGTCCAGTACGACATACGTGACGCGCTTCAAGTTGGTCACCCGCCCGCCGTTGGCAGCAAGCAGATCGATCATTCTGCCAGGTGTGCACACCACAATTTCGGCCCCTCGTTTCAGATCGGCAATCTGGTCTTTGATGGGCGCACCGCCATAGGCGCAGACCGCCCTCAGCCCAAGAGCTTTCAAAAAGGGTTTACACTCTTTATGGATCTGCGTGGCCAGCTCTCGGGTTGGACTGAGAACCAACACAATCGGTCCATCGAGCGGGTCCAACGGCCGTTGATCTTTGATATGCCGAAACATGGGGAGGAGAAAGGCAATGGTCTTGCCAGAGCCCGTTTTGGCGACCCCGATGACGTCTCGGCCCGACATGATGGCCGGAATGGCCTGCGCCTGGATGCTTGTTGGCGCGTCATAACCCAGCCTTTGGATGACTTCGAGGACCTGGACACCCAGACCACACTGCGCCCATTTCTGCACGGGTGTTGGGACATTGACACCTCGGACCTTGATGTTGTCAAGCTCCATTCGCAACATTGCCACTTCTTCCTCTGTCATGCCCACGTTTTCAACAGGCTCCGAGTAGAAGTTGCGCCGGAACGGTTCGTATTGGATCTTTGAGTGGTTGACCGTGGGAATGTCTTTCTTCTTCTTCTTGGCAGTGGCCGATGCCAGCGACAGAATGTTGTCAGGGTTGTCATCGTCGATGGCAGTGAAATCGACATCATCGTCTGAAAAAAGGGCCTCGGGCTCCTGCTGCCGAGACTTGGATGTCGATGTCTGACCGAACGGCTTTCTGGCTTGCTGAGGCTGCAGGTCTTGCATGAAAGCATCCAATGGGTCCACATCGTCTTCTTCCTCTTCCGGAGCACTTGCAGTGGTCGTGGTGGCTGCAGGTACGGGAGCATCCGCCATGGCTGTATCCTCGCCCCGTTCTGCTTTGCTTCGCTGCTCGGCAGCAGCACGCGCGGCGGCCAACGCCTCTTCTCCTACATCTTCATCTTGCATATCGACATCAACATCACCGTCGCCATCGGCTTCATCGGCATGGCCAGCAGGAGAGTCTCCATTCTCTTCCAATGGCATGTCTGGGAGCTTTTCGAGTTTTTTCTTCGTCCCCTCGTCGTCCTCGAAACGGAGGGCGGATTTGGACAGATCCGTGTCGGTTGAGGTTTTGCTCCCGAGTCCAAACTTTCCCAGGTTGCCCTTCGCTTTGAGAGATTTTGCAGTTGATGAGCCATTAACGCCAGAGCTGGGAGGATTCTGGTCCTCGACCGATACATGGCCGTTCGTTAAGTTTGGCGCCGGTACATCTCCACCAAGCACTTTGACCGATGTAGACGCATGTTGTGCTTTCTTTGCAATGGCTTTCGGATCAAACTTGCCAGCATAAGACGTAGAAGCGGAGGCTGGTGCTGGTGCCGGCGCTGGAATTTCAGGGACGGCAGCGGCAGGGGCAGGGGACTGCGGCGAGCTCACGACTGGCGAGATTCCTGCTCTCCTGTCAATCTCATTCAGAATGCTCCGTGCTCCACCTGCTGCCTCAAGCTCTTTCTGTTTCCTGGCTTGTTCTTCAGCTTGTTTCCTCTTCCACTGTTCCAGCTTGGCAAGTCGAGCCGCCTTCTGCTCCTCGGCCGTTTGAGAGGTAGGAGTGGATGGCTTCGATGCCTGTAATTGTCCATGAGCCCCGTACGGACGTGGCAGCGGTGTAGAACTCACCTCTCTCGAGACAGCAGCCGGGTCTCGTTTGGAACCCCGATCACGACTGTCGTCTCGTTTTCGCTTTCGTGATTCCGTCGACTCGTCTCGCCTTGACCGTATGTCCTTGTCCCTACTCCGTCGTCGGTCGTCACGATCTCTTGAACGTTTTCGGTCTCTTGACCTATCTCGCCTCGAATGGTTGTAGTCATCGTCTCTTCGGCCGTCATATCGACGATCTATGGAACGGTCTCGCCGCCGATAACCATTACGATCCCGGTCTCGGCGGTCTCGGTCTCGGTCTCGGTCCCGGTCTCTGTCTCTATCGCGGTCTCGATACCGTCGCTGTGCATGAAACTTGGGTAAGTATTTGTCCTTGAGATACGGAGGCATTGAGGAACGACATACATCTGGACTCCGAGATCTGGAATATCTCCGGCGATGACCTCGGTCATCCTCCCGGCGACCTTTTTCAGAGCGAGCCTCATCTTTTCGACTGCGTTTTGACGAGGAGAAAGAACTGCCTGCAGGTGATGGTGAGCGCGTGTCCCCGTGCCTAGCCATCCTGTGGCTGCAGATAAGTGAGCTTTACTGCTTGTACCGCAACCAGGACCAGGCTCGAACAGGTGAATGGGACGGGGGATGAGTCGGCGAGTCGGACAGTTTGCTCGTTGTTCGACAAGACAAGAGAGAGCCGGCACTCAATAGTGTCCCTAGAGACGAAGGCGACTTGAAGTTGTGGTTGTCACCTGGATTATAACACTGCCATTTGCCATCGCAGTCTTCGGCAATTGGCAGAGGCTCAACTGGAACTGGGTCTTGAAGGCTGCAGTGCAGTTGTCCCGCTCCTTGGCATGTTTGGCATGTTTGACCAGGTGCCTGGGCCGGCAAGAACGCACGTGACTCGGCCTGGCCCCAGCCAAACGCCAACGCGCATTGGGATCGAGGCTCCAGCCACCGAGTATCTGGCCGGATACTAGTAACTGATATCATCCCCATTCCAATGCCGACCTCCTTGCTTCGAGTCCACGTTTACTGATCTAGCTTGTCGCTCTCCTGAGTAGCTATTACGGCATGACGACCGCTTTCCCTTATTCCCGGACGCTGTCCAAACAGCTCGTGGCCAGGTCGGCTTGGTCGTTGACGCGACCCTCGGTGACCAGTTCCCTCCTACGCGTCACCTGCAACTGCACACCCAATGGTGAACGATCAGCCCGTCGCCATGCTCACCTGAACCTTGGGTCCACTTTCAAGTATGCCGTCTGCCGAACGTATGCGACATCCGCCGAAAAGCCGGCAAGCAGGCCTAAGGCTCACACGGGACGCGCTCCTGCAAAGGGCACCGCTACCAAGAAGGCCAAAACGCCCAAGAAGAGTACAAAGAAAGCGAAGAAGAAGGCTGCCAGTAAACCCAAACCCAAGGGTAGGAAGCCTCTAAGCAAGACTGCCATTCTTCAAAGACAACGACAAGAATCAGCGGATCTGCGTGCGAAGGCATTGCTGCAAGAGCCGAAACAGCTTCCTCAAACGGCCTTCATACTGGTGTTTGTGGAAGAAGCGAAGAAAGGTGGAGATGCTAAGGCCAATGCGGTATCCGCATCTGCGAGGTACAGGAGTTTGTCTCCCGAGGAGCGCGAGGTAGGCATTCTCTTTCTCTGGCCGGACTGTACTGTCCTGGATCAAGTCTAACTTTTGCGCAGCAATACAACCACCAAGCCAACCTGAATAAGGAGAAAAACATCGAAGCGTACAAGAAATGGGTTCAAACCTTCACACCACTCGAGATCAAGAACGCGAACAGTGCTCGAAAACAGCTTGCGAAGAAAGCCAAGGAGGCAGGCAAGAAGACAAAGTTCCAGTCCATCAAGGACGATCGGACGGTGAAGGCCCCACAGAATGGCTATTCCTTCTTCTTCACGGACCGTCATCTATCTGGCGATCTCAAAGGACTGCCTGTGGCGGAGTCAGGCAAGCTTGTAGGCAGGGAGTGGAAGGCCTTGTCACCCTCGGAGAAGAAGGCAAGTGATGCACGTCCACCCTTGGTTTCCTGATGCACATCCACCCTTGATTTCGTTTCGTTTGCTTGGTGTTCCTTGCTCTTGCTAACTGAGAACCCTAACTCAACAGCCCTACGAAGACAAGGCAGCAGCAGACAGGGCCCGATGGGAAGAAGAATACAAGACGGTATACGGGCTGGATCCTCCACGCCTGCGGAAACAATCGTCATAACACGAGTCCCGATATCTGATATCTGACATCTGCATCTGACATGTTGAATGTCTCGCTCTCTCCCTCCTGCTCATCGGACGACCATCATCCAACGAGGACCATCACACGGTTGGGTTACTCGGACCATCGCACGGTTGGGTTACGAGTACCATCTCACGGTTGGGTTACTCGGTCGGTAGAAGAGACCTCGAGGTCAACAAGCCTAGCCCTTCCTTATGCGACATGTCATGTCCTAATCCTTTACATATCAGACCGTCTTCTACTGTGTCATTTGTACCTGTACCTGTACCTGTACCTGGGAGAGAGGGCCAGGCCCACTGGTTTCTTCGCGTCTGTTGGGTCGCTGGGTCGGCCTGCACATGCACATGCACCGAGACTTCTAAGATTCGACTGGTTGTGACTGTGGCTTTCGCCTCAATGATAAGTACTTGACTTGACTTGGACATGTGCGTTCCATTGCGTTGCTTGCGTTGCGTTGTGTTGTATGTGACTTTTAGGCAACGTGCATTTCAGGGCCCTTACTGGCTGACTGACTGGGTGGATGGTTGACTGGTTGACTGGTTGACTGACTGACTGACTGGTTGACTGGTTGACTGGTTGACTGGCTGACTGACTGACTGACTGACTGACTGACTGACTGACTGACTGACTGACTGACTGGTTGACTGGTTGACTGGTTGACTGGTTGACTGACTGGTTGATTGACTGACTGGTTGATTGACTGACTGGTTGACTGACTGACTGGGTGACTGGGTGGATGACTGGTTGATTGACTGGGTGACTGGGTGGGTGGCTGGCTGGCTGGCTGGCAGGAGCTGTAGGCGTGGGCGTGGGCGTGGGCGTGGACGTGAGCGTGAGCAATACAGGATGGGATGGGATGGGATAGGATATGAGGGTGAGTCGTCATGATAGCGATATCATGCGAGACCGGTCAGCGTCAGTCAGAGTCAGTGAGGGTCAGAGTCAGGGTCAGGGTCAGTGAGGGTCAGGACGGCAATGGCAAATGCAAATGTAAATGCACATTCACATTCAAATGCCAATGCAAATTAGTGGTCTACGTACCTACGTACGTACAAATCAATTGATCGTCGAGTTCCATCTTCTTCCATCTTCCATCTTCCATCTTCCATCTTGCCTCTCAACCGTTGTAGAATATTGAATATTGAATACGTATTGATACATCAGGAACCAGGACCGGCTTTTGTCTGTCTGCCTCGCGCCTCGCTGGCTAACTTGGTCGTTGGTCCTCAGAGTTAGAGTTTATACAGGGTAGGGATAAGATCAAGACTCAAGATCAAGACTCAAGATTCAAGACAAGATCAGACCGTCCGGCTCTATACACTTCGCTACTTGACATTCTTCAATATACAAGTCTCAAGAATTGAGATCAAGATTCAAGGTCAAGACTTAATATCAAGACTCAAGATCAAGGTCAAGATTCAATTAAGATCAAGATTCAAGATCCCACCATCCGGCTCTATACACTTCGCTACTTGACATTCTTCAATATACAAGCTCTCCGTCGGCATCTGAACTGCCCGGACAACCTGCTCCCTTGTTTTACAGTTCTATAGCAAAGCGTAATCTTCCAAGACAAGCAGCCATCTTTACGGCGCATCTGCCACGACCCTGACGCAGGGACTCAATGGTCCGTTGAAGCTCATTGCTTGTTCTCGTCTTTTGGCTTCTCCTCCTCTTCCAACATATTTCTTCGGCTCTCCATGGTGAACCACAAACTCCTGCTCGCGCTTTCCAGGGTGCTGGTGAGTCCGACGCCGAATCCTTGCAGGAGAGCCACCAATTGGGCACGCAGGCCACCAATTCCGCCCTCGATACTTCCAACCCATCTGGTACCTTCTGAATCAAAGATTTGGCCATCGATGCGCGCCCCCAGGATCAACAGCTTCTTCAGTCCATCTTGGACCGGAGGATCGTAGTACGATGGCGCGGCACGGCGGGTAGGCGCCGGGAAAGTTGGGGCCTTGGGTGAGAGGACAGAGAAAGCTGTTTTCAGGTGCACGGGAGAGACGGCCGGGAAGGTCAAGATGGCAACTGCCCCGGCCAGCACAGGAGTCAGAGGATGCTCGCCTTTGTGTTCGCTGGCGACTCGGTATGCTGCTTCAGACAGCGCGTGGGTCAAGGCGGGATCCGATCCATCGATCGACTGAGGTGCAAGTTCTCCCGGGTTGAAGTACTCGGCAACACGAAGGGCCGGTTCAAAGATATTTGTCTTGATGACCTCAAATTTGATGTAATCCGCAATCAAGTCTTCCGGCGGTGTTCCTTGCTTGGCGAGTTGCTCATCGATCTTTCGGAGTGCGGACCTGAGTTCGCGTCGGATGCCTACCCATTCGGCGGCTTTGAGATTGCTGTGTTGGAATAAGACGATCAGAGGCGTGGTCTGGAGAAGGGAGACGTAGGATCGAAGGAGCTGCGACTTTCGCTGTAGAGGACTTCGGTGTGACGGAGGCTGGACGGCCGGGTATCGTGACACTGGAGGTATCGATGACTGGAATTGTGTATCAGACGACGCCGGTGTCGTGGCGACAGCAGTCGCATACTGGCATCGGCCGCAAGTGTATGCAGGTCGCTGGAGCTGCAGATCTGCCAGCTGCGCGAGAGAGCGCAGCCGTAGGCGTGGAGGCATGATTTGGCAATGCCCGGGGAGATCTTCAGCACTTTGATTTTGCGAGCATGCGTGAAAGAGTGCAAAAGCGTGCGTTGGCTCGAGGTGTTTAGTTGGAGATTCCGTGTATGCTCTTCTGTACAGAATAGTGTCGAGGTATGGTACCTGGCATGGGAAAACTGTTCCTAGCCCACCCCGTTTGAGGAGGAGGATGATGCCGCCTTATTGTCACCCCGTTTGAGGAGGAGGATGCTGCCGCCCTATTCTTACCTCGGCTCGCTTGGCATACCTGTGGATAGTGCGACGCTGGGTGCTTAATCGGGCAAGACCCGTCCCGGCTAACCACTAGTACTACTAGGCCGCTCTGGTTCCTGATATTATCATGAAGTTGTTTGTACCTTATAGGAGACCCCTGACATTGTCAAACTCGCTGTCTTGAAGAGCAGCCACTTTGGTAGGTGTTCTAGGACTATTTAGAAGGCATTAAGTGGCACCACATCATGGAAATTAAGGGAACATGATCATGCTCACGCTCACGCTCACGCCGCCAGCTAAAGCTTCACATGATACCGATCCCCACCCCTCCCGGCCTTGTACTCGTCGAGAGCGGCATTTACGGCGTCTGCGTCCAATCCCTCAATGACGTGATACTTGATGGGTTTGATCTCCCCCCGGGCCATCCAGGCGGGAAACTCCTTCCAAAACAGGCGGCCAACCTCGGGGATTTTGTGCGAGAAGCCTGCAATGGGCTTGTCGTGAACGCCTGCTACCTTGTTCTGCGCCGCGGCAGCATCGCTCACATTGCCACCAGGCAGCAGATGGACCACGGTGCCCTGGTTCACGTCGGAGAGCAGAGACACGGCGAGACTGTAGTCTCCAAAGTTGACCGTGTCGTAGACGTACAGCAGGTCGTCCCCGACGATTGCACGAACTTGGCCCCGGATGTCTTCGTCCTGGCGAGCAACCACGTGTGTTGCCCCGTATCCCTTCAGCTCCGCAGTGTTCGACGGCGACGCCACGGCCACGATGGTGCCCACCCCAGCAACGCGTGCCAGTTGGATGGCCAGCTTCCCCGTGTTCGAACCTCCTCCGATCACGACAATCTTCTGGCTCGCATAGTCGAAATTGGCCGATTCGGCGCTGCCGGGGAAGGGAAAGCCAAACCCGTCGGAAGAGAACAGCGCGAGCGCAGAGGTCACGGCGTTGATGGGGTACAAGGCTGCTTCGGTCGCACTGATTCCTTGGGGAACAATTGCAGTGTAGAGGCCATTGACCACCGTGTATTCTTGCAGCCCGCCACCAGCGGGACGATGAAATTGAATCTGTGAGAAGACTAGCGCTCCCACAGGAAAAGAAACTTCCGAGCCAGTCTTGACGACGATGCCAACGACATCTCCGCCCAGTACCGCGGGCAGTTTGTCGCCGATGTTGAAGTAGCCTAGGTCTCGGATCTTTTGATCGAGTGGCGCAACTGTTTACCATCAGCATCAAAGTGGTGGAGGATAGATTCCGACCTGGCTGTACTTACGACCCACAGCGCTGACCTTGATGAGGACTTCATTGCCCTTGAGCTCCACCGATTCCGGTCCCGGGAGAGATATCAGTGTCAACGGCTTGCCGACGGTGGTGAGAGCGAGGGCGGTTTGGGTGGCCATGACTCTTCGAGGTCTCTTGGTACTGGAATTGAGGACGTCAACTGCTCTGATGAGATCTTAGTCGTATGCGTTGAGAGTGAAACTAGACTCTGCGGTGCCAGCGCTGCATCGGCCTTTATATAGAGCGTCTCTTCGGTGTTACCATTCTCTCCACAGGTAATTCTGGTGCATTTCCGGAGATATCCACCAGTGAAACAGAACACGGACAGAGCATTCTGACATGGATTTGTAATGATTGCCCACGCCACACATATACCGCCGCTGCTGTCAGGCCAGGAGTCCTCATGTCATGGTGCAAAGCGTGTAGGTCGATATTGATAGCACTAACCGTAAGTAGAACGGGCGCGCAATACTAACCGGAAATGGCAATGCGGACGAGCAGAATACACCAATCATGGCATATGCTGCACCGACCCATGCAGGCTCCTTGCGTAGAGGGGAGCGGGCCCCCAGGAGCTGCCAAGTGGCGGAATCCTGATGGAGGCTCACAATCTCTCCGATGCGAAGTTGCCCGAGTAGGAGGGCTTTGGAGCCAGTCCCAGAGATTGCCTCCCCGTGTCGGATCTTCTTTCAAGCCGAACCCGATTGTCATGAGTATCGACGCTGGCTCCTAGTCGGTGCCACCGCATGTGCTTCCAAGCTCAGGCTCCAATATGTCCCTCCGGGCCAAAAGCCATGCTTGCCCAGAGAAGCACATAGCCATGGATTACAGACTCATCCGGAAAGACAGTCAGGGTCTGCGATGCATTGTCAGCAGCCTCCTTCCCTTGGTGGTGGTAGAGGGGAGCGCACGTTGGAGAACACTGTGGCCTGTCCGATGCCCATGTTTTGGCCAATCCACGCCAGGCACTCCCTCATCTGACATCGGAGATGGAGTGGAACGATGGATAGATTTGACGATATGTAGAGTGGGTGCATCAGCAGCAAACCTCCGATCGACTTGCCCGGAGACACCTCTCCTGGACTGCTACTTGAAAGATGCTGCTGCATGTCCAAGTCATGTGTGACGTGGTAAGGAATGGACGCCATGATGGCCGCGACAAGATCTGCCGCTTCAGCCTGCAGCTTGCGGACCCCATCCTTTAGTTGAAGCCGTTCTGAAAGTCGGAGGATCTTGTCTAATAGCATCAATCGATTCTTGCGATGTGCGTTCCAGGCCGCCGCCACGTATACTGTCATACTCGTCAGTCAGGTAACAGGAAGAACAGAGCTAGGATTTCTCAGACAGTCGTAATACGTGTCCACCCTAGGCGGCCAAAAGTTGAGCCCTTCAGGAGGATGCTGACTTCCGGCTTGGATGGTTCTTGGTCTCCACTCGTCAGACTGCCGGGTCGGCCATAGGGCGAGTCGTTTATCCAGCAAGACTGCCTGATGAAGAACGTCACGAAGGTCCTCGGCCAGCGCGACAGACCTGGACAAACAATCTTCAGCTCTGCGCAGGACCTGGTGGAAAGCGACAGCAGAGATATCGGTGGGCTCGGCTGTGAGATTGGATCGTAGATTGGGGCGAAAAGGGACGTCGTCTTGCGGCGGTCGAGACTGTCTGGAGGAGCTGGTCACATTGAATGAGGGAGTGGGAGCTGGAGCTGGAGAGTTCGGCACCACTTCAAAATGCCTGCCGCTCCGGAGTGCATGCGCCAACTGAAAAAGATTGCCTCTGATGGACAAATCAAAAGGCGAGCCCTCAGCACATAGAATGGCAGCGACACCTCCAGAATGGGTGGTGTGGCTGCTGGGGTTCGATGAATTGGCCGTGACCAGCTACGTCCAAGGTTAGCTCTTCATTCTGGGTCCCCATGTGGGTGGCACAGACCTCATATAGTCCAAGCAACACGGCCGTCATTAATGGTTTGGTGACATCGGTCATGGACGGGCGACAGATAGACGAGGAGAACGAGCGCAATAATTCGACATACAATGATCTTGCCCTGTCAAGAAGAGAAGATACGTGAAGCCTCGCCCCCAGACTCGCAAATGCAACGACTTTGGCGGCTTGGTAGAGCTCGTCGTCGGGGCCGGCGTGACGGATCCATGATTCCAGGCCGTCCAAGCAACCACGAGAGAGCAATCTGTTTTTCGCAGCGAATGTGTAGTGGCGGAAGAAGCCGGAAAGAGCATACTGCTCAAGGGAAGCATCTTGCACGCCCAGCAAGAGGCTTTCTGGAGGCCCAGGAGGTAGCCGGGTCAAATCAACGATGGTAGACTGAGGATGTATCTGCTCGCAACGACCGTAGGACCCTGACCCTGACCCTGATCCTCGAAACAGAAGCTCGGCGTCGTCACGATAACCCAGGCAGAGAATCTTCGCCTTTTGACACCGGTCACACGCCTTATGCCGTCGATGGGAAAGATTAGCGAGGCAACGAAGACGAGGTCGGTTGTGCCCTTGCGCCCCGCGAAAGTGAACTTACTGGTCGAGCTTGGTCGCACTGGGGTTGCTATTAGCACCATTCCATTGCCGCTTGACATGCTATATGTAGGGCGGGATCATTACCTTCTTCCGCCTCCTTCTGCAGGTAGCGCAGGCATGCGAGATGCCATAGTTAACCATTCTTCGTGTCAAGCTAGATAGCCACCGGGTTGTAGCTAGATGACCATTTTTAGTGTCAAGCTGGATAGCTACTGAGTTGTAGCTAGATGATGATGGCGAGATTCAACGGTAGTCAAGTCGCACTTTAGAGGCGTGGACTAGGTACCTAGTCGTGGTGGTACTGATGTACTCCGTAATTATGGATGATATAGGTTGGTAATCATTTAACTCGAACTAGAAGTTGGTAATTCCCATGTTCTTGGCAGCTAAGCCTGTATAGGTAATATTGCCAATAGTAGTATTCGACTAGTGCTTGTGATACTGCCGAAACTCTCTACTCTACTTAATTCGTGTTCTCTCTCTACCTTCTTGAGGTAGTATCCATACATCAGGGGCGGAGAGAGGCCTATAACTGCGACGAAATGGGCACGGGGATGAGAATCGTCCAGGATGCGCCCGGAACAGGCTTTGATCTATATAGGCTTAACTCCTTATAGGTGTACGAGAAGAGGAAGAGGAAGAGGAAGAACAGGGAGAACAGGGAGAAGGAGAAGAAGGAGAAGAAGAAGAAGAAGAAGAAGGAGAAGGATAAGAAGGACAAGAAGGACAAGAAGGAGAAGAAGAAGTATCCGTACATCCCATCTACTCCTGAGGCCTTCATTATTTAAAGATATATATGCCGTTGTCGGTCAGCATCACTGTACCGCGGTCGTCTCCATTCAACCCCTTAGTATGCACCAGGCTGGCCTTTTTGGGCGATCGGCTTGAAGCTCACAGTAGTCGGCTCTTCCGTGATTCCTCTCTTCCTGGCCTCCTCCAGAATGGCGACTGTGGCGGTTGCCCCGATCCTCGTCACGCCCAGGGACATGACGTGCAGCAAGTCATCGAGACTCCTGACGCCACCGGCGGCCTTGATCTGCACGCTGGGCTTGGAGAATTTCCTCATCAATTTCAGGTCCGGCACCGTCGCGCCCTGGTAGGTGTACATTCCGTTGGGCTGCTTGACGAAGCCGTAGCCCGTCGAGGTCTTGACAAAGGCGACATCCAGCTCCGAACAGATCTGGCACAGACGAACAATATGGTCTGGTTGCAGATAGTCGTTCTCAAAGATCACCTTGAGGATCGGTCCGCGCCGCACTACGGCCTCGTTGACCAGTCGGATTTCCTCACGGACGTATGCCCAGTCGCCCCCGAGAGCCTTGCCGATGTTGATGACCATGTCGACCTCCGTGGCGCCTTCGGCGGCGGCGGCGTCCGCTTCGGTCACTTTGATCGCCGTGCTGCTGTTCCCGTGCGGGAACCCGATGACCGCGCACACATGGACGCCCGATCCCGCGAGCGCCTTTCTTACCATCGGGATGAGGTACGGTTTGATGCAAGCAGACGCCACGTGGTATTTCAGGGCCACTTCCAATCCCTGTCGAATGTCGTCGTCCGTCATGGTTGGATGCAAGAGGGAATGGTCGATCATCTTGGCGAGCTGAGAGAGCGTCACCCTGATGGTGTGTTCTCCTGCAGACACCTCGGTCGAGGGATGGGGAGAGTTTGTTGAAGACATGGTGACAAAAGGCGAAGTGTCCGGAAGAGGTCTCAAGACGTATGCTTCTGGTCGACCTGAGGTGCTTCTGCGTATATACGTACTTGTCCTTGCTGAAGTTATCGTGTCTTCCTATTCTATGGCACTCCCAATCCTTCGGAGCGTCTTGATGGGGTATATATAGGACATCTGGATATACCGCCGTCCGGATGCCTGTCCCAAAGCGGAAGTTGACTCCGGTGGAAGAGACCCAGAGGCACCGGTCCGTATCAGACCACCGAGTCGACGCTATACCGCTCTATAACCAATGAGTGTTTATAGAATGCCTTGGGAAGGTGTGAAAACTGTCGTACTGCTCAAGGTCTTGAGCGTGCCGCTGACTTGGCATATCCGAGCTTCATGTTTGCTCGATACCCGGGGTGGAATCCAACTCCCGACAGTCGTACTGGTGTCATTGCAGCACTGTTATTGAACAAATCTCTTTAGCCGTTTGCACCGGGGAAGAAATCAACTCCCCAGATCCATCCCTCCTGCTCAATATAATCGTTGCCCGTGGGATGGCTAGACAAATTTGACAAACCGTTGTCTGGCACAGTGGTGTCTCCAGAAGAGTCGTACATGGCTGTGATTTCAGTTAGCGATACCACAAGACCGGTCTGGATATAGTACCTTGTTCCAAATCCAGCAGCATATTGGTCACGCTGGGATTCTCGTCAAAGTCAAAGTCGATGATTCCATAGTCTGGGTTGAAGATGGACGTCTCTCCCAAGTCGCCCGTTGCCGGTAGTGAAGCATTATCTTGAGTTTCGACTGTGGCTGCACTCGCGTCCGAAATTCGAGGGAGACTCTCGCCGATGTCCTTTCTGGAATGTTCAGGCCATCCGTCGACGATTGGAACTGTCTGGGCCGCTTCCTCCAGGGCCGAGAATTCAAACATCTTTTCCTTTTCCTTCTGCAAAATCAGGTCGGCCAAGTTCTTCAGGATCCGGTGGCTCTGGGCAGCGAGGTTAGAGGACTCTTTCAATGACAGCTGCATTTCCAGGAGACGGTGGACACCAATCTTGGCCTCTTGAGATTGCATGCTCAGCGGTGCTAGACTGGCCAGGATGCACAGGGTAACTCCGGCAGTGAAGAGATGCATGCCAAAGAAGGCAGCCGCGTAGGTTGTCGAGGCATAGTGGAAAATGGGGGTGGATCCCACCGCAGAGGTCCGTAGAGCAGCTTCACGGCATGCCTGTATCGACCGCTGGAAAGGGTTCGAGGCTGCGGAAGATGGGAAAGTGGCCATGCCCTTGCCCTGTGGATCAGTAGGAGCTGGAGGAATGATCTTGTAAGACAGGAGTGGGCGGTGAACCAGGATTCTGGCATTCTCAAAGGCCAAACTCAAGGCCAAGGCTTGTAATTGAAAGATGTGGCTTTCGAACCTGGCACCCGACGCTCCAATATCAGCGTCGATTTCTTCCCGTAGATGGTAGCTCGACGCCGATGCCTCCACATTCTCCAGCCGGAGTGTGGGCGGAAGTTCTTGATGCCAGTGACGCAGTCGGTCGTCGAGCTCCGCCACTTGGTAAATGAGTTGCTGTAGGCGAGTAGTCCGGTTCGCTGATGAGGTCCCCGGATTGGCCGGGTGCTGGTGTACGTGGTAGAGATCGGTGAGGCCGGCTCGGACAATCATCAGTAGCTTCGACATGAAGTATTTGTACGATAGTAATGTCGCTACATTGATCGACGAGTCCCTGGCGAGAGGTGAGGGTCTGTAGTTCTGCTGATCGGCATGCGGATCCAAGGTCTCGACATCGCAATCATGCTCCGAGATGGTCAACGGGTAGCCGTATAGCATCGAGCAAATCGTCTCAATCTCGTATACCGCCCACCATGTCCGCTTCCGGACTTCGTTGGACTGGGACCCAGGCGACCGGGAGGTGCTGTCGGAAGTAGCTAGCTTTCGGTGGAGGTTGAGGGCTTGCGCGACCCTTAGTCCGCAGCCGCAGATTGGCCATGACAGCTCCGGGCGACCATAGTAGAGGTAATAACTGCCCAGTAAGACGCACGTCTGAACCACCTCGAGGGAGCCAAGCGAGAGTACATCGAGGAATCTCACTCTCAATGTGGTCAGGATATTCTCCTTTAGTGTTTCGGGGTCGACGCCGGCACGTCGTAGAATGTTCTTGCGATACGCGCCCGCATGCTGCAAGGTAATGGCAAACGAGGCCAACAGAGTGCTTGTGAAACCAACCAGCCCATTTTTGGTCACGAGTTGAAGGTCATGCCGAATGTCGTAGAGCCGGTCAAATCTACTTCGAAAGTCCTCTTGATGGAAGACCAGCATGAACCAATGGACTTGATCGAAGTATGTGTTCAGGAGGAGGGTCGCCGGCTCCGGGTCCGGTAGTAGTGCGAGAAGATCCAGCGTGGCGGCCGAAGAGATCTTGGAGGGTTCGAATTTGGGTCTTGACACCTTCGACGGGCGTGAAAGCCGGCTTCTTTTTCAAGATGTTAGAGATCTAGATCTTGAAGTGCGATGGATGGGCGATCACCTACCTTTCAGCAGTAGTCCTTTGTAGGGTAGAAAATGCCGAGGTTTCAGAGGTGGGTGGCGTGTCCGAATTGTGGTACTGGAAAGCCTGGAGAACAGTGTCAATAGACGGGTCAAGGTTGCCATGTCACTCTCTCACCTCTTCCACCAATGCGATTGTTGAGCTCGAGGTCCAGAGTGTTTCGTCAGGTCTATCGTCCGCCGGAGAAGGAAGATTGGTCTGTACAGTTTCCCCAACGCTGATCGGAAGGTGTGGAACCGAGTCGGCTTCCTCTCGAGCAGCCTGCGGAGGCGGAGGGTTGGGGCGAGATCTCTTCGGAGAGGGTTGGTCAGGCGTGCCATTTCCTCTACTGGCACTACTACGGTCTCCGGCCACCTCACCGGTAGAAGTGTAAATTTTCCACGAAGTTGGCTCCGCAGATATGCACGGCGTATCTGCCCTGGTGCAAAGAGTACAAGGCCGTTGAGGGTCGCACTATTGAGAGTGAAGGAGTTGTTTAGCATCACACTTGGGGTGAAAGGAGTGGTGGTGGTGGGTGGTGCGGGCTCACCTTCAACTTCTGCCGGCGGCAACGTTGACAGGCAGCGGCGACTTTGTGCCTGTGCGGACGAGAGGGCCCCATCACCATGTACGGGCGGCACGTTCAAGATGCCTTTGCGCAGCATATCTGCAGCAGAGTAGAAAAGTAGAGGTGAGCGATATTCAGCCTTGAGCATCCGATGCGCTAGTCCCGACACGGAAATATATCCCGGTGGAATCCCAGCTACCAGTCATGTGTTAACCCAACCCTAACCCTAACCCTAACCCTAGGTGACGGGCAACTGGATTTAATTGGTCAGAGCTAACGCCCGAGCTTTAAAGCGGCGTCCTGCGGGTGTATGTCACAGGCTCGTAGTGATCCTCCAGGGGCCCAGCCCTATCCGTACCTAGACCTAGACCTTCAGCAACGCGTACGTGTCCGGGATGAAACAAGACTTTCGGCTGAACGGCAACAATGGAGGATGACAGCCTACCACTGCGTGTGTCAAAGGTTTAAATGTTCCATATTTGCTATTAAAAGGGTATAGGGGAGCCAAGACTATATACATAGTATACCTATACTGCCCTTCTACTTAAAGGGTAAGACTGGGAATGCCTACCTTAGTTGGTGCCTGAGTGTGACATCCTCATCCTCTCCAGCCTCCACGTCCCAGCCTATCCAGGATCCATGACAAGACGACGATAGCCTCGCCGGCTCCACCGTCTACAAGATCTTGCCAACCGCTCCACGGACAAAGAGCATATCGAGGTTAATGGAAGCCTCTCCGGCACATACTTCGACACACACTGGCACTTCGTGGATAATTGTCCAAGCCCAGGCCTAGTCTGAGTCCCAGTCCTTGAGCGATTAAAATCCCAATCCCAAAAACAGAGAGACGGGAATTCTGATCTCTGATCTCTGATCGCTGATCGGTCTGCCTCACCGAGAATAGAGACGAGCATGGTCATGGCCATGGCCGTGATTGTCTTCTCCGTCCTCCGTCCTCCCTCTTCCGTCCTTTTCTCTATCACTACGACGACGACGTCTTTTGCCGATGAACCTACAGCCGATACTACTACGATCACTTTCCGATGACTCTACAGCTAATATCACTACGATCACTTCTCCCGATGAACATTGATCGCCGATACTACGAACGAGGATCGAGGGTCGACGAGGCCTGCTAGCATTGGCGCGTCGGTACAGGTTAGGTACCTAAGGTAGGTACACATGATCCTTACTCGTACAGTACATCCGATGCAATTTGCCGATCGACACGACACGACACGTCCTCTCAAGAGGCCCCTGACGAAGATTTGTTCCACTTCCACTCTACACTTCCACTTCCACTTTCCCCGGCAGTGCTGCAGTTTTCCAGCCATGCCATGCCGATACGAATCCCGATACGAAACCCGATCCCTGGTACCTACCTACCTACCTACCTACCTACCTATCGCTACAGTATACAGAATACCTACCTGACCTATCACTATAGTGTACGGAACATAGCTTAGCATCGGGAAATTGGTATCCAGTGTCTAACATCAGTACCTATCCCGATTCCCTACAGTGTGCAGAATGTACTGTAGGATCGGGAAATTCATATCCAGTATCTAACACCGGACAATTCGCGATCAAATAACTACCGATCCCTGGTACCTATCTATCCCTACCGTGTACGAAAAATACTGTAGCACCTGGTACCTACCTATCTGGTACCCATCCCTACAGTGTACGGAAGATACCTTAGCATCGGGAAATTCGTATACAGTATCTAACCTAACACCGGGCAATTCGCCATCAAACAACCTAACTGACCCCCCGCCATCCCCTACGGCACGCCCTTCAGCGGCAAAAGATTGTCTTCCGCCCTGGCCTGGTGGGTTGGTGTTGGTGTTTGTGTTTGTCATGAACAAGAGGAAGAGGAAGAGGTCTGGGCAATGAATGGAATGGCGTTCAAGTACAAAACCAATCCCAAAATCACGGACATGAGACCATCCTAGAACCGTCTTAACCTTGACCTTGAACTTGTCTCTTCTTTGCTTTCTTCTATCTATCTCTGTCTCTGGGAAATTAGAGCTCACAAGCTTCCTAACCCTAATCCTTCCAACTCACAAGCTTCTTAACCCTACCCCTAACCCTTACCAAATCCCAAGATATATCATGTCTGCCATCGAGAGAGTAAGAGTCCCGCGTGAAACTGGAAACTTACCATTTCACCAAATCCTCCCTACAAGTCCAGGTTGGAAACTCACCAACTCTTCCCTACAAGCTCAGGAGCTTTAGCTGATCGTGGCCTCTGAATCTGATCTAGGTATGGACGCGATTCGTCCGGTTCGTCAGCGACGATGGTAATGTCTATGCGGGCGAGCCTGTTGACCCAGAGGTGGATGGTACGTACAGCCAGAATCATGTTTTCACTCCCAAACCACTTTGTAGAACCAAAGTGTCTTGTCTTGGATCAAGCGATTTCCAGTCCTATTCCATTATTCCCTTGGGAACCAAAGTGTTTCTGTTTCTTTTCTGTTTTTGTACAGAGTTTTTCGAATCATCTCTACATGGCCACCTATGCATGTCCATCCATGGCTAATTGAATCAATGTGCACGTTCTACAGTCGGCCTCGCCTGCAAGCAAGGCACGCCGGTCCTGGCGCGAGTGCTCAGCTCGAGCTCAGCGCTTGATGCTGAAGCCAAGTTCACCGGGCAGGAACTTCCGGTGCATAAGGTATGAGTCTGGAGTGTGCGAAGATTGAAAATTGAAATCAGCCCAGCTCGTCCAGTAGCTGACATGGGGCGTGGCTGAGTAGATCCTGGCGCCTCTGTCGGCGGACGAGGTTGGAACCATTCGCTGTATTGGGGTGAATTACACCGATCACGGGGTGAGTGCAGTGCGCCCCTGACGACGATGAGAGACGAGGGTGAGAATTGAATTGCGGCTGACCGGAAGGGACACCTTTGTCTCGCGTGAAACAGGCCGAACTCAACTTCGCTGTCCCGCCCGTGCCCATTGTCTTCCTGAAGCCCAATTCGGCGCTGAACGACCCGAGCGCACCCATCGTGGTCCCGTCGTTTGTGGCGGACGCGGATTTCGAGGTCGAGCTGTGCGTCGTGCTGGGCAAGGAATGCCGGAATGTGACGGACGACGAGGCCCTGGACTACGTGCTCGGGTACACCACATCCAACGACGTGGCGGCGCGCATGGCTCAGACCATCACCACGCAGTTCTGCCACGGCAAGGGATTCGATACTTTCGCCCCCGTCGGCCCGGCCTTGGTGCATGCCAGTGCCATTCCAAACCCGCAACAGCTGGAGATGAGGACCACGCTGAACGGCCAGGAGATGCAGCACGTCACGCTCGACTCGATGATTTTTCCCGTGGCGAGGATCGTGTCCCATTTGTCTCAGGTCAGTATCCGTAGCAGTGCTGAACAGGCTAGGCTCACGTGAGCCTTTGTTCACTTGTCTTCTCAACCTGGCCTGCCCCGGATGGGGATGAGTGCCCTTGCCTGTACCCTTTGCTGACCGAATTCTGTTTCGTTCTAGGCCACCACTTTGCCCGCCGGGACCATCATTCTGACCGGAACGCCCGGCGGCATCGGGCACTCGCGCACCCCGCCGGTGTATTTGCAACACGGCGATGACCTGAGGCTGTGGATCAGTGGAGGCCTGGGAACGCTGACCAACCCCATCGTCAAGGACAAGTCTGGCAAGTATTTCGACAACGGGCTGTGGCCTGCAAATTAGACATGTTGTGTACAGTCGGTCGACAGTTCAGAGTCTTGGACAACGGATCTCGACCGGAAAAAATAGGATTCTTAGTTCACAGTCTGAAATGAGACAAATAATGTATCGTTCCAGGTCACTCCCATCCCAAGGTTCTGCTTCTTATTCTTAGGCGGCATTGGAGAAATCCGCTCCGATCTCATCAATCACTTCTTGCCAAGTTTGAAGATCCGTGAAGCCGGGCAACGAGCCTGGAAAGAGCTGGTCTTGCCAGATCGGCGACGTGGGTCCTGAGATTGCCGGGGTGAAACTCTGGTCTGCCGTCCAAGACGCCGTTGTCGTTGCCGTTGCCGTTGGAAGCGTGAGCATAGTATCGTTGGCGTCATTGTCGTCATTCAAAGCATTTGGAGTTGGCGATGCTACTGCTGCTGGACCTGAGGTCGAGCTCACACCCAAGCCCGAAGGTCGCGGCCGAGGTCGGTGTCGAGAGTCCCGGGCCTGGTCTCGGTCTCGGTCACGGTCGCGCGCATACTGCAGTTGCTTTTTGAGTTTGGCGATGCACATTTCCACGACGCTGACCTCGGCCAGGCCAAACTCACTCAGCCACATCTCGGAGCGTTGCATTTCACAGTAGGCCTCGAGATCGTCGACGATGCCCGGATTCTGAACGGAACTGGCCTCTCGGACGGCGAGGATGCCGAGAATGATGGCACTGTTGCACAGCTGATGGGCGCTCAGACTCCAGGTGTAGTGGGCGGCCGAGTCGACCGAATGGAAATGCGAGTCGAGGCGGGTTTTGAGGTCGGCCCGCGCGGACGAGAGACATGCATCCCGGCTGAACTGGTAGCGGTCGGTCAAGGACGGGCGCAAGAGGTACGGGCGATGCAGGGTGATGCGGGCAAAATGGAAGCTGGTGTGGAGGTAGAGGCGCTGCCAGGCGAGAAAGGGGTGCGTGGCGTCCAGGGACAGGTCGGGCCCGTCGAGCGCAAAGTACGGCGGCAGGGCCTGCTTCCAGCCCATGAGCCTCTCGTCCAGGGCGAGCACGTCCCGGTATGAAGCAGTGTCGAAGTGGAAGCAGGCTTCTTGGATCTGCCCGATGACCTTGGCCAGGCGGTACTCAAGCGAGGCCATGACGCTGATGGTCGGGTCGCTCAGGGGCCGCGGCTGGGCCAAGTGAGCCTCGTCGTCGGTCAGGTCATCCACATACACGTTCTGCGGCTCTTCCAGCAGGCTCTGGGCGTCGGAGATGCAGTATGGCCGGCCCAGCGCCAGCGAAATCATGCGATCCAGCGTGTACAGGTGGCACCAGAGCCGGCGACGCGTTTCCGTCGCCCTCCGAGGCAGGCCCCATTTCTCGCCGTCGACGTGCAGGCCCTGGGCGATACCCAGTCGCGCCGCAAACCCCACCGTCAACCAGCTCTCGGCCAGGCGCTGGGTCTGGATGAGATAGCGGGTGATGAGGACGCCGGCGCGCACGAGGTCGGTGCTTTCGCCGTAAAAAGAGGGCGCGATGACGATGGCCCGCCGCGACGCCCAGTAGAACCGCAACGATGCCTCTTCATAGTCGCGCTGCGTGTCGGCCGAGCTGGTGCGCGGGCAGTCGAGGTACGCCCCGATGGCGAGGATGACAAAGAGGAGCGCGAGCCACCGCAGATCGACCGTGGTCACATCGTCGAAGCCCGACTTACGCTCCCAGAACAGGCTGTAGCTCTGTTGGAAGGAAGCTGGATGGACTGCATCGATGTGGCCATTCAGGTCGCTGAAGAACCGTTCGACCAGATGGTCCACAAAGCTCTTGCGCCGTGGCAGCAGGCCCAGCAGGTCCCAAATCTGCGAGTAGGGGCCCGACTCGTCGCGGAACGGCCGCGCGTTGATTGTCTCTGTCTTGCGCGCCGACGATGAGCCCGTCCCCGCGGGGATGTCGGGCGCCGGCGAGTTGATCATGGTCGCCGCCACCTGGGGCCCGAAGTACGAGGTGCCGAAGAAGGCCGGGGCGCCTCGTGACCGCCACAGCTGGCCGATCCGGGGCTGATCCTGTCGGGGTCTGGACGGTTCGTCGCCGCCGGTCGCCGCCACTGCCACCGAGGTTTCAATGGGAGGTGTTGATGAGCTCGACTGGCCCACCGAGGCAACGGCAGACTGAAGGGGCCGTGGAGCAGGTTTCTGTCGACTGTGCGACGCCGGCGGCCCAGAGCAGAGGTGATCGACTCCGCGTCGGATGCAATTCAGACACGGTTGGCCGCCATTGCACTGGTCCAGTCAGCCTTAGCCTCACGAGCCCGGGGAACTGGACGGCCACGGTGCCGGTGTTACCACTCACCTTTTGCTTTCGGGAGTGGCATTGAGAGCAGGCCGAAGCGTTGCGCCCTCGTCGGCGCGTCGGCTGCTGCCACGGTGGGTGGGAAGGCGATGGGGAGGCATTGGACAGGCGCCCATGCTCTATCTGGTCGCCGACACTGGCCATATCGATGGTGTACGTTTATCCCGATAGTGTGCCTTCAGGTCCTGGTGCGACGGCCCCCAAGGGCGGCGCTCTGGCTTTTAACCGTTGTTGTATCTGGACCCGCCGGATCTGATCGGGAATTTGATCGGGAATTTGACGGTCATCAGCGTCGGGGAAAGGGAGCGAGTGGCGATAGCGGAGAACAGGCCCAGTCAAGTCATAATGCCTCCACTCATCCGCGTCAATACTGCTGGGTATTGTCCACGGAGTAGATTCGTCCACAGTGGCACACAAAAAGGCACAGTCAAGCCATGTCGATACACGCAAACGCCGAAAGACCTTTGCCTTTGCCTTTGCCATTGTTACGGTCACGGCCACGGTCACATCATGTCGGTCCCCCTGCTCAATGTCTCGACGTGAGTATGCTGTTTAAACGAGTGGCAGCTTGCAGGGCCTTGTTGACAGATCTCCAGCACAACCTGCATCACGAAACCGGACGTGTTGGCGCTTTCCAGCAAGGCAGGTCTCGATGTCTCGGACGCCCTTGCTGAAGCTTGCTGCCCCGTGATCGCCGCGCTCGATGGGTGTGCACAGATTGTCATGGAACGAGACGGTCGGACATTTCTGGGCTCGGCAGGAAACCAAAGACTGGAGACTGATAGTCGCTGCAGACTACGTGCCTCAACTCGACCTGCCCCGATATCCACGCACGGCCATCGAGACTTCGATCGATCCCAATCTGGACGGGGGAGGATGGGCAAGCAAGGTGACAGCCCGGCGCAGTCAGATAGTACCGCGAATACGAACTGATGTCGGAGCAGGCTGTCGTCACCTGTACGCATCCTCAGAGTAAGCTATTGGCCGGCCGCATCCTCGCGTTGAAGGACAACATTGCTCTAGCCGGCGTCAGATGTACCAATGGGACGGATCTGGCGGGCTGGACGCCCGATTTCGACGCGACCGTCGTGAAACGAATCTTGGATGCCGGAGGCACGATAGTCGGTAAGGCAGGTGAGCATCGAAAACTCGACACGTCCCGCTCACGCTTTGCTCTCTCACTGAACGGCCATCGTCTCAGCCTGCGAAAGTGGTTGTTGGAGCACGGTGAGTGACACCGCCATCACCGGACCAGTACGCAATCCCCATCACCCCGGCTACAGTTCCGGTGGCTCAAGTAGCGGGAGCGCGAGGCTGGTGGCAGGTGGGGCGGTCGACATGGCACTCGTAGGTCACCAGTCACAAAAACACGGGAACTCGAATGGCTGAATGGTTCCGAACAGGGTGGTGATCAGGGAGGATCGATCCGTGTCCCTGCATCGTCGTGTGGCATCGTCGGACTGAAGCCGACCTGGGGCCTGGTGCCATATAGCGGCATCCTTGGAGTGTCGGCCGTCATTGACCATGTCGGCCCCATGGCGAGAACTGCCGTAGACTGTGCTCTGCTCCTCGAAGCCATCGCTGGGCCCGACGGAATTGACGACCGTCAGCCCCATGTCAAGTTCTTCCCCTCGATCCAGTATCACGAGCCCGTCCTGCGGCATCTGGCCCGGGCAGACCCCAAGCCTCTGGCTGGCATACGCATTGGCGTGCTCGAGGAAGGCTTCCAGCACCCGCGACAAGACGAGTGCGTGTCGACGGTGGTACATGCAGCGGTCGACAAACTGCGAGATCTGGGGGCCGAGATCAGGTCGTGCTCCATCCCCGAGCACCGTGACACGGAGCTGGTCTGGATGTGCGCCCTTCCTGCCTTTGCCTTCACCCAGGGACTCGTTCTCAACTCCAGCGGGCGCAAGCAACTTGCTTTGACCGGCCCTGCGGCGTTGGGAAATGGCCGCCTCACCCAGCCGGCGTTTGACGTGGTCAACACAGCTGGCCAGAATCTCTATCTGAGAGGACTCTACCTCCAAGAGAAATATGGGCCCTCCCTGGTGTCTCGATGTACAAACCTGCTGAGGAAACTGAGTGTGAGTGGACGCACCTGCGATGGGACCGTAGATATTGTTGCTGACACCTCTTCTCTTTCTGCCTAGGACGAATATGAGGCGGCATTGCAGGATGTGGATGTTCTTGTTATGCCAACCTCGCCCTTGCCACCTGGACGCATCTTTGACTCGAGGAGCGAGGGAAGTCCTTTTGACAGGCTCAAGCGCACCACAGGCATCACGGCCAACACGGCACCGTTCAATGGTAGGTGTGATCGATCAATTGAAAACACTGCGTGCTCCATGAAGATGAACTCTGACGAGGGCCTGTAGCATCTGGTCACCCTGCACTGAGCATGCCAGTGGGCTGGTCGCCTGCGCAGGACGATCCATCCGTGCTTTTACCGGTGGGCATGCAGCTCGTGGGTCGGAAATTCGAGGACCTGCTTCTTTTGAAGGTCGCAGCGTCTTGGGAGAAACAGAACGATTGGAGGCAGAACTACAGAAAGTGAAGAGAGAAGAGAGGATGTAAAAGGAAAATCGTGAAAATTGAGGTGTAGAAGTTTTTCTGTGCAGGTCTAGATAGGCACCCCAAAAGCAAAGATGCTGCTATCGGCCCTCTATTCTCTGTGTCCTCTTTACAGACCCCAACACCCAATATCCCTATGACCCTCCAGTGGATGGAGCAGGCACCAGCTTGACAAACTGCAGACATCCCTGAGGGGATGCTCGGTATGGGCCATGCTTCATGCCCGGTAACCTGTATGCATACGCACCCTGGCCCCAGGCCTGGCCGAGCGTCACATCCTCCAGTCCGCCCTCGATGAAGCACACCTCTTCGATGTACGTGTGTGTGATGACCTCGTCGGTGACCGATACAGCCCCAGGCTCGTACCACTGCAACACGGATTTCTCGTCCGAGTCTGGGTCACCGTTCAAAGCCAATTCCCATATCTTGGGTCCGATCGAAAACCATTGCCCTTCTTGTCGAACCGTCACTGGCGGCTCCCCAATGGGAGGGTGGCTAGGCCTAGTCGTGAACTCTTTCTGTACGAGTGGCATATCTGCGGTGGGCTTGGTCGGCGGCGAGGGCGTGGCGTTGGGGATGCGAGAAGATGGTGAATGGCAGGCAGATGGTTCTTCTTCTTTCTCTGACTCTGCGACGTTCTTGGTTCGATTGTCGCTGTGCTGATGGGGTTGGGAGACCGTTTCAAATGGTCAGCTAGTCGGGCTTTTATCGAATTGTGGGAGGGAATCGGGGAAAGCGTTGGTCGGCGCCAGTGGATGGGCTTATCAATTGTCCGACACCACGATGGTAATAATGGACAATATCCCGATCTTATCGAGTTTCACGTATCGACACCGTTCACGATTGGATCTGTTATCAAGCAAGGCATTTGTCAAGCTGATTAGACACGAAATGGGGCCCAAGCCCTCACGGTTGGCCTCTGGACTCGCCCTCATCACATCCAGGCCTTTCGATCTCGTCTAGATGGGTCTACGCTCACGTTTGCTACAGGAGTCTGTCCCCTGTCGTTCTTATCTCTCTCGGGAAATGGCCTCGGGCAAAGATAGATCTCACACCAGCCCGGGATGCCAGCATCGTCAGCATCAGCAGCATATATGAGAGCCACCGTGTCTACCACTTAACGGGTGCTGCCCTCCAGAATCGAACCCAATCCAACGTATCACGCCATGGACGTCAAGGAAGCGACCGAAAAGGACATCGAGGCCACCGTCGTTCAAGGCCAGACCACCTACGTTGCAGACCCCTATGGAGAACTGCAACGGGGCTTGAAGGAACGACATGTTCAATTCATTGCCTTGGGCGGCACTATCGGCACGGGCCTGTTCCTGGGCATTGGCAGTGCCCTTGCAACGTCCGGTCCGTTGTCGCTGTTTCTGGGATACCTCTTTACGAGCGTGGCGATCTGGGCCATGGTGAGTATAGGCTGAGGCTGCACGCTTTGGGGTTGGACATGCACACTGACATCTCTACTCTCGCGGCAGATGCAAAGCCTCGGCGAGATGACTTCCCTGTTCCCCTTGCCGGGCATGATTGCGCAGCTCGGCTCTCGCTTCGTGGACCCGGCCCTGGGCTTCGCCATCGGGTGGAATCAGTGGTACAACTGTGCGATCGCCATCTGCGCCGAGACGTCAGCGGCCGTGGTTCTGATCCAGTATTGGACTGACATCAACGTGAGTCCCGCGATGCCCCGGGAGTGTGCAGGGAAGGAGTGATGAGTGATGGCTGACGTGGACGAGCACACAGCCTGCGGCGTGGATCACCATCATATTGGCCATCGTGGTCTTTCTCAATGTCATCGCCGTCGCCATCTACGGCGAGGCCGAGTTCTTTTTCGCCGGGATCAAAATCATCACCATCCTCGGCCTGCTCATTCTGGCCTTCGTCATCGACCTGGGCGGTGGCCCGTCCCACGATCGCCTGGGGTTTCGATACTGGAAGCACCCTGGTGCGATGAACACCTACATCGGCACCGGGTCGACCGGGCGGTTTCTGGGCTTGTTCAACACCCTGATCAATGCCGCCTTCGCGTTTGGCGGCGTCGAGCAAGTGGCGGTTGCCGCGGGCGAAACCAAAGATCCCGCGCGCAACATCCCCAAGGCCATCCGTCGCGTCTTCTGGCGGCTTCTCTTCTTCTACGTGCTGGGCTCCTTGGGCGTAGGAGTCCTCGTGCCCTCCACCAACGACCATTTGCTGTACGGTAGCGGGGTGGCCAGCTCGCCCTGGCTGATCGCCATCAACAACGCCGGCATTCCCGTCTTGCCGCATATCCTGAACGCCGTGCTGGTGACATCGGCCGCCTCGTCCGCCAATGCCAATCTGTATACGGGCTCTCGCTACCTGTATGCTCTGGCCCAGCAAGGCCAAGCTCCAAGATTCCTGCTCACCTGTACCAAGAGAGGCGTTCCCATCTACTGTACGTGGTCCACCGCCAAGCCGGTTCCACTCGTTATTTATTTCTGTCCCTGTGCCTACCCTTGCCCTTGTTTCTCTCTGTGCATGGCGATATCATGGCGATATACTGAACTGTCCCAGGTGTTGGAATAACCGGTGTCATCGGTCTTCTCACATACATGACCGTCTCCAGCGGCGGCGCCAACGTCTTCCACTGGTTCTCCAGCCTGGTGACCATTGCGTACCTGCTCACGTGGCTCTCCATCTGCCTGGCTTATACCCGGTTTCGAAAAGCATTGATCCACGCCGGGGTCGACCGCGCCACCCTGCCTTTCAGGGCACGGGGCCAGCCCTACACTGCCTGGGGCGGAGCAGGATTTTTCGCCGTCGTGCTACTCTTCAACGGCTTTCCCGTCTTCACCCACGGCAATTGGAATGCGCGGAATTTTGTGTCCGCGTATATTGGTCTACCGTAAGTTTCCCTTTTCCTTTCTCTCCGAATACTCCGTACATTGTTGTCAAATCGAACGCGGGTGCAGGTGCAGGTGCAGGTGTCAGAGAACTGACTCTTGTCCAGAATTTTTGCTCTTCTGTATACTGGCTGGAAAGTGGTGACCAAGAGCAAAATCGTGCCAATCGACGAGATCGACTTGGTCACCGGCCGTGTGGACCTGGACCATGTGGTTAATGGTGCCCAACCCCGGCCACGCCCGAAGAAGCTGCCAGATCTGTTGCGTAGGATGGCGAGCAAGATCGGCTGAATACTGTATACTGTACGTGAAGCTGAGGGGGTTTACTGGACACTGTGCCGAAAACGTGAGGCTGAGGGTAAGGGGGTTCAGTCAAACAAACGAGCATTCCCTTCTGGGCCTTGCGACGCCTACTATATTCTATCTATAGTAACCCAATCCCATATCCGCATTCAATTTCAATTTCAATTTCCATCCAATCCATAGGTTGTATATTATATGTCAGTTATCGCTGTCCCTAGGCCCTTTTATCTTTCAATTTGCTACGATACTGTAGACCAAATCTGGAGAAGAATCTCAATTCAATATTAGACATTTTCCTTCCTTTCTTTTCTTTTCTCTACGTCTGTGTCTGTGCCTTCCCTTCTCTTCTCTGTGTCTGTGTCTGTGTCTGTACCTTCCCTTCCCCTCTCTATGTCTATATATGTACCTATAGTCGGGAATAGAAATACCAGCACCCTACCAGCCTTAGCCCCGACTTCGACTTCGACTTGACGGGAAATCCGTCAATAAGCCGACGGACGTGGTTTCTCCACCGGACCGGACCGGACCAGATCGGTGAAATCATAGGTTCTTAGGACCTGATTTAGTCTTACACAATACCTATACAATAAACACGCAGAATAGATGGGGTATACTGTACTGTATTTATATAATGCTTAAAGAGGTAAAGGGGCTAAGGCCATATGATGTTTTCAAGCGAAAGGGCCAGAGTCCTATATGATGCTTTTAAGGGGTAAACGGCTAGGGTCCCACATGATGCTTTCACACCGTGCCATTCATCGTTACCCAGGTTCAGCAACGCTTCGAGTCCGAGGGTCCCTCCCGCACAATGCTGATGGTAAGTTGATTGGTGGCTTTTGTCTTTTCTTCCTCACATATCCCACCATTGGCAATCCTCCTCCTCCTCCTCCTCCTCCTCCTTCCACCCTTGCGGATATTCTTTCCGACCCACGCCCACGCCCTCGCTCTCACTCTCTGAGAAATTGAATTTCGCCGGCCTTGCTTTTCGGCTTGAGCTCCACATGTCTAGAGTAATACTCCGTCGCCACATATATAGTAAGTAAGCATACGAGACGAGACGAGGCGAGCTCCACCTGTGACAGTGACATAGAGCAACGTGTGGTCCTACCTCACATCCCGGTTTGTCCGTCGTTGTCCCACATCCCAGCTAGTTTGTCGTCTCGTCGTCCCATATCCCAACTAGTGTATTGTCTCGTCGTCATCCTGAGCTTGTTGGTTGTCTAAACCAGATACCTATAGTTCTTCTGTAATGCCCGTGCAGTGTCCAGATCGATACCTTCTTGCTCGGCGGTCAAGCGCAGCCTGACGAGGTCGCGCTCGCTCAACTCCACATCCACATTGTCCAGTCTTTCCAGCCTTCTGTTCTCGCGAGTCAGTGCCCAGCGCAATGCGAACCCACAGGCCGCGGCGCCAATTTGTAGGCCGATACAGGTGCCGAATGCGGTTCGATAGTACGGAGCTTCGTTCGCGTCGTACAGATATGAGGTCCAGATCGAGGAAGAGTTGCCGGCAGCGTTGATCAGAGCGATCGCGGCCGCTCGTTTGGCCGGAGGCCGAGGGATGGAAGACGCGATCCAGCTGTAAAGGGTGCCGTACATGGCGAAGGCGAAGACAACGAGGAAGAAGGAAAAGTACTTGGGTCCGAATGAATCGACCGTCATGAATAAGATGAAGCCGACAATGGTGATGGGGATCGGATAGATGTAGAACCTGCATATCCAGAATCATCTGTCAGCTCAGCTCGACCCCTTTGTGTGGCGGTGGTGAGATCACCGATTGCCATTCTATTGACAAATAACTGACCAGAAGCGCATGTTCAGGCGGTCTGCAAGATAGCCGTGTCCGTAACTATACACGGTGATGAAGACGTAAGGCGGTGCCGCCAGTAACAGGGTGACGACGTGGCTGTATCCGAGCGTGCCTATCAGGGTGGGGAAGAAGTTTTGGAAGGAAATGGCGCCGATCATGCAGACGTGGGCGCCGGCTAGGATGTATGTCTTGAAGTCACTGAGGGCGAGCTGGAGACCTTTGAGTTGGGACATGCTGCCGGCTTCGTCCGAGTCGGCCTCGGCCGCGTCCAGGGCAAGACGTCGATGTGCCACTGCCTTTTCGTCGTCGGAGAGCAGCCGCCAGCTCTGGGGGAAGTCGGGCAGCACGAAACAGACGATGATGCCGACGGCCATGGTGATGACCCCTTCCAGGAGATACAACCACTGCCACGAGGACAGGCCGCGGGCCCCGGCCAGCCCGCTCAGGATCCCGGCTGCGATGAGGTTGCCAAACGCGCCGGAGATGAGGGATCCCGAGTAGAAAATGGCCATGCGGAGGTTTAGCTCTCGGCGCGTATACCATTTGGAGAGGTAGAACAGCACGCCCGGGACAAACGGGGCCTCGACCATGCCGAGGATGAAACGGCACGCCACCATGCTTCCATAGCTGCTCACTTGTGACGTGAGTGCAGAGACCAGACCCCAGGCAGTGACGAAGAAGCCGAGGTGAAGTGACGGGCGGCCGACGTAGTTCAGGATCAGATTGGCCGGAATCTGGGCCAGGATATAGCTGACGTAGAAGATCGAGAGCGCCGTCTGGTATTGACTGCCTTTCAGATTGAGGTCATGTTCCAACCCTTGCAAGCGTGCCGATGCGTAGTTGTTCCTGGCACTGCGTGAGTCGCCATCCAAGTCTCGACTGTTGGGCCAGCTTACCTGTCGATATAGTTCATCAAGAAGATCAGGATGACCAAGGGCATGATCAGGAGGTCCAGGCGCCGTTTCAGCCTCTTCTCAATGACCAGCTCCTCTCCGGTCAATGTGTGGAGTTGTATGACCTCGTGTCCTGTCAGAGGCCGCTTTCCGTCCAACTGTTCACCGTCGCTGTCTACCCGTGGCTCGGTCGACATGGCTGCAGGACAATCCTTGTTGTTGACGCTTTGTCGGATGCGTGGTTCGTTAGGCAGCTGTTGGATGTTCTCGACTTCGACTTTTCACAATTGAATGTCCGACGAGAGGACCCTCACGACGGTGGCCACCCACAGGTGGTTTTTATATGCTTTATCAGACATCTCCAGCATCCGGCATCCAGCATCCAGCATCCATGCTGGTGTTTGTGACTTGAGCTCGATCTCGAAAATGGAGGCCACAATCATTGATTCAACGATAAGCACGATACAGGATCGGGGATTGATCTTTTGGGTGGGTTGGACGAAGAGGATATCCCGAATAGTCCGACTGATTTTGCCTATCTAAGATAGTAGTATACTGTAGCCACTGTGATAAGGCTTGTGAAAGCTAATATAGTGGGATATACCACACTGTCCGTACCTACCTAGTCTAGATTGGGCCAAGGGTGTGCTAATGTGCTAATGCGCCCTGAGCTTACCGTTTGTGGGCGATAGTGACGCCGCCCTTCACCCTCCGCTTCCCTGCTGCCTCCCTGTACGGATACATGGGCCGTCATGTAGATACCTAGCTACCTAGCTACCTAGCTTCTGACTTGCGTTGCTGGTTGCTTCCCGTGACTTAACTTGGTACTTGGTCGACTTTGCTGTTTTCCAGTCCCAACAGCTCAACCTGGGGTAGGGGTATATATGGCCGAAGAAGTCGGAGTCTGACACCATTTCATGCATCTGCTTCTGTGGAATCCAACTGCACCCCCCCGGAAACCGTATGGCCGCCCAAGCCACCCGTAGCGAACTCGCGAGCCATGACCTCTAGCGGCACCCATTGCACTCCCTCGTGCGAGTTGATATACTCGATCAATCGTTCCTGCAGCAGTTGGACCTGGGCCTTGCCTGAAACCTGAGGATGCATGGTAATGGGGAAGATGAATTCGTCATATTCTCGATAGTAAAAGTCGAACTGCGCTTTCCAGAGTTTGAAAACGACGTCGATGTCGACGAATCCGTTGCCGACGCCTTGGCCGATGTTCAACGGGGGCCAGTCGTCCAGATGCCAGTTTGCCGGGATCTCGACCACTTTGGAAGTCCTTATCCTCGACATCGGCTTCATCCACTCCGTGGCCTTGAGATTTAGATCGGTCTCGACATAAGAAGGATGATATGGGAGAAAATACGCCTGGCAGTCATGGTGCATGAAAGAATGGTCGTAGAGGAGACCGTACTGCTCTAATAGTGCCACGGTTCGAGGCGATGTCGACCATGCAGGACCCGTCCAGCCACGAGGATGCTTCCCGGTCAAGGCTTTGGTCACGCTGATACTCTTCTCGAGGACGTCGCGCTCTTGCTCTTCGGACAGATCCCCGACATATTCGTGTGTGTAGCCGTGGAGACCACTAACGACACCTTGAATCAGTTCAGTCGTGCTGGTTGGTTCATCATTCATGCCTCTTACATCTCATGACCGGCGTCTCGAACTTTGGCCACCTGCTCTGGAAAGGATTCAAGCGTATGCGCCGGGATGAAAAAGGTCGCCTTGATGTTGTACCGGTTGAAAAGCTTCAAGACCCGGTCCAGTCCCACGGTTGCTCCAAACAACCCTCGCGAGACGTCCGTCGGGTTGCTCCTCTGTCCCAAGCCTGCGGCATTGATCCTGCTTAGAGTCAGGGTTTTCGTACACCTCAGAGCCAACAGAACATGTCAGTTTGCCTACCATGAGCTGACAGCGTCAAGGTCCACCCCGTAACCACACAGCACCCTTTTTGGCATGATGGAAGACAGCCGAATTTTCGAAAAAGGAAAACCCATTCCACCAATTCACCACCAAATCAACAGTGCTATTATCGATGTGGTTGTTCTACGATATTTCAAAGTGTACCAGGGGCGAAGATTTTCTGAAGGCTGGATTTGTGGTAGGTGAATGACTGCATACGCCGGTCTTGGTCAGTGCCAGGGACCAGGGACCACCGGGATCATTCCAGTGGGCCTGGGCCTCCTATTCCTCAACTGAAAATCATACAAGGATGTGTCGATAGACAGACTGCGAACCTGACTACTGTGTTGACTGTTGACTGTTGACGTTGCGCGAATAGCCGACAGTCGGTCGAAACAATCGGGATGGACTCGCGAGTGCGCATTCTCCACACGCGATCGCAGCCCTCCTGGCTAGCAGACTCTCCACAACGGGACATATCATTTGACCTATCCCTAGCAAAGTCGATATCAGCTATCAGCTATCAGCTATCCAGATATCAGATACGAGGTATCAAGGTGACTTAGCACGCCAAGACACGATTGTCGCTCAGTCCCATCTGGTGGAGTTCTGTGCCGTGCCGCCTGGTTGGGTGTTGAGCTTGAAGCGACTCCATTTTGTTGAATGCTGATACGGTACATAGTCTCTGTACCGATACAGGATTCCCCACTGCCCGGCTTTCAGCGCATGAACAGAACAGAACAGAACCCTCATAGTCACTTACCTTACCAGGCAGTTTCTGTCAAAACCCTGCACCATCCTTCAACATCAGTATACACCCAAACGCTTCTCATTACATGTATTCGAGCCTTGCCGGAATTATCTATCCTATCAGAGCAAACATTGCACGTACAGTATAGGCCGAAATGGAGCGTTTCGTAGCCGAGACCGATGCGTATCGCACACGAAGTGTCCACGATCTGATCACACTGAAGGGCAAGACAGCAGTCATCACAGGTAGGAAACAAGATCCTCTCCCTGCCGTCTGCCCTTCTCCTTGCACACTTTACTTAATACGGCGGGTTTTTAGGTGGTGCACGAGGTCTTGGACTGGCCATTGCCCGAGGCTGCGCGGAGTTAGGCGCCAACATTGCCGTGTTGGATCTGTTAGAGCAGACTGCCGAAGTCGCCGAGCTGGAGCGAGGAACAGGAGTCAAAGTCCAATACTACCGGTACGCTTTGAGTTGAAATGATAGCGCTGGCGAGTAGTCACAGCACGGACGAACTAACATATATTGCCTGGGTTGTGACAGTGTCGATGTGAGCGATCCCGAGGCTTTAGACGCCACATTCACCAAGCTGTTGAGCGATTTCGGAAGCATAGACTGCCTCGTGACTGCAGCCGGGGTCGGGACGGGGGGCCCATTCCTTGAGCATGACAAGAGGACCATTGACAGGGTGATCTCCATCAATGTAGGTCAAACCTCCTGGTGGTGGAGTCTGCATCTACATCAATCAATACTGACCACGACTCGACTAGCTCACGGGAACGATTCTCTGCACGCAGCTGGCGGTGAAACAAATGCTCCAACAGGGCAATGGCGGGTCGATTGTCACCATCTCCTCCATCGGTGGCCACGCCGGAATTCCACAGCAGAAGAATGCCGTCTACTGCGCCACCAAAGGGGCTATCCTAGGATTTACCAAGTCGTTGGCGGTGGAAATGGCCGAACACGGCATCAGGGTAAATAGCATCAGCCCGGGGTTTTTCCTCACCAACGTGACGCCGGGATATCCGCAGAAGAACGTGGCGTTGTTGGAGTCGTACGTGCAGAAGATCCCTGTCAAGAGATTCGCGGATCGATCTGAGCTCAAGAGCATCGTGGCGTTCTTGCTGACTGAGGCAAGTTCCTACATTACTGGGGAAGACATTGCGGTAGATGGCGGCGTGCTGGCTGGCTAATGTTGGAGAGAACTATCAATCAGGCTACGAGCACGGGTCATGGATGATCGGACCACTGATCACTTGTGCCAGTAGCAGTAGTGACTTTGTCTTGTTCATCGATGCCTGATCCTGATCTATCCAAGCTGTCTCTGTCTCTGGCTAACCTTGGCCATCTTCCACGTTGGACATGGATATATCTCTACGCTAAGAGCCACAGATAAGGCAAGATCTGATCTGAAGCGACTTCCACCAGCCAGCTCATCTTCGCTGATATCAATGGGAGAAGGGTGTATAAGATCTACCTTCTAAGTACCTAGGTAGGTACTGATACGGATAAGGTGTATGAGTATTACAGTACTATTACCGACCAAGACTCGACGTATATATACCAGGTAGATAAGGAAACGACCGGTGGGTTCAGGATCGCGGCACCGGCGCCCATTGGACAGCGATAGACCTCGCACCTCGCACCTCCACCTCCCCCCGGGAAATGGCAGGGGACATGTACAGAACTCTGTATCCGTACTCTGTATCCGTACTCTGTATCCGTACTCTGTATCCGTACTCTGTATCCGTACTTTGGAAATTGTAGGCTCGGCTTTAGGCACTGCTCGGCTTTGAGCGCAGCAAACCCCCTTGTCCTGAGATGAGGCTAAGGGGCCTAAGCCTCGGGTCTCCAGTCCTCCACACCATCACCATGCCAGCAAGATCCTGACCTGACGAAGCTGGGAGTTGGTCTTTTCTCAAGGCCTACATGTAGTCTCCAGCCTCTTTAGCCCTAGGACTCCGGCTGTCGCGCTATCACGCTGTCACGCTGTCGCTCTGGCACCGATGTATAAAGGACTGCGTTTCCTTGCGTTGGATCTTTCTTCTTGGTCGTCCTAGACCCTAGCCCAGCACGGAAACAAGCAGGAGACAAACACCAGAACCTATAGGGTCTGTCTATCATGTCGCTCCAGAAGATCAAGCACCTTCTTCGCAACCCCTACACGTGGGTCCTCCAAGCCCTTTGTTCCTGTTGATACGCATAGAGCTGCTTGCTGATTTATCATCTACAAACTCAGCCAAAACTTCATCATCGGCATAGAGATTGGTCTCACAGGAGGGCTCTATGTGGCGCTGAATCTACTCGGGGCCGCGGGTGGCAAGCCAGACTCAGCATCCACCATCAACACCGCCAACTCCGTTCTTTGTGCCTGTTATGCGGTGTCGGCCTTTTTTGGGGGCACCGTCCTGAACAAACTCGGTCCTGCCATCACTGCCTGTGTAAGTCTCGCGAGGCTCCTCACCTGGGCAATGGGAATGGGAATGGGAATCCTCACTCCAGACTCGAGACTCCAGACTCCAGGACCCAGACCAAGGCTGACAATCAATGTATGCAGTTGGGCACCGTTGGCTACACTCTCTACATCGGCAGTCTGTGGCATTTTGATCAATATGCAGTAGCAGCGTTCCCCATTTTTGCAGCCGCGTGTCTTGGTGTATGTTCTCCTTCTCCTCCTCCTCCTCCTCCTCCTCCTCCTTCTCCTCATAGCATAAGTCATGTACTGACCGCCTCCTGGATCTCTGCCGGCCTCGTCTATGTCACGCAGGGTTAGATCTCCATGTCTTATTCCGAAGAGAATGAGCGTGGTAGCTTCGTGGCCGTCTCACTCAATCTCCAAGCCGTCGGCTCTATCATCGGTGGATTCATTCCTTTGATCATCAATCGCAACAAGGTAAATTGCTCCACGACCCCGACCCCGACCCCTGCTGATGTCAGGAACTGCTAACCCTAACCCTCACCCTCTGTTGCAGGCTACCAGCGCCGGCGTGCCAGTGGTGGTGTACGCCGTTTTCATCGCGATGGATATCGTGGCGGCAGTATTGGCCTTCACCCTTCAACCCCCGGGCAAGGTGATTCGAAAAGACGGCACCAACATTGCCGACCTTAAACCCCGTACATTGATGCAAGAGCTTGTCGGCAATTTCGAGGCTCTCAAGGACTGGAAACTCTGGATCATGGTAGGATGGCGATGGCGCTGATTCGGGGATTCCGGCTAACCATCACCATCTGCTGTAGCTTCCCGCATTCCTTCCTTCTCAGAGCTACCTTGTCTACGGCGGCTCGGTCAATGTCTATCTGAACAGCTTACGGGCACGAAGTCTCCTGTCATTCTGCGCCGTCACTCTCCAAGTCTTCCTTGCCTGGGGTCTTCGTTGGCTGCTCGACTACCAGAAGTGTGAGTTTGTCTCTCCCTGGAGTTTGTCTCTTCCTCGACCGATCAAGAACGAAAGCAAACGTACAGTACTGACACGGAATCTCTATCCACTAATAGTCAGCCGACGAACCCGGGCTCTGGCCGGTCTGACCGTGGTTGGAGTACCTCTGATGGCTGCCTGGATCTGGGAAGTCATCCGCGTGCGACATTACGACCGGCACCGGCCTCCCACTGATCCGACCGACTGGGACGAGGGCCGATTTGCCCCGGTCTTCATCTTGTTCATGCTGAACTGGTGCGCCTCGGCGCTCTTCCAGTACGTCATCATGTACTTTTTAGGATGCTTCACCAACAACCCTCGCAAGGCGGCCAACAATGCGGGCATCTTCCGAGCCTTCCTGGCCGTGGGTGAGGCCGTCTCATTCGCCGTGGACAGTCGCAAGACCAAATACGTCATCGAAGCCGGCCTCATCCTGGCCTTCTACGCCGTCGGTCTCTTACTTATGGGCTATCTGGCCGTGTTTCACATCGGAGAGTCCAAATACTTCCAAGAGGAGGAGGTCACCATTCCAGAGCACGTCAAACTCGAGCACCAGCACCGGCTGGAAGCAACCGAGGGTGTTGACCCGGCCGACAAGATTGAGATTGGGTTTGAGAGCAAAAGCAAGAAATCCGTTGAAGTTGGACCTTGAGAACAACGCCTTGACAACAATATGTCTTGAGTAACTATACCCAATACACCCTTGACAGACATGAGCGAGTGGTGGAGAGTGTCTTTATCTTGGAGCACGGTTTCTACTTCTCTCGTTGCGGATTATATATACCAGAGGATAGAAGCAGCCACGGTGGTCTCGTTTTGTTGCTATGTTATGTGAGATGTTGAGAATATCCTAGAAGAGCAAGCAATCTTGGAGATGGGGATGATTCACCCTCGACCTGGTCATTTATTGTTTATTGTGTATTATTCACTGTTTGCTGTTTCTTGTTTCTTGTTTATTATGTTTTGGCTTTTTTTTTTTTTTTTTTTTGCCAACCCAATGATTTCGTTATAGAGTAACTGGAACAGGAACTAGAACTAGAACCAGGTAGTTGGATGTTGGATATTGGATATAGTGCTATTCCAAGATCGATCAGACGCATTTCTGGGGCGGTAGCAGCAGCAGCAGCGGGAGCATAGGAGGAGATAGCAGGAAATAGCAGAAACAGGAGCATAGCGGTAGCATAGGAGGAGCATAACAGTATCATATCACTACCACTACTAGTGTTGAAAGGTGATATAGACGATATAGGTCATAGCTGACATAGGTCATACAGGTCACATAGGTTATATAGGTGATATAGTGATATAGCGATATAGTGATATAGCTGGGTGACAAGATGCCACAATTACAACGAACGAACGAACGAACGAACGACAGGCCTAAGAAAAGTCTTATAGTAGATACAGTAACACCACACTACACGACGTAATCCGCGAGCTACAGTCGTGGCTGGTAAATTTATTCTTTTGCTCACGTAAGTACCTAGCTGGTAAATCTATCCTTTTGCTCGAGTACCTGGCTAGGTAGGTACCTTTAGGTATATAACGCCGTTCGGTGGCTTATCTACCCAAGTCCAGCTGGAGAGGAAGTACAATTACCTAGGCACTGTACTGTTCTGTTCTGTTCTGTTCTGTATATAGGAGAAAGGAGAAAGATCAGGGTCAGACGTCTAGTTTGTATGCATGTATTTGATTTGCATGAACCTGAATCAGAAATCATGAATCCCACATTAGAAATCCCGAATCCGAAATCCTGAATATCGAATCCCGATTCGAATCCCGAATCCAAATCAGGAATCAACGTCGAATTCAAAATCAAAATCTTCGGTCCAGTCAAAGTCAACAATATCCCTCATGTCAAGAAAATCGGTGGAATTGGCGTTTTCCATGGATTCAAACAGAGAGTTGACGTAGGCCGTTGACTCGTTCGGCGAGTATCCTGGGGTGAAGTCGAAGATGGCTGAGTTGGTGCTGGTGTCGAAAATAGTAGTGTTGGTGTTGGTGTTGATGTTGGTGTCGAGCGTGCCTGTCGCCGACCGTAGGTTGTTGTTGCTGTTGGTGTTGGCGTTACTGTTGCTGTTGCTTTGAAGATGGAGAACAAAAGCCGTATAACGCTCCTTCACCGGCTCCAAGAGGCGATGGTATTCGTGTAGACATTTCAACGCCGCTGGCCATCTCTCGGCAATCAGAGAGAAAAACCGAGAGAAGGTCAGCATGAATTCGGTCATGTCGTCCAGCGTGAATAGAGATGCTAGGACAGACTCGCACTGGCGGATGGTGTGCAGAAATACAATGGCCGACGAGAAGACGTGGTAACACGGCTGGAAGGTGTACTTGGGGCTTCCAAAGTCCATTTGTGCCTGTTGCGAGTAGCCCTCGCCGACCTTGATGGCCGCTTTGAAGGCCTTGATGAGGTTGGTCACGGTGGGATACTTGACTTTGGGGCATGGCCTGTAGAGAGTGACGATGATCAAGGGATCCGCTATGTCGGCAAACAACGACATCTCCATCCATTGTGCCGAAAGAGACGAGTCTTGGTTGGCGGCACTGGACGCGTGGATCTGGCTTCTCCAAGCATGAATCCGGTCTTCCACATCGGCCATCCACTCAGCCAGAGTCGCAAAGCTTTCCGCCAGAGGCTGGCCATGGAAAAGAGTGGAGATGATCTCACATTCGATCAGTCGAAACGTCCGCACCTTGCCGCAGATGAACTTGGACGGTTGCCCCGTTGGGTCTAGATGGGTTCGGTGGATGGCACTGTCTGCCAGATCGGAAGGGAACCCTGTGGTGATCTGGTGAGGAAGCAGGGTGGGAGAGCGCGACAAGCCCGCGTTACACGACGCATCCATCTCCCAGGCTGACCAGAAGAGTCGACGTTTCATGTCCCGCGCCAAATAATCATGCACCGCCCCATCCGGGTCCTCATCTTCACGGTGGAGTCCGAGGTCGATGCAAGCCTGCATCATGAACCCGGCAAGAAAGTAGACGTTGGCTGCCGCGGGATTCATCACCGCGTACGTATGGAGAAGTGCCAGAGCTTGTAGACCCGCCAAATCGTTGGTCAAGACCTCCCCGATGTATTGCGTCGCGTGTTGAAACAAGCTGAATGCCATTTTGTTGGCCTGGACCTGCTTGGACCGTGCCGCGGTGGAAAGAGACGTTGCCATCACGAGACTGATCACGTAGACCTGGTATGGGGTGGCCACTGGCACTTGACCATGGTCCAGCCCGGCTGTGCCGATGACGGCAGCGTGACTATCTCGAAGCCAGCTCTCGTGAAAGATGGGGTATGACGGAACCGTCCTCGAGATGTAATTCTCCAGGAGAAAGTCTCCCACATGTTTCGGTATTGCTCGTAAGGGATCTTCGCCGACCAGTTGCCGGTGGCAGGTCCAAGATGGGGATGGGCCATGCATCTCTTCATGTTCCTGTGGATGCTTCTCAATCGATGGCACTGTGGCTTCCGAGAAGAGGACAAAATTGGGCAGCGACAATTCCTTGGAAAACCCAATCCAGGGGTAGGTGATGGCTCTGCTGATCACATCGATCATCTTCTCCCCTGTGTCATGAGAGAGCTGGTGATGGTGAGGGTGACGGCCGTACGGGATGGAGTCCAACAGTTCTCTCCCTGCATCCGGCATGGCATCGGCATCTTGTTCCATATCGTTTCCTTGTTTCACATTCTCGTTCTTGTTCTCGAGCTTCAAAATCTCTTCCTCCAACCATATTGATAGACTCCGGGGTACCCGTCGATGGGCAAACGCGTCAGCGTCATCCGTCTCGGCCATGGCGCCCGTGCAAGGGACGCCAGCATATTTGCATCGCTTACATGGCCAAGAGGTCGCTTCGCACTTGGGACAGGGTTAAGATGAGGCGGCAACCACATAAATTGAAGGAACAGACTGACCTTGAGTTTCCGTTTCCTGCACAAGGCACATGTGTTGATCCTGCGTCGCACATGCGCGACCGACATACTTTGCCGATCTGACATTGTATCCAGCTTGAAGGCACCGTTCTGGACAGAGAGCTCCTTTGAACTGACTTGGTTGTCCTCACGAACCTACCTCTCACCTCCAACCACGGTGGAGGAGCGTAGAAGCAGCGGGCCCTAGGTCAAGAACAGCCGGCCAGGGCATCCTTCAATCCGATGGAACTGTAGCTTCAGGTATGACCGGCCATCACAGGGTACAATCATCACGCGAGCTAGATAAAAGGGAAATTCTAACGACAGTCATGTTAAGATCATGAAACCTGGCTGTTGCATGTAGGTCAGTGGAGTACTGTGCTAGTAGACTAGTAGGCTCTTATCGGTCACGATAAGCTGATAAGGCCATGAGGGCTGGATTAGGGACCCAAAACGGAAAGGTCAATTTAACACGGCTTATCACGCTTATCAGCCTCAGCCTCGAGGGCTCGGATTAGAGCTCTGCAGAAAGACCACCGCTGGCTCGCTCGATCCAGCATCATGATAGATGAACGATACCCCTCGGAAGACCGTGCTAACCTAGCATCTTCGGAGCACTTGAGCATCCAGCAAACACCTCTAAAGATCCAAAGTGGCGTGAGAAACGTAAACCAGTAACCTGGATGCTGATACGACAACATCAAGAGCAAAGCTCTGTTGCTCGAGGTTTCGGGATGGAGAGCGAATTCCGTCTCTCTCAAAGCTGACATGAGGTTGGGAATTTTCTGTTCCTGCTTGTAAGCTGAAATGAGGCCGGCAATTTTGGTGAGACTTTGCATCAAGACTTGTAGGTCGCAGGGTTTGTCAGTCGAGATGTGGGCCTTGGCCCTAGATTGGATGGAGAGCAAAGCGTATAAGAGAGCGATAGGCTCGACATTAGCTGTGTCGTCGTCTTGCCCCTGTTAGAGTCAGGCCCGAAGCGTGCACAAGACAAGTCCAGTCCAGTCATCATACCTTCAGACTCAACACCCAGGGCCTGTCCAGAGCCAAGGCAACTTGTCGTTCGATACAGAGGACAGAAATGTACAGACCGTGAAGACTAGGTTCCCGGCTTTCTGAGAGACACAGGTCAATGCACATTCTGGCCGCGATACCGATCAGCTGAGTACAGTTTCCGAGATGGGGCGCAAACAGGCTATGCAGTGCCAATAGTGTAATGCTCCGTAGCGAGGCGACATCAAGTTTTGCCGTGACGTGCTCTGTTTGTCTCAACGCAGCCTGATGACAAGCTTCGGCCAGGGGACGGTATAGGTTCGCTTCGTCATGTCCTACGATGCAGTAGCAGGCTATGGAATATACCATGTTCCGAGTAAAAGCTTCACTCGCTGTGGGGGCTGAGCCCAGCGCCTGCTCGGAAAGACGCGATAGGTCATCATCAGTCAGGACCGGGTATAGTCTATGGACTGTCGACGAGTACGTCCCCACAAGAAAATTGTGCAATTGAGGAGTCACAGGGGACAGCATGAGCATCTCCCGCAACAGACCACCTGCATTTGTAGCTTCCCGATCGTGCGGCTGAAGCACCGGCAATTCCATGCTTGTCGGGATAAGAGCAGACCGCCCGAAGAAGGTGGGTTGCACATTGAACGTGGTCTTAGCCATCTGATCTGGCGCCGGCCCCAGTGCAGTGTCAGGCGTCGAGGTTGGTTCCGTGCGAGACCTCAACAAGCGCAGTCTCGAGACCAGCGAGACGAGATGGCTTGCACGTGGATTTATTAGTACTTAGTACTGTAGGCGTTGTCTGCAAGCAAGACCGGGCACACACACCTTCGTGACACCTCGCGGGTCAGAATGTGGTCGTAGTAAAGGCAATCTGCGACATTGGCTTTGTTGCAGTTGTGGCAGCGCGGCAGGGTGGCATCGCACCTTCGCCGATTCTTGCGACATCGTACACATGCAGGGACCGACCGGAGGAACCTTTCAATGTCATCTTGTGCGGGACGGTCGTCGTCCATGTGAGGTGCGAGGATCAGAGAACAAGGTTCAAGGCAGCAATAGAAAGTAAAGTAGGGAGTGTGGAAGACTGCGTAGCGAGTCAGTCCTGTCGACAAGGCCGCAGGACGAAGAGGGTGTGGTGGGTGGCTTAGGCTTAGGCCTTAGGTCCTTAGGCTTACATACTAGGAGGCTAAGGGGCTTTCTAAGCCTTACAGTAGGAGCCTTAGGAGCCCCCTTAGGCCTTTAGCCTTAGGTTAGCTTTAGGCTAAGGAGGCTTAAGGCTTTAGGGCTCAGGACTCCTTAGGCGCGTTATCGCCACCCTTATCTATGACGTGGTTATCGAGATACATATGTACTGTATTACTGTACTTATCCGTTACTCATGTAACTTACTAACTATTAGCTACCTAGCTACCTTTCACGTTGCGGTGTGTACATACGTCCCCTCCTCTGCCATCCACCACTTGCTCCCTTTCCGGCCCTCATTCCCTCTGGCATGCTCACTCAAAGACAAAAAGTACCATGTCGTCCAAGTCCACGCCACGCCTACGTTTACGTCCACGCGTCAGAGTAACCACAGGTTGTTTCACCTGCCGGGGACGGAAAAAGAAGTGTGATGAAGAAAAACCCAGGTGCTCTGGTTGTGTGCGAAATGACCTAGAATGTCGCTGGCCACAAGACCTCGACACTGACAAACGACCAAGGGCCGAAAGAGTGAGAGAGGACTGCCCGAATTTCTTGCTAGTAGACAACTCCCGGCCGGAGTGTGTGGCGGACAGGGAAGAACCACCACCGGAGATCTTCCCCTCTACCCAGCACCAGGAGCAACTCTTTGATGACGATCCGTTCTTGCCAGGCAGTGTCCAGAGCTCCCCTTCTACATACAACTACGAGGAGCATGTCAGCCAAGGTGAACCACTCGCTGCTGGCGACGCCTCAATCAATTGTTTGCCTCTGGCAACCGTCGATGCCCCTCTAGATATGTGGGGTTTAGGGATCTCGACGCGTGGCATGTCTCTGCTGCCTGGTTACAACCATGAATCTTTCGAGCTTCTCAGTCACTATCTGTCACGGACAGCCACCAGCATGGGAAATGGCTCAACGGATGTGAACCCGTTTGTGGTGCAGTTAATCCCGTTGGCGTTTTCCAGTGACCTCATCCTACAGCTTATCTTGGCCCAAAGTGCCGCTCATCGCGCGACGTCTGGGGATATGGGCATCAACAAACTGTCTGTGGCCTACTATGGCCGCTCGTTACAACTCTTCCGAAAGGACGTCGAGGGTTATATTAGCGGCACGGATGATAACAAGATGATTCTAGCAGTAGGAGCGCTGGTTTTGTGCTTTACTGAGGTACGCTTGGAACCCAGCTCACGATGTCTCGCCAACTAACCTCTCACGCCAGACAACCAAGGGAGACATCAACGGCGCAATTTTCGACCACCTTGCGGCCGCCAGGCTTCTGCTGGTAGATTCAATCTGTCGGCGGGAGCCATCCATCCCGGATACGCTCGAAGCATTTATTGTTGAATATTTTGTGTATGCCCAAACGTTGAGCATGATATCCACCGACGCAAGATTCAACATCCTACCAAATCTGAATCCTCTGGTAGAACGAAAGGCCCAACAGCTTATCGCGACGAATTACGTTGGTCAACTTTGTGGCTGCTGGCTGAGACTGTTGCTTCTTATCCCCCAGATCTTCGACTTGGGGAAGAGAGCAATATCAGATGCCACCACCGGACACAATGAGCCAGCTTTCCCATCTGCAGATGATCTTGCACTCTTTGCATCTCTTCATTCCGACATCGTTCAATTTACTCCGGCTCCCGGCGTTGGCCGGGAGGTTTCCGTGGCTGGTCGGATCTTTCAGCAAGCCACGCTACTCTACCTCCTTACCGCCGTGCAAGGCATGGGGTCGACGCCGAATGGCAGTCACGAATCTATGGTGCAAAAGGCGTTATCGACAGTACTCGGGTACCTGGAACAGCTGCCAGCGACGGCCAGGATCAATACCAGTCTCTGCTGGCCTCTTGCCGTGATTGCAGCTTGCACGGAGAACGTGGGAATCCAAAGTCTTGTTCGAGATCGTTTGAGAACCATGCACTTGACAATCGGCCTCGGTAATATCCAACAAACTCTCAACATCGTGGAGCACATGTGGCGGCGGCCTCGCAAGGAACGCAGCCCGTGGACAATTTGCAGGATCATGCAGGAGCACCAAATCTGGATATCATTTGCTTGAAAGGTTTGCCTACTTTCCCAGGTTCTTTGGAGCCGCGGCTGGCGGTCCTTCCGGTGTCACATATGCCTTGGTCAGCCCGCCATCGACAACAAAATCGGTTGCGTTGACGAAGCTGCTTTCGTCACTGGCCAAGAAGATGACCGCATGCGCCTGCTCGATGGCCTCGCCGAATCTGCCAGTGGGGAAATGGATTTCCCTTCGCAACCGCTTGGCCTTGTCATCCCCGAGGAAAGATTGAAGCATTGGGGTGCTGTTTTCAGTCAGGAAACTCGCCAGGCTGTATTTTCTGCGTTCAGGAAAGGTGAGCTTACTTGAGCGGGGCAGGACACAACGAGTTAAAGCGATAACCTGTTCCGACGCCTCAGCCATTTGAAACCACAAGACACCAATCTACTCACCCTCTCTTGCATGCACAATGGCCAACTCGCGAGTCAGTGCCAACACGGCGCCCTTGCTGGCGGTATACGCGACCTGAGGGGTGGCAGCACCGACCAGGGCGACGATGCTTGCGGTGTTGATGATGCTGCCAGACTTCTTTCCATGCTTTCGAAGGCTCCTGACGGCGTGTTTCGACCCGTACCACACTCCCTTGACGTTGATGTTCATGGTCAGATCCCAAATGGAGTCAGGACACTCCTCCGAATCGCCATCCTTTGGATGCATGATGCCGGCATTGTTGAACATGACGTCCACTCCACCCCAGGAGTCAATACGATCCACGGCAGCCTCGACATCGGCTTCCTTTGACACGTCCACCACTTGGGTTTCGACGCGGCCGGGATGCTGAGGGACGACTTCCTTCGCTTTGCTCAAGGCGTTCTCCAGGGCCGAGGCACTGACGTCGGTCATCAAGACTGAAGCGCCCTCCTGGAGCATCAGGATGACGGTTTCAAGGCCAACCCCTCTACCACCAAGAGTGTCAACTGAGCACAGTGGTATACAGAAAAGCCAGGACTATGCTTACCCGCCCGCACCTGTGACAATGGCATTCTTTCCTTCCAACCGTCCGACCATGATGGATCCTTGTCAAAGGCGTGATGTCGACAAAAGCTCTTGAAACGAATGCTTCACTCGAGGTCCGACGTTAGACTACTGATGATATAACATGCTGTCGAAAGTGATCAAGATGGCCACACGGGCTTTTGTAGGCATGCCCGGCTGATGAAACCACTGTCCCAACTCCAGCCAACTCGCTCATGGTTCGAAGGGCGGTAGAGGGCGCGGTAAAGGGTCGAGTGCACAAGATGACAGTCCCACCAGCCGCCAGCCGCCGAAACCCACTCCTGAACCGCCATGGCTTGACGGGTGGATGCTAGTGGAACCTTCAGACCCAATACCGGGTATATGCTGTACAGCATGTATAACAGGTGTGCTCAGTCCGTTTGAACATAGAACACTGAAAAGACCTTAGCCAGGACCCTCGCTTAGGCTCACCAGTTTTCACGTGTCGTCGACTGTCCAGTTACCTACTCTACCTGCCAAATCCAAGATCAAAACCAAGATGGCCGAAGTCATTCGCACGATTTCTCCAGCCACGCAACAAGTTGTGGCCGAAGTTCAAGGAACATCTCTCAAGGAGGCCTCGCAGATTGTACAGGCGTCCCAGGATGCTTTCCTTGGGTGGAAGCGAGTGCCCCTCGCCGAGAGGACCAGCATCATCCGTAAAGGCCTTGGTCTTATTCAACAGCGGAAAGAGCAGCTAGGCTACGAGCTCACGACGCAGATGGGGCGCCCTGTTGCGTACAGCGGCAAAGAAATCGAGACGATGGGGAAACGGGCAGACTACTTGTTCAGGACCGCTGAGGAGGCACTGAGAGAGATCCCGGGCGAACAGGAGGCCGGTTTCCGCCGCTGGGTCAAGAAAGAGCCAGTCGGGCCTACATTGGTGGTGTTTGCATGGAATGTAGGTAGACCTGGTCGAAACGGCCGCACTCTCGAATTGAGCCACACTGACCAATGTGGCAGTTCCCATACTTGATCCTCGTCAATGCGCTTGTCCCAGCACTGCTCAGCGGGAACTCGGTTTTGCTGAAGCCGTCGCCCCAGGTGCCGCTGGTTGGCGAACGGATTGCAGACATATTCCACGAGGCTGGGCTGCCAGACGGCGTTCTTCAAGTCATCCAGTCCGGCGACCCTCAGACACTGAACGAGCTGGTCAAATTGCCCGGGCTGGGCCTGGTCACATTCACCGGCTCTACTTCCGTGGGACTGGCGCTTCGCGAAGCCACGGCCAGCCGGATTGTGCCGCTGAACCTCGAGCTGGGAGGGAACGACCCGGCTTACGTGCGGCCTGACGCTGATGTGAAGTATGTTGCCGCGCAGCTCGTGGACGGAGCCGTGTTCAACTCGGGGCAAAGCTGCTGCGCCGTGGAGCGGGTCTACGCACATGACGACATCCATGACGCCTTGGTCCAGGCTCTGCAAGAAGAGCTTCGGAGGTGAGCACACCGTACTTGCACCCTGAGTTCTTGGTGCGTTCTGGATAGTGCCGACGCTGACAAGGAAGTCTAGCTACAAACTCGGCAACCCATTCGACCTGTCTACAAACGTCGGCCCAGTGATTTCGGCGGCGGCTAAGAGGTCGATCCAGGCCCAGATCGACGACGCGCTGTCGAAGGGAGCGGTCGACGTGACTCCTCCCAACCCGACGTTCCAAAGTCTTCCCAAGACAGATGCAGGCAACTATGTGGCTCCCGTCATCCTGACGAACGTATCACATGATATGCTTGTCATGCAGGAAGAGACGTTCGGGCCCGTGATTCCCGTGGCCCGAGTGACCAGTGACGACGAGGCCATTGCGTACATGAATGACAGCACCTACGGACTGACCGCCAGCGTGTGGACCCAAGATATTGCGCGTGGCGAAGAAATCATGGAACAACTCGAGGCGGGCACCGTGTTCATCAATCGCTGCGACTACCCGAGCCCGGTAAGCTCCCAGTATAGCGTTTGTTTCCCGCGAGAGTCAAGTATTCACTGACACGGCTACATTATAGGACCTAGCCTGGACCGGATGGAAGAATTCTGGACTTGGTTGTACCCTAGGGCCGAAGGCGTTTGATGCTTTCTACAAATTGAAAAGCTACCATATCAAAGAGTCACAGGGGTAGATTTCATGTCACCCACATGGAGGAGAGTCTCGGCGAGAAATGCCAAAACCATAAACCAAATCAATCAGGCTTTTCCAAACCCGTGACATTGGATTCTCCAAGTACTGTGACGATTGCATCGATGGGCATGTTCCCATTCTCTATATCGGCCTGGAGGCACTCGATCCTCTCCACCATCTCGTCATACTTGTCCAATTCGGCCAGCTTGCGTTCCGTAAACTCCCTTGCCTCCTTTCCGTTACCAGGTATATATCAGATGGGATACCTAGCTAGGTGAAGGAGGGATAGGTATCTCTATAATAGGTACCTCCCTAGTAGGTACCTCGCTACCTACTACCCCGTCCCTACAAGGACCGGAGATAGGCGCACCGCTCGTAACAGTACCGGACGGTCTGGGTTTAGGTAAGTCGGTATCAGGCTCTCGGAAAGGGTAAGTGAAGGGCGGGCCGCTTGACTTGACCCAATCGTGTGACGGACCGCGGTGTGGATCACCCCATATTACCGTATGGTACCGTATAGTCCTGTATACCTTATCTAGGTAGTCGGCGCGGTTAACGTTCACTCGACCCCATCAGTAGCAGATACAGTATATCGGATATCATCACTGGGTGACTACCGACCTAATCAGTATCCTGATATTGGACCACACAGTATCAGTATGCAATACGTACGGATACCTGGTCCCTCAAGGACCGTCCTTTCAAGTCCCTCTATGTCTAGTAGGCAGCCATGGGACTCGTCTCTCTCCCTTCATTCTCTGTCTCTTCCCCCTCCCCCCCTTCGCTCTCTCGGCTTCCGTATCAGTGTTAGTTGACCCAAATACCTAGTATCTTTTGAAAGATAGCGACGATACAAGCACCTAGGTCAAGGTCAAGGTCAGGTCAACATCCAATCCTTCCATCTCTGTTGAAGCAATGGAGGAACTTCCAGAACGCAGCACCACTATACCAATACCCAGGCCAGCCGCAACGACGACCATCGCCACCAACATGAACATTTCGGAACTACTCCAAAACGACTCCAAGGTGAAAGTGGCCGGCATCGACAGCGACGGCGTATTGCGCGGCAAGCTCATGTCCAAGGACAAGTTCCTGGCCAGCCTCGGCCACGGCTTTGGTATGAGCTCGGCCATCTTCGGCTGGGACATGCACGACGTGCTGTACACGAGCACCGCCACAGCCACCGCCACCTCTGATCCAAATCCTACTCCGGCCGAGATAGGCTATGCAGATTTCATCGCCGTCGTCGACCTCGGCTCGTTCAGGCGCATTCCGTGGGAGGACGATATTCCCTTTTTCCTGCTCCGCTTCAACTCGGCCTCTGGCGTGCCTGTCCACGCTGATGGGCGCGGCATGCTGCGCTCCATCAATGACAAACTCCAGAAACTCGGGTACTCTGCGAGAGCGGGAGGTATGCAGCAGAGGATCTTTGCAACCCTCCCATACTAACGCCATCAAACAGTGGAACTCGAGTTTATGAACTTCCAGACCCCGGCCGAGGATGGCTACGGTCAAGGGCAAAGGCGGGATCTTGCTGCGTTCTTGGACAGAAATACCCCGGGCGCCCTTCGACCTCTGACCCAAGGCATGTTCGGATACAGTCTCACCAGACAAGCGGCGAATAAGGGCTACTTTCACGATATCTTCGATCAAGCTTCCCGGTTCAAGTGTAATGTGGAGGGGTGGCATACGGAGAGCGGGCCGGGGGTGTTTGAGGCTGTAAGTACTATACATATTCTGGCACGCACATATAGACACCCCTATACACACACTTACTCCCCTCCTCTCTTCTTGTACGCCGGATACCGATAGGGATGATGCTGATGCAGACGAGGCATTGGCCGTGACAGATACACAGGAGATGGCGGATCGGGTGACATTGTTCAAGTAAGTCTCAGTCCTCAAGCAGAAGCCGAAGCAGAGGCGAAAGCAGAAACAGAAATCCTTGCCTTGTGGTTTGGTTTTGGATTTGGTTTTGTTCTTTTCCCTGACCCCGCGCTCCTGACCTTCTCGTGTCTCTTTCTTTCCAGGTATCTCACCAAGTCCATCGGGGTCGACTACGACATCACACCGTGTTTCATGGCCAAGCCGACGACTGGCCTACCAGGCAACTCGGGCCACATCCACATTTCACTGTGCGACGCGGCGACGGGAAGCAACCTGTTCGCGCGAGGGTCGGCCGACCCAGACGCGCCGTGGAGCGACGTCGAGCACGTCTCCGACCTGGGCCGGCACTTCCTGGCCGGGGTGCTGGAGGCGCTTCCAGACATGATGCCGATGCTGGCGCCGACGGTCAACTCGTACAAGCGCCTGGTCGAGAACTACTGGGCGCCGGTCGACATCAGCTGGGGGCTGGAGGACCGCCGGTCGTCGATCCGGCTGATCGCGCCGCCCGTGTCCAGCCCGCAGGCCACCCGGCTCGAGTGCCGCATCCCCGGCGCCGACCTGCACCCGCACTACGCCCTGACGGCCATCGTGGCCGCCGGCCTGCGAGGGATCCGGAAGAAACTCGCCATCCCCGTCCCGCCCACCGCCGTGCGCACCGACACGCCCGAACGCTTGCCCGACAGCCTTGCGGCCGCCAATGCCAGATTCCGCGCCCCCGCCAGCGTGGCCCGCGACTTGTTCCCTCCTGACTTTGTCGACTTTTTCGCCGCCTCCAGAGACCATGAGATTCGAGTGTTCAGAGAATCGGTCACGGACTGGTATGTCCAAGCTTTGATTCTTCCTCCGCTTCTGATCCTGCTTCTATCTCCAATTCTAACTCTAACACCACTTCTCCAGGGAGTTTCGCCGCTACATCGAGACTGTTTGATATGGGACAAGTGAAAGTCAAAATCCGAATCCTAATATCAGACAATTTATATTGCCATGCACATTGATATATCTGAGAAGAGACGAAGATATGCATATCGCATGTCACATGTGTCTGGTCCCCAGCCTTGAGTACAGATAGCAAACACAGACGGCAAACATCAGACGGCAAACAACAGACGGGCAGTGGAAGTTCAGGATCCAATTACACAAAGTTCCGCGTTGTAGCGACCCACGACTCGCGATCCACGACCCACAGCGCGGTTCGAGTCGTACGCAGTTATTGGTTTGAGCGCTCCAGTACTAAGGTCAATGTCCGTACAGAGTACAGAGTATAGAGTATATAGTACAGTATCCGTATATGATCATGATCGCCGGGACTGAGGCTTGTATCCGTACAGAGTATCCGTACCAGGCTATGCAAACAGCATGCTCATTTCTCTAGGCTGCATCAACGACCATAGACCATAGATAAAGGCGGTCTAGGGGCGGGGTCGAGCAACTTGCAACTTCGGCGAGGCTGCCAAGGACTGCAACGGGGGACTGTATGGACTAGTCAAATGGAAGAGGAGCGTGGTCACGACGAGGATCGTGGTTGAGTCAGGAAGCAGAGTCGTTGAACGTTGAAACGGCGAAGCAGAAGTTTCCCTGGTCACACGTGTCGCTGCTTTGTACTGAACTGTGGTGGATTCTAGAGTCCATTTCCATTTCGGGTGTTTTCCGCTGCCGCTCTTAGCGAAGGATTAGCAGGAGGGAGAACCTCCTCAGCCCAGTAAAAATGCGGAGAAGAATGACACTGACACTCACTGGTGACTCTTGACTGTATGCTGCTCACACCCCGGGAGTCACAGCCCATTGACTCGGATTGTGCTTTGTTTTGGAGGTAGATAGGCCATAAGTCGTACAACCTCACTATTTGGGCTTACTCCATCGCTCCCTCGGTCGCAGGCCACAGCCACAGCCACAACCACCCAGCTTCAACCATGGCCACTTCTCCCAGACATGTCTCGATTGCGCCTCTACTGAAAAAATTGTCGGCGCCCGCGCCGCAGGACAACTACGTCGGCGCCGAAGACATCGCACTCGCCTTTTCGAGGTCGTTTGAGGACCGGCTCAACGGAACGCAGCTGGCGGCGCTGCTGACTCTCCTGCACTCGACCGGCAAGGACCGACACCCCGATGTGATTGCCAAATGCGCCGAGGCGATGCGAGACGCGGCGGTGCATGTGGACAAGCAAAAATTGAAAAAGGTGGTGGGCAAGCGAAAGCGCGGGCTGGGCGAATACCGCGGAGGGCTCTGTGACATTGCTGGCACGGGCGGAGACGCCCATTCCACGTTCAACATCTCGACGACGGCTTCGATCATCGCGTCGCCGATCTTGCTGATGGCCAAGCATGGCAACCGCGCTCAAACCTCCATGTCCGGATCGGCAGATGTACTCAACGCGATTTCTCCGCGGCCGCCCAAGATCGAAGCCCTGACGGCCGAACACCTCCCCGAGGTCTATGAGCACACCAACTACACCTTTCTCCTGGCCCCGAATTTCCACCCAGGCATGAGATACGCGGCGACGGTGCGGCGAGAACTGGGCCTACGCACCATCTTCAATCTGATGGGTCCTCTGGCCAATCCCGTCGACTCGCACATCGAAACCCGTCTCTATGGAGTGGCGTATCAAGAACTGGGGCCAATCTATGCGCAAGCGTTGCTGCTGTCAGGCGCCACCAAGGCCTTGGTGGTGTGCGGCCAGGAAGACCTGGACGAGATCAGCTGTGCTGGGAAGACGAACTGCTGGTTATTACGAGAGTCGGTGAATCCGAAATATCAAGATCGCGGCGGCCCGGACGACGAGGACGACGAGGGCACCAGCGACGATGAGGCCCCTGCGCCATACGTGGCCCAGGTGGAAAAGTTCGTGATTGAACCGGCCGACTTCGGGCTTCCTCGACACCCTTTATCCGAGGTCGGCGGCGGCAAACTGCCCAGACAGAATGCCGAAGTGCTCATGAGCATCCTGCGCAACGAGAGAAGTCCCGACGACCCGGTCCTGCACTTCGTCCTGATGAACGTCGCGGCCCTCTTGGTGGTGAGCGGCGCCTGCGAGGCTGATAGCTGCGAGAGTGGCGAGGTCATCAAGGAGCGAGGGCCGGCTGGAGGTCGATGGAAAGAGGGGGTGAGAAAAGCCCGTTGGTGCATAGAAAGCGGGAAAGCCTTGGACGAGTTCCAGAAATTCATAGACTTTACCAACAGGCTATAATAGATGGAGGGGCTAAGGAGGCTATAATAGATGGAGGAGCGGCTAAGGCGGCCAACTCAAAAGCATCAAGATATTCGGTCAAAATTGTCATTTTTCCCATGTATCTGTATCTGTGATCAATTATCAGGGCCGCGTGATCACTCGATCGCTTCCTCCGACTTGATCCCCCCTCTCCAAGCCTCAGCCATCCACGCAGAAGAAGTCCTTATCGTACGCCATCGCTATGCAAAGAAAGCCCATCGCAATTCAAATTCATAACCTGACCCGGCGGGCCCAGCCTTGACGGCTGATCTCGCACTCGGTCATTGAGTTCGATCGTGCGTCACCGTCAGCGTCACCGTCATCACCGAGCTTCGAACTGGACCATACTAAATTCTCCGTCAGTGAGCGCTCACGAAGGGAATTCTCGGGGGTTAGGCTCGGTTGGGCTGGGCTAGGTTGGGTTAAGCTGGGCAGGGTTGGGCTGGGCTGTTGGGTTGGTCGCCATACCGCTTCGTTCTCTCCTTGTAGAGCACTCTGTGTCCGCACATGCTGCATCGGATCGCATCGCCTCTCCCGAGGCTGACTTTCGCTGCGCATTCGCCACACACGTATTGCACGGTCGGACCGCCCGATGCGTCGCCCGCAGCAAAGCCCGAAGCAAACTGATTCAAGCCGCCGGTCTGCGTGGGCAGCGTGTAGGCTTCTCGTTGACCGGACATGGTGGAAATGGACGGGAGGTCTGAGGTTTGAGGTCTGGGGTTTGCGGTGTGGGTTTGAGTCTGAGGTCTGAGGTCGGAGGTCTCAGGTCTGGGTTTCTTGGAGATGCGAAGAGCGGTCAACCAACACGAGATGAGATACCTTCGGCTGTGATGGATAGTGATGAGATATCGTTGCTGATGTCTACCTTGATGTCTAGCGGAGAGAGGAAAAGAGTATGAGTATGTTAGTCTTCTGGAATGAATTTGTTCGCGGTGACAAATCCGGCGCAGCGTAATACAGCGCAGGCCAAAAAGTTTTAGTGGCAATCGGCACATCACGTGACTGCAGCTGATATCACGTGCCAGGCTCCCACTTCAGTATAAGGCAGGTGCTCTAAGACCTTACCACTTACCAAGGCTTATACAGACGTCGAAGTACTAACAAGACGCGTCGTATATACTTCATACAATGCGCTTAGTATATGGTCTAACGAGTTCTCGAATCTCGTTCATAAATAGTGAGTCCTCCGTACAATCACACAGCCCGGCCTAGCAGCTCGCGAGTGAAACGGTCAAACAGCAAAGGACCCGCAAGCCGCAGCTCTCCAGCATTTCTGAGAAGGCCTACGAGTACGGTAGGCTCAGCATCGAGTCTGCAGCTAATGCAATGACGCGGGCGAAAATACTCTCGGCCCAGCCTCTCTGAGAGTCAGTCGCATACTAACTTACCAACTTACTCTCACGGATCGAGCAAGAGATGCACATAAAAGAGTAAATTGTAGAACACCCAACTCGTAAGGAGTTGAGAGGCCGCGAGGTGTGAGATATGCACGCACCGAGCGGCGATGTCAGTCACGTGCCAGGTGCAACCACGCGCTCGTCACGTGGTTGCCTATCAAAACCGTGACACTTACCAACTTACCTACTCCGCCGTGAGAGCGCTCTAGGTAGCTAGGTACCTAGGTACCTACCAGGAGGGGGTTGAAAGCCTCCTAAGCCAGCATGAATCGCCCGAATGTTTCCAATGCGCTCTTCCTGTCTAGCGATTGCGGTTTTGCTGAATCAAGTTAGCATACCAGGACAACGCGCAAAAGTCGAGCCTCCAATAGGTCGAGCCTCCAATTAAAACGTGCCACGCTGTTAGCGAATATTTACCTGGGACTCCAGTGGCTAGGATCCTTGCAATTGAGGCGGTGGCTACAGCGGTGGCGGTGGCTGTGAAAGGAGGGGGTGAGTCGAGTTGCAAGGGTTCGCACCAACCACGTTCAAGGCATACGCCAACTATGTTCAAGGCATACACCAACCATGGTCAAGGCGTATCTATGTACGGTTACACCTTCGCCTCAGACCTTTATCTCAGACCTTATCTCCCCAAAGGCACTAACAGCCATCTCTTCTTTCACGGCCGATCGCCTGCAACACTCTTTTTTACAGTCACATTGAGAGGCACCTAAGAGGCACCTAAGAGGCCCCTTAGCCTCCTGAGCCTCTCCTGGATCTTTGCCTGAAGGGACTAAGCAATCAATCTTTCCTCAGAGGGCTTCCCTATTGGACCGCATTTTCAACTACTCTTAAGCCTTGTTCTAAGTTACTGTCCTGGCTTGATCCTCTACATTGTTTCTCTATTACCATCGCCGTCCGCCATGCCCGAACTCGCTCCTGACACCAATGGTGCAAGGCGGGATGCGCTTTCCTCCCTGTTTTGGGAAGTACGGGATCAGTTTCTTGCCGAGCTTTCAGAAAACGAAAGGTTTCCTGACCTGTAATTCCCCCGATGAGCTCCTAGCCTCGTGTCAAAAGTTCGATGTCATCACAAAAGCCAAGCGAAGAGGGCTGCCTATGATGCGAAGAATCAAGGATTTCAGTGAAAATTTGGCTCCTTACTTCAAAGTCATGGAGATTCTGTGTGCTGCTCATCCTGAATTTGCCAATATCGCACTCGGAGCGTTTCATCTGGTTCTGAAAGTGAGGGTTCTGAGCTGACACCCAAGTTGCGGTCCGCATGGCTGACGATATTGGCAGCTCGCCAGCCACTTTGTCACATTCTTCGACAAACTAACACTACACATCGAACAGATCAGCGCAGTCCTGCCACAGTACCAGGACCTAATCAGATTCTCAAGGAGCCCCATGTTCAAAATGAAACCTAGGCTGGAGACATCGCTTAGGATTTTCTACGTCGACCTTTTCTCATTCTTTCGAGCCGTGTCCCGGGTGTTCACCACTCAAAATGGCAGTGAGTACATTGACAGTTCAATGTTGACGATGCAGAACCACTAATCTATAGCAGTAGTAAGGCGAACCCCGGTGGTCATGGGAGATCTTTTCTTCAAGTCATTCGACGTGCGATTCGGAGAGATCCTTGAGCGGATGCGATTCCATCAAAAGGTTGTGCACGATGAAACGCAGTGGGCTTTTCTTTCCGACCTGCAAGATAAGGCAAATATCGCCGAAATCCTAAAGAAGGCTGAGCAGGAGGAGCAGAGGCGGCTCATGGCAATGACATCAGAACTGTCACAAGATATCAAGTCGCAGAGTTGGCGTGAGGAGCCTTTATACTCGTTCTCCGGGCATGTGGAAATGTGCTAACGGACCCAGAGGTTTTTTTGCAGCATGTCTTCCGCTGGCTTCGAGCGGATGACAACAAAAGTGTCCTTGATCGGCACTTGAATACGAAGGAGGAAGATACAGCCGAATGGTTGTTTCGACAGCCGAAATTCACCTCGTGGCGGGATGACGACGGGCCACCTGACGGCAAGCCTTCCATACTATGGGTTCGAGGTGCGTCGTTGTTCCACCGGCCGTATTGTTCGTCGAGAGTCTAAACTGGACAGGAAACCCTGGATGGGGAAAGAGCATCCTTGCTGCTTCAACGATTCAAGAACTGCTCTCTCGGCGCGACGAGAGCCAGCAGATGCCGACCGAGGCGATATGCTACTATTTCTTCAGCCATGAAAATGCTGCAGCATCGTCCAGCACCGAGGCTTACAGAGCACTCCTGGCGCAGCTCTTCAGTGAACACAAAAGCTTGGAAAATATCAGCAGTGCCTTCTCACTTGCGCTCGCCAAAAGCGGTCATTCTGCATCCCACCAAGAACTACTGGATTTGCTGGGCCTGTGCCTGCAGATTCTGCCGCCGACGACAATCCTCCTGGACGGAATTGACGAATGCACCGAACCGAATGCCCTCTTGCGAGACTTGTGCAATCTCCGGGGTGGTGGGCCGGACCTGAGGCTGCTGCTATTCAGTCGCCCGAATGTGGCATACCTTCATCGCAGACTGGGTGAGCCACAGACAATCCAGATGTCCAGAGAGGTCACCGATACAGACATCGCTGTCTATCTTCACCGTGGGTTGCAAGAACTTCAAGACGATCAACTCATACCCCAGGGAACAAATACCGAGGATCTTGTTGAGCACCTCCTTCAACGGGCTGAAGGGATGTTCCTGTGGGCCAAACTCATGGTTACCTACCTTCATTCTCCAGCTCTGACACTCAGATCTCGTCAGGATGCCATATTCAGAACCACTCCAAAGGGGCTCCACGAGATGTACTGCAGGATATTCTCCATCATCACCAAATCAGACGAGGCGTCTCAGGACCTGGCCATGAAGTCATTCATGTGGATTGCACACGCTTCCAGTCCCTTGAGAGCAGTCGAACTTCAAGGTGCATTCAGGGATCCGTGTGCTCTCTCCTCTGAGCTCGATCTAGTACCTGAAATCGAGAGCGCCATTCAATTAACCACCGCGGGTCTGCTAGAGATGCGGAGCGACCAGACCTTTCACTTCATTCACCAGACAGCAAGAGAGTTCGTCCTGGAAGCGAAAGCGACGGGATCCAGTGGTTTGAACTACGTCCAATCAGGCGAGCAGGCACATGCCTCGATCGCCATGCACTGTTTGCGCTATTTGATGTTTGCCGTACCTGCTCAGCCGCTTTCTATTACGATTGGGACTTTCCAATCCCAATCAATCGACGATACCGTTCCCTTACTACCGTACTCGTGTGAATCTTGGTTCCACCATATGTGCGCAGCCCTTTCCCTGGTCGATGACGGCGACGCGGCTCAATCTCGAGCGGACTTTCTAAGTGTGCTGAGAACCTTCTTGGCCACGCCCCTCACCTTGATGGTCTGGCTGGAAGCGGTATACACTTGTTCCATGGGGACCATCACCATTCGCGCTCTCCAGGAGCGATCCCGGCAGTTGTCCGACCGGTTCAGTCATGTCTTAGATTTGAATCTGAAGGCCGTTCTTTCCGACCTACAAGAGTTTGCTCAGGACCTAGGCTCCGTTACCTCAGCCTGGGATGCAGCTCTGTCGACCAATCCGGCGGAGATATGGAACGATATCACGGCATTTACACCCAGCAGGTTTTTCCACCAAACGGCTGCTCTGGCAGTCCAAGGCATCAAAATGGACTCGCCCGCCGAAATACGTGACGAGGGCGAGCTGCTTTGGACAGTATCCAAAACGTCGATAGACTTGACCAGATTGGCGACGGTGACCGTGTGCCCGAGCAGGTAAAGGCTCGCATCCTCCTTGGTCGAAGAAGCTTTCGCCACTGACCTGTCTCGCAGAGAATTTTGCCAACTCTGGAGGACGGGTCATGTCCAGAGCGCGGAGAGGGTGGAGCAACTTCTACACTCCTGTGAGGGATGGAACGCTCTATATGAGATATTTGACATCAGTGGACAACCGGTCAGAAGATCCGCTACGACGGTTCCCCTGTGCGCGAATGAGGTCTCGTTACGCTTACGGCAATCCTTGAGATATGACAAGATCGGCATTCCAGTAGCCATCAGCGACAGCTTGACGAGGATTGCCCTTTTGAGGACAGTCGTCTGCATCCAACCTTCCGAGGAAGATACAACCGAGGCCGACGTATGCTCATGCACGCTGGAAACGCAGCTCCTGGACCGCCAATCCTCCAATTGGGATGGATCCCGCATGTTTAACGGTCTTGAATACTATTACCAAGTTCTCTTCTCGCCAGACGAGAAGTTTGTGATCTTTCATGACTACGATCTCCTACACATGTCCAGCAACATTGGGGCATACAGGCTTTGCTGCGAGGACTCTGTCTGTCAGGCCTTGCTCTTAAATCATATGCAAATGGAGCGTCATTCCTATGTCGCGCCTGTCCTACACCATTATCTCCAAATCGCCCTTTTCGTCTGGAAGCAGCACATTTTCAGCTGGCACTTTGCCCAAGGTATGTTTTGACCCAACACCTGGACGCTGGACGCTGGACGCAGCGACAAACAGGGGAATGTTCTGACGATCAACAGACACGCCCCAATTGACCATGCTGGCCGCGTTTCCTGCCCTAGGACATCCCGCCGCTTGTGATGTTGACTTCGAGATTGGCTTCTCCGAGTGCGGCAACTTTTACACCGTGAAGCATTATTCGCAAGCATGGCCTGCCATCCATCCCCTACCAGCCAGTCCCGGCGTTCTGAATGCTTTGGGCTCAGGTGAATCTACAAGTCCTCCCACGAGCGCACGGCCAGTGGTCCGAAAGCGAATGGCAGAGGAGGAATTGGCACCGTCAACCGATTCGAAGAAAGTCCAGCTGCCTTTTCGGATGCCTCCCTTGCGAAACGACGTGGTGTGCCTGGATCATTCGGAGCAGAGTGCAACCTCCGCCATCATCACTCACAAGAACACCCCACAAATGTTGGAACTTTCAGTCGCGTCGACAGCCGGCGGCACTGATAATATAACATCGTTGGAATTACTCAGCGTGCCCAGCCACATTGACCTCCGACACACGTCTTCGAGCGTCAGATGGCAATCCGAGCAGGACGAGAAGATCCGAATCATTCTCACTCGACGGTCTCCGCGATACTATTGTGCATCTGACCGCAAGGCCACCGAGGCGGCTTTGGTCATTGACCGAGATGCCAGGTTCACGCAAAGATTCCAATCCTTGAACCGCCCTCACCTCCAGCTCCCTTTGTGTTTACCAGGTTTGGGACCCTTGGATGATGGACCAATACCAGATGATCTTGAGCCCTAGGCTCAGTGAGTTGACTGGCCCACGAGATACCGGTTTAGCTATGGCGGGCGGCAACAGTGGCAATGGAACTACCATGCGAGTATCTCTTTCCTCATCTATCTACCTCTGGCTGGAGTGGTGGTGGTGTCAAACTTAGGCACATTCCCAGCCTTGTTCTTTGACTATAGCGGACATGGAACATTTCAACCTTTAATAGGTCGAGGTGGACTATACGCTATAGGTATATGATATGTATGTTAGGAGGTGGACCTGGGACGGGACTTGGGAATTGAGAATTGAGAGTTTCCACCTGTTCAGCCTAGGCCATGTATCTTCATATATATATTCGATATTCGATATTCAGAATAACTAGCTGGCCCGTCCACATGGAGATGGAACAGAGACCGCCTGAAGCTGAAGCTGAAGCCGAAGCTACACATAGGACTATATGCTGGAAAGCATCGGTGGGAACATGTTCATTTTCATGTTCATGTTCATTTTCATTTTCATCCGGGGCAGGATAATACTTGATCCGGTCCGGATCGCCGATCATGAAAGCCGTAATTGGGCGGATTGGGTGAATTGGGCGCGGAGGTGTTCGCGGAGGCGGAGAGAGCGCACGGGGTCACCGTCACGGTTAGTCTCGGATTGCGAGTTGCATTGACTCACGTTGAGGAAACATCTATTCGATCGGTGCCCTTCCAATTTGGTTGGACAAGGAGCTCTCGACCAAGCCTTCCGAACATTCTGCTAGACTTGGACACAGGATGTGTGCATCGTCGGTCTGAGGTTTCTTACCGGTCCCGGTCAATCCAGCCCGACTACGGGACGACCAACTTCCAATCCTGAGTCTGGTCGAACATCCTGCTAGACTTTGATGCGTGCATCGTCGGTCTGAAGTTTCTTACCGGTCCCGGTCAATCCAGCCTGACTACGGGACGACCAACTTCCAATCCTGAGTCTAGGTTTATCTGTGGGAGGGCATTTCATCAGGATCTCCGAGCTCGACATAGTGTCGAGAAGGAGGAGCGCAAAAGAGCATGTTCAGGATCGAAGAGACGACCAGTGGTGGTCGGCTAGCCGGTCGTAGCCATGGTATGACCGAGCAGGTGTTCCTCCAGCCGGAATGTTGGCCGTCAGACTGCATGGTATCTCCCAGGCAGGAAGGTCCTGGCCAATGGAATGACCAGATCTCCTCCCACTCTGTATGGGATCAACCACTCCGGCTTGTCGCATACTTCCCAACAGTTTGGACGGGAAGTCGAGTCATGCGCCCTTCTGGGACAAGGTCCCCTTGCGTCGCCAGCGAGGAAAACTGCGACAGAACAGCCGCGCCGGTTTTGCTTTTGGCCGGACAACTCAAAGACTTCCCTGGTGTTTTTGACGGCCCCGCTTGGGTATGGTATTGGCGTCGGACCGCCGGCGACACTATGCAGCTCGTCAATCGATAATAGCAATGCCGGACAATGGCCTGCCACCAGATTCGGGTAATGGTCGCAGTTTCGGAGGACATGCCGGAACACTCTTGCGACAGTGTCCTGTCTAAGCAACGCCAACCTGCTAGTTTGTTGGCAAGTTGCAAAGAAGACCTCGAGTACTCGGTATAGCTGATTCAATGAGGTGCTCTCCACCGGTTGACCTCGTTCCGCTCGTCGAAGGAATCGACATGCGATTGGACAGACCAGGAGAGACCAAACTAATCAACACCAGTGAGTAGCGTCAGGGCAATGGAAGGCCACAGTCCAGACAGGCTGTCGACCAAGTAGAACGACTGGATTGAGCTAGTGCGTACCAAAGCAAAGGATAGAAATCAGAACAACTCCGTCAATCAGGTGGTCAAGTGAGAAATCTCGGCGAGTCAGATGCAAAAGCAAGCATGTGAACCGCGGTGACAGCTCCCAGGGTAGCGGTTCGGAAGGCAAGCCAGCTTGTGTCAAGATGGCAGACAGCGGTTGAGATTCTCAGTGGCTCGGGGATGGTGGCTGGGGAGTATTCTCTATACCGGTTACTGCAAAAGGAAAGGCACTTACGGCGAACCTGCATAACAGAAAAATCGATAGTTGACCGTAGAACACAATCCTTGTACCCACCGCAGGTATGGAGCTTCAGAGTACGGAGTACACTGGTACAGAGTATACAACATGGGTGCCTGGCTGGTTTTCGGGGCTTGGCAGAGACTGTGTATCTTGTATCATGGTGTGAAGGATGAGAAACGACTCCGTACTCTGTTAGGCCATGGCGGAAGGCGGAAGAGGCAGCCAGATTCATTCCATCCGTTCATGCGACGGATGTTGATTCACAGCACCATGAGTGGCAGAGATGATGCATGATAAATCCTACTAGATAGGTACCAGGGTGGTTGGGGTGGCTTGTGACCGGTAGTTGGTTTTCACCCTCGACGTCGTCGTGCATTGAGTTTTCCACCGACATCATCCTCTGTAAGGGCAGCTCGTGCACTTGAATCAAGGGTCCTCCGTGCTTTGGAACCGGAGCACGGGTATAGCCAGGCACATGGTTAGAACAAGGATCGTGGACAAGCGAAAGTACGGATTGTGAGGTGATCCAAGCGTCGTCGAGTCGTCGGCACTTCGGCAGAAGAAGATCAAGGGATGGATGAACGAAGGGGCGCTGTTCACTCGTGTCAGTCAGGACCGAGTATACTCGTACGGTGTCTGTGTCTGTGTCTGCGTCTGTGTCGAGTCGAGCATCCGATCTGGGACTGTGTTCCGTAGACCGTGCAAAACTTAGACGGAGCAACAAGAAGCAAAGCCCACCAGCACAGTGTCAGGCTGTCAGCCCTCCATAGGTGCTCCAGACCATACAGAGTGCTTGCAGAGTAATAGTCGGTAGCAAAATTCCTCGATGCGGACCACAAAGACTGTAACCCTTTGCCCTTTGCGCCACTATCATGTTCCATTCATTATTCAGTGGTGGGTTCGCTCGACAGAATTGAGAATTGAGAATTGCCAGTGTGGGCAACCCATCGGCCATCCCCATCTGGGATGGAAGGATTCCATCAGCTCCGATCAGATTAGATTAGGGCAACCGAGTATTGGCAATCATGTGACTGGAATAGCACGTGACTACACGCTCACATCCTCTACCTAGGCCATACAGAGCATACAAAGCTGTACTCCGTACTCTCCTCTCCTATGGTACGGGAGTAAAAGTAAGCACCTAAGCAAGGGCTACGGATACTAACTCTGTACTCTGAACTCTATCATCCTCTTGCATCCTCTCCGGTGTAATACTGGCATACGGATAATGCTCGGTGAACCACTCCCGCGAGCGACATCAACGGTAACCGCCGCCTTCTAGGACCATCTCTTGTCCATTGTCCAAACCCCCCAGTTCTCGTGGTCGGACATTGTAACCATACTTTCTACCGAGTACCTCAACGTTTGTGAGCAGAGCCGGGGTTGCCTTCCACGCCATAGGCCTCGACTCGAAACCCAGGCCTTGAAAACGCAGATTTTTCAGGCTACCAGGAAATACTACATTCTGGACGATTCAGACACCTGCCAATCGAAAGGACCAACACCACCCTCTACTATGCGCCCGGCGCATGTCCTCGCACAGAACCACTTCGAACTCACCAGTTAGTGAGATGCTCTGGTGCTCCGTACTCTGAAAGACCTGATGGTCCCATCACCACCAGGCGTTAGCGTACTATAGTACTCCGTAGGAGGCGCGGTATCGCCTCCATGCAACCATAACCATGCACATAGCAAGGTTGTCTGGAGTGACATCCTGCAGGCACTTTAGCAGTGCATGCAGCCCGACGCCGCCTGTCACTCCAGCGCCATTGCCGTCATGACATATCTTACGCAGGACCAAGAAGTTCACAACCAAGGATTGGGACTTTCTTAGCTTGGTCCGGGAGAGGCCTCGGAAGGCCCTTCAATCCACTGCGGCGGCCCCATTGAGTTGGTTCGGGTACAGGGTAGACGATAACCAACTTTCACCACACGCCGTTGGAAACCTTGCGATTTGCCGAAGATCTTAGCCCATTCCAGATTCTACGGCCTCCGTCTGAAGGGTCGGCAACCAGGATTACGGTTGCGGTTGCAGTACGGATGCTGGGATACAATATGCAGCCCGATAGGCGAACGTGTCATACTGGAAAATCACCAGCACCACCAGCCTTTTTCACACCGGGCCTTTTGTGCTCGGACAGACTTCCCCGCCGGTCGGCGGTCTAAAGAGAGAGCAAGACTTCGTGCTTCCCTGTCGCTGTCGGTGCCTCCTTGCACCAAGTGGCGCCCAATGACTCGACAGGAGAGTGGCTTGCGATGCCGTTGTGCGACCAATTCTACTATCCGTACATTGACAACACACAGCGCGGCCGGTCGGTATCTATCATAGATAAGCATACTTGAACCATCCCCCGCTGCCGTTTGACACGTGGGAGGTAAACGCAGGCGAACAGCGGGCAGGCGGGAGGGTTGAGTCCGAGGGTGTGCTGGTGCCTGAACGGTACCTGGAGCCTACCCATGTTCCGCCTAGTTTGGCCGGAGTGGACTGCGGTATTTTCAAGGCGGGCCTCTGTCCAGCTTCCAATCGACGGGCTTGGGTGCCTGGCATCAGTCCCTGTTCGGGTCGCCATGGACGGAAGACATTGTCCTGCCGGGATTGGTTCAGGAGGACCCATTGCGACCTGCATTAGCCGAAAGCCACCTGGCTCTTGTGGCGTTGCGCTTGACGCCCTATTGGACGAAGGCTGGATGGGATGCGATACCCATCAAGCCCATCCCTTTCCCACCAGCAAGGGGCTAGCCCACGGCCGGCCATGGCCATGGGCAATTGAGCTGTCCAAACCCTCTTGTCACCGACTCGACATGCATTTGGCGGTTCCATCCTGTGCGGATAATCTGACACCAGCGGCACTACGGAGTCGATTCTGGACGTACGGCCCCAGGAGTCCAGGACCCTCCACCCGTCTCGCGGTTGCGGTTGCAAGCGCTAACAATGCATGGGCGAAAATCTCTGACCGATGCAGGAGGATCCATCCTGTGGTCCCATGGCCCTGGAGTTGAGATGTTGTGGGCGCATCGAGCTTTGTTGATGTGGATGGCAGAGGGCCGTGGTTGAAATTACTTAAACCCACGGCCCTTCTCTGTTGTCTCTGGTCGGTTTTGGAACCATTCGTGTCAATCCTTTTCCAGCCTCCCACTCTCTACATCCTCGAGCAGGTCTCTGAACAGCATCATTCCTTTTGCTGAAAGACCCCTTTGTCGACGTTGACCACCCTATACCTACCTAGGTACTTACACAGGATCACTCTCCTTCATCCACACCAGACGTGACACTCTCCTTACGAGTCAAGCTCCTCGTCAACACACCACCACAATGCAATTCAAGAAGGTTATGACTGGCGCAGCCGTGCTGCTTGCCTCTGCTCCGGCCGTGATGGCTGTCGGGTCCGCCACCGTGGTCAACAACTGTGGATTCCCCATCTACTATGCGTCCGTTGGCCAGGACTACACCGCCAACATGCAACTGCTCCAAGGCAGCTTCTCTGAGCAGTACACCCAAGAGGGTGTCGGTATCTCGATCAAGCTGGCCCCCAACGCCACCACGTCTGGACCGGTCTCGCAGTTCGAGTTCACCTGGGCCGACGGCAAGGTGTCGTATGACCTGTCCAACATTGACGGCTATCCTTTCTCCGCCGGCGGCATGGAGATTGTGCCCTCATTGCAGGGAGACTCGAACAACCCAACCTGCGTGCCCGTCGACTGCCCGGCCGGTGAATCCGTGTGCACTGCCGCCTACAATGCCCCCGATGATACTCGCACCATGGTCTGCGACCAAGACTCCGATCTGGTCTTGACCATGTGCCCGGGCGGCGCCGCCAAGCGCGACGTCGAAGTCAACAGCCAAGGCCATGTTCACTACCGCGTGCACGCTCGACACCTGCCCCGGCGGGCATAGAGGCGTCGACCCAACGCCATCAACACGAGGAATTGCCAAAGAAGACCCAGCAAAAATGTCCCCTTTTGGAACCGAGACCACCTAACCTCCCTTTTCACTCTTGGCGCAGCTAGCTCTGCTGCCTTGACGAAGCCTCACTGTCGCTCCGCCTTTTCTCTTTTTTACACTGCCCGCAAAGACACTCGTTTACGGCATCCTCCATGAGTCGACACATGGACATGTCATCACCCCTGCAGGGCCAGTACCCGATCTCGACGATCAATTTCACACTCTCTGAACCGGCGACAGGTCTCCCCGTGGGATCACTCCAAAAGGGCATTTTATGCTCGGGCTACGAATGAACAACAACAAGCCATGAATGAACTTCTCGACTTTGACTCGGATCAAAATGAACTGACGAACCTCGATACGCGAAACCATGTCATGACTCCAATGACTATGACTAGCAAATCAACCAAACCAAAGCAACGGCGATGGAAGGAGCAACACGCGCCCAGGGTGGAATGGGTTTTGTTATTGTTTTTGTTTTCTTTTGTCTTCTTTTGACTTCACGTATGGCTTTCAGGCCATTCTTATCGACATGGCATTGAGGAACCTTGACGACACTAGTACGTCTGATGCTGTCCTCCGTACGGAGTACTCCGTACGTAGTATGGATACAGGATGTATGATGACAACTTCACCCGAGTCAGGCTCAATGCGTGTGCAGATGGTGGGGGAAACAGTTTCGCGCGACTTTTTGGTACATGAAGCATTCCCTCGGTTGGCCAAGGAGGGGATAAACCACGCTCGAGTGGCAGCACCATCAACATCGGGATTGCTTACTGTTGTTGGCTTGAACTCTGTTGGAATTGCCTACTGTCGTTGGCTTATCTCCCTTCTTGCAGCCAGCCAGGGTTGCTCCAGTATCCAGTATATAGACTTTGACTTCTCGAACACACACATAGGGACAATAAAGAGATGAAACCTCATGAGCCTGCCTTTTAGCTTCTGCCGACTGCGATTGCTATGCCATTGCCATGCCATTGCTATGCCATTGCCATTTATGTTTCGGTGCTGTGCAGTGCTGTGCTGTGCGGTGCCGTGCGATGCGGTGTGGTATATTTATTTAGTTATATTGATTTATCTACTATCAGCCGGGTACTTTCTACGCCGTCTACTCCGTATCCATATCGTCCTTGACTCTTCGACTCTTCGTTCCCGGCACATCTAAGGCAACAGGACAATGCTACTGCATGCGATGGTAGGTACGGATGCGGCATGGGCCAAGATCGAGATCGAGATCGAATTCGATTCGGGGTGTTGGTGTTGGTGTTGTGCCTGTGACGGCTCCTCCGCGCCAGGGAGATTACTGCGCTCCTACAAATGTGGACAGTGGACGTGGACATGGACAGCACTACGGAGTACGTACCTACTACGTACCTAACTACCACCTACTAATACCTACTACCTATTACCTACCTACCTACGGAGTACGTACTCTGCAATTTTCTCTTTATTACTGAGTACGTACTCTGCAATTTACTCTGAAATTGTTACTGAGTACGGATACGTACTCCTACCACGTACTCCGTAAAGTGATGACGACGCCCTGGCCCCGACGCCGACCCCGGCCCCAGCCCCAACCCCTGCCCCGCGGGCTTACTGTAGGTGACGCCGTGGCCAGATAAGGACTCCTGAAGCTGAAGTTGGGTGAATTAGCTAGCTAGGTAGGTAGGTAGGTAGGTAGGTAGGTAGCTAGGTAGGTAGGTAGGTAGGTAGGTATCCGTGCCTAGGTATCCGTGCCTACCTAGGTAGGTGGTGGTTGGTAGCTAGGTACATAGTTGATAGTTGGTTGTTACAGAATCAAAGTTGGCTTTTGTGGCGTTTTTCTGACGCCGTGGCTGGGTCCGACATCCCGTTCTTGATTTTAGCCTTAGCTTCCCTGCTGCCCCTTGACCACCTGCAGCTTCTGCTTGAGCTTCAGCTAAACATGTTTCTTTCCCGTCTCCGACACCTGCACACCACACCATACGGGACAGCTGTCAAGGTCACAGATAAGTAAGTGACTTAGACTACGGAGTAGGACTACGCATACGGAGTACGGAGGACTAAGTAAGTGACGTGGGTTGTTGGTGTCTTACCTGCCTTACCTACCCGCCTCCTGCCTCCCTTCCTTCCTTCCTTCCTTCCTCCCTTCCTAGCGCAGGCTTAGGCTTAGGCCCCTGGGTCTAAGGCGGCTGGCTGAGGTGAGGGCTTAGGGGCCCCCCTCCCCTAAATGCACTCCCCTACTCCTACTCGTACATGCACACTCCCCTTCCCCTTCCCCTACATGCACACTCCCCTAAATGCAAATGCAGCGGGAAGGAAAGGAGAGGATGCGGGATGTGATGGATGTGATGGATGGGATTTAGGGGGCGGCGGCTTTGCTTTGACTAGGTACGTACAGCTATGTGTAGGTGCCAGTCATTTCTCTCACGATTCATCATCACAGCCAGGGTACCAGTCATTTTTCATCACTGTCAGGGTAGTAGGTACGGATGCATGTACCGATATCTCTCACTATTCACCATCACAGCCAGGGTACTCGTACGGATGCATGTACCGATACTCCTACTCCTTATCAGGACTCCATATCCTACTCCATACTCCGTACTGGATACGGCACGGTTGTGCTCGCGGATGTGAAAACACATTTCTTGTTGGCTTGCTGGACGGATGATACGGAGGATCCTGGACAGTGTGAAATCATGGAGTTGGGTTGGGTGTAGGAAGTCGGGAGTTGGAGTTGGGTGTGGGTGTTGGATGTCTACCTCTACCCTTGCTTCCTGTTCGGTACCTACTCTTGATTATGCGTAGTATCCGTATCCGTACCCGGGCTGTGATAATGACGGTGGTGGTGGCCCCTATCCGTACTCCTATCCGTACTCAGGCTGTGCTAACGACAGCGGTGGCTGGGGGTGTCAGCTCTGGTTGAATCAATAATCCAAAAATGGCATTGCCCACTCCGTACTACGCCTCAGACTGAGACATGCCTGGTAAGATGATGATAGTTCCAGTCCAGTTCCAACCTCGCCCACTCTCACGGGATGGCTTGAATACGGAGTACAGAGTAGATACCAGCTGGCCATTGACCTTGGGCAACCCACAAGGCTGACCAGGGGGGTCCTTGTCATGATTGGGGGCGGCGGGCGGCGATTGAAACACTGAGTCCCCGTCCTCCATTGGCAGGCTATAGACTATCTTTGAATCTCGAGTGTGCTGTACTCGTACTCCGTACATATGTGCAGGAAGTCCAATCAGACCAATAGTGTGTAAGGATAGTGGGTGGAAGGCTCGTCCGCCAGGTGCAAGTAGAATGAGTGGGCGTGATCGTCCGTCCGTCAGCAAAAATAAACAAACAAATAAATAAATAAACAGTTGACGGCTACAGCCGAGCTCGCCTGATCAGACTCATTCAGGTCCACAACAATTGTCACAAGAATAAGTATCCGTACAATCACATCAATACCGAGGAAATGCGGACTCCTCTCTGGCTGGCACTGAGACATGGTATGGGCATACTTGGTTGGCTTCCCTCTTTCCTCGCTGGGAACGCTTCCTGGCTGGAGAGGCCATGGTCTAACTGGGGAGGATATCCCAGTCGTTGCCCAAAACCCAGACAAGCCAGACAGAGTTGCGGGAAGAGCAAATCGGTAGTACGTAGATTGGGCCGCCGTCCGCCTCAAATCTCTCCCAGATCGCCATTCAAGCCATGTGGATGTTGCAGTCAGGACGGATTTGGCGCTTGGAGATTCCAGGGTAAATAATATTACAGGTCCCATATAAACCAGCTCGACTGTTCCTGAAACATGTGTGGAGTGGTCCTCCTTGTGCATTCTTCCGCCATGATGGATACAGAGTAGTCTCTTCAGATGGGGCGTATCTGATCCATCGTTACTCACGCATGTTCTTCGAGGTAAACAACATGGTGTTGATCTTGTGAGGTGATGACCCTGGGGCCTGCCCTGTCAAGACCTGGAGAAGAGAGACACTCGGCGTCACCGTCTTCCCAATCTGAGATCCCAATCTGAGACTTGAAGAAACGCACGTTGCTCACTTAGGACACCTGTACGGAGTATTCACGTAGGGTATAGCATGTCCTTCTGATCACCCTGAACAATTGGTCATCGAGGTAAGGGAGATGGTGGTGGGCCATGGCTACAGCATCACCAGCCCAGAAGAAGTTCTCTTGGAGATATCTATTTTCAATTCTTGACTTCGGGCTGTCCATCCAACTATGCAAAGGTCCGATGGCTACATATCTTGCCAGACTATGAGATCCATCTTGTCCTGATCAACCTATCGAGCTTATCATACAAGCACGACCAGAGTGATTTGTGTAGAACGTGACCACGAGATATTCATGTCACGTGATTGCATAAATAGTGCCCGCTCAGAAAATTCTTGCGACGGAGAAGAAAGCAGCCTTGGTCATAGGTTTACCCTTCTATGCATAAGGTATTATTACACAATCCCCCACCACCATGACAGTGACGATGTCTAGACTTTTCATCCGAGTCTTCGACAGCCGAACAGGCCTGGAGCCTGCCTGCCCTTGTCCGGTCCACACTCCCTCGTCTCGAAGTTCCTCCCAAATTCCACGGTGAACCGGACGGGCGAGGGCGATTTCGACCGGACTCCCCGGAATCCGGGCTCCGGTATCTTCGATCCTGCGTGCCTGACTCGTCCACCCCGAAGGTAACCGCTCAGCCATTTTTGGTGCGGCGTCGTGGAGGATGCGGTGCCATGGCTACGCTAGAAGAGCCGGATGAAGTGGGTGGAAACGTGCTGGAATCTCACCCAACGAGCACTCTATGTGCTTTCGGAGACAGGTTGCGGTTCCCTGTGTGCCTCCTAGGTTTGGTTGATGAGCCGTACCAGACCAACAGCAGCACCCGCTGCAAACACGCCCACTACCAGCATCTGCACTGCTCCTGATATGCAAGCCCGATAGTTTTCCCTGCCTGTCCAACCCCGGACCACGCCAGTCTTGACATAGCCAAAGAGCAGCAGCACCACTCCCATCAGCCCAATACTCCACCACAGCCCGGCGAGAACATCGTCTCGCGGCACGAGAAAATATGGAATGAGTGGGAGGAACCCGCCGACGAAATAACTGATACCCAACGTAAGTGCTGAGAGATACGGCCGTCCGGTGTCTGGTTTGGTTGCCTGGAAATGATTTTGCAGGAGGAATTCCTTGAACCTTGGTGTCGAAGCTTTGATCTGGTCCGAAACCCGCTTCGTGTCCTCCTCGGACAATCCAAACTGCTCAAAGTACTCTTGGACATAGTCTCGTGCTGTGTCCGGCTCTTCGCAGATCAGCTCGTCGCAATTCCGGTCAGTTGCGTTGTAGGATTCTCTGCCAGGTGTGAGTAGGCGGAGCACATTGATGCAGTTGTGGAAAGCAACTCACGCTTCGCTTTTGGCACCCACGTATCCGCCCAGTCCCATTGATATGGCACCGGCAATGAGCTCTGCAAGTCCGCCTAGGATCACCACCCGAGTATCTCCCAGGGCGGTCAGGCCTGCTGTGAGAGCAAACGGCACGGTGAGGCCATCTGACAGTCCCAATATCGAGTCGGCCACCACCCTCGCGTCGAGCCGATATGTCGACCAGAAGTCGCCGAGGCTCCTCTGGGAACTCTTGTCGGACATTGATCCTCGCCCTTGTTGATTCTCTGAACCCTGAAGGGTGGACGTTCGTGATAGCAACGGTCTGTTTGCCTCAAGATCTGGTGCGGTGGGGAGTGTTTCTCTCTGAGACCATCGACCCCCGGGCTGGCTCGTCACTGATAGGCTGTCGCCGTCCCGGCCGGTCATGTTGTTGCAAACTGGCACCTGGCACACTTTTTGTATTTTGGACTGATATTACAGTGAAATAGGATCAGTCAGAAAGTCGTAAAAGTAAATGTCGTCCTAGGCTTGGAAATTGTGTCTTCTGTGGGCAGACAAGACTATGTGTCTCCCTCTCTCTTATACCACGTCAGGGTCGGTGTAGGACCTGCTGCAGAGTTCCGGGCAAACCGTGTGCCTGGCCAATCACAGAGTAGCTAAAAGTCAGCGGTCCAAGCTGTCAGCGGCACAATATCAATTTGATGACAGAAGGGTAGAAGTGCAATTCATTCATTATTATTGGTGAATGGTGAATCTACCATGTAACATCCTTTTGCCAGCTTTATCTCCCCCTGACCAGACTTATATTGCGATGATCGTGATGGTTGCCCTCGCCCTTCGACTTCGCACGTGATTGCAGCCTTGCGGGATGTACCCCAAATTGCCCACGTCCCGAGGGGATTGAAGAACTACTCACCTGCTCATTGCCCATAGTCCACTGAGCTTCAGAGTTGATCATGGCCATGGCATTCGCCCAAGCCTACACACGATACACTCCAAGTCTAGCCGGCGGAACCGACCAAGTCCGCCATGCGTCACTCCTTCCTGCAAGTAGAAATCTCAATCCTAACTCTCTTTCCTTCCCCAATGCCATCAGCTGCCGTTGCAATGTCGAGAGAGAAAATGACGTCGCACAAGGTGAGACTGGAAGGAGTCTGAGCAGGAAGGCACCTCCCACTCCTTGCTGCCACCTTCATTATGTCGGTATGCTCTGAAATTCTGCTCTCTTCCACACTACTACCATCAGCACCACGTACTTGAGGCATCGATTCTTGAGCTTTGCTTTGGCAGCCCAGTGATAGCTGCAGTTGATTCCACTCTTTATCTCCCCTGTATTGCTTCCTCCCGTATACATTGTTTCCAGCTTGCCACTCTTTCAACCAGCTGCACCCCATCTCGAATCAAGATGCACAGCAAACCCCTCTTCTTTTCTGCCATCTTGGCTGAAATCTCGCTGTCTCTGGCCACGGAGCGGGCTGATGGCAGTTCGGTGAACGCCGTCGACTGCAATCCCCTCACGTCGGCAGCATGTCTTACCGGTGGTGCTATACATGGGCCGTTCCCACTTCAGCAGGTCCTCGCATATCCGAACGTAAGAGCTGGGGTCTTGGAAAGAACGGCGGAAGCAGAGCCTGTGTGCTTCATATCCAACACTCAGGCGTGTGATGATGTCCAGGCCTTTGCACACTGCCTCACAGTCCCCACGTCTGCGGGCGAGACATGCATTCTCAACCCAGGCTGCACCATTCGGCTCATCGAATGCCCGTCTGACGCCTTGCCATTCAAGGAGACTGCCGGGGAGCCCCCCTTGTATCCTGATCCTTCTCCAAGGGACCCCAAATCTACCTCCAGCTTTGCGCCCGCTCCGTCCCCCAAGCTAGAATTAAAAGACCAGATGCCAGAGCTTTTTGGCGCCAGTCGATCGAAGAGCATAGCCGAGGAAGTCGATGCCGCAATGCCAGATTCGGTCAAAGAAGCAGTGCTCAACCAGGACTCTGAGATTGCTGCTCAGGCCCTGGCCAAGGAACTCTCCGGCAACCCCCTCCCTCAATGGTACGAGAACATGCCCGCCAGCGTCAAGAACTACTACGCCACCATAACCACTCCCCCAATGATGTCTGTGATGGCAACCGACGAGCCTACAGTGTCCGCAAACAACCACAGAATCGTCCGTCGCAGCGATCCTACTGTTGACGCATGGGTGTCAAGCATCAAATCGTACGAGTCGCAGATCAGTGCGCTTTCAATGGCCGCCCGTTCACACTCACGGAATGCCAAAGCACTGTCTATAGACGCGAGAAGCAATTCCCGGAGAGCCACCAGTGAAGGCAATACCGAACTGCAGACCACCGCAAGCCTGCAGTCGGTCATGGCTCAGTCCCTGTCTCAACAGGCAGTGTCAGAGTCTAGGGTCGCTCAGTCAGCCTCCAAAGCGGCTTATGCTGTTACAGACAAGCCCAGCACTGCCAGTGCCGCAATCGCTCGTTACGCAAATGTGGCTTGGTACTCGGGCACGCTGGGTGCCGTTGCATGCCTTCTTATGGCCCTCGTGCTATAGAAATCAGGGCCTGGTTATTCCCGAATTGATGGCTCGGGCAGGACAGTATTAGGTTAGATTCAATCCGAAATCATTGATAGTCTTCACCTCCAACCACCCACTCTTCCTTCATCCCAGCGAGCTCGCATCTCCTTCCTCTTTGCCAAGGTCGTAGCACCCTCCTTGATTCTACGAACCCATTCAGTGACCTCTTTGTCGCTGGCTTTTCCATCTCCACCGCTGTAGTACGCACCGCCGTCGCTGGATCCCTCGAGAAAACTCTCTTGCATGGCTCGCAGTAGGGCTTCCTGTTCATTGATACTCGACACCAACCGCTGGTACATTTGTCTCGGGCCCCAAGGTGACAATGCATCGTCCATCTCACTCTGTTTCCTTCGCCACTGGCTCTGCAGAGAGGTATGGTTGAGCAGCAACTGGGCAGTTTCGTCTCGCAGTTGGCGTAACTGGTTCTCTAGCTGTGCGACCTGTTGTGCAAGTTGGAGGTTTGCTTGAATGGCGGTTTGTAGGGGAACAAGAGAGGATGCGTATGAGGGGTGAGTGGTGGCCAGCGACGCCAGAAGGGAGGGGTTGTTGACGAGCGGATGAAGTTCGTTGATCGGTTTGTCTTCCACCTGTTTTGGGACCCAGCGGTCAGACAGTGACGGTGGTGGCACAGGAACGTGAACTTGTTGCAGCACTTGCTGGGTGTGCGGGATTGGTGTCGAGGAGGTGGGTTGACCGGTTGGAATCGGCGGCTGGGGTCGAGGCGAGTTCACCAGGCCAGGCTGTATTGAAGCGGATGTAGTCGGTGGAGAGGAGAGCACTGGGGTATCTGACCGACTGTGATCTGCACTCAGATGTGAAGTCGGTTTAGGTGGAGGGGGCGGAGGTGGTGGCCCGGTTGGGACAGGAGACGCCGGTGTCGACGAGATGGGTGCGGCGCCGGAGATTCGTGGGGTTGAGGTGTAGAATGATTCTGCCATGTTGAGAACACAGCAGAGCTGTATAGATAGCGTGGTTACAGTGCCGTGGAATGAACAGAGCTGTCAATTGTTGGGTGGTGATGGTGGTGAGGAGCATGTGCAAACTAGCTCGCAGCCTTGCGGAGGAGCCTAAGCCCCCAGGCGGCATGGGAAATTCTTAGCATGTTTGTCTCCGTCCTGTGACCTACCAACTTTCCCAGCTCAACTTTTACACCACCATCACATTCCAACTTTCATCCGCCGTCTCCTTCTACACAACTCCTTTGGTTGCGCTCATCTTCACCTGCTCACATCCTTCCGAAAATCCAACGTTAATCAAAGATGGACTACCAGAACCGTGCAGGTTCGAAGTTCGGCGGCGGAGGTGTCGCCTCGCACTCGGCCACGAATGCGGACCGGCGAGAACGTCTACGCAAATTAGCCCTCGAGACGATTGACCTCGACAAGGACCCCTACTTCTTCAAGAACCACGTGGGCTCTTTCGAGTGCCGCCTCTGTCTCACGGTCCACCAGAACGATGGCTCGTACCTCGCCCACACGCAGGGCCGGAAGCACCAGACGAACCTGGCGCGCCGCGCCGCGCGGGAGCAGAAGGAGATGCAGAAGGATGGGCAGATGGTAGGCGGCCCCGGGGGCATGATGGGCGTGCAAGTGCGCAAGAACGTGGTCAAGATCGGCCGGCCGGGCTATAAGATTACCAAGATCCGCGATCCCTTGACTCGTCAGGTCGGCCTGCTTTTCCAGCTGCTGTACCCGGAGATCGCGCCTGGCGTGCAGCCTCGCGTGCGGTTCATGAGCGCCTTTGAGCAAAAAGTTGAGGAGCCAGATCGTGATTACCAGTACCTGTTGGTCGCGGCCGAGCCGTACGAGACGTGTGGGTTCAAGTTGCAATCGCGCGAGGTCGATCGGCGTGAGGGTCGCTATTGGACTTGGTGGGATGGCGATGCGAAGGAGTTTTGGTGTCAGGTCCTTTTCAAGACAGAAAGAGATGAGCGGTACAGCAATGTCCCCGGTTTGGCGCCCGCGCCCGGCAAGAAGTGAAATATACAGGGAACACGGCAATATGGAGTTCAGAACGGAGACCAAAAACGGAAAAGCGCTCGAGGCCCCTGGCTACCAGACGAATGCTGGACAGAGGAGAGCGTGTCAAAGAATCGCTGATATCCTGAGCCCTCGGGAATCGGCCCATCCGACTTGGTTTGTCGAGCCAACACAACACTGCCTACGAGCGTTAGTCTGATGACAGCCCGATCATCGCGAATTCGGGGGATGATTTTGAACAAACCACAACTGGGCTGGGGAGTTCCTCTGGGCAGCAGGCCGACTATACATCTGCTACCAGGCCAATTTTCTAGCATGCAGTCTGACAATCACCTCGAATCAGACCCGCGTCTATGATCATCCGCCAGAGTCTAGCATTCGACGGAGAACCACCGCCGCTCACAGAAACTTCTCGGCCTGTCGCTCTTGAAGCAATACATCACACCCACTACCAAGAAATGCTGCAATGGAAAAACAGAAAAGGCTAGGCCTATGTCAATCAGACATACCATCAATTCCGGGGTCAGAACCGCTACCTGAGGGGGAGTTTTCGCCGTTATTCTTCCACTGCGGAATCCCAGCAGACAGCTAGGTAGTAATGAAGGAAACAAGTATGCACCGAGTATAAATCCGATGTCAACGGTCAACACCCCTTTCTCGATATTCTCGTAACCCAGACGCCGTCGCCATGTAGTTGAAATAGCAGTCGTAATTCAATACTTTACACCGCCAACCGATTTCCGAATTTCTCATTGTTGCGCCAGTTGTTCCTTGCCTCGCATCACCACATCGCCGTACTCTTTAAGACTGAAATCCCGGTCGACGATGTTGTCCCACGCACGCTGCATCTCGTCCTGGGCCTTTTTGCTCTTCCATCCCCAGCCTGGCCGTTCGTCTCGCTCGTTGCCTGGTGGCTGCGATGCGGCCGCTTCGTCCCGCTGAGCGTCGGGCCCAGCTGTCGGTGTTGATCTCGCCGCAGCCCTAGCGGCTGCAATGTTTGCTCCTACACGGGGATGGTCGTGTCCGTGTCCGTGTCCGTGTCCCCCCTTCGGGGCGGACGAAGCTGCAGCCGTGGCGCGAGTCGTCGGTGCGGAGCCCTCGTCGCTCTGGGAATGAGGTTGGGATTGCGGCGGGGACAGCTCGCCAGGTGCGGCGGCACTGATGGGGTTGTGTGTGGGTGGTGTTTGCGGATGGTCAATGATGCCCACGCCGACGCCGCCGCCGGCCTCAGGAGATAGGTTGTCGCCGTCCAAAGAGCCCTCGACTTCGGCATTGTCTTGGAGTATAGAAGACGTTGAGGATGTTGACGTCGTCATGGTTTCGTCGAGGTCCATGGCCACGGCTTAGACGTGGCACTGGAGGAACTAGTAGATGGTTTGAGTGGCACCGGAGGTACTAGTAGGTGGTTTGAAAGAGGCGACTACTGTACAGAGTCGTACCTGGGTAGTAAGTATGTAGATTGTTTGCGGCGTGTCGGTGTTTGCTGAATCCCTTGGGGTTTGTTGCTTTAGCCAGAGTTCAAATTCAAGTGCCTGTGAATGGAGAAGGATCTGAAGTGACCTGCGGTATCCTCAGCCTAAAGATATATGAAGCTTCCTGCATATGTACCTAGGATAGAATGAACGCCGGTGACTGCAGAGCGTCAGGTCGGGTTCCGCCAAGCATGATTGCGGGCGCAGGCAGCACAGCCTTGTGACTTGCGACTTCAGCCTTCCCCCACGATTGACGTCCCCCAGAGCTTGTCCCGCTCCAGACTTTCTTGTCCGTTCCATAGCAGACCTTACTCTATCTTACTCAACAACCATGGATCAAGTCGGGAACAAGCGTGGAAGTGATGACGACGACGATATATCACCCTCTCCCAAGCGTCGCCGCTCACAGCAAGTGTTGACACGCACGTCGAGCGGGAAACTGATCTTAAAGCCACGGGCTGCCTCAGACCGGTCAAACCCTTCCGACAGAGACCAACTCGTGCGGGTCGCCAAAGAAACATTATCCGTTCTACCTGGTCTCTTGATCACACGACCTGATGTGAACTCACACGGCTTTCTATGTGATGGGAAACAGGTTGACCGGCTTGATCAGTCATTCTGCCCCAGACTCCCCAAAACCAAGGTTCGGGTGATCAACTCCGACACCATCGAGGCAGCTTTGCAACTGCCCCGCCGTTCTTCGGAGAGACCAATCTGCGTGCTCAATATGGCAAACTCAATACGTGCTGGAGGTGGATTCCGCAAGGGTGCGCTGGCACAGGAGGAGGCGCTCTGCTACAGGTCGTCTCTCTCTTTCACTCTCAAGATGCGGCACTACCCCATCCCCGACAAAGCAAGCATCTATTCACCTACCGTTCTTGTCATCAGGGACAGCCTTGCCAATGGCCACGAGTTGCTCGACTGTCGAGATCCAAGTCAACTGCCTGTAATCAGTGTGGTCTCTGCGGCAGCCATCTACAAACCCGATACAAAGTTTGCAGCTGCGATCGCTGGGGATGTCTACGCCAGAGGAGACGACCGCAGCCTGATGCGGGAAAAGATGCGGATCGTACTTCGCACTGCCATCAGGAACAAACACCGCAAGATCGTGTTGGGTGCGTTCGGATGTGGGGCGTTTGAGAATCCGCTGAAGGAGGTTTGTACTCTCTGGGCAGCGGTGTTGAAGGAGCTCGAGTTTTCCGGCGGTTGGTGGGAGAAGGTTGTCTTTGCCGTGCTCAGCCGTCCTGGAGAGCCAAACTTCCCGGAGTTCCATCACGTCTTGGACGGGCTTGAGGTCTGAGGAGTGAGAATGGGAGGATGCCGCCAATCGGCTTTTGCTGTGACGAATGACTGCAATGAGCGTTCAAAAACAGGACTGTCAGGGCGATTCAGCTCTAGAGCGGCGTTATTTCTAGCAGAGCATACCCTGAAGTTGGCGGGAGGATTCGCAGCTGGAGTAGGGCCTGGACATGAGAACAGCGGTCGTAATCCATGAGATCTTGCCTTTCTGTCGAGATCAGTACGCTTTCGGCATTATCAAGGCTCTATTAATGGTACACAATGCGACATGCTGGGCATGTCTTCCTCGTATCATATCGTGTGGCCAAAGCAGCGTTTACGCGGCATCGGATGGGGTGCGTACAAGGTTCTCTGTAGACGTCCACGCCCACTTTCTGATTAGGAATCAGAGTGCGATGCTGAAGGAGACGAATTTGTATTGAGTCCCTTCTGAATGGCCAGCCTCGCGCTTTATCGCTATCGATAGCCGTGGAGCGGGACCAGCAGAAGAAAAGACGTCAATGCGGCTGCGGCGCAGATTCCGAAGACCGGCCTCCGAGGGGCTCCTAAGGCGCTGCCTACAATCGCCATCACCGTACATTAATAATTTCCAGAGACTGGCAAATCTCCCTCCAACAAACCCGCCATTTGCCTCAGACTTGATGTTTGCAGTCTTCTGATCTCACATTCCCCTGCCTAGAGCCAGCCGGTGTCAGGGACACACCAGCACAGACTGCCCGGCGCCCTTCCATTTTCCCTCCGGCCGCAGTCGCCACTTGCCGACCATGAGCGCGATCCTCAGCGCAGACGATCTCAACGATTTCATCTCGCCTGGGGTCGCCTGTATTAAACCCGTCGAGACCCTTCCGAAGCAGGAAGACTACAATCCCTACGAAGTGACCACCGAGGACAAAGTCCAGGCGCAAAACCCGGCACCTGCATCCATCTCTCTGACCGACTGCCTCGCATGTTCCGGCTGCGTTACCTCCGCGGAGGCGGTCCTGGTTTCCCTGCAGTCACATACCGAAGTGCTCAACACTCTTGACTCATACCCCTCTCTCGACGTCCGGCACCTGATTGTGCGCCGAGATGGAGATGGAGTTGTCAACGGTCACACGCCGCCACCTGCGCATGCGAAACTCTTTGTAGCCAGCGTGAGCCCGCAGGTCCGGGCAAGTCTGGCGGCGACATATGGCATCTCAGAAAGAAAAGCTGGATTTATGATTGAACAGTTTCTGAGCGGAACCCAGGGTTTGCGGATAGGAGGCCAGCACAAGAGTGGTTTTACTTATGTGGTCGACACAAATCAGTTAAGAGAAGCGTGTCTCGTGCTTGGGGCAGAGGAAGTGGCAGACTCGATTGCCGACAAGTCAAAGCCAAAGCCGGTCTTGACTTCGGCTTGTCCAGGCTGGATCTGCTATGCCGAGAAGACGCATCCTCATATTCTCCCGCACCTGTCGACTTTGAAATCTCCACAAGCACTCTCGGGCACTCTGTTGAAGTCGGTGCTGAGCAGGACGCTGGGGATCCATCCCTCACAGATCTGGCATTTGGCCATAATGCCGTGCTTTGACAAGAAACTCGAAGCCAGTCGAGAAGAACTTACGGACCGCTGGTGGCAGCCGCCGAATGCACCGGACACGTCGAGTTCGCCAGTCCGGGATGTCGACTGCGTTATCACCTCCCGTGAGCTGCTGTCTCTCGCCGATGCACGGGGTGTGCAGCTCTCTCAGCTACCATTACACCCGCTCCCTCCCTCCGACCGTGCTCCTTTCCCCGACTCAAAGATCGCCACTTTCCTTTTCCCAAAGTCGAGGCGGACAACTGAACAGAACCCGACCGCTGGTTCTTCAGGTGGCTATCTCTATCATATCATGGCCACCGAGCAGGCCAATCATCCTGGCAGCACGATCACGGTGCAACGTGGCCGCAACACCGACGTAATGGAGTTTCTGCTGCTTTCGGCCTCCGGTGATACTTTAATGAAGTGTGCGAGGTACTACGGCTTCCGAAACATCCAGAACCTGGTCCGAAAACTCAAACCGGCGAAGCAATCAAGACTTCCCGGAGCCGCAAGACGCGCCGCTACATCTGCAAGTAGTGCAAACGATCACGCATACGTCGAAGTCATGGCCTGCCCCGGCGGATGTACGAATGGTGGTGGACAAATCAAAGTTGAAGACGTCGTTGCCATCTTACCCCAGACGCGGGGCGAGGAAGTGACAGACACGACCAGTCCCCAGAGCCAGAAGGAATGGCTGAGGAGAGTTGACGAAGCTTATTACTCTGCCGATTCGGAGGAGGATCTCGACGACTGTGACGGAGATAGGGTTATGATGAATGGCCTTGCAAGCACTAACGGTGACCACCCTCCAGACGCCGGCAAGCCCATTGTCAATGGCATTGATGTCCCGGACGTGCGGGATTTCTTATGCCACTGGGCCAGCTTGGTAGGCGTGCCTTTGGAGAAACTGGCACACACCACATTCCGCCAGGTCGAGAGCGACGTAGGCAAGAACAAGGCGAACGGCAAGCTAAGTGATACAGAACGCATTGCAAAGATTGCGGGCTTGAGCGGCGGTGGCTGGTAGATTGTCACAACCCCATTGGTAGATGGTGGGAACGAAGCGACTAGGAACCTTTGCATTGGGACGGACTCGGTTTTGGAGTTGGCATACCCGGTGGGGTTCACATGGCAAGCGATATAGATCGATACCCAGCATTGTGTTGGATGTGGTGCGAATGAATGAAATGTCCTCACCCAGTACCCATTTCAACCCTCACCGTGCACCAGCCTTGTCACGTGCAATGCTGCATGCCTGGCAATGGAGCCTTGCTGGATCCGGCCTAGTCCCGTGTCTCGCATCTGCTTCATATGTCGCTTGCCGCCGTCGCCGAGTCTCAGACAGACACTCTGCCACACCAACGGTCTCATGTCCCATCGCCACAGGAGATGCTCGGTCGCTCTGGACAGAAGCAGCATCTGACACAATGGCCGTGGCCGTCTTGTCCTGTCGATCGACCTCCCCAGCCATGCTCGTATGATCTGATATTCATTGCTGACCCATTTCATCTCCCCCGCGTGCCGTGACCTGGCACCCCCTAGGGGGTTCGTGCACTCCTCGAACACATCCATCCATCAATGTCACGTTTCCTCCTGGAAATCATGCGATCCTGGGGATGGCAATGGTTGGCAAGACCGCGCCATCACGTCATGAGGTCGAGAAAGAGGCCGGTCGCTGCGGCACACGATATGTGATGAGCGAGGATGTATGGATGCAGGGATGCCGGGCGCTTGTCACACGAAACCAGCCCTCAGGGTCGAGGTCAGCCGGGCGCTTGTCACACGAAACCAACCCTCAGGGTCGAAGTCAGCCGCCCGGCCATGGGGATTGTACGGATCCGGAGTACGGATACTGTAGCAGGCGCCGCTCCAAACACATGCCATATCAACTAACGAGCCTTGAATTTGGTCCGGACTTGTCACTGCGCCAGTCCCTCGACCTGGTATGGTCCATTACTGCGCGCATACGGAGCACTCATGGTATTCTCCCCTCGAGGGTCTGAGGCTCCTCCGTGCGGACGTACCTGGTTAGGTCTGAGACCCATTTCGCCAATCTCTCATCTATTTGTTCCTTTTGATCTCTTCTTGCCAGGCGGGTCTTTCTCTTTTGTCTTGTCTTCTCTTCCCTTCCCGGCTGGCGTTCCTCCTCTTTTTGTTTCGTCACTGCTATCGCAAAGTTGAACTGACCAGATCCGCTCCTTTCCCACTGTCGGTTCCTCGTTTCCTTCTTTCAACTGCGGCGCTGGCGCTGGGCGCTGGACGCTACCCATTCATCGCCCCTTCGATTCTTTTGCTCGTGTCGGGATCGAACCAGATCGTTGGATCGTTGACAATCGTCCCAAGAACAAGAACAAGAACTTCTTGTCCGTCCTGTCGCCCGTCCCACCACTACCGTCGAACAGATTCTTCTGCCTTGACTTCGACTTCGATTAGCTCCGACGCCGATCGGAACAGTCGCGCCCAATCTTGATCTTGATCTCTTTCTCCCATCGGATCGGGCGATGCAGTCTCGAGTCGTGCAGGTTCTTCTTCTCATTCTGTCATTCGTCCTGGCGCTGTTCCTGCTCATAGCATCGTCGAAATATGCGAGCTGGGCCAAGGGAATGACGGTGGCCACGGGAAGTTGGCTGTAAGTTATCCCCTCGACGAATCTATCCCCCTATACAATCACGATGGAGACGAGAGGCGAATCAAACCCCCCTACTCAATCCTGATGGAGACGAGAGGCGAATCAAACCTCCCTACTCAATCACGATGGAGACTAACATTAACTGAAAAATTTAGTCCGTTGGTCTTCTATGTCGGTACCATCCCGCTAGTTTCTCTGGTCTACACCACCGTCCACCTTGCCGCCCTGCAGTTCAACGGCCTTCCTGTGCCACCGTACGCGGACCCCGAGAATCATGGCGGTGGTGGCGACGACGACGGCAAATCCAGTCCTCCCCGCGACGCACCCTACGACACAGACGACGGCGTGAAGAGCACCATGTTCATCCTGGGCATATCAGTCCTGCATCTGGTAGCATGGCTTGCCCAGTCCATCCTCTGCACGTCATGCGAACTCGCGCCCGTCCTCGCCGGCACGGAAGGCCGCGTGCCGCGGTGGTGTCCGCAGTCTCGATTCAAAGATACCGGCCAGCCAGGCCTCGCGGGGATGCTCGGCACCCTGGCCACCGTCAAGGATTTTTTGCAGTGGGCCATGGTCCTCCTGACCATCTTGTTGCTCGAGTGCGCTCGCCGCGAGTACGTGCGAGCCGCGCGCGCGAAGCACGCTGTCGTCCACGCCGCCGGTGCTGGCGTCGACTTTGGCGGGCCGAGTCGAGGCTTCGGCGTGCCAGTGCCAGACTGGAAGACGCCTGGCGTGGCGGTAGAGTTGAGCACCATCACCATCAGCGGGCCGGAGTCGGGGCAGGGGCTGGGGCAGGGGACGGGGCCGAGGCCTTTCGGTCTAGATCCGCATGGTCGGCGTCCGCAAGAACCGCCTCAGCAGCCTGGGCCTGTTCGAGACGATGAATCGCGGCAGACTGGTCGGGGGAGGACTCAACCTGGACCTGAACCACACCAACAGCCTAAGCCCTCTCTCCGGCGAACACCGACTCAAACCCAACCCCAAATCCAAGTCCCAGGTCAAGTCCCGGGTCAAGTCTCAGGTCAAGTCCCAGGTCGGAAACGACTACCTCCCCTCTTGCCTATCGCGCCAGTGGCGACGGGCAGTCGGGACAACAACTACGGTAATAATGACGCGGAGATGGGAATAGGCACAGGCACAGGCACAGGCACAGGGCTGAAGAGAACCGGCACGCTGAATTACATGTACGAGTCAAGGGTATGACTATGACCATTATGTAGCAGACTTTACTTTTTCCTGCAAGCGGGTATCCAGGATACAAGATAGTGCAAATCCCAGATCAATCAGATCAATCAATAGTGCCTATGAGGGTGTCTACCGTCCTCGCAGACCGCGAATGCCGCGACTGGAAACCACGTCCATGACATATCGATGTAGGCATGACTTATCGAAGTAGGTAATTCAAAGACAAGGTCAGAAGCTTCCTCGGGGAGGGAATTCCACAAGCCCTTAGGTCTGAATGAAGTATTAGCCTCTCGCAAATGGCCAGAGACACAGCAACAAGTCCCACACAACCTCTAGCTAAGAGAACCTCTGGATGGTGTAGAGGACCACACAAATAGGAGACGAGGCGAAAAGGAAAAGGAGAAGAACAAAACAAAGGCACCGGTCAAGACCAACAACACATGCTCAAGCGTCAGTGATCGCTGATCTTCTAGATCCTCTGAAGCCAAAAATGACTTTTGGATGGTGGGTAGAGGTCGAGTTCAAATAATACACGTCGAGTGTCGAACGGAGCATCACCTCCAGTGATGGCCGGCTGCCGCCGTCTGGCCTGCTGGAGGCTCTATTGGTACCTCTGTCTTAGGCGGAAGCGTGAGTTTGGGAACTGCAGAATCAAAAGTCAGTCACGATCAGAGTCATACCAGATGGCTATCGAAATCCGTCGACTTACTGCTCATTCCATACCCATCGGTCTTGCCGTCGGGATCGCGGTTGTCGATTTCAACTCTGATGGCCACGTTCAAGCCGCCTTCGAGAGGCCCTTCATTACTTATCCCGCTTGCCGCTGGGTGTTGAGTGCCGGCGCCCTCCTCACCAATGTGTAAGGGGCCGTGCCCATCTAGCTCACCGTGCGGACGACTTTTCCCAGTCGCTCCCGTGGTCGAGACCGTCGCAGCCTCGGTGACGCCATTGCTCGGTTGAGCGGCACCGTTGGTCCGGTGCTCTGGGATCTCTGTGATGCACGCATAATTACGACTAGGCATGGTGGCATGGTTGGACTCGGCGCTTTTCATCTGACCTCCTGGTTGCTTATCAAACAGGTTCAGGAGGGTTTCGTCGGTGTTCCCGTCTCGTAGATGGTGGATTTTGTTCCGTCTCGCCAACAAATTCGCCACGGCTTTTGGTGGAGGTTTGTTTGTGATTGCCGAGGAGATGATGTTGGCCATATAGCGAGGATCTTCGAGAGCGTTCATGTTGTCGGCCGGAGTGGAATAGAAGCGACCTAAGGCGGCCAGATGAACGTCGCCACCCAATATGGTGACTCGGACAGAAAACTCGGCCGCCAGTTTCTGGAGCCTAACGATGAGCTCACGTCGCTCAGTTTTGTGATGGCGCGCCGTGTAGTGATCGTCCAGGTCATCCAGAAGATCCACTCCACCGTCAAAACTGTTGAAAAAGCCACCTGCAAAGCCAAAGCGCCGGTTGAGCAGGCGGATGGGCGCGATGATGGGAGAGGTCAAAATGTTCTCTAGCCATGCCAGCCTAGGGTATGCAATAGGCACGCCCAAAAGTAGAATTAAGTGCTTGATTTCCCCTTGCGCAGCCTTGAACTCGGCTTGCAGCCTTTCGAAAATCATGTCGTACGTTTCAGGGTAGTTGACCTGCTTGCGTGTGCGTTCTGTTCGGGCATCAATGCCGCAAAAGGCTATCCGTCGGCCTAGCCGCATGTACAGACTACGCGACCTCTCTTCCACATAGGGACCTGGACGCTTACCCACAATCCAGCTCGGATCGTCTGCCGGTGTCTTATACACGTAGGTGTTTTGGAGTTGGCGGGGGTCCGCGCCGGCAGTTCCATCCGCGCCAGCTTCCATGGTCGTTGGTGAATCGGTCGTGAAGGTCGAGACGGGTGGAGCGGTGTGGTGCTGGAACAAACAGTAGTATTTGAAAGCGACGCCGCCAATGCCGCGGAACACCGGGCATCGCATGAAATGGTCAGTGTAGGAGCCAAATCCATCTATGATGTCGTGGTCATCCCAGATGTTGATCTGGGGGATTTGACTATTCGCTGTTGCGAAAGGTTCGGTGCTGTACCACTGCCGATAGTTGTTGTAGTAAAACTCGTCGCATCGAACTCGAAGATCTTGCCCGAATGGGTAGTCTCTTCTCTTTCTGGGGTTGGCAATTGACGTCCACTCCTTTAGCGGCCCGCTGACTCGGACTGAATCATTGTAGATCTGATCTCCTCCACCGATCATGACGTGAAAAGGGCGCTGTCGATGGGTTCGCACCACATCGTTCCATAAAGCCGGACCTAGGACCAACCAAGTCAGCGCTTACGCAGCGTGTCCAGTCTGGTTGATATACCGACCTGACCAAAAGTCTTCATCCGTTCCTACCGAGAACCCATTGCACGAGTGAAACATTATGCGCATGGATTCCGTTGCAGCAGGAACAACGAACTCCCTCGAAGGGTCTTTGCTGACGCCGGTGGGGAAGTTCACATTTGGTATCGTGTATTGCCATTTTGCTTCGGCTTCCGCCAGCGGGACTCGAAGTGTGAAACGCCAAAAAGTCTTTTCCGGGTCCGAATACAACTTCAGACCACCCAGAACCTGCGCCGGAGAACTTGTAACTTTTCCGCTTCCATCCCATGCACCCAAAGATTTCAATTCAAGGGAAGGAATATTCAGCCCCGGTTTCGTGACGAGGAGGACGGAGCCGTGCCAAAACACCTGGTGGTCTTCCTCACTCATACGCTGATAGTTTATGAGAGGACCACAAAGGACATCAAAGTAGGGACTCGAGTCGGTAACATTGGGGCCAGTTCCGTAGCCGTCTTGAAGCGCTGACCCATGCTGATGTTCTGTTCGGGTTTGCGTCAATAGGAGGACATGAATGTTGGCGTAAGGCACATACCTTCCACTTGAGCCATGTTTCTATTGATTCGTGTATTTCAGTATTCCCAGCCAGTTCAAGACCTTGCGGTAGAGGTCGTGACCCGCTGTTCTGAGCTGAGGAGTCCAGCGGACGGCCTGGCGTGCACCGAGGAGAGGTAGAGGAGGAGGATGTCACGAAGCTAAACAGAAGCAATGCCAATGAAACGAAATTAGTAGTACAGGGAGAAGAACACAAGATAATTAGAGAAGTTCAGCTTGGTAACCCCGTAGGAGTCTGGCTCGCGTTTACGGATACAGAGTACTCCGTACCTACAGTTATGTAGGTAGCTATAGCCCAGGCATGATGATGATTGATGATGCCAAGCGCAGGCAACGCGGCGCGCTGGGGGCGATGGCCATATAGATGGGAGCTATAGGCTCTCTAGGCTGTTATTAGGGCGCTGCTGAGGTCTTGGAGCCCGCCCGAGCACCCTCCAAGATACAACTCGTTTAAGTGTCTATGTTCAAGCCGCAGTCCACAGACGCCTGAGGCCTCAGCCCCATGATCGACGGGACGATCCGCCAGTAAATTGCAGCTCTGCGCCTAAGGGCTCCCCCGTCCTCCCTGCTTTCAGCTCCCATCATCCCGTACAGCCCGTCTCCCATTTGCTCTAGCCACCGTGGCTGGGTCCGGATGAGGACTTCAGCCACGATGGTGCGTGCCGTGTCTCCGAAGTGATCAAGGATCTGGAACCCAGCGGCTTCGGGGAACACGCCAGGCATTCTCGTTTATACAATTGACATAACATATTCTTCGAGCACGTCCGGCTCCCGCTACGCCAAACGCGATGCATTACAGTCCATCAAACCCATTCCCAACCATCATTCTTTGTCGTCCTTAGGCTGAGGATCGCCAATTCCATGTTCGTAAATGGCAAACAGCGTGTCACTCTCCGGCAAGCATGGACTGTCATAGATCTTGCAGATTCGAGTCTCGCCCCGACCCTTCTTCAAGCTCAGTCTGGTGGTACTTGCATGAGCAATGATGTTGCCGCCAATTGGTTTCTTTGGGTCGGGATTGTACATGGAGCTTGGTCCGCCGTCCACCTGCGCGACGACTTGATTGGTAATGACAACCGCAATACCGAACTCGTCGGCCAATCTCTGAAGCGTCCGCAGGAATTTGGCCATGTGTGACTGTCTCGACGACAACTCGCCTCTTCCATTGTAGTCTGTTCGATATAGGGAGGTGGCGGAGTCAACAATGAGCAGGGAGAATCGGGTCTCGCACATCATCTGGGATGCTTGCTGAAGCAGTTGTAGTTGATGCTCCGAGTTATAAGCTCGAGCATAAGCCACGTTGTCCAGAACCTCCTCTCCTTCGAGACCATAACGATTCGCTACCGACAGCAGCCGGACAGGTCGAAACGTACCCTCCGTATCAATGTAGAGACATTTTCCTTCCCCTCCTCCCATGTCAAAAGGCAGCTGACATGTAACAGCCAGTGTGTGGCATATCTGACTCTTCCCGGTTCGGAATTCTCCAAATATCTCGGTGATAGACCCAGTTTCGACACCTCCTCCTAGAAGCCGATCGAGGTTCTTGGAGCCAGTGGTAATGGAGATAAGGTCACTTCGTCGCGCATGCATCTCTGTTGCCGTGGTAAAGCCCATCGGGACAAGTTTCATCGCTGCGTCGGGTCAGTTGACAAACGAAGATGACATGAAGCATGAGTCTCACCTTCGTTCAAGAGTTTGCTTGCCTTGGCTTCTGAAATGCCCTTGATTTGTTCCAGTTGTCGACGAGGTCTGTATGACACGGGTTAGATCGTCACTGCAACGTATGACTGGCTGTCGTACGTGTATGCAATTGATTCCACCGTGTGGAAACCACCTTCGATAACCAACTTGATATCTCGGTCCGTCAGTCCCGAAACACCCTACAATATGTGAGTACTTGAGTTTCGTCTGTCAGGCCGCCGAACTACTTACGACCAGTTGAGCCACCGGGATGGGGGCACCAGGGCCACCAGGCATCTCCTCGTAGTCCTCATGGGGGGTATCGGCACTCTCTATCTGAGTCATGATGACCTCTGAGCACTTGAATGGGAAATAGAACGTCTATCCGGGCAGACGGTAGGAGACTGAGGGTTCAGTAAGAGGCGATGGACTCGTTTAGGCAATGAAGGGCGAAGACTGTCAAACGGTGGCGGGTGGGCGCGTTCTGAAAATGAGACGCGTCTAGAGAAGAGCTGTTTCCGTTTTGTGCCTAGCCTGGTCGCGGTATCACGTGTCCAGATTATCACGCGTTCGCATCCAACAACAAAACTTCTCCATCAAGATTGATATTGCTCACCGTCTTGACGCCTTGAGTTAAGACTATGGAAGAATTAAGTGTTGCCAATGCCGCTACTACAATCCGAATCGCCCATACCCGAGCACAGCCCCGGTCATCTCAAGGCAACACCAAGACCGATAGTGGTACATCTGGAGCCCCTATCTCGTCAGCCCTGCAGAGAGAGCATCCACCAGATCATGTGAATATCCCAACCTGAAGTGCTCTGTTCCCATTCCATTTTGATGACCGGGTGATTGAACCTTTCCAGCTGATACCGCTTTTGTCTGTTCCCCATGGATACCAATCAGCACTCTGTCGCCCCCGAAACCATGCGGCCAGTTTATGATATGCTCTCTGTCTCCCAAGAACCTGCCAATACCCGGCCTCCCCTTCCTTTCAGTCTATTACTCGTACCACATGCTCCATAAACTCCGCATCATCCAACAATCGTGCCATGTCCGCCTCGGTCATCTGGATGACGACTTCAAGATAATCCTTGCGCTTATCGTATGGGAGAATAATGCACGAGCCAGGATCTTTGGACCATGGCTTGCGAATCCAGTCTGGTTGGCCAAGACCCATCTCGAATGTGGCCTCATAGCATGGCAGTTTCTCCCAGCTTGTGACATACATGTCGGCGCCATTAGCCCGGTCCATGTTGCTGGCTTGGAGATCTCGAACGTCAATTCGAGGATCCGGATATCTTGCCAGCGCAATTGCCTGTCGGATGTAAGGCTCGTCAACATTGTCGATCCCCTTCCGGATCGCGAGGGCTGTCTGAGCCATGGAAGGCATGCTGGTGTCCGTCAGATGGCAAAACGGCAGCCGGACTGAAGCAAAATCAATGGCTGCCCCAAAGTAGGATTCTGGAAGTGGTTTCTTGAGTCTGTTCCTGATGTTGATTGGAATAAGCAGTTTGGAAGATGTTACTGGTAGCTCTTGCGACAATGACGGGATTCTGGCTTTTGTCATGCTTTGCCAGATAAGTGCTTGTAGCACGTCGTTTGCCGTCACAAAGTTACCATCGACGTGCTTGTCCACCGCCGCCCTCAATTTAGTCAGCTGGCTTAATGAGAAAGCAATCACACATCCACGACCTCGAGGCGTGACACGGCCGGGTACCTTCGATGCTGTCTCGACGGCTTTACTCTTCAGCTGTCGATCGTTGATCTGGTTCGCAAAACTGTATGATAGCTGTTGTCGGACCACACTTTTGTGGTGGGCAAAAGCCTCTAGCCTCATGGACAATCTTGGAGTCTCATGGCCCCTGGTATCCAAGTGACGGTCGAATGCAAAGTCGTCGGTCAGCACACTCCCTGAAATCAACAAGCCAATGCCAGTGCCGTCGGAAATGCAATGATGGAGATAGACCGAGACGATGAGACCGCCTTCCACCACATTTGCCTGCATTCGAAATACCGGGGCTCTTTCTTCATCAGCGGACTCCCCGAGTGCAGAAACGAGGTCCGGCCTGATGATACTAGGTGGTAGACCCATCTGGTTGAGCTCGTCATATGTGTATGGGACTTCTTCACGTGTCAAATGGCGTACATTGACCCCGGGGTAGTGCAAGAAGCTGTCGTCTGAGAATTGAATTTCCACTGCACCAACTTGGCTGCCGGGGTCCTTGACCGCCACCACGAAACCGCTGAGGTAGGGTTTTGCGTCGACTAATTTCCGGGTAAAGTTGTTCAGCCGTGCCACGATCTCTGGGAGCATGGTTGCGTCTGCAACTCGGTACGCTAGGCAAATTCGAATGTACGAGCGCGGCATACAGTGCTCGATACTTGACAAGTGGATGGTGTGGTGTGATCCAGGGTTGTGGCAGAGACCGAGGGGAGGGCCGGTTCTCCGGTCTGATCTGAGAGCAGTGGCATCGCTACCAGCTGGAAGCCCATCATCTCCGTCCTCCTCCTTTTGAGTATGATGGAGGCCATATTCGCAGTGTTCGAAGGAATCTGCGGAAGGAGTGGCCCTGCCAGGGCTAGTTAATGGATCAGGTTCGCCTGATGAAACGGACATTGAACTGGTTCCGATTTTGTGGGTGTTTCCCTTGGGCCAGATCAGCTAAAGTTGGGTGAGCATTGGAGCACAAGGGTTATCGGGATGAACACGGACACTGTGGGACAGGGCAAGTTCAAGATCAAGCATCGAGTTTCCCTGCTCGCGTATGGATTGTGGCCAACTTGACGAGTGAGCATTATGATGGAGCACGAGCATGGTGGTGGCTGCTTATATATCCCTCCAGAGGCGTCCCTGCTTGATGGTGAATGGTTGCAATGGTGCAATGGTGCAATGAGTCCTTTCTGGCAGTGACAGTGAGCCGCAGAGTCTACCGTTGGGTGCCGTGACTGTACCTGCCTCGCTCAAGTGGAATGTTGGCCTCACCTGGGTGAATGTCAAAGCACTCAGGACACCGACACCCTCGACCTTTGGGCAGCAGAAGGTACCGGTTTTGTACTTTGTCATACAAAATGCCGTTGAACATCACAAAGGACACCGGTCCAGTCGGTCAAGGTGACGGGCAAGCCAATTAGATCTCAGCAGGCTCTTAACTTATCGAGTCTTCCAAACGCATCATGACAGCGAAGCATGCAAGAAAGAGTCAGACGTTGGCTGCACTGCAGTTGCCTGGCCGGGCAGCCGAGAGAACAAGGATGAGTGAAACTAGATACGAGACCAGCAGAGGACCCGAAACAAGGTGAGGGCAGCAGCTCTTAGATGAAGGGCGAGAAAATGGTTGCCTTTCCTCACGGCACCTTGCTTTCTGTGGGGTCTGAGATGTTGCTGGATATTGCCGTCTTCGCTCCTTCGCTGCAAAACTCATGTGGCTTGCTATAACTGTTTGCTTAGCGGCGCCGATTTGAGAGAGGTGCGTGTTGTGCCAGCTCGTGAACGTAAAAGCGGGAAATCCCAGTCGAGGGATACGTAGAGACGGCCAAGCCGGGCACTGATCTCCATATCTCATCGCAGCCTGCGACACTAACCCCTGCAAGGCGAGCGATTGAGCGGAGGTGGACGATGCATGCGCCTACGCTGTGTCACCTCGCCACTTTGTCGACCGTTGGCAGTCAGCCTCGCTCGCACGTCTCTTATTTGACCGATGTGTTGGAGATTCTTCAAGTGGCGAACACACCTGGCCAGGTGTGGTGCGTCGACGGAGCATGTCTGACAAATGGGCTCACAGTATTTCCAGGCCGGCCAGGAGTAGTATCAGCCAGGGCAACGTGAGGCAAGGAGTATGCGCCATGACTATGGGGTCAGCTGAGCAACACTGACAGAAGCGGTCGAGCTCCGGCACACTGGCGGCCGCAGCAATGGTGCAGGCACGAGGGAGGACGGAGACTGCTCACAGTCACTGAAAGGTTGAAAGAGGAACCAATGCAGCCAATGGACCGGGATTGAGGAGGACAAGCGAACCAAACTGCTCGACATCGTGCACTACTGCACGGTGAGGAGGGTGTCTGGGCTATGTGGGAGAGGGAGTTCTCAGGGCCGAGAGGGTCGCAAAATGGAATAGTCGGAGCCGGGGTACCATGGATGGCACAGCGGTGATGGACGTAAAATGACTGCAATCCCTTGATTATCGCGCCGGTTTCATTGGCTTTCCTCCATGTCTCGCTTCATGGTAGAGCCTCTTCTTGGTGTGGACTGATGACCTGAGGACGCTGAACTTGAAGAGATTGGGTGAAAGCCGAACAGGACGGCGTTATCTTCCTACCTTTGACGACATAATCAAGCTGTGTCCCGACATTCGACTTGATCGACTTGGGGGAGTAGACGAACCCTGGAGGATTTTCCGACACTAGTGCCGTGGTAGACGCCGAAACAGGGGTATGGTTAGCTGCCTGGAGCGCCTGGCCACACCAAATCTTAATGATGAAATGGCGAAGACGAAGATAATGCAGAGGCCGCACACAAAACCTGTCCAGGAAGGTCTTCAAGGGCCAGTATGATCGACCACCCCGACTTTACTGGCGGTAGCCAGGGTAGATGAAGAAAGAGGGAAAGGTGATCCTAGGGTGCGATCGACAAATCCTGCTGTTCGTTCCACCGTGTCTCTAGAGTAGCATAGCTCGCTGGGCCAGCAGCGCACGCCGTTCGACGGGGAACTTGCATCCCCGGCTGGGTTGGTCTAGTTTCACACCATCCACCTGTCCCTTGACAAGGGCCACGTCGAAATGGTTGGACATGACTAGTAGTCAGCATTCCCCCAGCCACGTTGGAAATTACAGACCTCTCTGGTAGAGCTGTCTGGCATCTGTCCACGGCCCTGATCCGTCCCTCAAAGGTTATATTCGCACATGAAAAAATGTCTTACGGGGTGAGCTTTGTGGGTTAAACATGGGCGCTCTGTAACTCTCTGTTGACTTCGTCTTTTCTCGGTCTGCCATCTGCCATTCGATGAGTTGCACAGGTCATGCTGCGACGATCCCCATTCCTGACTCGACCGCTGACTGGGGCAGAATCTTCGAGTCTGAGAGCCTTCATGCAGACATCCCGCGGACCTTCGATGAGGAACCCGACTCGTGCTTGTAGACCCACCTAGAGACATGTTGGCTTGAAATCTGCGCGTCATCACTTTGACAACTCAGGGCCACAAAAAGAGTCCTGCGATGTTCTTTGTTGGCCCTTGGTCGGTCGGTCGGTCGAGATCTTCCTGGTCAGTGAGCAGAAAGAAAAGCCACGAAGCAGCAGTAGAGCTGGCCACGATCGACTCCTTGGTGGTCAACTGTCTGGTCGTGCTCTAGCAACGATGACTTCGTGATGGCCCCTAGAGCGAGCGCTGTCTATGACGCAGCTGCTGCATATTGTCGCGTGGTCGCTTTCAATCCTCCAGCGCCCAAACTAGATGCGATTGCATGTTTGTCAGTCATGATTCCGCCGCATGGAGTTCCATATGACCGTGACTTCCATCTGTGATACTCGGTCACGTCTTGGCCTACGCGGGATACAATGAGACGATGTCCCAAGGCCAGAGGACTCCAGCGTTCCAAAGTCGACACCCGTCTGAGGCTTCTCCACAAGCGACAGCGATCTCGCCTCCCTGATGAGGGTACCCCTGGATCTCCGGGTCATGATCGACAACAGAGACCGTCTCCTCAACTCTTGCCATTCCTGTCTGTCCTTTTGCTCGGGGGAGGAGACCGGGGGGCAGGGGCACTATTCAAGGCTGTGGCGGATTTGGTGGCAGTCTACCCCCGACTGTTCAAGGCGAAGGGGGCCCAAATAAGGTGGTGATTGGCCGAGACTGGCTGCCTGCCGCAAGCTGTCCGAGATGGAGAGTAGAGGCACATCCGTAGTAACAAGGGGGCAAGACTGCTGCATCCGACGTTTTGCTTTTCTCGCTCTCACTGTCGCAAGGGTTGTACTACTAGTAGTAGTAGTACTGAGGAGATGAAAGAGCCAAGAAATGTGACTGCGGAAGAGGCCCAATGGCTTTCATCCACGACTACGACTTTTGTCGCCTTTCATCCTGCGGACATGGAGTGTCGACATGGCCCGTCTGCTGGCACACGGGGCACATGGGGTAGGATGGACTGCATTGTCGCAGTTTCCAGGAGAGGCAGGTTCGCCGGCCGCACTCACTGCACAGCAACAACTCCTGACCTCCGGCTTGATCTAAACGCTGACAATCAACCACACCACCTACCACCTGCACTTGCCACGCCCTCCCCGCTCTCCCACTGCAAGGTCAGCTCCCAATTCCTCGATTGCTGTTCGGTGTTCACTTCCTTGTCCCAGCATCCGCCTTCGTCGCCATGTTCTCTCCTCCATGTCTCTCCGTGCCGGCGTCTGCCTTGACCTAGATGTCAAGGCTCCAACCCCATTGGGTTGGCTTCTCAGCCAGACCACTTGGTCCTAAAATGATTCGACGATGACCCTTGCACGGCAGCATGTTCTTCTGGCCGCATTTACAGCCTTCATCGCGTGGGGGCTTGCCGTTCGTTCCTTTCCCGTCCTGCGTTTCCTGGGGTACGCCTTCTCACTCGGATGCCTCGTCCCCGTATTCCTTCTGGTCGCAGCCACTTCGACCATCACCAGGTCACGAGCAAGATACCAGTACGACCGCTCTCTTGCTGCATACTCTCCCGCATTCCTTGTCCCTCAGCGATGGCGGGCAGAAGTCTCGATCGTGGAGGCCTCTCGGCAGTACCAACCCCTTCCGCTGTTCGACCAATCCTTCGTTGTCTCACAGGCCCTTGACACCTTGATTGGTCTTACTTTGAGGGACTTTGTGTCCTCATGGTACCAGAATATATCGACAAGCCCAGTATTTGTCAATGAGGTGGACAGAAATATCCGGGCCGCCCTAGCGGAGGTCAGAGATCGCATCCTCAGGGAGGACATGGTCAACATGCTCGTGTCCAGAATCGTGCCCATCCTGTCAGCGCACCTACGGGACTATGACAAAGCTGAGCGGGCTGTCCGAGGTCGCAGCCTGAATCGTAGCGTCACCGAGTCGGAAGAGCTTGAGCTGGCAATTGCAGCGAAATACAAGGATGGGAAACTGCACCCGGCCGCGTCTCTTGCCTTCCCCGACACTAAGACAATCCAGCAAGACCACCTGCGCAAGATTCTGGTCCGCATTCTTCCATATCTCCTGCCACCAGCCATGATGGCTAGCCGCACCACTTTGGTATTGGTCAAGGAACTCATTGCCTGTGCTGTGCTGTTCCCAATCATGCAGCTTCTTGCAGACCCAGATACATGGAATCAAATTGTGGAATCTTATGGGCGAACCACTCTACACGACCGGAAGACCGTCCGAAGGATGCGGGCCGCTCTGGATCAGCACGCTTCCCCGATACCTAAAGGGAAAAGTAATCAGGAACTACCGCGTCTTGCACCGAACGACAGCGAACGTGCATTTGAGCGATTTGTCAGAGCCATACGCAAGACTAAGAGCTTGTCTGATGCTCGGAGGTTTCGCAGTTCAATAGTCAGTCAGATACAGCGCGAGAGCATGGTCGAGGGCCAGGACCCGGTCTACCTACGGCGGTTAGAAATGGCAAAGCGTGTGCTTGACCAAAAGATTGCAAAGCTCAGCTCCATGAGACCGGTACCACAGGTGATTCCCCTGAATCCCGAGTCACGGGCCCAGCACACCGGACAGCCTCGTGACTGGACGTTGGTGGAAATCATGCACACCGCAGCAGGGCTGTCGTACTTCATGGAGTATATGGATCGGCTGCAAAAGACATCTTTGGTCCAGTTCTGGGTAGTGGTAGATGGGTTTCGAAATCCTCTTGAGGACGATTTTGGTGACGAGCTAAATCCTCAACAGACTTGGACAGATGCTGATCGAATGGACATCGCACAAATCAGTGAAACGTACATGTCAAAGCCCGAACTAAACATGCCGCAGGAGTCCAAGGACGCCATCAGGGCATTTCTCATTGCTGGTCGGAATGCGACGCCACAGCAATATAGAGCGGCCCGGACAGCCATCCTTTCCGGTCAATCCGCTGTACTGGAGGAGTTGGAGACACGCTACCTTCCACACTTTCGAAAGTCGGATCTCTATTTCAAGTTTCTTACTTCTGTGGAGGTGGCGGCGATGCGTCCTGGTCCCCAAAATCCGAGCGATGTTGCAGAACTTGCTGAAACATCTCCGATGATTGCCTCCAAACCCGCAATCCAGGCCTCTGCGATGACGCGAACGAACTCCCAGCCTGCTTTCCGCACCAAAGATTTAAGACGAGCCGCAATATCTTCGTCAGATGTTCGCAGCCTCGCATCATCAAAGCTCTTCGACGATTCCGATTCCGAACCGGTAAAGCGTTCCGGAAATATCGGACCGCTATTCGACGACGGTTATGAAACTGATCCATTGGCAAATTCAACTCATAGCTTAGGCCAAGAGTCACAGAATGGCGACTCAGCTGAACAGCGTCGAGTGATCGAGAATATGGAAGCGGCCATGAATAACATCATGACCGATAGTCCAATGGAAGAGAGTATGAGCTACGATGATGATGCGCTATTCGGATCTCCAGTATCGGCGTCTCAATCTTCCAGGAACATAGACTCTCCCCGAGGATCTCTGGATTTCCAAAGTACTGACAACGCAAGCAGACCGAAACCCAGTCTTGCAACTTTGGGCCTTGTTAACACCTCGTCTCGCATTGGAGTGTTCTCGGATAACGATCTCTTTCCGGATGAGGAGAAATTTCCCGAAGATGAGTACATAGATGAGGATGAAGGGAAAGAAAACGATGCGGAAGAAGATGAGATCCACGAAGCGGCACCAGGGGATCTCGGGCTCGCAGAGGCAATAAGTGCGCTTACCAACGACATTGAACGACTGGTTTCGCAAGAATCGGTAGTGGACGCATTGACCCGAAAAGCCGAGTTGACAAACAACGTCGCCGAACTACGAATCCTCGCCAAATCAAGATCGAGTCTTCAAAGAGAGATCCGGCGGAAGGAGCTGCAACGCCAACAATACATTGTACAGGAGAGTGACAACAGCTTATACGGCCGGTCAAGTATCTCGATCAAGTCAGTGGTGGCAGGAAAGGAGGAGGATGGCCGAGAGTTCGCCTTGTATGTCATCGAAGTTCACAGACAGGCTGGAGATCAGATTCCTGCTGCCGTCTGGGCAATCCCGCGGCGATATTCAGAGTTTCATGATTTGCACCAAAAGTTACGTCGCCGATATCCCTCTACAAGAAGTCTTGAATTTCCTCGGCGTCGAGTTGTAATGAAGCTTCAGAAACAATTTCTTCAGAACCGCCGGCTTGCGTTGGAGCGGTACCTACAGCAATTGCTCCAAATGCCGGATGTCTGTCGAAGCCGCGAATTGAGGTCGTTCCTATCGCAACAAAGCGTCATATCTCCCCACAACACGAGTAATGCGTCGGACGCTCAGGATATTGTGACACGTATCTACAATTCTGTCACCGAAGGCATGGATGATTTTCTGGGCAATGTCTCGGTGCTCGACCAACTCACGGTAGCGGGTCAGAATCTGATTTCGGCCGCTACCAACCAGCTTGGGATCAGTCAAGGGGACGTTGTTACCATGGAACCTGGTCCCGTGGCGGAGGCGGAAGCCGAATTGTCGGCCTTCGAAGACAAGGAGTTGGAGCCATTTGTCAAGCCCATTTGCGATTTGTTTCTGGAGACATTTGAGCTCAATCGGGGGAACAATTGGCTCCGTGGTCGTGCGGTCATTGTGGTCCTGCACCAATTGCTTGGGGGTACAATCGAACGTAAAGTCCGGGACCTCGCCAAAGGTTTTACTCAAGAGGAATCGCTGCTCAAATATATTGAGATGGTCAAAGAAGCAATGTGGCCCAGTGGTGGCAAGCTGCGGGATGGCAAGCCACGGACCGTGTCAGAGAAGAAGAAGTCTAAAGAGGAGGCATCCATGATGTTGGCGATACTCATCCCAGATTTGGCAGCCAATGTCGTGGGTCGAACAAATGCCCAAGCAGCAGCTCGAAGATTGTCGGCGACAATGAACAATGCCCGACTTAATCAACATCTTGTCTTCACAATCCTGGACGAGGTTGTTGGGGTACTGTTCGGTCCTAACAAAGGGTGATCAGGACGGATCTTCGAGTTGACCTTGGTTGACCCGTAGCCGAGATGGAAAGGGATGACACATCTGTCCGTGTGGCGCAAGGCGGTCTGGGTGTGTTTGGAATTGTCCATGGTACGCCCCTTTCCACAGAGCATAGGTATGGGGTTAGCTGCGTTGGGTTGGATGTTGTACCACTCCCGGGGTGGATTTCGTTCCGGACTGGGTTCGTTTCTTGAGCCCCAAGTTATACGACATGAGACATTCGGACAAGGTCAAGCATCCCAGGAGTTGAAGTATGTTGATTCCAGCGCGTTTCATGTCACCTCTATTCAAGATGAAACAGTATGTAACCTGCATGCCGAAGGAGCTGCATGCGGTGGTTCTGCTACGTCAAGCCCAGTCGCGTTACTGTATCTGACGCTATAGTCGTAGAGATACCTAGTAACTAAAAGAGGGAGAACGGAGGTGTTTTATGCTTTTGTAATCAGAAGGATACCTCAGTCCCGCCCGTCTCGGCTATCTCGTAGCTCTGGCGACGACACCTTTGACACCGTCAACACCACGACTCAAGATGCGCCAGACCACCTCCTTCAGGCGGTTGTTACCGTTCCTGGCAGCAAAGACTACGGCCCAGAGCGCCACGACCAGACCGAACAACTTGGACGCGCGGGCGAAGCGGGCCTTAGCCAGTCCCTTGCGGGTGTACTTTGCGTCCCAGTGGCGCCAGCGCGGGAAGGCGCACCGCAGGGTGAAGTCGACTTGGGTCCAGGGGTAGACGGTCGAATTCCAGCCCGTGGGACTATTATACCAGGACTTGCAGCCGCCGGAGAGGAAGACGCTGTCTTTAAGCGTGTTCTGTATGTCGGCGGTCCATTTGCGTTCGGCGGACTCTTTGACTTCGTAGGTGTCGACGTCGCCGCGCAGGATGGGTCCGATGAAGTTGAGGCTGTAGTTGACCATGTTCTCGCTAGCCAGGATGACGCTGCTGTGGCCCGTGGCGGTGTTGGGGCCGAAGATGATGAAGAAGTTGGGGAAGCCGTCCATGGCGGTGCCTAAATATGCCTGCGCGCCGCCGCGCTCGTCCCAGGTCTTGTACAGACTGCGGCCATTCCGGCCCGTCACGTCGAGCGGGTGCAGCCACTGGTTGGTCTCGTAGCCGTTGGCCATGATGATCACGTCGGCCGCGACATTGCGGGCTTCCGTTGGCACTTGGGAGTCTGTCTTCGACAGCGGCGGATAGTGTCTTCCTGGACCTAAGGTGACGGAACGTGGCTGGACGGCCGTGATGGGCAGAGTGGTGAGTTCCACGTTGGGGCTCTGGAGGCTTTCGAACCAGCCTTCGTCGACCACGCGCCGTTTGCAAAACACTTCGTAGTCCGGCGTCAGGATCTCGTGGTATTCGGCCGGCACCTTTTTGCGGAGGTAGGCGAGGAGTTGCTCGCCCTTCCTTTTCCGCTGCTCACGGGCGGCGTCGGTCGGCGAAAACAGAGTGACGAACTCTAATTCCATCATTCCAAAAGTGAATTTGCGCAGGGCGTTCTGAAACCCCGGGATGCGTTGGCTCAACCAGGGAATCCATTTCGCGTAGAACTCTCGGGCGGGTGGTTCGAGAAACTCAACCACCCACGGCGGACTGCGCATCAGTTGAGTAACATGCTTTGCCCCGTATTCCGGCTTGATGATCTCCGGCACCACTTGGCCCGCACTGCAGCCCGTCCCTATGACAATGACTTCCTTTCCCTGTAGGTTGAGGTCAGGCTTCCAGCGGGCCGTGTGTACGATTTCCCCTGCGAATGTCTCAATCCCGGGCACCTCGAGCGGAGGTTTCGGTTCGACCAAGCCTCCCACTGCGCTGACCACGATCTTTGCACGCACCGTTTCGACGCGCAGCACTGTGCTTTCAACTCCTTTTTCCTTCTCCAGTGCTTGTCGTTCCGAGGTGGGCAGGTCGCCGACGCCAGGAGCGAGATGTTCCAGGAGGACTTCCCACTCATTGTCTTCATCGATCCAGCGCACGCTCTTGACCGAAGTCTCCAGTTGGATCTTATCGAGGATTTCGAATTTCTCACACACGCCGTAGAGGTAGCGGACGATCTCCTCGCCGGATGGGAACAGAGACGTCCAATTCGGGTTCTGTGCGAATGAGTACGAGTACAAGATGGCCGGTCTAGAGAGACAATTAGATCAACCTTTCAGAGGGGACAGTTTGGTGAGGGTACCTACACATCGCAAGCAATGCCAGGATAGTGATTTATGTACCAGGTGCCTCCCAACGCCGAGTTTCTCTCGAAAATGCGGAATTGATCGAATCCTAGAACCTGTCGTAGTCTGCACCCCATGGCGATACCCGACTCGCCGGCTCCTATGATGAGGACGGGATAGTAGGTATAGGCAGATTTGTCGGAGCCTCCAACCCGGCGAATCCGGTCAACTCTGGCCGTCATTGTGGGCACGTAGGTAGTAGGTGGATGGTGAGCTGTGTGACGGTGTTAGACAAACAACTGAGAATATATGTGTATAGTAGGTTGAAGGGAGACAGAGAGAGGGAGCCGAGGGTACTGTATGTGTACGTACCACGGGCCTACAACTCAGAGTCCAGTCTGGCACTGTACCCCACAGAGTCTGCCTAGGGATCTACCAAACCGGCTTAGGGGCCTGATGGAGGGGTGGAACAGGGCCTAAGGACACCTAAGGACGCCTAGGGGGGCCTGGGGCGCCTGAAGATCGGAGCCTAAGTAAGCCCAAGCCCGGAGATCCAATTGGATGGAGCACTCACTGTTACGGCCGTTTCGGCTTGGTTACCCCTTTGGGATGTATCTGCCAGACTTCAACCTTCATGCATCCGTCCACCATCGTTCCTCATGCTCGTGCTGTCCAAGTTCTGAGCCTGAGCCTGAGCCTGAGCCTGAGCCAAGCTCTAAACCTGCAGATACAGGCAAATGCGATGCCTCTCCCACCGAACAAAGGGCGTCGCTGCTCTTAGCCAAGCGCTCTCTTCCGCTTGTCCCGTACGACAACTCCAACTCCATCTATCGCACCGCCAGTTTGGAACTTCACAGGCCCGAAACAAGTCCCTTCAAGCGATCCCGCTCCTCACATCATGGAACGCAGATATTTTTCACGAGAAGGCCTACTTGCCGGCTCTCCCAGCTCGTCTGCCACGATCGACGGCCTCCATCCCACCCGCCTGTCGAAAATGGTTCATCCACGACGGTGACATCGATTTCAACCTGACTTCAGCCCAAAGAGACAATGGAGATGGACTCACGACCCATGTCCAAGTCCCGCGGTCCTCTGAGCTTCGCTCGTCCTTCTGGAGCGAGCACGAAACGACCATTGTGCCTCTGGAACTGACGTCCAAAACTCCATCTGCCTCGCTCCTATCCGTCAACGACACGGAGCTCGCGCACGGGATCCAAAACCACAACGTCGACGGGACATTCCACCGTGTCGAGGCACCCTTGAAACTCCTCTTGACCTATCTCTCCAATCCGATGTCTCCTGGCAGCAAATCGCTCAGGGAGCCATCGCATTCCATCTACCTCGCACAATGTGAAATCTCATCCCTACCGTTGGCGTTACAACGTGACATCCCCACTCCTCGTCTCCTCGAACCCCAACGTTCCATCAGAGGCGACGTCTACTCCTCGAGTCTCTGGCTAGGTCGTCCACCGACCTACACACCACTCCACCGCGACCCGAACCCGAACCTATTTCTGCAACTTGCCGGCCGAAAGGTCATGCGCCTGCTTCCCCCCGAAATAGGGGACGCGGTGTTCGCCGACATTCAGCGCCAACTGCCGTCGACCCGGGCGTCAGCGTCGTCGGCCATCAGGGGCGAGGAGATGATGGCGGGTCCGGAAAAGACACTTCTCCACGACGCCGTGTGGTTGGATGAGGCCAGAAATCGCTACCGGGAAGTCATTGAGAACTATGAGTTTGAAGCTGAGCTCGAACTGGGCGACGGCCTGTTCATCCCGAAAGGGTGGTGGCATAGTGTCAAGGGCGTTGGTGAGGGTGTTACGGCAAGTGTGAATTGGTGGTTTCGCTAGAATGCCGAGGAGACTTTAGACAAGGCTACGATTCGAATGTTAACACAGATGAGCTACTACTGTACTACGCCACAGAACGCACAGTACACGCCCGGCATACTCCTCTCTTCATGATCCATTGCATCGTAGATGGAATCTGCGGTTTCACTGCCTGCGTGCGTTGTTTTTGTTGAAAGCTTCACTACTCCGTACAGGTAGAAGGGAAGGGTATAAGTATCTGCCCTGCCCATTCTCCCTTACCCTTGGATACATGTAGTTTCTTCTATCATCATCACACACACTTGTACTTGTACCTGTACTTGATTCATAGCTTCAAACTAAAAGCGGTATTCTTATTGTACAGTACAGTGATGACAATGACATTGCTCCGCGCCTGGCTCAAGGTCAATGTCAAGGTCAAGGTCACGCTCAAGGCAAGATCAAGGTCAAGGTCAAGGTCAAGGTATCGATCCGCGGTGATGGTGCACCCAAAGTCGCCATGTCGTTGTTTGTTGTGCGGCCGACATTGGAGCTGACCGCCATTGACCACCGACCACCAGCAGCATCTCCCGACTCTTTCTATACCCTCAGTCTCAACCGGCTCCATTGCCCGTTGCATGTCTGTCAACCTCGGTCGATCCAGTTCCCAAGCCGTGCACTCCCTCTAGTGGCGCATTTAATCAAGACCTCTCTCGCCAAACAACACACTTCATCCCTCTTTGAGAGTCGTCAACCAGTCAAGATTGGTGCACATGTCCCGGTAACCCTTGGCGGATGTAGGCATGGCAGCAGCCTTCCATTTCGTTGCATCTTGGGAGCTTTGCTAAATCGTTGATCAATCCCCTTCTCTCATATCCAATTGCTGCCTGCTTGTTGTTGTCCTAACTGTTGTGCCGATACCTCTACACCTTGATTCCTGGTGGTCGTCGACTTGCGTCTCGCCTTGCCACGCTTTTGTCCTTGGCCCTGAGTTGTCATCGTCGCATCACCATCACCGTCAGGCAGTCGTTTTGATTTCGCTCTGTTGTTGGTTGGAGCTTGACCCTGGCTGGCCATGATAGCGTCGCCATCCGGATCTGCCTCCTCTTCTTCCTCGTCCTCGGCAGCATCTTCATTGTCCTGCTGTTCAGAAACGGCAGGGATATCATCATCACCATCCAATGTCCCACCGTATCGTTCATGCCAGATCCTTGCCTCGTCGAGTTCGTTAATATCGAGGGGCTTGGATCGCAGCCACTTCATTCTCGGTCCACTTTTCGCTCGCTCCGACACCCGGAACCCATAGATCTTAGGCTCGTAGATCTTTCCCTTCCCTAGACCTGGGGCAAGATTGTGCGTTGCTATCCCGTTGATCGCGGGCGGCTGAGGAGGTAACGTGGAGAGCGTCACAGATGACTTTTCATCCTTGGCTTGAGCAACGCCTGGAATTGAGGGAGTCTGTGGCAATGTCAGGCTAGAACTTCTGCTGACAGTCATACCAGCCCGTGTTGCGTTGGGTTCGGTGGGGCTCAAGGTGCTTTCAATGTCATCATTTCCTTGCGCTGCATCTCGAGTCGAGCGTTTCTTCAGGGGCGCAACGTCCAAGTCCGGATAAGTCATAAAGAACAGGTAAGGGAAGGTTGTCCCAAAAAAGGCCCCATCGACTGCTTGAAATCGAGAGTTCGGGGGTGTGTACGCATCCAGGCAGCTAGGACAAAAGAGTTTGACGGTCTGTTGACCTGGAGTATCTGTCAAGCCCACTGGCAGCACCTTTGCTCCGGAACAATAGACGCGCGGGCAGAATCCAAAATGCGACAATTCGTACTTTTCCATCATCTGCTGGATGCCCGGTCTAGAAGTGATGTATCGAGCGTGAATCAGTCCGTAGAGAAGTTCTGCCGAGGATTCAATGACCGAAGCGTCAGATGAGGTCCGGCCGTGGCGTCGGCCCGTTGAAGAAACACCAGATTGTCGCCTCGCTGCCCCATTCTGGTTGGCTGCAGGCTCGTCCAACTCGTCTCCTAAAATACCATCGTCCTCCTCTTCTTCCTCCTCCTCCTCTTCCGATAGTGCTGACGAGTTTGTATCCGACGGTTCGACATCCAGGATCATCTCCAAAGCCTCCTTGTACATCGGAACTTGCGCTTGCAACCCCGTCAGGTTGAAATCATCTTCGATAAAATCCTCACTGACTTCGGCAAAATATTCGTGTCCCACCAAGTTGCAGAACGTGCCGATCCAGCTGTCTGGGGTCTGAGAGGAGGATTGAGACATTTCGGATATTGTAGCGGAGGAGCTTGTGAATTGATAGTAGTAGAGAGACTCCGAATCTTCGTTAGATTGGATGTTGAGCCGGTCCAGGCCCGCGGCCAGAACGGAAGCTGGTTCTGCAGACAGTTTGAGTGGAAGCTGCCTGATAAAATGACCTTTTTCGCCTCGGACTTGTCAATTTGTCTTCCGATTTCGTGGTGGAGAAAGACGAGGGGTTTTGGTGGGTGGAGGGGCTGGAAGGAGTTCGCAGTTTCAATGGCTACGGTGACATCGAGATATGCCTGATGCTCGACGCAAATTCAACATATAGAGAGCCGCAGGGGCTCTTGGGTGTTCGAAGCAGAGATCAGTTAGATCAGCTCCGAGGAGTAAGTTTGAGGCGAAGCGTGATCTTGGTTTGCGCACGACACTGAGTATGTTTGGCTGGTCTGTTATGACGCAGTTCGACAGCAGCAGTCACGCCGACACTATGTCGAAAGCGCGTAGTGTTCAAGTGTCCGACAAAGCTCAAATAACGACCTTCAAGGTCTTACACCAGAATCAGGCCGTATCAATTGCAACTGGCATCCGTCTGAGATGCGCCGCCCGACGTTGGGCGCAGTTTAGCCAAGTCAGGCGATATGATACTACACAATCAGCGGAGGTCTTGGCGGCACGGCACGTGACTGCGCCCTTTTCTTTCTGGCAGTGCTACACATGTGACCGGCTTTACATCTACATGTTGGCCTCAGATCACAGTCAGGGTGGAATGGAATGATGTCGTTTGAAATATAGTGTTATATACCTCCTATATGTTGCCATCGGGTGATGGAATCGAAAACAGTGTGTCCTCGTCATATGCCATGCCATTGATATCATATATCAGAACAACTCATTCACGATCCTCGTCAATTCGGGCTCATTGCCAAAGGCATTAAAGCCTTCTCCCAAACCAACATCCGCACTCGCGCCCACGAAATGGAATGCTTCCGGACCAGGTGTCGGAGCACTGTATCCGCCCGCAAGCTCGAACAGACTCGACAACTCGTTTGTGATTTGAAGTGCGTCGTCCGGACTGACTCCAAGCTCTTGATTCACGTTAGTATGATGCGGGTTTCCATATGAATTGTAGTCGATCTTGTGCCCGGCCAGACCCGCCATCGCCACAGCTGCATCGGAATGTGCATCTTGCTCTGCGTCATTCAGCGAGTTACCCGCCCGTGCCAACAGACCAATCTTGTCACCCATATCCTTCAGACCACGGATAGTCCTCCAGAGTCGCTTCGATACGTGAGACTTGGTGCTGAAGCCCTTCACTATCTCGATTGCGGCGTAGAATTCCTGCCTTGTTTGGGAAACGAAGAGAGCGGGCGCATGGGCCACCGAAAGGAACAGCACGGCCAAGGCTTGAACCAGGAAATAGTTGTACAGGATTTGCTGTGTCTTGTAGATATCGGAGACCTGATTGACTGCGGTAAGCGTGGTGATGGTTTCTTTGGCGACCTCGACCACGTTCTGTGCGTAGTGTCGGTTTTCCATGATATTAGTCGCCGAGTGAAGCACAGGTCGGTAGATAGATATGCGCGCTTGATTCTTGCGTAGATACATGAGCAAGCGGAGCCGCCGCACACCGCGTCCGGGGATATCACTCTCCCGCGCAAGGTCGTGGTTGTTAAACTGTAGCGAGTCTGGGAGCTGCTGGTACCATTGTAGGATTTGATAGTCCAAAAAACCTATCTCGTCCTTTTTGTTGTTCTGTCCCGCCTCATAAGAGAGGTTATGATACCACACTTTGGTCGCGATTTGGTTGTATTTGGTGATGTGCTTCAGATATGGGTGACTCTCATCCTGGCATGGATCAGTGGTGCAGCCAACATATAGACGAAAATGCTTACAGGCTCCGGCAATGCAGGTCCAATGTCTGCATCTTGCAAAGCAAACGGCATTCCCGTCCCGAAACTCCAGCGCCGATCAAGTGCATAAACTGTCCAGAAGATCCGCACCGCTTGCTGATACTCGGCTTCGTTGGTGAAAGATCTGAGTAGAGAATCCTTCCTGTGGAGGCCCATCTCAATGCACATGCGCGCAGCGATGCCAATGAACCGCCAGGCCTGGACCTCCTCATCCTTTTGGAAGTAGAAAGTAGCCTACGTCCCAAGGTCAGTTCGCACATCCTTCCTTCCTCTGGATGGGCACCTACCGTCAGCACAGTCAGCATCACCGACTTTAGATCCAACGCCATAACAAGTTTTAGATCTGTGGCTCCCTTTGCAGCGTCGAAAAATCTTTGGCCCATCTCACTTCGGCCATTGCCTTCGACTACCAGAGTGATGGCGAGAACGAGTTTTAGAACTGTTGTCTCTTCGTCGTCAAAGGTATCAGCACCCGGTAGTCCTGGCTGTCCAAAGCCTGAGCGTAGCGACGCCGCGATAAACTTGTATAATGAAGTTGCATGCTTGAGCAGTCTCTCAGAGTCTACCACAGGATACATGATACCGATCTCCTCGTCGTAAACGCGCAGGAGTCTTGTGACTTCGGCGAGATCAAACAGCCACAGAGGGTCTTTCGTCGGATGTGGAGGCAGTAAAAGCGTAGGTGAGGCTGCTCGGCTTCGTTCACGAGACACCATGCCGTCCTCCGCCGCATTGTGTGTGATGCCCATGGTCTGTAGAGAAGACTTTGCGACGTCCAACCCGTACAGGGTACTGGTAGGCCCATGGAATTGAGGCAACGCCTTCGGCGGAGGTTTCTTCGGGGAGATATGTGGAGGAAGCGTGCGCGACACAGACAAGGACATGGAGCGACCCGTGCCGTCCGATGAGAAGTGAGGGTCGACGGACGCCGAAAACGCGGCATCTGTCCGGCTTCGAAGTTCGTTCAGACTGGCATAGAGCTCGTTGACTTGGTCCTGCAAGGCTGCGATGTGCTCCCGCATCTGGTTGAACTCACTGAGCGTCGTCAGCAGAGGCTTATAGGGGGTGACATTTCAAACATACGCCGAGTCCTTGAGGGAGTTGGTGCAACAGTTTGGAGCATAGATGCACTCGAGCGAGAGATTGCCGCATCGCTGGCACGGCGTCTGGCCATTGCACTTGATCTTGCGGCGTTTGCATTCGTTGCTGTCGCAAACAGGCTGGTCAGCAAGATGCTTGGCGTTGGTGGTCGCCTATTGAAGCCTCACCATGCGATAGAAATGTATCTGTTCCTCTTCGACCTTGTGTGCGGTTGTCCGTCGCCCGGCGTCCCTCCCTCGGCTTTGCGCTTCTCGCCCTGGCCGTTGGTCTGGGGTGGCGAGGCATCTGAGGCCGAGACGCTCAAAACCATGTTGTCTGACTACTACTACAACAACAACAGCCACCTGTGGTCGTCCTTGCTGGAAGGGTGGAGGGAGTGATTGAAACCGGGGAAGAGGAATGGTTCCGCAGTTTCGAAGAGGATGATGGAGGCGGAATTAAGGAAGGAGAGAGTTGAGGAGCTGCGGGCGGGGGAGCACGAGCGAAGCCGCAGATCATGAGAATTATTAGAAGGGCTTAGGGGCTTAAGGCGCAGCGCAGGCAAATTATACGTGGTACGAAGTACGGAGTATTGTAGGCGGTGAGGGAGAGCTCAGCTTGATCCTTTGCGGAGAAGAGGCGGGGAAGACTTTGCTGCCTCAGGCCTTGGTTGCGAGCCTCCTTAGCCATGAGCCTGTACACGCATGTACCTAGCTGAGTGTAGCACCACTGTGTCTACCATGATGCATCGCAGAATACACCTCTCTCTTTCAAAACCCGAACGAACCACGCTGGTCCTGATGCACCAAAAACACAGAGCGGTAATGGGTGTTTTCAAGTCCCCAAACCACTGTCCTAAAGCGCTGCCTCGCTGCCTCGCTGCCTCGCTACCTCGCCACCCATCACTCGACGATCATGCACAGAGCAATAGTAGTAGGCCTTGATCCACGAGAACTCCTCCTTCCAGCAGTTAGACCAAGCCATCTATGTTGCTCTCGAGTCTAGTCCTCTTGGAGCGCTGTTTTTATCACTTCCAACCCTGGCGGCAGACCTTTGAGCCCCGGCCGCGTCTGCAGGGACTCGCAATCGCTTTCCCCAACACTTTTCTTTGTCTGAGCACATGCAATCCTCGAACATGTGCATCTGGCCCACCGCACTGCAAGCGATACAGACAACAATTGGATGGCTTAGGGGCCCAGGTACGGCCGGAACACAATGCAGGAAGGGTAGAATGCGTGTCAGTCCTGGTATGCCGTTGATTGATAGGCTCCTTGAACCAACGTGAAACATTGTACAAAACTGCATAATCTAGGCCAGAGCCCCTGCCAGCCCTGCGAGCGACTGTTCTCCTTCGTACGCAACCTACCTTATCTTGAACAAATCATGTCTCCAGAGGGACATCCTCCGAGCAGCCAGGTGTACTAGGTACAGACATGCTAGTAATGTACGGATCTGTGCCAGAGTAATCACATCCTAGGTTGATGCTGGGTATGTGGTCTATCAATCCCACCTGGGTCCTTGACGATCACAAGGAGGACATCAGGAATTCTGATTGGTGGTCATTGATTTCCGTAGATAGCACACCCATCCCCCTTTTGTAGCAGTGAAGAATCCTGCCTGGGACAGAAGTCAATTTCTGAGTGCGTGCTGAGGCTATGTTGGACTAGGTACAGTATCAGGTCAGCACGCCGTACACGGTTGAAAAGATAGATGATGGCCCCCTATCAATTGGCCAACCAAGGCACCGGAACCATAGCAGGGGAAAAGAATCCTTCTTCCTAGTAGAAATTGAAACGCCAGTCATGCTCTCATGAACTCCGGTGACTGGCTATGTTGGAGACGGTGTCGACCAATTGATAGGAAACTGCTTATCACTTAGCGAAGGGCGCAGTAGAGAGAATCGCGGCTTCAATCCTGAACAAATCCTACAACTCACAGTCAGGGTAGGAAGCGTGCTGGACCATGTGCAACCACGGAATCGGATCCTTCAATCTCCAAGTGGCCGGGGCAGAAGTCGGCGGTAATCCTCAGGTACGACATCTCGTTCGGGACCTATCATGTTACTAGGGATACTCACTCTGAGATCAGCAAGGGCTGCTAGCAATCCATCAGGGGCAGACCACTCTAAATAATACAAGCTAGAAGGTTTCTAGCTTGGCCCCAAGGAGTATGTAGGATAGAATCGCTGCCGAGGATGAGCAAAGTTCCGACCAGGAGATATTCATCGAGAATTGACGTTCCGTAGATGGCAATAAATTCAAAGTGCTCTAAACATGGTGAACACCTGCCAGGTAGACGGGATCGCCGCTGCAACGCAATGCAAGAACGCCTGTATGATTCCTTAGATAGTAAGTAGAGACTAATACCTTACCTGGTCGTTGGGAGAGCGCACCGTGGTTTGCACCCGATATTCCCGATATTTTTGGCGATATCTTTGTCAGCTCGTTTATTAAGCAACTAAACCGGCGAGGCGGGTCGGGCGATCGTTGCTGGCGTCAGTCTAGTCTGAAGGGGCTTAGGATGCTGAGAGCTCGCTGCGCGAAAGCCAAATTCATGCTGGTACGGTGTATCCTGGTCCAGGCTGGATGGAGATCGAAGGGTCCCCTTATCCGCCGGCCGCAAGGGCCCAAATGATCATCGTGTCCTGAATGCCTCGTTCGGGCTTGGGGTGCGGTTAGGGCTGAACGGAAAGCCCGACAGGCCATTGGCGGAAAATGGCCTTAGGCTTGTCGTGAACAATATGCTGTGCTATTTGTGGCCGATGGGGTGCCGGAGGAGGAGACAAGGGGCCATTATCTCCATCCGGTCTCCCGGCTGAGAAGTTCAACCCATTGCCCTGGCCAATTAATGGCGTGTGTAGAGCCGATGTCGTTCCATGGTGTTCATGGGCTTCAGGATTGGGATGGCCCCGTGTCATGATGTGCTGGACGAATAGGCGTCGTTGATCGAGCTAGGTCACGATGGTGGTTAGCCACGCTTCTGACCACACTGACCACCTCAACATCACATTGATCATGATTTTTGGCCGAAACCAATGTAACCTTGAATGGGATACCAGCGGAAGCGTCCTTTTGTTCGGTCTCAAGGCAGTACGCACCTGCCACCCACACCGACATAGCTCTAGAGCGGTTCTAAGTAATCGGGACCGACGGGAGAGTTCATGAGTTTCAGGAGACATCTGATCTCGAGTACGACCACCCGTCTGCAGGGACCACTACCATAATCCGCTTATCAGGGTAGCTGGTGTGGCACGTGTACGGATACTCCGCAGGTTTGAACGGATGGTGAGCATATGCTGGCCATCATCCAGTGCGATGGAAGCCTTTGTAGATGAGCCATAGCCCTACTGACAAAGGAAAAGAAGCTGCCCTACGCCCGTAGTGCGGTGGCCACACACTGACAGCCCCAGGAGGAAGGGCGGTGTTGAGAAGTGAGTAATATGAAGATGAACCGGCTGATCATTGGTGGTCCATCCTCTACTTGAAGTTTGGTCCATGACACTAAGACACAGCAAGTTGCTAAAACCCTCGTCAAGCAATCTTCGGCATCGAATCATATTTCACACAGTATATACTCAACTCTCGCAGCCAGGAAGTCAGGGGCCACTGGCAATCTCCTGGAGGAGGTGGAAGGAGTGAAGGATATCCTGTTCGAAGGAAGCCTTCGGTCAAGGTTCGCAGGCAGCTCCGTAGATCTCTGTCTGTGACTATTACCGAGCAGATACCATGTTGGAAGAGCATAACAGTAGATGGGTTCTTCCCATAAGTTCAAGTCTTTAAAGTTGTACAATTGACTGGCCACGTTAAGGCTGCCTCCCGGAGACTTTTTGCCGCGGGATGGACGTGGATTGGCGCCATGAGACATATCCTCTACCGCTCGAGGCGCGAGACAGAGGTTAGAATGTGAGGAACAGTAGCGTATCCCCTCAACGGGCGGAGAGATGATTGTGCCTGGCGTTCTTGGGTGCTCGGCTCCTGCACTGTACTCCGTACTCCGGAGACACGCCTGAGCGAAGTGATTGGAGGAATACCATCCGCACTGGTTGGCCGTTCACAAACCAGCTTTGGGATAGCTTGAAAGGCTAGCGGTGGGCGCTGTGGCTACGCTCGTTCTTTAGCGTGGCCTCGTGGGCTGTTCAAAAGTGGAGGGACGAAAAGGGAAAGTGGTAAGGTAAGGTGCCCGCCCCTTCGCTTTCCTGAGATCGCCCTGACGACGCAGCTTCAGGCGACACGCGGTGATTGACCGGCCCGACCGAGGGGAAGGACTGTGTGCTGATTAACAATAGCGGAGTTTGAGCGAGAAGCTAGAAGCAGGTGATGGAGAGCATAATACGCACCTCGTCGTGTAAAGCCAGGGAAGCAGATGTGATTTGACCGTGGTGTTGAACAGGGTGGGTGGTGGTGGTGGTGGCACTGGTGGTGGTGGTGCAGCGCAGGCGGTGGACGGACGGGATGCGCGCCTTACGGTGTGCGCTCTCTGGAAGGGCGGGCAGACGCTGCTTGAAGCTGGCGCAGACCGCCCTTCTGCTCAGAGCAGCAAGTCACTAGGCCGCAACAGGCTACGGGCAGCGACAGGGGCGCAGCCTCTATACGACGTTGCAGTGCCAGGTGTTCGACCACTCTCGACCACTCCCCGTCGCCGTGGCCACTGAGTAATGGCCCAAAATGCATCTCTCCATGGCACCACCATGGGTGCCAGCCCTATTTCCGTGCCAGGCCGGCCTCCTGTTCGCTGTCCAGCCTCAGCCCCCGCGGCCGCATCTGCGTCTCGGATGCTCTATTTCCAACGACGTGGGACGCGCTAACAGTCTCTGACAGGGACCGCAGGCGGTCAACCACACCCTTGCTCGGGGTGTGGAATTTCCCTCGAATCCCTGGCCCTCCCGCGCGCCGCCTCACGAGGCAGGGCAGCCGTAGGGCGCAGACCTCTGATCGTGGAGGGGAAATGCTCTGCTCGTGCTGGCGGATGGACATGTGGCCCGCTGCTCGTGGACTCAGACCTGGGCCCACCACCCCGGTTGAACTTTTGTCTCCCTGCCTGGCACTCTCTAGAACGGTTTGGGCCAAGCGCTGTACTGGTCGTTTCCGGCTGTCCAGGAAGCAGGAAGGATGGTATATATCAGGGACCAGTTTGGGCGTCCCATGGCCCTGTCCATGCATCTGTGATTGCCCACATTCCGACAGACGACTATTAAGTCCTTGATCACTCCCACTTGTCTGTCCCGAAACTTCTTCTCACCTACCAGCCACGACAGCCGCGAGGTACCAGTTACCAGTTACCACTGATACAACTGCTTCGCCCACTGCCCCATACCACAACCACCATCCTCCCGCGGTATGCAAAGGAGCCAAAGCTACTCCCACTCGTCATCGACCATGGCCGGCCAGTCGAGATATGCTTCTACACACGCCAGCAGCTCTGCCTTCAGCTCATCGGCAAATCCACACGAAGACTGGACCAAGATTTCCGACCTCGCGGAGAGACGACGAATACAGAACAGGATTGCTCAGGTACGTGGAAGCAAGCGTCGCGACGCACGAAGCGTGTCTTTTACTAATATCTGTCGCAGCGCAACTACCGCAAGAAGCTCAAGAGAAGAATGGAAGATCTTGAGCGTCGCGCCGTGTCTTCATCTGCTTCCCCAGAACAGGCACACGCAGAACTGGCGAGCACGACAACCAGAGACGACTCCTCCAAGCGACCTGAGAATATGGGCCGCCAGGCTTCAAGGTCAGGGTCAGCAAATTCGTACGAGGGACAGATAGCTTCTCCCGAGATCTATCCTTTGGACGACCAGACATCACTTTTTGAGACCCCTGCTACAACACATGCTTCCCTCAGCTCGCCACCGGGGTTCTCGTTTTCCACCTATCCGCCCACCACAGCATACCTCCAGTACGAACAGCAACAAGCCACGTCTTATGAGAGCTCACCCAGCTACTACCCGAATTCCTACTATCCGGTGGATGTCACCCCCTCAGGCCTACCCCCCATGTTACCAGCCATGCTCCCCTCCACGTATGGGAAGCAGGATCATTTCTTCGGCGACGACGACTTCTTGAGTCCATTCAGCATGAACTATGCGACGTTGGCTGGTCTTGAAATGCCCTCGAACCAGGCTTTCACAGGGGCAACTTCTCATGTACATCCCACCAGTTTTTTCTCTCGTTCATATTCAAGCCCGCATTTCTGAGCAGCACAAGATATCAATTTGGCAGCTCAAGTCCTGCGGTCAAGATTGCCCCAGCCTCCACCCATCTTTGACAGCTCAGACGCTGACATGGTCTCGGCAGACACCGCCACTCACAGATCCATATTCGGTGGTGGATTCACCACATAACTCGGCGGACTATTTCGACTTACCGCTGACTCCAGTGTCCCGAAAGGCGAGCCCCAACATTCAGTTGTTCGGGATCGGCTGCAGTTGAAGATCCTGCCTCGGGAGACAGCCCGACCGTTTGAGGCTCCCATTGGAAAACGCCACGGATGCTAGCGTCCCGCTGCTGAGTCGTATCAATTGAAGCCTTTCAACAAGTATTCCAGAATTACGGGGAGCATTTTGACTGGGCATGGAGCCGGTTTACAGTGTTTGAATTGAGAGCTAGACAAAACATGCCCCTGCGTGGGTATGCTAGACTACGGTGCGCCTTCGATGGCTGGAAGAATCGGAGAGGGTCGTAAAAGGCTGAACTGGGGTGTTCGGGAATTGCATGTGATGACGATGATGATGATTATGGATAGCAAGCGGGAACAAAGGGCCAGCAGTGATTATCTTTGAATCGAGACAGCTTGGAAGTCTGGTTCAGCTGTACAGACTATTTGTGTTGGAGGATGGGCAGCTTCGGCGGGAGTCCAATGAAGAGAAGACATTTCTTCCCTCGTCCCCTTGGCCAGACTCCAGAATTGATTCGCATGTGATCCTAGATCGTTGATCGTATACGGATATCCTGTGCCAGCACACCGCTGCCGTAGCGAGCTAGATTGCGGCTGGTGTTCAGCGCGCTCAGCTCGACAACAGGGCTGAAGGCTGAACACGACATTCTTTGTTCTCGGCCACATGCGGTTTAGCTCGAACTCTACTCTACGGACCGAGTGCGAGTGGCCAAGTAGACTGTCGACAACTGACAATTGACAACTTGGCTGGCTGGTCCAGACACAGACACAGACACGCTTTCGCTTTCATCTGGCTCTGGCTCTGGCAGACAAAGAAGACAGAAGACAGAAGACAGACGACCTTTCTCAGCTGGCCAGCTCGCGCCCCCTGTCTCTAGTTAGGGATCAACGAACGGTGTTGCGGTGCATGTGCATGCCTTGGCCGTGGCCTTGGCCGGTGGAACGACAGTACTGAGTACTCGGTTCCGATCCTCGACTCCTACATACTACTCCGTACTAGGTGACAAATTATGGGCTCAGGCTCCTGCTCCTGTGGCTGTGGCTGTGATGGGCGTCGGCGTCAAGTGCTATTCGGGTTGAATGTGTAAGCAAGTGTTATTTTAGACTCCGACTCCGACTCCTTTTGTGCCTTTGCCTGGCTTTCTGACTCCTTCTATGCCTGTCTTTCTTTTTCTGGCTACGCTGGCGCGCAATCCCACTGACCATGAGCACTGGTGAACTTGCAGGGGCTGGCGTCCGGAACAATGGACCTCCAGCGACGATAGGGTCCGTGGAGGAAGATCACAGGTGTGTACATTACATACTACATACTACACAGTCTCCTTTCTGCTACTTACTGCATTGTCTCCTTTCTGCTTCTACCTGCGTCGCTCCCCGACGACCGACGGCGAGCTCAACCCATGCTCGATCCTCTTGCAGCACTGTCCTGTCCAGAGGCACTGCGCACCACGCACTGTGATTTGTCCAATGTCTAACCCGAAGGATTCCTGACAGTCCCACCTGAATTGCAACACCTCGGGGGCGTCTTTCCACGGCCATCTCGACATCCAGACCCTGGGCGGGGCGGGCTTTGCGTCCCAGCGCACGGCGAATGACGATTGCCATCGACACTGGGAGCTGGCCTCGTTCGCCGGGCTCGAGGTCGCGATCGACCTTTCGCAGTCCGACAACCACATGTACACGTTGATTCTCAAAGACACCGTGCTCCCTCGGAATCCAGTCGACGGTCGCGAACAGTCCACCGTGTCGTGGGAGGCGGAGTTCTCCAAGGCGGACTGCCGTGTCGAGCACAGTACCAGATCCCATACTAGGACCGCCTCTCTCTTCATTCCTTGGGACCGTTTCAAACCTACCTATCGTGGCAAACCCTGTGGCGCCTCCCAGCCGCTGGACTTGAGCAATATCAAGCGGATTGCCATCATGATCAGAAGGTATGTCTGTCTAGTTTGCTTCGACCACCCAAGTCTTGTCAGCACTGACAGTCTCGCAGCTTCTTTGGCTCCCAAGAGGGGGACTTTTGCCTTGGAATCATTTCTATTGCTGGTTGCTCTTCGCCGGGCCTTGAACCCCCAACCCCGTGCGAGACATGTACAAACGATCAGCATGCAGGTGCCTAGTTGCGACACTGTTGCCACACTGTTAGTCTGAAGAGATTTAATGAAAAAGAAAAGGCAATACTGGAGGCGACCTGGGCCAGGCACTGAAGAGTTGGCGTGTTCATTCCTCGATACGCCTCTGCTCTGTCTTGGTAGAACTTTGTGGAAGGAGACGATTTGCCATCCCTTTGCGGCAATACTCATACACGACGCCTAACCAGACAATAAGGTCCGGAGATAACTGTCCATGTGGGCTTGACCGGCTCCCACGCGGGTCCTGGCTGATGAAAGGTCATCATCCTCCCGCCTCCCCCGCGCATTTTGTGTGGCGCGCAAAAGAACCCCTTGTGCGAGACATGTACCAACGCAAACGGCCAGCATGCAGTCTGCACCCTTGTCTTGGAACGCTTTACAAACCCAACAACAGAATGGCGAGAAAGAGAAAGAGACGAAGCTTGGAGAAGGAGAAACCTACATGCATTGCTCAGCCTTCAGCCTTCTCACGCAATCTAGGGGATGTTTCCTCGCTCGGGATTACCAAGAAGGGTAGTTCGCGGTAGCAGCCCTATTTCTTAGTAGTTCGCGGTGGCTGTCCAGTATCCAGTCCATGAGCGCGCCACCTCCACACGCTGATTTGTCACCTCTCTGAAAAGGTTGGTGGCAGTGGCAAGCGAGGCTGCGCGATGACCTCAACCCCTGGAGTCACACGTGGAGGGTACGAGTCGCGGATGACCCTGGACCCTGGATCCTGGACCCTGCTAAGGTTTAACCGCCGGCAGAGGTTGAATGGGTTCTTAGGCTGAGCAGGCTTATAGGCAGAGGTTAAATGGATTCTTTTCTTAGGCTGAGCACTGAGCAGAGGTTAAATGGATTCTTAGGCTGAGGTGGCTTGTAAATGCCTCATAGGGCTCGAGATCGATGATCGACGGGTGGTGGTGGTGGATAAGTACGCAGGACCCATGGGTGCGAAATATACACAGCCGGTGGGTGGGACGATTGGAGCTTTGCTGGTGCTGGTCCACGCGGAATGCCGGCAGCCTGAATTCAAGTTCGAGGACTGCCTCCAAGATGATGCATGGCATGGCAAACCCATACGAGTACCGAGCTAGCAGTGTTACAGTACCATGCCAAACGAACCATGGCATCTCGTACCAGGCACCTAAAATCATGGGCAAAAGACTAATCGCCCAGGGTTTGGGTCTGCGTCTTTGATCTGGGGGGAGGGGAAGGGGGGAAAGGCGGGTTCAGGCCTCAGGCTATTCTGGGATAAATGGGTTCAGGCATCATTGAACGCGCAATGTCAGGCCCCCGAGTTGAGTTACAGTTAGATGTCTGATTCATTCAAGCCAAGGCCCCCGAGGTATGGAGTATTCAAACTACAAACTTGACCATGCTACTGTCTCTCTACGACTGGCGAAGCGAAGCATACGGAGCTGTATGTTTTGTCATCAAGCGAATCTGAATGTGAAGTAAATAGTGGGCAGGCAGGCCTGATGCCCCCGCAGAGGAGCTGGGGTCCTAAGGATTACAGATCACAGCAGGTGGCAGCCTAGGTTAAGGCTCGCTGCCTGCTTCATGCACGATTCCGTTATCAAAGGCGTCTGGCGATCAAGACAAGTCTACAGTCTACAGTCTACTCTGGAATCTGTAGAAGCTCTGGCCTATGGCGTCCACTAATGGTGTTGCCATTGGGGTTAGGGTTAGGGTTAGGGTTAGGGTTAGGGTGGGTTGACTTGCCCACGCCCATCTGAGAGAGGTACAGAGAGGTATAGAGTATGTGCTGGTCTAGTCTTACGTGTGCACTGAAAACGAACCTCACCTCAACCCTCAAGCTGAGCTGGTGGACGGGCAAACAAACATACAAGCTACAAGCAGTCGGGCTGGCCTGATAGTCGCCCTGTCCGCTGGAGCTGAGCCTGATCCAGGCCGGAAATGACCTTAAATCCGCTTACAGGGATGGAAATGGCGATAACGATGGGATAGCAATGGGGATAGCGATGGCTTAGGAGGCGTTCTCTTCGACGTCCCGATGAACGATGAAGTCAACCCAACAACAATGAGGCGTGCCACTGCCATTGCCACTGCCACTGCCTGGACCAGGTGACACCACTTTACACACATACCTATACAGAGTACCTAGGTAGGTAAGTAGCACTAACAGAGAAAGGATAAGCTTGCGAGAGAGATGGGTGAAGATACGTCATGGAACCCCGAGCGTGCCGGTGTTGGTGTTGGTGTTGGTGTTGGTGTTGGTGTTGGTGTTGGTGTTGGTGTTGGTGTTGCTTTCATCCACATTCACGTCCACACACATCCACACCAACACGCACCGCCACGCCCTTGCGCTTCAATTTTAGCCTGGAAGTGGAAGTGGAAGAAGCCGACGACCTAGGCATGAAACAGCTGCCTGGAGTGGTACCTGGAGTGGTCACATACAGAGCATGCATGCGCTGTCCGTAAAGAGCGCAACCTTCAGAATGTGAGAACCATCTTGGCCCTGGCGTCCAGGGTTCGCATTTCACGTTTCAAAAGCAGCCTGACACAGCCACCGAATTCAGTATGGTGTGATATACGATGTCGTTGTCGTTCCATGGCTGTTGGATGCTAGACTGATGTTGCTAATGCGAGTGATTAATAACACGACACGACCAACGACCAATGCACGACGACTAAGACACAGACTCAGCATTCGGACAGCAGACAGCAGACATCACGCGTACGAGGCGAGACACGTCGTCTTCGGACAAGAACCCAGCTGCCTCCCTGTCCAGTGTCCAGTGTCCAGTGTCCATTGTCCCCAGCCGCTCGTTGGCCAAGTCGCGTTCCGTCCACCAGCAACCATAAAGCAAAGTCTAGGCCACAAGCTGAACAAGTACGAAGTACGGATAGGGAGAGAGTATTTACGTGTCCTTGGGTTGAGTGTACTGCCACCGCCACGCCACTGGCACTGGTACAGGAACTGGCTCTGGCTCTGGAACTGGAATTGCAGTGCTTTCTGATTGAAAGCTGGCTGACAACTCGTACCGAGGACTTGGCCGTCGGCCATGACTGGATGGCTGGGGCTCAGGCTCGCATCTTCAAGTCGCCGGCATCTTCGACTTCACTTACTGGTACTCCGTATGCCATATGGACCTCAGACTAATCGAGCGGACTACGGACTACGGACCTGGATGGATACGTACCGTACAGTAGGACGGAGTACGGAGTATATATCCTGCACATACAGCACATACCCTAGGTACCTATAAGGTTAGTCGATATGTGGTAGGCGGTAGGCGGTAGGAGATGAAGGGACGACAACTTACCGTACAGAGTACATGACAAAAGACTAACTCCTACTACATGCACCTAACCTGCCTGCACAAGGTACGGTAGCTTAAGAGATGTATGTACTCTAGTAGATCGGCTCAGGCTGTCCAACCCCTCGTCCCCCAGCTTTAACCCTGTGGAGGAGACTATCTGTGGAAACAAGGCGTCAGGACTCAAGCCTCAAGCCTCAAGCCTCAAACCTCAAGCCTCAAGCCTCACGAATCATCACTCATGGCGTCAAAGTAGATCGGGCAAGGGCAATTCATACCAAATAACTGACAGGCGCCGCGGCTGGCTGTTGGATTTGCTATGTAAACTTGGTGCCGAGTTGCACTCGATGACATGTACAATGCAAGACGACAGAAAGAAAGACGATGATCCAATACGCGGTCACGCCAGGCCCAGGCCCAGGCCCAGCGGTGGGAAATGCTGTAGGCTGAAATCTTGCTCTTCAACTCTTTTGAATCAATCCGTCTGTCTTTTCGTCTTTCCCGGTTTTTGGTTTTTGACTTGGTCTTGGTCTCAGCCTCAGTCTCGGTCTCGGTCTTGGTCTCTGGAAGTTCAAGCGATCTTCACACTCATTGAACCCTTAGCAATCTTTACACTCAAGCAATCTTTACACTCCAAGGGCTCGCTTCATCGCCGTACTGGATGGCTTCCATCCAGTCCTTCATCTTCAACGCCACCTCGCCGGCCTCCTCCGTCTCCTTCAAACCGCAGTCGACGGTGCGGTCCTTCCAGACAATCTTCCTCACTGGCGCCACGATGGCCGCGGTACCGGCGCCGAACACTTCGACCAGACGGCCCTCGCTCTCGGCGTCAGCAAGTTCTTGCATCTTGACGTACCGCTCCTCCACCTTCCAGCCTTCAGGCACCAGCCTCTCGCGCGCAAGAGCCAGGACCGAGTCTCGCGTCACACCTTCCAGAATCGTGCCGTCGAGCGGCGCCGTCAGCAGTTCCTTCTGGCCAGTCTCCTTGTTCTTGATGCAGACGAATAGGTTCATCGTGCCCACCTCGGTGATGTTTTGCTCCGGCCCAAAGAGCCAGAGGTTCTGGTGCAGTCCCTTCTTGGCCGCCTGCAGTTGCGGCACAATGCCCGGCGCGTAGTTGGCCCCAAGTTTCTTGTCGCCCACGCCTCCCGGCCAGGCTCGGACGGCATAGTCGGTTGCCTCTAGCGAGATGGCTTTGAAGCCCGTAGGATAGTAGGGTCCAACGGGCGATGCGATCACGAAAAGCAGCGCCGACCCTGGTGGGCCAACGCCTAGTGTGCGCTGTGTGCCAATCAGCGTCGGTCGGATGTATAACGAATAACCCTTCTCAGACGGGATGAAGCGTTCGTCCAATTTGGCCAGTTTTCCAATCAACTCGGTGAGCTTGTCCCCATCGAATGTGGGCAGTGCAATCCGAGCGGCAGATTTGTTGAGCCGCGCCATGTTCTTGTCCGGTCGGAACAGCCGTAGCGAGCCGTCGTGTGGGCATTTGTATGCTTTCATACCCTCGAAGCATTCGAACGCATAGTGGAAGACGCAGGTCGCCGGGTCTAGTGAGAGGTTTTGATAGGGGGTTATCCGAGGAGCTTGCCAGCCGTCAGAGGCAGTCCATTCAATCGAGAGCATATGATCTGGACACACGCGCGCACAATGTCAGCCCAAGTCTCAGATATCAGACACAGAAGGACAGTCAAAGCTCGACTAACCAGTGAAGGTCCGCCCAAAGACAAGATCTTTATTGGGGACGAGCTCTTTGGGGGTAATCGTCTTGGTCACCTCCAGTTTGCTTGGGTCAATGCCCGGTAACTTGGAGGATGTTCCATCGTCAAGGATCCAGCTATCTTGTCTTCTCCGCGATGTCGAGAAGCTTTTATATGTGGGCAGTAGCCGGACGGTAGAGTCCCGCTTGAACGTGGGTTTTGTGAGAGCACGTGCTGCGCAGGGAGCACGAAGTAGCCGAGGGAGTGACATTGTTGTGGTCGATGTTATCTGTGAATCATCCCACGGAGGAGGAGGGGGAGGAGGATGATATATGAGTCGAGAGGATAGGAACCCAACTTCAGACGGTGTCGGTTGTCTGGGAGGAGGAGGAGTTGATTGTCAGGGTTGCGTCGGATTGGGATGGAATGCTAGTAAAATAGTGATAGTCCGCGGTCCATGCCACTGCACTTAGTAGCCTGCCGGTGCAATCAACAACTAATCCTGAGGGTGATGTTGTCAACTAGTAGAGATAGTACAGATATTGAGTCGGCAGGGCGCAGATACAAATTCCGGCACCGTGAATCGGAGCCGAGAGCTTGGCAGGGTCTGGAGACAGGACCGCGGATAGCCGCCTGCGCCTTGTTCCGCAGGGCGTTGCTCACCTCGGAGTCGTCCAACAGCCCCCGGCTTAGCGAGATCGGATCTGGATCTCCCCTAACTAACCGTTCAGTATTAACAGCAAGATGTATCTATCGGATTTCACCTTCTGGTCCACGGCCAGCGGCGAACATAGAGACTCGATGCGGCCAGATGTCATATCACACGGCGGCTGCTGAGTGAACACCCTAACCATGACATGACTCACTGTGACTCCTGATCGGCCTTGACTCGAGACCAAGGTACCTAGCATCTAGGGAGTACTCCCGCTTCGGAATCAAATACCCCGGTTGGACATAGGCTCCGACATGGTCCCTCTTCTCTTCTCGATTTGATTCAACTCGCGCCGAGCCCTGGTCCAACCGAGTCTGATCTGTAAGATAAGAAAGAGCAGGAGTGACGGTGACGGTGACGGTGACAGACGTCCCTATACCTCGTCAGTCGGCGAACGCACCGGCCTCCTGGGTCTGGTCCGAGAAGGCAAGCGTTCATCAGCTTCACCACTGCCAGGTCCATTCGCCTGTTACGAAGCATAGACGTTCAGCTTAAATACTGATTCCACCTATCGATTTCGAATACTGCTTCAACTTTTGGAACCTCCATGTACCCCTGGAATACAGCCCTGAAAGTTGACTCTGCTGAAGAACTTTATGATTTCTTTGCTGTCGGACGGCCTGCGTCCAGGTCCGAAAGGGTTGACTGGCGTCGGCTAGTGTCCGTCGTGATGTTCTATGGTCTTGCCCACAGACAGACACAGAGAGAGAGGGATGCTCTCGAGCTGCTCGGTCGGATGACCCTAATCTTGACCGCGAGTACTCATAACAAGTGCAAGAGACAATATGACAAGGCTGCCGATGTAAAGCAAGATGCTGCTCTAGAAGTAAGGTATAGTCTTGATAGTGAGTACACTCTCTTTCTCTTGCCCCACGCAACAAAATATCCAGACCATCCTATCAGGCAGCAAAAACTTTTTTCACAAACCCCTTTGATATGGGGGTTGTGAGAAGTGAAACCCGGGTTCGCAGGGTTTTTCCGTTTTCGATTTACTGGTCGCTGGTTGGTGTTAGCCCGGGTTCGCAGGACTGGAGTTGTTGGCTGGTGTTAAACCCGGGTTCGCAGGGTTTGGTGGCTCGTCGAAAAGTCGTCGTCAATGTCGTGTTCAGAGTGAGATTTGAACTCGAGAATCGGTTATCGATCATATTTGTCGTCGGGTCGACCAGTCGAATGGTTGCCTTCCACTCTTGTCTGTGTGACACAGACATGGCTACCGCTAAGCCAAAGTGGTTTGTCCTGGACCATTCGGTGCTGGGGGTCTTTGCGTTCTTGTACAGAAATCCGCCGTCTTAATATTATATCCTGCAATTTATTTCGCTGGTGTTGGTGCTGGCGGCGGCAGTGAAGACGAAGGCGGTCAGTCAGGTGTTGCGCAGTGTTGTGCGGTGAAACAAGACGAGACGAGGCTGAGAGAGTGTCACTAGTCACATGCTCTGCTTGTCACAGGCTTGACCATTGACCACCACATGTCATGGCCCCCAATGGAGAGCACCGGGTCGACGGAATGCCTGTGCGAGGCTATCTCTGCTGGCCTCTAACAGATTGGGACCCCTCTTCGATGGCATGCCTATGCGAGGCTATCTCTACTGTGGCCCTGTGCGAGGCTATCTCTGCTATGGCCCTCTATAGCTTGGGACCTCTCCTTCCATGGAAGAGTGGTCAATACCGTCGTTTTCAGCAGCATGACTGTGTCTGCACAAGTGACGTGTGAGAGGAGTACCTCTTTCGCTCTCACTCAAGTGTCCATCAGCTGCTGTTCTTAAGCGGTCCATCCACTGTGATTACGATATGTTGTGTACATGGCCATCTTCCATCCACTGTAACTACGATATGTTGTATACATGGTTGTCCACAGTGAATACAATGTATTGCGTACATGGCTGTCCACAGTGAACACGATATGTTGCGTACATGGCCATCCACTGAATACGATATGTTGCGTACCTATACATGTACATGGCGGTCCCAGGACGTCTAACCATGGCATGGCGAAACACAGAACGAAGCAACGCCTTCCGTATTGTTGTTGTTGTTGAATACGATACGATACGCCTCATCATTCAATCCTGATCCTGGCCCCCCATAGGTCTTTTACGGTGTCCGGCTGTCATGTAAGAGAGATCGAGGTGGGTTAGGTCAGGTACGACTAGAGTCTCGTTGGACATGATATGGAAGGAAGACGAGGCTGCCACCTTGGGTTTGATTAATGTGTTTGTTAGGGTAAGGAAGCGTTGAGGTAAAGAAGGTCATTGAGGTAAAGAAGGTCATTCAGGTAAAGAAGGTCATTAAAGCTCCAGTAGCATGCTGGGTGCTGGACGTGACAAGCTTGAGTGGCAAGGATGTTCCCATCGAGTCATGTACATGTCTGGCATTATTGGCCTAATGATGATATTGATATCGAGTATTGAGAGTCTCCAGCTCATTATTGGCCTAATGATGATATCGATATCGAGAGTCCCCAGCTCCGTTCTCTGCACTCCGTAATTTCCTCGCTGTGATGGACCATGGTAAGCAGTCTATGCCTGGCGTAGCGCATGTCTGGCTTCCCTCTCCTCCTCTGAGAAACCCACGTTAGCACTTGATCGCCTACATATCTGGGGAGACTGGATTCCCACTTACTGCTCAAGTCGTCGCGGGACCTGATCCTCACCTTGGCGCTGGGATTCTCAAAAGCGACCAGTGGTGTCAGCGCTCCCCGAACTTTGGCCTGTGCAAGGCCTAGAGGGGCGTCATAATCGATCGTGAAGACTGAGACGGTGACAGAGCATCCGCCGTCGACGACGTCGGTTTCGCCGGGTAAGGTGCAGTTGCCATTGATGCACGTGTTGATTCCGCCAGTGAGATCATTGCCGTAGTTGAACGTGCCCGAGGTTGCGTTGTACACGACCTTATCCGTGAATGCGCCGCCCGTAAAGCGAGTCTGGACAAACGACGGAGACACGCAAGAGTCATTGGTTAGGGAGGTGATGAATGGCGCGTTGACACTAGTAATCGCGTCGAGTCAGCCTGGCGAAACTCGTCTTCGAATCTGCTCCAACAACTAGACTCTTCTCACTTGATTCCATAGCCAAGCGGTAGCAGACGCTCTCCTGGTTTGGTGCCCTTGATCAGCTGGTTGACAATATCCACCGCCAGTTGGCCGTGGATGGTCGCTGGATCAGGATGGCCGGTTGTAGTGGTCTTGTTGATCCAGGTGTACGAGCGCTGTTCGGAGTTGCCGCCTGAGAAGGCGATACCCGGCAGGTTTCGTCCTATAGCGGTATATGTGCCACCTTGAGGTCGCAATGTGTGAGTGACGGCCCATCTGATGATGCACCCCTCAGGAGGCTGCCACACCTATAGTTCCACTCAACGTGTAATAAAATGGGCCCACATTCAGTCCAAAATTGGGTCCGCCCAGGTACAGATCGATGGATCGATTGTTGTAGAAAGTCGGGAGGACGTGGTCTAGAGCGACAATGGTGCATGCACCGGGAGTGCCATTGTAGTACCACACGTCCGGGTCGGTAGGGTCGCGGCCAAGTGAGGGGGCCCCAGCAGGGATGATGCCAAACTCCGAAGGGCCCGTCAAGTTCCCTGAAGTTGGTGAAGACAGAGCGGCCACCCTGACCGCTTTCATTATCCACCGGGGCTACGAGTACGACCTCATGCCCATCGACCTTCAACAGACGATACAACTCTCGCACTTGGGCAGCTGCAAAGCCGTCGTCGTTTCCCAAGAGGATGGAGATGGCAGAGCAGCTTGCAATGAAGGACGAGGCCGCCAAGGTGGCGGACAGAATTGAGAGTTTCATGGTCTGCGCGGGCGGAGGCAATGGGCATCGCTGTGGAAGAGGCCGTCAAAGAGCTGTGTGACACCTCGCTTTTTAAGAGAATTATCGTGGTTGATTGCGCAAGGGTTAGAAGTTGGAGGTTGCTGCAGCTCCGCCGACCACCAGTCAACAAGGGAACCATCTTCGAGAACCTGCAGTAGCACGACGTGTGTAGACGAAGAGCAGAGGGTTGAATGGATGGGCTTTGTGAGGACATGGGTGACCGACATCGACATTCCCACAAGGGCTAGTCGGGCCATGCAAAGAGAGGTCGTGGTCGAATGATTGGTGTTGATCACTTCTCTCGACCAGGCGCTTCACGGTCGACAGGGATCGGACACTCATGACACCGATATACACAAGTCCAGCCAGCCGGGATTCCCGGTCACTTCGACGTAGCACCCGGCCACGCGTACCATACTATTCCCGTCCGTTCCGTTGTTTCCATAGGCCAGATCCAGTCCAGCCGAGTGGCCATTTCAATCCCTACATTGAAAATTGACCTGGCGGACTATTACGACGTGATAGAGCCTCCGATCACCCCAGAAGTTGTTTGCTTGAGCGCTCAGAGCAAAGACTCGTATTTATCCAATCCCGTTTTCTTCTGCTGAGACGGCTGTGGCAGACTCGTTTGAGGCTGCAAAACATTCATTGACCCGCCAAATCCTGGTTGCGAGGACATTGCCATACCGTGGTTGGTTTGTTGCCATACATTGCCATGCACATTACTCTGCGGAGGCGGAGCGATACTCGGAGCGAATGTAGATGCTATATTCTGACGTTGCGGCCCGGGAGGGGGCGGAAGTTGCCAAGCAGTGGTTGACACCGGCGGAGGAGAGATTGCAGCAGATGCACTAGCAGTGTAAGCTGATGGCTGCAGTACGTGGTTTCGGTTTTGTGCAGTCGTGGGAGGAGGCGATGATGTTGCCCAGATGGAAGCAGTCGACTGCTGCGCTGGTTGCAGACTCGGGAATGCAGACATGCCGACATCTGGAGTTATGGAGCGCGACGTCGGTCGAGGTTGAAGTGCTGGTAGAGATGATAATGGCGGCTGCGAGGAGACACTTTTATTGCCGCCTGAGACAGGTGACCACGAGAAGGACGGTGGGTTCTGCGTCAACCTTTCTCCCTCCGCCAGTGCGCCTGCGAAGACATCGTTCTTCTCACTGTTTTTGTTGCCCAGGACAAGCTTCTGGAAATCGTCTTCTGCGCCGGTGGCTGCAGATCCCTGATGCACTCCATTGCTCGCAGATGGTTGTGGTGTCGACGACGGTCGGAAGTCTCCAGGTCGGGTCGAAGAAAGCTCCTGAAGTCTTCGTATCTGCTCCCTCTCAATCTTCGCCGACAAGGACTTGATCACGTCCATGAATGCTTGGAACTGTGAGAGATCAAGAAGAGGCCCGAGGCTGAAGGCCCACAGGATGGGCATGACATCGAGAGCCAAGAATTCAGTGTCCGCAACAGTACCGATCTGTCGGAAGACCTTCAGGGCTGCCATCATCACGGCAGGCTCTTTGGTCTTGATTGCCTTCAGAAGTGGGACAACCTTCTCCTGCATCGTAAACTTGTCCAAGCTTGACACGTTCTTATCTTTCCTCTCCGGCTGCGTGGGTCCAGGAAAGTCATCGACACGAGTTTCCATTTGATTGGTGGGGACGCCGCACAGCACTGCCAACGCCTCGAGGCCTCGAATCTTGATGCTGAGACTGTTCGTCTTGCTGAACACATTGGCCACCACGGGGAAGAGGTCATGTTTGACTGTCGAAAAGTCAATGAGTGGCATTATCACCGGCAATGTTTGCAAAGCAGCATCGGTGAGAGAGTGAGTGGAAGACTCCATGGCAACATGAATGATTGGTAGGACGTCATCTTTGAACTGTTTAGCCGAACAGTTGTCGGCCAGGAGTTGGATGTTATTAAGGACGGCAACTAGAGCGGCTTCCTTGCTGCTGTCTCTTTCCTCTGATTTTGATTTGGTCAGAAATATCTCTCTCATTTGTGGCAGCACTTTGCCGGACACAACTTCCTTGCTAGAGGGGACCACCTTGATGATCTGAAATATGTTCTGCATGATCAGTGGGAGAAGCTCCCGGTCCTTCATTTCATCCAGGAGCACGCCTAGAATCTTCTTTCCCAACACGGACGGGGGAAACTGTGGCATGACTCGACCAAGACCCTTCATGAACTGTGACTTTTCCACCGGGGTCTTAGCTGGCAAGGCGTCCAGGAACCGGATGGTATTCACTAGAATATTGTCAAAGTATTCTGATTGTTGAAACTCGCTGGCAGTCAAACGCTGGGCAGGTCTTCTGGTCAGCATTCGTGGCAGCGTGACGTTCAGTTCGCGGGGAAGTGTCTGGTCAGATAGAAAGTTGTTGGCGCTCGTCGGCACGGTGGAGGAATTGCTGAAAATCTTCTTGTAGGCCGACTGGTTACCATGAGTCTCGATGGGTGACCTGTGAGGATGCCTGTAACATGCTAGGATGACGAGGCCTAGTGAGAAGATGTCTGCCAAATAATTGATATTCGCGTCGAGGACAAAGTCAGGGGATGCATAGTCGAGGTTCAATTGCACCGCTCGCGGTAACCGGGGATCATGATAGAGGGCTTCGGACAGTGAAATTTGAGGCACAGGCTGATGTCCTTCTGCTCCATCTGGCGGCCCGGCAAACCCAAGCGCTGCTATTTTCCAATCCGACTTTGCGTTGATTATGACGGCATCAGGAGTTAGGTTTCCGTGGACCAGTTTAGCCGAGTCATGCAAGAACTCCAGCCCTTTGGCAACCTGGAGAAGTCCCTTCTGGATTTCTAGTTCATCGATTTCCACATCTTGAAATGCTTGAGAAGTAGTACCGTCATCGGAGACGGACCTTGGAATGCCCCTGCCGCTTCTGCCACCAGTTCGATCCTTCTGCGCCAGAGCAGCAGATAAGGAGCATAAGACTAGTTCCGTTGCAAACATCAGGCCACCACTGCGAGTCTCCTCGACAGGTTCTACCAGCTGTAAAACCGAGGGATGGCGGAGACGAGCAAGGCTACTGGCCTCCTTCCTCAGGCGCTCGATGACTTCATCTTGGACCTTTCGCAACGAGGTGGCACTGGTAGCACGTGGACCAAGTCCATTACTGCTGACATCCAAAGATTTCCGCTCGAAGACAAAGACTGAGGCTTGCACGCCCGTACTTTTTTTCTTCGCGTCAAAGATAGACCAGACACCTACGGTGGCCGAGGGTTGCTTCGAGATTTCATAGTTGGACGTGATGTTGGATGAGAAAGACTTGAAGGCCGATGAAAACATGACCACCTATTATCAGAGACGCCCGGCTGGATAACATGAGAGGAGTGGTGTTGAACCTCGCCCGCGACCCTACGTCTTGTCGGCAGAATATAACAACGAAGATCCAGGTGGCTTCGTTCCCGGCTCGCAAGAGTGTTGAGGCTAGATTCTGTAGACAGATTGAGCTGGCATCCTCAAGGAAGCAAGTTGATAGTTGCTTGACAATGTTGACTAACAGGGGAAGCCGGAGGCGGTCACGTGATCGACAAGTATGGTGGAGCACACATCTATACTCCGCACACGCATAGTGTTGGTACGGTGGGCCAGACGGCGTCCTCTTTGTTCCCCCGCAGCCTGATTGCTCCTCGCTCATCACGAACCGCAGCCTCGTAGGGACATTCTTTAAACACCTCATCCTCCAGCTCCAGCTCCAGCTCTATATGACCTTTGCGCCCAGATTCACCCTGGGCTCATCCCTTCAAAGGTGTCTTCGTAGGCTCTCCCACTTGAGTTCTCAATTCTCTACCTTCCACTCTGCCTCAACCGCCATGGATCCATCTCTCCGATCCCATTATCTCGCCGACAATCCTCCCACGGTCGTTCAATTGGAGATCGCCCCTCATTTCGCCGCCCTCTCGCCGAAACAAAAGCGCTATGCACATCACTTGAGTCGGGCTTCCCTTCATGGAACTCGCGTAACTCTGACTCAAGTCTCTCCCGAGTCTCCAGTCATTTACGACCTCATCCTGGCACTGCATCGTGCTTGTGACGGCGACTACAAGAAACTCTCCGACGATACCTCAGTCTCCTCGTCCGACATCACATTATGGCTGGAGTACTCTGCACAGTTTCTGGGTAACTGCGGCAATTACAAGGGATTTGGTGACTCCAAGTTCATTCCCCGGATTGCACCTGAATCATTGGAGAAGCTCTCCAAGGTCAATAACGAATGCAAGGCCCTTCATGACAAGGCTGTGAAGACAGGAGGCGGGATATATGAGACAAAAGACGTGGCTTTGATGCACCTGGGGTATCCAGAAGCTGGACACATGACAAACTACTACCCAGATTCGCCGACTATCACAAAGGAAGAAATCTCCATCGTTGGTGATGTGCTTGAAGAGAAGAAGCTCCTGATAGAAAATACTCGGCTGCGGAAGTTACAGTCCGGAGATTTTGACTTGCTCATTGCATCAGGAGTTTCCAATCCGCCTGTCGAGGAGAGAGACCTGAATGGTCTGTCGTCGATTTCCCTGACTGGCAAACTAGCAGGGAAGAAGCTTAATCTTGTCTTCGGCGACTATCAAGATCAGATGGCAAAAATAGCTGTGGAGTTCAAGAAAGCACGGAAGGAGGCCGCCAATGAGATTGAAGAGAAGATGCTGGACGAGTACGCCAGGTCTTTCGGGACTGGCAGTATCCAAGGTTTTGTGGAATCTCAGCGCTACTGGATCAAAAACAAAGGCCCCGTTGTCGAAACTGACATAGGCTTCGTTGAGACATACCGAGACCCTCATGGTGTCCGTGGCGAGTGGGAAGGATTTGTGGCGATGGTCAATCAAGAGAGAACACGAGCTTTCGGCAAACTAGTCGACGCTGCACCAAGTATGATCCCCAAGCTACCATGGAGCAAGGAATTTGAAAAAGACAAATTTTTGAGTCCGGACTTCACTTCCCTGGAGGTCTTGACCTTCGCCGGGAGTGGCATCCCAGCCGGGATCAACATTCCCAACTATGATTTTATCAGACAGAACGAAGGCTTCAAGAATGTCAGTCTGGGCAACGTGTTGAGCGCAAAAGCGCCAAATGAGCCTATACCATTCATTCGCAAAGAGGATGACCAACTGTTCCGTAGCTACCGCGACCCGGCATTCGAGGTCCAGGTTGGCATCCACGAATTGCTCGGTCATGGCTGCGGTAAGCTACTCCAGGAAACTGCTCCTGGCGAGTTCAACTTCGATGCGCAGAATCTACCAATTAGTCCTGTTACCAAGAAACCTATCACTTCATGGTACAAGCCTGGGCAGACCTGGTCAAGCGTGTTTGGCTCCATTGCCTCCTCGTATGAGGAATGTCGGGCGGAATGTGTGGCTATGGCGCTTTCGTGCGACTTTGAAATCCTCAAGATTTTTGGGTTTGGTGATGGCACGGAAGATGTTAGTAACACAGCCGGGGACGTCCTTTACGTGGCATATCTGCAAATGGCTCGAGCGGGTGTCGCTGCACTTGAGTACTGGGATCCAAAATCCCGAAAATGGGGCCAAGCACATATGCAAGCGCGATACTCAATTTTGCGTACATTCATGGATGCCGGCGGCAATTTCTGCGAACTCAAGGCGTTGAACGGAGATCTGAACGATCCTGACGACCTCGAGATTTTCCTGGATCGGAGTAAAATCCTTTCACACGGTCGGCCGGCAGTCGAAGCATATCTTCAGAAGCTCCATATCTACAAGGCCACGGCGGACTTTGAAGCAGGAAAGAAGCTATACGATGAGATCACTAGCGTCGATGAATGGTGGGCAAACAAAGCGAGACCTATCGTGCTCAAGAAGAAGACACCGCGGAAGGTTTTTGTGCAGGCCAATACCGTGCTGAACGAAGAAACTGGGGAAGTTGACTTGGTTGAATATGAGCCCACTCTTGAAGGGATGGTGAAGAGTTACCTTGAAAGAGACGTCTAAGTGGCTTATAGAGGGTCAGAACTATAGTCCGACAAGTCACACGCGAACGACAAGAACAACAATGATGCATCTTTCAGAATTGTCTCTTGTCCAACTTGAAGGCTGTAACAACAATGGCATCATGCATCTTACAAGAATCGTATCTTGTCCAACTTGAAGGCTGTAGTGATTGCCAGTCCTCGCCAATGGTGGCAGAGTCGACTCAATAGACCCAGACCCAGACCCAACAAAAACATCGTGGCCAACTCGCGTGTCGGTGACTGGATGTATGTTACATACAACCCTGGCAGCGACCAGACGAGGCAGTGTAGAGCAATATCCCCGTAGTAAAGGGGGTTGGGTTGGTTGGGTCGGCAGCCTGAAGCCTAAGGCTCTTCCGCGGGCTGAGCGGGTGTGACTCGACGTCCCAAAAGAAAACAGTGAGTCAACACTTCAAGGACTAGAGTCAACACATCAACGACCAGAGTCACAGTGTGTCCTGAGGAGTTCGTACTCAATACTATTGTATCTGACCACTGGAGTGTGTTCAGTTCGTACTCAATACTATTGTATCTTGGCCACTGGAGTGTTCAGTCCGTACTCAATGCTATTGTATCTTGACCACTGCCGTGCATGTGAGGCGGAGGAAGAGGAGGAGGACTACGTGTAGGTGCACTACGAGGTCGAGACCGTAAACTCAACCTCGACGTGGTCGACAGCGCCCTCACCATCACCACTACCCTCGCTACTGTCTGGATGCGCACGCAATGGTCAGTCTCGACTCACTACTGTCTGGATCCCCACGCAATAGTCACTCTCGACTCGCCACCGTCTGATGCCCACGCAATGGTCACTCTCGACGGCTCGACCCTCGAAGGCGGCGGCCAACTTGTCCGGGTGGCGCTCTCGATCTCGGCGATCCGAGAAATTCCAGTCCGCATCACAAACATCCGAGCTAATCGGGCGTCGAAATCGGGGCAGTCCAGCCGTGGGAGGCGACACGGGCAAGATCAAACAACAACAACGACAACGAGGCCTGGTCTAGGTAGGGGCATCGAGCATGCCGACAAGGGGAGAGGGAGAGCGAAGAAGGCCGGTGGAGGGCTAAAGGAGAGAGCGAAGAAGGCCGGTGGAGGGCTAAAGGAGAGCCATCTCGCAGCGTTGAACTGGTTGGCTGACAAGTGCGGCGCCGACGTGCAAGGCGACGAGGTCGGTTGTTGTGAAGTTCAATTCCACCCGGGGCGAAGACGAGCGTCACGGCAGCGCAGTGGCATAGCTTCAGTGAACGTGGACGACAACGGCAACGACGCTTCAGTGAACATGGACGACAATGACAACGACAGGATAAACATAGACAACAACAACAACGACAACGACAACGACAACGACAGGATAGAGACCATCGAACTGAAGAACCCAGGCAGTGTCTGGCTCGTGTGGCAGGCCATCTTTCCCTATATTGTGTTTTCAATGCTCGCGTGTCCCCGACAGCGACAGGCTGACATTGGCATTGTCGGTCACTCTGCACCAGTACCGTCCTCGTCCTCCTTCTCTGCACCAGTACCGTCACCGTCCTCGTCCTCCTCAGAGGCGAATGCTAAGCCGGCGTTCCGCATCCGTCTGAAAGGCGGCACCAATGTCCCCAAGTCCCCCTCCAGCGAGTACATGCAACAAGTCTTCTTCCCGGTCTGCGAGAAGATTGGCCTGCCGAGAGTCGAGGTCGACGTCCACCGCCGCGGATGGGCTGGCAGTGCACCGGAGATCGGGGTGGTCGACATCTGTGCCTATCACCCTTCTTGCCGGATGAGTTCCGAGGGCGAGGGCCTACAAGGGGGAGGTGATACAGTGTCGACACGACACAACAGCGCATCGATGCGAAAACAGGACCACGACAACCCCTGCAATAGCAATACTAATAGCAATCACAATAGCCAGTCCAGTAGTGTGGGCGAGGTGGAAACCAAGAATGATAATGAGAGTGAGAATGAGAATGAGGATAAGAACAAGAAGGAGAACGAGAATAAGAACAAGAACAAGAAGGAGAACGAGAATAAGAACAAGAACGAGAAGGAGAACAAGAAGGAGAATGAGAAGGAGAATGAAAATGAGAATAGGAACAAGAAGGAGACTGAGACTGAGAATAAGAACAAGGAGAATGACGGTGCAACGCAAGGCTTCCAAAAGTTCCGCCTACCTCCTTTCCAAATCCCCCTCGCCCACGACACCATCAGCCGCATCACCATGACCATTGTCGCCGGAAGCGAACAAACGCACACTCTTCTCGCAACCCAACTGGCCACGTCTCTTCGCACCATTCCGATCTTCTCGGCCCCTTCCCTCCCCATCACACTGCACCCGTGCTCCGGCCCATCGGGCCACGAGCGCCGCCTGTACGTTCTGCTGGTGGCCCAGACATCGGCCGGTCATCGACTTGGGCGCGACCACCTCGGTGGCGGCCGGAAGATCGGCTCGGAAGCGGACAGACGGCGCGTCGTGGCTGAAGTCGTAGGCCGGGTGGTGAGGGAGTTTGCAGAAGAGTGTCAAGGTAGAGATGGAGAAGAGCGTCAAGGTAGGTCTCTAGACGGCCGTGATGGGCCTCAGCCCGCGTGTGTCCATGTCGATGAGTTTACAGAGGACCAACTGGTCATTTTCCAGGCCTTGGCCGAAGGAACCACCACTGTGCATGCTGGAGGGAGGTTCGGAAATAGTCTGCACACCCGGACGGTCAGGTGGGTGTGTCATGAGATGTTGGGCAGCGTGTTCGATGGTCTGGGTACATGTTGGCCACCGTGTTCGATGGTCTAGGTACATGTTGGGCACCGTGCTCGATGGTCTGGGTACATGTTGGCCACAGTGTTCGATGGTCTAGGTACATGTGAGGGTGGAAGGGAGAAGGACGACACTGGCACAGGAATGCAGGGGTACAACGACGCTGGCAGAGCAGGCTGTAGCTTAGGGATATTAATAGGAGTCAGTCAGGTCCGCACACACATTGCCTGGAAGCATTGCATCAGGATCGAGGAAGAGAACTGGAACCGGAGCCGGAACGAAACGAGGGTCAATGATCAATGAATCGATGCCGCAATGTTATGATGTGACTCTCGGTCATTTTGTATTTTGTCCCTATGGAAGGAATAATTACTTCTCGGTCATTTTGTCCCTATGGAATATTACTTCTCGGTCGAATCTGTCTGGATGCCTACACAGCAGTGCTTGGATGTTTGGCAACAAAACCAGTCCACAACGCGGATGGGTGTTGGTTCTGCATTACCAACCATCATGCTCAGATGCGACTGACTTCCTGGCTGAATAGCACCAGCATGTCCAAGCCAAATCCATGCCTAGTTTTTGCCCTACAAAATCAGTGCCAGCAAGCACGCCACGACGTCAATGGCCCTTGCTTCGACACTCATGACATCTTGTATAATCAAGACATAGCCCCGGGAATATTTGGTTGCTGCACAAGGACCTTTGACGGCTGCGCTAAAGATTGGATCCAAAGCCAATCAGTCGTCAAAGATGATCTTGCGTCCTTGTGGCACCGCAGTCATTGCGTTTGGGGGAATGTGATAAAAGGGCCGGGCTTCCTAAGCGTCAGGACCTTTGCTGACCTGCTGAGCTGCGCCGCCACGCACGCCCTTCTTCTTCAAGACCTTGTCTTTCAACTCCTTGTGCGCTTGGCGAGTCGCCTTGTCGTACTTGCCCTTGCCCAGAAGAGGGACACCAGGGAGCTTGCCATTAGTGGTGGTGATATCGGGTTTCGGCTTGGTCGGGACAAGCTTCGACTTGGGACCTCGGGCCTTGACGAGATTCTTTCTCTCTTTCTTCGGCTTCTTTTCCTTCTTGAACTTCTTGCCTTTCGGGCCCTGGCTAGCATTGGAAATAGTCGCACGCGTGGCCTCGGGAGAGTTTGAATCCGCGTCAGAGTCAGAATCCCACTCCGCAGCTTCCTCTTCTTTCTGGTCATCAAAGTTTCCGAATGAGACAAAGTCGGCGTCGGTCCCGAGAGCTGGCTCTTCACTTTCAACAGGTTCAGGCGCTTCGTCGGATGAGGCAGCCTTGGCAGGTTCGTCGTCTTTGGCCTTGGAGGCGATCTTCGCGAGCTTCTTTGCAGCCTTTTTGTCTGCCTTTTCTGTCTTGTCCTTCTTGTCCTTCTTGGATGGTTGAGCTTCTTCGGTAGCGTGGTCACTGGTTACTGCACTCTTTTTGGCCTCTGGAGCTTTCTCTTGCGCCTTTGCAAGCTTCTTCTGGGCGTTTTTCAATGCCTTTCTCTCATCCTTGGGCAATTCAGACTCTGGCACAGTCGCAATTTTCTTCAGTGCTTTTCTCTCTTTCTTCGACAGTTGGGGTTCTTTTGCCGATTTGTCTTCTTTGGCTTCAGTGGATGCCTCATAATCTTCAGCAGGTGCGTCTTCGACAGCTTTGGCGGTGGCAGGTTCGGGGTCGGCGACGATCTCTGCCTTCTTTTCCTTCTTGTCCTTTTTCTCCTTCTTGTCCTTCTTATCCTTCTTGGACTTCTTGGACTCTTTCTCTGCAACTTCAGTGATGGCTAGATTACCGGCTGGTTCAGTCAAAGCTTCCCCGTTCGTCTCCTGGTGCTCAATCAGGTTTGGTTGCTCGGCGGTGATGAGTCTCTCCTTGACCACGTCCGAAGGTTTGGTCAGTGTCGAGTTGGGCATATCCAGTCCAAGAGCCTGCAACTTCTTGGCTTTTTCTTCACGCTTCCGCTGTTCCTTTTCGACCTTTTTCTCCCACTTCTCGGCGGTTTTAGGTGCAGCAAGTCTCTCTCGGTCAAGTTTCTCGTGAGGGATCTTTCGATACTTCTTGTTCGCGCCTTTCCATACATCCGGATGCAGAGAGTCAGCCGGAGCATACTTGCATCTGAGGATATGACCAAAGAGCAGATAATTGTCCATGGTCTCGGCCACGATCTTGGCAACCTCGTCCGAGCCGAACTCAATAAAGGCAAAGTGTTTGGATGAGCCAGTGCGTTTGTTGCGAGAGAGTCTCAATCTGGTGATGTCGCCAAACTGGGAGAAGTATTCTCTCATCTGTGTCTCGTAGAATCCGTGGGGAATACGACCAACATAGACGGTGCCAGGGCCATTATCGTTGCCTTCAGCCTTGATCTTGTCCAACTTCTTGCGAACCTTCTTAGCTTTGGGCAGAGGAGGGATGACAGTGCTGTCGAGGCCAGTGTCTTCCTGGTTGTCTTCGGAGTCGCTATCGAAGCCAGCTAAGAGGGCGGCAGCATTATCATCGGCTTGGACCTCATCGACGTAGCCAGCCTCGTCCTCACTTGCAACGCCTCCGAAGTCGTCTTCCAGTTCTTGATCGACTGTCCGCTCAGCTTCTGCTTGCAACGAGGAGGAGATGGGCTGCTGTGCGGTTGCAGTCTCAAGATCTTCGTCTCCACTGTGTTCCACAACGCCATTGACACCGTCGGCAGTGAGAAGTTGATCCTGCTTGGTTTTCTTGTCCTTCTTGGACTTCTTGGACTTCTTCAAGGTAGGTTCGTCAGCCACACTAGCAGTGGCGAGAGGAACAGTTGTCTTGTTCGACCCCTCTTCGTCGTTCATGAAATCTGCAGCACGCTTGCGAGATTTCTTCGAGGCTGCAGAAGCATTGTCTGAAGGCAAGGGCTTGACTTCGGTAGAGGAGGCAGTTGGCTCTGTGACAGAGACTTTCTTTAACTCGACGACATCTTTGGTAGCGTCTGTGCTCTTTGACTTCTTGCTCTTCTTGTGAGGTAGATCGGCGGCTGCGGACGAGCCTACATACAAATAATTAGTTCACGAGCGTGGAGAGTCGGCAGGGGAACGGCGTTTACCTTTGCGTTTCTTGTCACCCATTTTTGCAACAAAGAATAGAGACGTTCTATTGAGCAGATACGTGGGTAAATCACTGCAAGACAGGCAAGACCTAAGCTAGATTGAAAGTTCCCAGGTTTGGAAGCCTGTCTACAATTGTTCTGGATCCGACCGTCCCAAAAATTTAATTTTCTCCAACTCAGCCAAGATATCATAATGCGTTAGCGTAGAGAACAAGGAAAGTTATCCGAATGATATTTTCCAGTTAGGGGGTGGCCTTCTCAGTCAGGGCTTTACCTAGGCTATGAACATTGGTGTCCAGTGCAATCCTAGATATGAAAAGTTCGATTCTAAATAGGCGACAAGAGTGTCGGAGAGCAAACCAGCTCTAACGACAATTCAGAACTAGACTGTGCCTGGTGTGTGATGGGAGAGGTATGCGGTATCCTGCAGCAGTCTATTGCTATTTCATGAATCAGGTCTCAAGGCACCTAGACTGGAAAACCACAAAGGTACGGATAGTTACATGTACCTGTAGCCTTTGTGCAACTTGCGCCTGTACCGGGCTGTCTTCAAAACGGCGAGCCGCTAGAGTCCTTCACTACCTTGTGTAGACCGTTGCTAAAGAGTAGATTCGAGGCCATGGTTGCATCTGTACAGTAAAGTAGCTCTAAGTCCTCGCTACCCCAGAATCCGATTTGGTGAGATACATCCGGTGTAATCCGTACATATGGAGGCTGCCAGAGAAAGGCATCTGAGAATGCAAGTCGAGAATGGCTCGGGAACGGGAATTGAAAGTGAGCCCTGTCCACAGACATTCCCGCTCAACTCAACGATCTCCCATTGAGGTTAAATAATGAAGAGTCACGGTCTGTCCCATTCTGTGAGCGACATCAGACCGGTGAAGCGTGAGAGAGAAAACGTTCTTGAGACAACAAGTAACAAGCATGAGCAAACACTGTAGAGATGTTGGGCACGTCGGCCGACTCGCGCCACGCTCCACGCTCTACGTCAGAGCCGATGAAGCCGCGCCGTTAGCACATCAGATGATGCCCGAAAAACAACTCACCACTGGCACTGGCACTGGCACTGGCACTGGGCGATCCGGGGCGGCTCGGGCGACGACAAGTGCGGGCCCTAAGGCTTAGCAGGCCTACAACGCCTAAGGAGCCTAAGCCTAAGCACTGATCTCCAGGGTCCATTCTCCAATCCTTCTGCGACTCCGAGTCATCCCTGGCACCTGTTAGGTGCCTCTGGTCTCGGATAAGCCTCGTTCCCTGCTAGTCCGCTGGCTGTGGGCTGAGCGGATCCCCGCGGAGGTCTGGAAGCGGACGTCCCTCTTCTTACACAGCATCCATCCGTACAACACCCTGTCACGAGCGCATGGACGGAAAAGGACATGAATAATATGCCTCATTGGTCATCCTTGGGAAACAAGGAGTGACTTCTGACCTGGGTGGCACGGGAAGAATGGGTACTCGTCTTCTGTTACTGATGCTTATGCGGATTGGTAACCGAGAGTCTTCAATGCATGCATATTTTCTCCCTCTCTCTCCCACCTGGTTTGGTTCTTTTTGCAATACTAATTTCAGAAAACTATCTTCCCTACTGTCATTTTGGAACTCGTGAACGTTGCACACGCACCGTGGGCGAGACTCATCATCACCAGCCTGTCCATTACAGATCGGACCGCGAGAAAAACCACCGTCTGCTCTCCACTTCCCTCCAGCCTTTTATACAATCGAACCCGGTGAAACCAGCGAAAGCATGCCGGTAATATGGGGCCTCGATTTACGGGAGATACAATGGGGGAAATTCAAGAGCTCGTATATGTGGGGGAATAAGGATTACCATCTGCGCCGGACCAAGTTTGTACTCTACCAGATTGCCATGACTTGCTGCGTTGTCTCCGAGTCAGTCGGCACCGCCGCCCTCACAGGTAAGCGTGGCAGCTAGAACCGCACTATGCGACGTGTCGCTGATGCTCGAGAATAGACTACGTGAAGCAACAGTCGAGAATCGAGAAACTGCATTCATCCGCGAGCGTGCACAACGACGACTTTGTCGGTATCGCCTCCTACAACATATTCGTGGGGATCGCTGTCGCCACCGTCTTTGGCGCGGCCTTCTTCTTCGACCTGATCTACCCTGAGCGCTACGAACCGCCTAACATCCGATGGGCGTGGAGGATCAGTGCCGTGGTCGTCACGCTGATGACATTGGCCGACGCATTGGCCTTGACCGTGATTGTGGCGACGGGAAATGCCTGGATCTCAGCAGACACTGAAGATGCCCTACTGATTGCACAGGAGAGGATCAATCCTCCACTGATATACCGACACAATGCCCGAGCCCTCGCCAGCGTGGTATTCTTGTGGATCGGATTGTGCGGGACGATCGCTAGGTGAGTCGGTGTACCACGACAGAGAGTGATTCGAGTGCTGGGCTAACACGGTCGGATGTCAGCTGCATCATCCTCTGGTTGTATTATCAACATCTTGACACTTACGGTCCAAAGTCCCACTCGGCCCGAACGCGCGACGAGGTCAGCAAGAGCATGTTGCATGCCCAACGAGCGACCTCGGACCTGTCAGCAAGAGATCAAGAACTGTACAACAAGACGATATCAGTCTGAACAAAAGGAAATGGGAGATATGCGTTTGCGGAATGCTCAAACACTTGACTCTCTTGGTTCGACCCAACGCGGAAATACGGGCATATCTGTGGGGCAAGACACCATGGCTTAAGCTCCAAGGGTCCGTACTCGTCCGTGGGAAGGCAGAGTCTCCATGCCAGCCAAAGTCGACGCGGACACTGCTTTCTACCCGCGCGGGGGGTCTCTGAGGAGAGATGAGGCCGCGTTCTTTCACCAGCGGTGCAAAACATGTGGCGACATTTTGGTCCATTCTGTCGTATCTCGTGCCTCCGACGGTACACTTGTGCGAATATACGAATAAGAGATCATCAGATCCGCGCTGCTGCCCAGCCCGGTGCTAGGCTCAGAAGAATATGACATATGTATGCTACGAAGCGGGAGTACTGGATCTCTGGACACGAATTAGGTTGGGATGTGGCAGGTTATGTTTCGTGGATAGATGTACAATAGCGGTCCTTCGGCATTGGCCTTGACCTGGACCTAGGATACAAGTTACAATACAACCATGTACAAGATGTTCTCGAACCAAAGGTGTGGAGTACATGATAGACGTGCTTGTATATTCCTCGGGCTCTGCTATGCGGCGATAGCAACAAAGCAGGAGCAGTGTTGACGCAAGCCAGAGTTGCTATCACCGCATAGCAGAGCCCGAGAAATATAGAATTCACGACACGAACAAAGTCGGGAAAAGTAATCATGTCATGTACTGTATGCTTTGTGTCAATCATCCTACAGAATCTTGTAGTCGTCTCCTCCAAGTAAATAACGGTTGTCTTGTGGAAGTCTATGCCGCGCACTGGTCCACCATCTGTCGATAAGTTTGCCCAATCGATATTATAGTCCCGTAGCTGGATCGTGCTGGTGTGAAAGCCAACGAGAACCCATCCCACGGTCGTAGGAGGCAATGTGAGGACGTCAGCTTAGGCCCCTGAACTGTTCAACTATTTGTCCAACCACAACCACAACCACCACGGTGATGTTGAAGTTGGCATTGACGTTGGTGCTGCGGCGCGCACTCCTCCTAACTTCTCTCCCTTTATGTTGGGGAGACCGTATCCGTTCTTTCACGTTTGTCTTGTCGGATCGCTCCGTGCCCGCTCTGAATGCATCGATAGGAGGCAAGCATGAACGACGTGGCCGCCCAGGCACCAACGATGGCATCTAGGATGTGATCCAACGTGGCTACTTGCACTGTATCAACGGTACCGTTCCTGGATCCTGGACAACGTGGCCGCTCGGTGCCTATCGCCATCGCCGGCTTCTGCGACATAAACAACGTGGTCACACGCACTGCATCGATCCAGCCATACGTTCCAATCACTGTTGCTGTCCCGTACGTTCTGATCACTGTTGTTGCTCTAACCGCACGTTGCTGTCGCGGTCGCCGCCGCTCCCACCGACCGCGCTCTCAAGTCCTCGGTCTGGCGGCACCGGCTGTTCTTGGCCGGTATCCCTCCCGCTCTCTGCGGGCGCGCCAGGCCCGGAGCTCGACGGCGCAAGACTGAGAATGAGGCGTTGGGAGCTGGTTGGGGGCTGGGGCTCTGCACATGGTTCCGGAGAACGTTTCTCCCGTGACACTGCTGATGCCAATCCACGTTGGAGGATTGTCTGGGACTAAGCGGACAGCGAACCCTGCTCTCGAGGCGCCGTAAACCTGGTGCTGGTTGAAGTCTCGGGTCTCTCGCACCCCAGCTCCGCAAACGTCGCATACAAACACCCATTCCCGACCTGGGCGTCTTGGTCTTGTCTGTTGGTGACTGGGCAGCCCACCACCAGTAGCGGCGGCAGCGGCAGCGGCCTCGCCCGAGCCTTGTGCTGTGTTCATCGTTGGTGGGATCGGAGGATTTTCGCCACCCTGCAAATACAAGCTAGAGGAAGGAAGTTCGCCAGGATCCATGCCCGGCAGTGAGGTGCTGGCCGTGAGGTGGTGCCAGATCTGTTGGAGAAAAAGCGAATGCTGGTCTGGTTGCTCTGTCACTGGCACGGTGCTCTCTGCTGGGGCGAAGTGGGATTGAGTTCGAGGTGCCTGCTGTGGTGCTATCCAAACTCCTGTCGCAGGTGTAGGTGCAGGTGCATGTTGGGCGGCGACGAGAAAGTCGAGGCTGAGCTGGTCGCCTCCGTTGCTGGGATGACCAAACACGGGTGCCTGCTGTGGTGCTATCCAGTCTCCTGTCGTAGGTGTAGGTGGGAGGTCGAGTCTGAGCTGGTCGCCTCCGTTGCTGAGATGGTCAAACACGGGTGCGTCTTGCGCCGGGCCCGGGCTCATGAAGTCAAGACCGGTAGGTGTAGGTGCAAGTTGGGCGGCGACGAGAAGGTCGAGTCTGAGCTGGTCGTCTCCGAGCTGGCTGAGCTGGTCGCCTCCGTCGCTGAGATGATCAAACACAGGTGCCTGCTGCGCCGGGGCCGGGTCCATGAAGTCAAGATCGATGTTCCAGTCCGGGGCCGGGCTCATGAAGTCAAGACCGATGTTCCAGTTCAGCCTCGTGAGCCAGAATGCTTGATCCAAGATCAGTCGAGCGAGATCATCCAATCCATTCTGATACATGTCCTGGACAGTAAGCCAAGCTTGCTCGACCTCCCCCACGCTGGGGGCGATCCCTCGGGGCATGAATCCGCTCCAACTGTAGGCTATCAAGTAGGATACCGTGTAGATCGGGCCACTAGCGGCGGGTGGAGGCTCTTCTCGGTCCATGATTTGGAAAGCCTTGAGGCGGAGGCAGGCGGCGCGTGAAAAGGTTGAGATCGGATATCCTATCTGAGGGTGGTTCTGGTTCTGCGACAAATCTATCCAAGTTAATGAGCTCGATCTCCCAAAAAGCCATTTCAATATGAGCTGGATTTCCCTAGAAGCCATTTCAAGATAGGCTCGGGGCTGGTAGACCAACAAAGATACAAATACTTACACAATGCGTTCAAGTACCCTGGCCTTAAGGTCGATGATATGTCGTGGAGACCGAAGACGCTGGATAGGAAAATGATTCAGAAACAAGTTTCGTCTTCGAGAGAACAAGGATTAGGGCTATTTAAGGAGGAAGGAAGTACTAGGCTTCACAATCACGGTCACCGGCCAAGCTCTAGCATTGCCATATGCGCAGCGCGAGATTCTCTTTTCAATCTGCTGCATTATACGTGACATACCCTCCCATCTCATCTGTAAGTTGAGACGGCTAGCAAAGAAGTATCCAACATTAATCACACGTCTTTCCTCCATGATCTAGTCTATGGTGGGTGGGACATACATTTCAAGCTTATCCATCACTCTGGCAATTCTTTGAAAGAAAGGAGCACCAGCAATACTTCGAAAGAAAGGAGCACCGACAATGACTCTTTCGTCGCTGAGTCTACTGGTATAGTGAACGAGACAATCGCTCTCTATTCTGGTTGGTCCCCTTCCCAATTCAGTAACCCGCTAACGCTTTTAGGAAAGCGTCCAAGCGCACAAGGCTGAGGGTCTCCTGTCGTCTTTTGTCCTATGCACGACACAACCCATATTCTCACCTACGACGATACCAAACTCAAATAAACGGGAATTCTATGGACTCTGGTCCGTGGACCCAACTCCGTCTGGCAGGATAGGGACGAGTCGAGGTACCCTGAGCCGCCATTCAAGAGGGTGAAGATTGCCTTTGTGGGGGGTCGGCCTCAGAAAAACCGGGAACGAGAGTCTTTCGTCTGGCTGGTTTGGGTGCCTGTGGTCGGGGATCAGAGGCTGCTGGGAGATGCTACAGGTCCCAAGGAGCTTGATAGGCAGATTCGACAACACAACGGTTTGCTTGGTCAGGTCTCCCAACATGCTTGCTGGGGTCGCTTTGATTTCTGGTGTCAGGGTCAGGACCAGAGCACCCTCAATGACTTGAGGAGGACCCTGGCGCCTGGGCCCGCTCCAGCTGCAACAGAATAAACGGGAATCCTATGGACAGCTTAGACTGAGAAATGATAAAGAGTCATCTGAAGAGCAAGGTCTGTTAGATATATGTGAAGGGCCAAAGACAAGTGGTCCGTCCGTAAAGAGAGGAGAGAATACAGCACCAGCCATGAGCCATGTCAACCAAACAGTACAGATAGATTCAAGCATACACCAGACCAGTGCGCACCTACGTTTGTCCATCTCAATCTCCATCTCCATCTGCGCATTACAGGATCAGGTTACATGAACGGAACAAAGAACGATGTCAGTGGAGCGGCCATCCGTTCATAGTACTGGAATTTGAAAGCACCAAGGACTGCGTATTGTTTCCAAAAATGCCAGCATTGTCCTCCCGGTCGCCTCCTGATTCATAGATCAAGACATAGTCCTCAAACTCTGGTCGCCGTCACACTCATATCTTGACCCAAGCAGGAGCAGAATACTACGTGTTTCGCGGGTGGGACTATTCCCTTGAAGGCACCTGTCAATAAGGAGGACGACAAAACTACAATGAATGGGCGAACAGGTCGTGATGGGGGCCGATGGAAGAACATTCAGCAGAGGAGAAAGGGCTGGACACATGTGGACGGTTGGTTTCACGGTATGCTGTTCATCGTCACCTACGTGGACAACTTCTGAAGATCTTGCCTCGTCTTTGGGCTGAGACACGACTACCGCACCGTGCAGCTATGTGGATGCCACTCGAGGGGACTCCGGGATATTCGAAGGGTTTGTTGCTGGTATTGACACGTGCAGTGTGCTCTCCTGCAGTATTGCGCTGTCATTCCTCATCGGTTGGCCCATATGCATATGCAAATAGTCTCATAAATCTCGTGCGCGGTGTACCACGCCGGTTCCTCAAGGACTGAGGTCCATGGGCTCACCGTCAGCATTGCCAACCGCTTCGATCCTAACCGTTTCCACGAAATCCTTGCGTCGGCTGCCGATCTTCTCCTCCCTGAACTTTTCAATCGCCTCCTTGACGTCGGTAGCTGAGAGAAACAAGCACAGATTAGCGACCTGACTGGTATGTCGAGGGACAGGTAGACCAAGACTTACCAGGAATGACGTCTTCGATCTTAAGGGGCATCCGATTGAATGGATCGTGGGGGTCACTCAACAAGTGGCTGCGGATGGTACTTCGATCGATTACGATCTTGCTCACAGGCAACCGCACCGGATCTTCCATCAGTGTGTACATCAAGGGGTCGAGGAACTCTTCTGGAATCTCGCCCAGGTCTGCATCTGCAGCGTCATCCTCTTCTTTGACCTTGGCGATCTTCTCGATGAGCTGGTTCCATCTGGCCAGCTCCTCGGGAGACTTCAATACGAATTTGCGGAGAACGTTCCCTGCAGCGACAAAGTTGTCCGGCTTGTAAGATCTTCCATCACGAGCAACGGCGAGGATGAAATTCTCCTTGTCGCTTAAATTCAGGTACACGTCGACGATCTCGCTGAGAAGCGACCTCGGGTTGAAGTTGTATTCCTGCAGATTTCCCACTTTGAGAGACGAGCTTTTCGTGCCAACCATGGCATCAAGGTTGTAATCCAGCATGTCTGCCAATCGCTGAACGATTTCCGGCATGGTGAAGGCATCTGCTAGAGCCTCGGTGAACAATTTCAACATGTCGACTGTTACGTTGGTCAACTGCATGTATGACTTTGCTCTTCCTTTGGCTGCCTCCAGGGATTCTTCTTTTTCCTGTCGTTGCTGTTCGTCGAGTGTGGTGCCGGCGAGAGAAAGTTCCTTCGTTATGTCGTAAATTGTGTGGAACGCCGTGAATGACTCATCGAGGACAAAGGTCACATCGTTCAGCAACAAATTCACAAATCTAACGAAAAACTCCATGTTGACTTTTGCCTCGTTGAGAAGATTTTCCCTGTAAACCGGATTCGGCCAAACACATTTGATGATCTGGAAGATCTCAAACCGAACATTGAACTTGTCAAAAAATTGGCCATGGCCGCCCATAAACTCCGCTTCGATGAAGAACCTCATCAAGGAATGCAGAAGATACTGAGTTGCAAAGGGTAGGCTGTTGTACTGGTCTGCCAGGATTCCCCTACCTCCTTGGCGCCATGACCATGTCCCTCGGAATAAGATGGTGACCAAAGAGGCCTTCAGATATGGGTTCTTGATGTATTCTGAATTTCGTAGAAAGGTGACGCAAAGCATAATCAGCTCGTCTGACTGCGTGGACGAGATGACTTGCGGCATATTGTACATGATGAAGCCGAAGTTACCGCTGATGACGTCCAAGAAATACTCTGGGAGATTCTTGAAAGCCTCAGGCTGCTCGGCAGGTAGAGGGAGTGTCAATTTCTCCTTGGGAAATTGGCGATGGGGAGATACTTGTCGGAGTAGCCAGACGGTCACAAATCGCATGAACTGCATTGACCGGGTTTGAGTGATCTCGTCTAGCAGAACCCCCTGAACGGCGTATTTGTAGGACAGCCCTTTGTCATGTTGGTCTTTGTACTTCTTAAGTGCATTTTCGAACATCTGCAGTTGCATTGGGTGGTTGACGTATTTGTGTCGCTCAGTCTCGAATTGTTCAATCTGCTTGGCCATGTGTTTGAGTTCCCGATCCATGTCCTTCAACATATTGCGGGCAGCCTCACTGCCATAGTGGTGAGCAGCGACCGTGAGGAAGAACAACTCAGAGATGAAATTATTCGTTCCTTCAGGCCTATTCTCGTAATAAGCATCGGAATGGTCTTGGTCCGCATTGATCTTAGTTTCGTCTTTGATGTCGACTCGCGGATGTCGTCGTAGATAGTCGATGTCGACACGGTCGATTTTTGAAAATTGCGCATCTAGAAAAGGCTCACATAATTGATCCAGGCAGGTATTGACGTTGATCATAAATCCATCACTTGACACTGTTGTCTTGTCGATGCGCATGGCTCGTCGTTTGTGGTTCGAGTTCACCACGAAGGCGAACCAATCTAAAACCTGCTCTCTCGCCTCGGGCGATGAGCGCACCAGAGTGTTGACAATGTCAAAAAGTTCAGTCTGGTGGGCCCGCAAAGCCATTTGCAGAGATTGTTGAGCACTCCTTATTCGTCCGGGATCCATTGTCTTTGGCCCGGAGAAGTATTGTTTGGTAACTTCGGCTTGTAGAGGTGAGATCTGAAAGTATGGGCCAAGTAGCGTGGCTGTCTCGAGCTGTGCAGCCGGTACAGACTTGTCCACGAACATTGGAGACTGGGCAATAGCAACGGCCAAAGGTTTGTACCTGGTAAGATGTCGCAACATGGCGGTGTATCGTCGATAGTCGCTATCCATCGTCAACTTAGCAAGTCGTTGACTGAGCCTCTCCACAGCTCCGACTAAAACATCCTTGATGGCGTCGTCGTCCTCAATCCGCGTTACAATCTCCGTGAGGAAATCGTGACACACTCCTCGGTCCTCATCTGGGTCAAATAGAAGGTGATCTGCCAGCGCGGAGACCCCGTCATAGTCTGCGCCGAAAATATCAGGATTTGTGACAGACAGCAGACACCAATTCATGCACAGCCTTCTGGCTTCTGATACAATGCTCCATTTCTTATTCTCAGGCGACCGATCCTTGACGGCTTTGCTCAATCTTGTAATTCTCTTCCAACATCCGAAGAGCCAGTCATGAGGACTAATCTTCCCCAGATTTGCACCAGCCTCCATGATGGCTTGCTCAAGCAAGTCCGTATTCAACAGCAAAGGGCTGTCATCGGTCTCCAGCTCTTCCTTTAATTGGGGAAGAGGGTAGAGGGTCTGGTTATGCATGTCTTTGGTTTGGCCAGTATCAAAACTGAGGCGGAAGATGTTTCGCAACGTGCGATCCTCCCACTGTTCGATGGTCTCAGTCTGCCTTGAACTAGGACGCTCCACGTTGATCGATTCCTTTTGAGTAGTTGCATCGGCTGGAGTGATCGTTATCCGGGTCGAAGGTGCGGGTGAGGAGGCGTGGGAGATATCGGCAGCCGGCACGGGCGAGTCAGTGCCTGAAGCTGAATGTGAAGGGACTTTGGAGAGGTCGCTGGTCGATGGCATCGGCGACCCTGTCCGCGAGGGCGTCGCTGGGGCACTTTCTTGAGGAGTAGCTGGATAGACTGAAGGGGTTGATCCCGGGCCATTCTGGGCAGAAGTTGTTTGGCCTGCACCGTCTTCATCAGGGTCGTTGGGGTGTGAGCTCTCTTGACTCGAGGCGGGGGATTCTTGCGAGGTCGGCGGCTGCGATTGTTGCAACTTCGCCAGTCTTTTGTTACGGATCTGGTCGACGTTAGAGTGTTCCGACACAAGAGAGGCTAACACACCTTCTGCGCGTCCAGCGATGGCTCTGACATTGTTGCGGGCGGTGGTTGTAGAGATGACAAATGAATGTGTCCGACAAGTCTGGCATGCGGTTGTTGAGGCGATACTTGGGGTTGAGGCGGAGATATGCAGCCTGACCTCCGCCTCGTGCTAAGTCACTTGCTTACTATTATCGTGTTGCCTGTTGCAGACGCCACTTTTAGATGACAATAAGGTAGCCCGGCCTCGCGAACAGAAGAAGAGGAATAGCAATGCAGAGTACAGGTATAGATAACAATTGTGTCGGCCAACCCTACAGGAATCTGTTCATTCATTTTCAGAATAATGCGTCGAACTAATAATGCTGTCCCCGATGTTGGATGTTTCATAGCGCCGCCAACACCATACGATGATGCAATCAAACATCGCCCAAGGTTCAAGATCTGCTTAATACTGTCGACCTATTTTCAACTCATCCAGTCGTTGGCAGCCAGGCATAGGCATATTCTTCGCCCTCATCAGCCGAACCTCGTCCGTGAAAAAGAAACCGGTGGCATCGTTAATCTCTTGTCTTTTCCGATGCACTTCGTTGTCACACTGGTATTTCAGACTTGATACATAATCCACTTCCGCTCTCTGATCCAGAGAACTAAGCTGCCTTGATGTAAACCCTTGGATGTCCGCGGGGTTGACAAAATAGTCAACCTTGTATCTTGGCGTGACTCGATGCATGGTATGTGGAGGAGCGGGCGCATCGTAGCGGACTTGCGGCCCAGGATTGGACGTGCCGGAAAACAGTGAGGACAATAAAGGCAGAACAAAAAGCAACAATAGAGGCAACAGTTGGATCAGGGCAGAGAGCCCGCCAGACGACGTTTCTGCGCTTGCGTCTCTTGGTCTGCGTCTTGGTGTTGCGCCTCCCATGCGATGAACCGTGAAACCCGGGCCCCCTCCCATGTTGAACACAAACTGAGGGCCGCCGAATCCGCCACCACCTATCACAATTAGCAAAGTCAACCCATATCGACAGCCATTGATGCCTCACCAAAATTGAAACCCTGGCCCATGCCCCCACCAAAGAATCGGTTGAACAGCTCCTCTGGCGAAATCTCATCTTCGTACATAGGCCCTCGGCCAGAGGACCTGGCAAAACCGCTGAACGGACTAGCCTGGGGCGCGCTGCTACTCGAAAACCGACTATCTGGATCGCCGCCGAACTGATCGTATCTTGACTTTTTATCCGCATCTGATAATATTTGGAAGGCCCGCGATACCACTGTCATCGTCAACACTGAGCCGTACAAAGGCCTCGGGAGTATACTGACTCTTGAATGCTTCGTCGGCCCCTTCGTGCCCATTCTTGTCAGGATGTGTCAAGAGACTAAGCCTTCGATAGGCCTTTTTAATTTCTCCGTCGCTTGCAGTCTTCTCGATGGAGAGGATTTCGTAGAAGGCCGTAGGAGCACATCTCCGTATTCGGAGCACTTCGGCCTTTTGCTGAGGGGTGTATTTTCTTTCTTGGTTTCCCTGCTTGTGATCTCGCGAGGTCGCTGAGCCGTTGGCCCTGGCATCCGAGCCAGATGCCGATGCGGACATGCCGCGGTGGGAGTACGGTTCAGGCTTTCAAAGGTGGTATGCGTCGCAAGCGCAGTCGCTCGAAAGTCCTTTCGGAGGTGCCAATGGGGGAACTGGATAGGATTGTTTGTAGGTTGCGATCTTGCGGGAGTGGGATAGGTGGTCGAAGGAAGAGAAACAGCATGCCGCCCTAGCTAGTGGGTTGGTTTCGAGCACCCTCGGCGGCCAGGGTTACTATGTACATGCTTGGGCTGGTGCTAATTATTTCGATTTAGGCTCCATACCGAACCCACGCCTATGACGCAGGCGTACGTGCATCACCAGTGCATCACCACGCTGCTTTGACCTTGTCGACGTTCTCGCTTGCGAGTATTCATTATTTGATAAGCTACCATATTCATGACATCCAGCTTTTTCCGCACCCCCGGTTTGTCCTCTGCATAGTCACTGGATCAAAAGCTGTAGCTTCCCATCCATCACAATGGCCGATAAAAAGGAAGAGGCCAAGCAGTCGTTGCTGCAAACCGCTAAAAGATGGGGAGGTCCGTTAAGATTCTCTCTGTGCATTTTGCATCGCATTGACTGTGTCTAGTCTACTTGCTTACTCTGTTGACAGAAAACCCTGTGCCTCCAGCTCTTCTTGCTACTCTGGTGTTCGCGCAGCATGCCAGGCCTTTCCAACCACTTCCAATGATCTTCCCGCCACTCCTCCTCTTCTCTACCTACCTCAATCTTCAAGGCTATAAGATTGATAGTGCAGGCACTACGGCTGCTCTGAGTGGAACATACTTGGTTCTGGCTGGTAGAAGAAGAGTCGGCTTCATGAACAAGTTTGGTGCCCGTGGAATCATTCGAGGCGCGACGATGGGGCTTTGTCTCGCAAATCTCATTGGTGGCGGTCTTGCTTATGGGTTCGGAAGACGATCAAAAGAGGATGAAGAGAGAAATTTATGATCCCTTTGCTGGCGCAAAACTCTAGCAACGCATTCCGGGGATGGCATTCTGTTTTGTTGTGATTGGCAGCAAATGTACAACAACCGAGTTTGAGTGGCTGTTACATGGACACAGCCATCTCTACGCCCGAGGCGAAGCATCAAATAATAGACGCTTTATCCATCCTCACGACTGATTGTGGTAGGAAGCAGTGACGGTGGAATAGAGCCTGAACTACTCGACTGGATCTGACATCGGGAAGAGCTGACTAGTCGATACGGATCGCTGGAGCGGTGCTTCACGATTGCTGGTGCCACATAGAAGAAGTTTCCTATCCCAGTTGATAAGTAGTCGGCAGGAGGCCGAATTGCTGAAGTCCACCAAGCTCGACGGCCATTTCGACCACATTTATTCCGTACACCGGTCGATGACAATCCGCCTTGCAGGGATGTATCACGAATGCGGCTACAAGTTCAGCGTATACCTCCAAATTACATATACTTCGGGGCCATAAAGTTGGCACCATAGATCTGCTTGTAGATCACCTGCTGAATGACTGTACCATCAAGACCAACAAATGTGTACATATGTACACCGTAATAGTACCAAGCAGGCCCTGTTGGGCGCGAGGCTGAAGGGCCAGATGCAAATATGCCAAGCCTCATGTCAACCCCGGCGGCAGCAAACATTTCGCAGGTACAAATATTCTCCTCGGCCCGTTCTGATGGGTTTTCCTTCTCTTCACATTTATTGTCAAGGCGCTCTACATACCCTTGTTGAATGCATTTACAGGTTGCGTTGACACATTCCCGAGTCGCCGAGATCGACACAAAGCAGCCTATCTAATCCGGTCCACTTGATCTGCGCGCCTTCGGCTTCAGTCGTTGACGCTAGACTGTGGTGGTTTCGGTTCGCTTTTGGCTCACAGTACCCTCAAAACAATATATACATATATCATATAACAACTTCCCCCTCACCCTTCCATTCCCAGCTCGACACCACAAGAATACCCCCAGCAGACGGTTGGGGATGGTAAGCAAGCAGCGACAAAGCCCACATGCGCCAAAACAATCAACGCCCACGGTGACAACTGGGCCTGGTGAGATAGAGTCGACGGTGGATGGGATTCTTCTAGTCACTGTTTTTCCTTTATGTCTCTCCTTGCTCTCTCATTTTCTCTTCACATGTGGAATTTCGCAATTCGGGGGTCACGATTCGAAACAGTCCTAGCCCAAACCCGGTTGGGTCACTGGGTCAAGGTAGGTGAGGTGAGTATCAGGCACTCTCGAAGCTTCATCGACTCCAATGCTCCATAATCGATGTTGTCAAAATTTTGCCGAGATTGAACCTCTTCAGAAAGGTACGACGAGAAATTTCAATCTCTTATCTTTCACTCTAGCTCTGCTTTCATATGAAGGCTACGTGGGCATGGGTCCTTCCTGAAGAGAACATTCCTGAAATTTAAGAGAGCAAAAGTTTAGACGCTCGCAATGGGTACTGAGATTCAGGTAAGTCCTGGGGAAGGCAAAGCGGGTGTGTTAAAGGATACGTAGGAAGTTAGTTGGGAGATCTCAATCCATGAATCTTCACATGCTCTATCTTGGTCCTTGCATCATTCCATGGAAAAAGAGTCTCGTCATGTTGCACTTCTCTTAGCACGATGCCGTATTTCGTGCTCTGCCTTCTGCGAACTTTTCCCTGCTGGACTCTGATGTCCTGAGCTCAATGCGACTCAATGAAGCAAGGTCTGCTGCCGCCTCCATTTCGCAACGCTACGGCAGCGCTGGATCTGCAACCAAGGAGCTTGTGGGCAGATCCATCAGGCGCTGTCCCCGCCGACGACGGAGTGTTTCAGCCAAAAGGCATTTCGTATGGCCGCTCATGGTCAATGTTTTTTTAGGTCAAAGAGGCTCATCCTCCCGCCGCTTCTCGGTAGATTGCGATTGACTTATTGCTCCCAGCGGTGGCAAACCTCTCCGCTTTTTGCTTGGACTCATCGCCCTTGGGCAACCATCTGACACACCAAAGACCTTTGTCGCTTTCACTGTGCGTCGCGACGCAAGTTCTCCGCTCAATGTCCCATACTTTGACCTTCCCATCGAGACTACCACTAAGCAGATATTGGCCAGTGTGGCTCCAGTCCAGACTCGTGATCCAAGCAGCATGCCCGCTAAGGTTGGCCACTTGCTCACCAGACTTGGGGTCGTAGAGCGATATGATACGTGCGTCGCCTGCTGCGGCGAGGAGAGAACTGCCGGGCGAGAATTTGACCGCGCGCACTGGCTTGATGAGGCCTGGGAGCGAGTGTAAAAGGCGAGACGTGGCCGTAGAGAAGAGGTAGATGTTCCCGGATTCGTGACCACTGGCAATGAAGCGGACATCTGGCGACTGGCAAACGGAATGTCAGTAACTCTCCCGTATAGACCTGCACAACGGACACCACCTCATCTTACCACATCGACACACATGCCGAAACTGCCTTTGGTCTCGAACTCCCGAATCTTTTGTCTCCCGTTTGCCAGATCCCAGACATTCACTCGGCCGTCATGCGTCGTGCCAGCCAGATACTGCCCATCCAACGAGAGGGCCACCGCCCACACTTCGCCAGCTTTCTTGGGCGCGCCTTCGCTCGCAATCTCCCCATCTTCTTTCCAGATGCCCTCCACGTACTTCCATTGTTTGACTGTGCCGTCGAACCCCACGCTCACAGCCCTCGTGCCCGCCCGATCCGTGACGAGATGGTGGCAGCCGAGTTTGTGGGCGTCTTTCAGTATCTGGGCAATTGGAAAGTTGTCGTCTGTGGTGGAGTAGATTTTGATCGACGATTCGCCTGAGCCGCTGAGGATTTGGGTTGTCGTTGCGGACAGCGCAAAGATATCTGTGGCATGGGCTGATGTCCATGTCAGGTCGGAGATTTCACAAATCAATCAGCGGCACTAACCTTCATCTATCGCGTGCTGTGAGAGATATTGCTTCGACTAAGCCAATGGTCAGAAACACTGAGGATGCAGAACCCTGTTAGCGTGACAGACCATTTTTGACGTCCGCGCTGCATGCTAACAGGCAGTATGATGTGCTTCGATCGCTGTCAGCCCTGGTCACGTTATGAGAGCCGAGTTGGGAGTCATTTTAAAAGTGGCTTTAGAACAGTTCAACTGCGAAAGTCGGAGGATGTGATATGTTTCCAAAATTACTGTACAGGTGACGTAATTTTACACAATTATCGAGGATTTGGCAGATGCCCGAACAGCGCGCTGTGCTTCATCAGTCCGGACTCCAGTCTTCTCGCGATTCGGCTACATGGCATAATCCGAGACTGGAGCCTCAAGCCACTTCTTCGGCGCACAACGTCCCAATCGTTCCGAGCAACGCAGTACAGGTCGAACATGTCTGCTGCGATACCATCCAACCAAGATCATCCACAACCTTTCACCCTGAATCCAGGCGCTGGTCGAACGCTGACTGCCAACTGTAGACAGCGGGCCCGGACGCCAGCAGAGTCCGAGCTAGATTCGCCTCTGCAGCGGTCTTGGAACATAGCGACTCTGTCGCAGACGGCGTACAGATATGACTTGTGGCTGTCCTCTAGCCTTCGCCGAAGCGTCTCTGCACCAGCATAAAACCCGTGACACTTGAGTCAAGCTTTTGCGATCATTATTCTTCCTCAATTTCTTCCGCTCCTCTTATTGGCCTTTCTCTTGTTTTGTCATTTCTTGAGGTGTCGAATCTCTTTGCTTCCAGCTTTCGTAGATTTCTAGAGACAATCAGAATCATAATATAAGGGGAAGGGGTTTGAACAAACCTGCGACACAATATGGACATAGGGTATGAGCTCTCTTCGGCCTCCCACAACCGGGGCATTCGTTGATGGCCTTCACATCCTTCAATGCCTTTCCCGCCAACTGCCGGTGTCTCTTTTTCGAGTGCGATGTTTTCTTCTTGGGCACTGCCTTTAAGATGCCTTCCCAGATGTCTGCGATGAGTCCAGGGATGTTACTTGCGATGGCTGGTATCGAGATAGAAGCTGGGAGGAGGAGAGTTGGTGAAGACCACGTCCGAACCGCAGCCGAAAATGCAAAGGGGGCCTTTCGTAGGAAGAAAAAAGATAGCTGGCTGCTCCCAGCAGCAGCAGTCAAAGCCATGCTGAGTACGTTTTGCTGGACAGAGAAGGCAGTCGTAAAGATTGAGATCAAATCATGTTCAAGTGGAACTGTAAGCTTTTGGAACTCTTTGGTTAGATCTGCGAATCAACACTAATTAAAACCCTGAGTTCTCGGAACCATTGTTAGAGGGTTCAACAACCAGGATTAGCTAAAGCAGCAGCACGCTTCTGCTAGTGGGGGGTTTTAAAGCTACTGTGGCTAGGTACGGTTAATGGTGACGCCGCCCTATGATCAACCACGGCACCTACAAGTCAGGTTTGGTCTTCTATGATAGCTGAGGACTAGACCCTGCGTCTTGTTAAAGCAGCGTCAGCTAGCTACTCCGTAGGTACTCTTACTCTGTACTCCGTACTCCGTACTCCGTAACTGTCCAGTCTAGACGACGTGCATACCATGCACTATCGCAATATGTCTACGTTCTTCTAGCTCGGAAAGTGTCCCGGTCAATAAGTCTGTCATATTTCGTTCTGACACGACTGCCAAAACCACACTCGCTATACAGACTTTCTGTGACTGGAGCCTACTACATGGAAATAGAGCTGGAGCGACATGTGTTGTGTTAGTCTGAAACTGCACATCTTTGAATTTCGGATACCCCTAGTTATGCCCTGGGATAGTACTTGGGGTTCTGGGTGCATCATGTCATCTACTTCATCTTCACAAATGCGACCCCTCCTTTCAAACATGCACGAATTAGTCGTGACACTTGTTGGCCGTCCAGACTTCTCCAACGCTTTGATGATAATGTTGCGCAACACCATATCAGTTCCTAAGGAGATGCCCAGGACTACTCCGTACTGCTGTATACATGTAGAGTACCTAAAGATATCGTTGTACTGAATACGAAGGATAAGAATGGTGCTAACTTACCGTTTAGGCTAATCACTTGGCTAATTAGGGGGCCCGCCCCGGGGCGCAGGGACCGGCGTTGCACTAATTGCACTAAGATGCCCTGGCTCTTTCATTTAGACCCCACGACAGACTACGAATGAGTTGCGGGAGCCGCTCACCCTAGATAGCTACCAGCTAGCGCAAAACTAACAGTTTAATAGGGCGGCGTCACCACTCTCCCAAAAGGAGGTGAGTCCTAAGCTGCTTGGCGTCGGAGAGACGAAATAGGGGACACTGCATCTCAAAAGGTCCGGGGAAATTTGTCGCGGTCGCAACTACTCTTTGTACACAGTTGATCTTCGTGCTTCATTCAAGCAGTAGAATAGACCTGTTAAGTGTCAATCTCATCGCGACCAAACCCTGGGACATTTGTCAGACGACAGAACATCATGACCATGGCAAGCCCTCAGGGGAACGCGGTCTTCCCGCGGAGCCACGTCGGCTTTGACAGCATCACTCAACAGATCGAGAAGAAGTTGCTCAAGAGAGGATTCCAGTTCAACATCATCTGTGTCGGTATGTAGAGACTACCTTGGCTCAAATTTGTTCACGACTTACCATCCATTAGGTCAAACCGGTCTCGGAAAGTCTACTTTGATCAACACCATCTTTGCCTCGCATCTCATCGATTCCAAAGGCCGCCTGCGACCAGATGAACAGATCCGTTCCACCACCGAGATCCAGACCGTCTCACACAGTCAGTGCACACTTGGTCATATGAGGGAACCCGTGGACTGACAAGATTATAGTCATTGAGGAGCATGGTGTGCGACTGCGGCTCAATATTGTCGATACTCCCGGCTACGGAGACCTGGTCAACAATGACAGATGGTGGGTTTGATGAGTTAAACGAGCGACATAACTAAAGCTGATGATAATTATCTAGTTGGGATCCGATTGTAAAGTACATCAAAGATCAGCATTCTGCCTACCTCCGAAAAGAGCTCACGGCGCAACGTGAGCGCTACATCCAGGACACCCGCATCCATTGCTGCCTCTTCTTCATCCAACCTTCTGGTCATGCACTGAAACCACTGGACATTGTGGTCTTGAAAAAGCTCTCTGATGTCGTCAATGTTGTCCCGGTCATAGCAAAGGCCGATTCCCTCACACTCGAAGAACGCCGGGCATTCAAAGAGCGTATCAAGGAGGAGTTTGCTTTCCACAACCTCAAGATGTATCCATACGACAATGAGGAATTGGATGACGAGGAGCGAGCCACCAATGCCACGATCAAGGATATCGTTCCTTTTGCAGTAGTGGGCAGCGAAAAGTCACTCATTGTCAATGGCAAACAGGTCCGCGGCAGACAAACTAAATGGGGCGTCATTAATGTCGAGGATGAGAACCACTGCGAATTCGTATACCTGCGAAACTTCCTCACCAGAACTCACCTTCAAGATCTCATTGAGACCACCAGCCAAATCCACTACGAGACATTCCGAGCCAAGCAACTTTTGGCTCTGAAGGAGAGCAGCGCTGCGAGCGGCATGGCTGGAAGCAGGCCCATCAGTCCGGCCGCTGACCGAGAACTGAGCAGAGGTTCACAACGCATGACTTTGAATGGATATTAAGGAGTCGTACATACTGAGGCTTGAAGCCAAGGGAGGTCCGATTTCACAGGGCGATGGTTGACCTTGAGTGCTGCCATATCCTTCTTGTCAGGTTGACTTTTTTTTGTTAGCGTCTATGGAGAGCGGGTCTTTCGTCTTCAATCCGGATACAAATAATCCTCATCATATTTCATCCCCGGCTGCTACTCTAGTCGTCCCTTGGTATGCTCCGAACGCCCACGTAGATCTGCGAAATCCAGATTGGTGAAATTGGTTCCTAGGCAAGGATCAAATGTCTTGCGTTACCCATTCGTCGAGCTCCTTGAACGCGATGTCAAGGTCGTCGTTGATGATGACCTTGTCGTTCTTCCCCTCGGTCTGGCAATACTCAATTTCCTTCTTAGCCTGAGCCAGTCGCTTTTGAATCGCATCTTCACTTGTGTCACCGCGGCCACGCAATCTTTGCTCGAGAATTTCAATGCTAGGTGGCTGAATGAAGCATATCCTTGGCTTCAATGGACTCTTCCTCACTTGCTTCACTCCCTCCATCTCAATGTCGAAGATGCATATTCTCTTTCCTTCGGCTGACTTCCCATCAATGGTCTTGCCTTTGCCTTCTGCAACATCTTGGACTGCCTTTTTCGACGAGCCATAGTAGTTTCCCCCGAACTTGGCATGTTCCACGAATGCGTCCTCCGCAACCATCTTCTCGAATTCTTCCGGTGTTGTGAAGTGATAGTGCACGCCGTCTTGCTCGCCGGGACGAGGCTGTCGAGTGGTGTGGGAGACACTAAAGCCAAATAGATCGGGATATTTCGCAAAAAGTCGTTTGATCAGTGTCGACTTGCCGGTGCCAGAGGGTCCTGAAAGAACTATTGGTCGCGGCGCGACGGTGGGCGCAGTTGTAGGCGCCATGGTCGAGCTGCAGTTGAGAGCTTGACAAGGGTACGAGAATCTTGATCCCAAGAAGGCGTGGTTCCCAACGAAACGTACTCGTAGGAATCCTCGAGTGAGCATAGGTCCGTCGCTGATTGCTGCCCGTCGCAGGAGTTCGTAGGACCGTTTACTGTTGTCTGGAGCGGTGGGAGGAGAGCCAATGGCGGCGCTGGGGTAGAGTGTCTTGGCAGGGACGCGGATCTTTTGCTTGTCGACATTGCTCTATTACAGCTTACGAAACACGCCTATTGTCATCATCCAAACAGCACCGGTCATCTGTCTCGAGATGGAGTCTCCTGATTCCAATGGCGGTTCCAATGGCGCGTCCGACGACACTCCCGAGCAATCCTCTGTAACTCAGGGCAATGCCGACGCAGAGGCCGATGCAAATAACCCGCCCGATGGAACCAACGCGGCTGAACCGAGGAAGACGCGTCGCCGGGGACGACAGGCCAAAGACCCCCTCGGACAGTCTTTGTTTTTCAAGGTCCAGAGAGCCGAAGACTTGGAAACGAAACTCCGCGAGTATCTGGCTGATCCCACTGGAGATCCCGAACATACGACTCTAGAGTTTTCATTCCCAGTCACTGCCGCATTCATGGTGTCTGCCAGAGAACCAAAAGGTCCTAGTGCTCACGACAAAAGGATCCCCTATGTGTACAGCGCATTCAACAAGACTGCTGTTAGTGTTATTGACGCTTTACATACTATCAAGGACCCGAAGGATCAGATGCTCATGCAAAAGGCAATTTCCAAGACTCTGGTCGAGACGGTTCAACAAGCAGATGGATATCGTTACAGCTTCCACAACCACTGGATCAGCCGAGAAGATCAGGCTAGCAGGTTTTCGTACTTCTGCAACGACTCTGTGCTAAACAAAGGCAGAGCGGCCAATGAAGGAGCTGCTAAAGTCAGAATGGGAGTCAAGATCAGAAAGCCGGTGTACGAGTGTCAAGGACTTATTTCCATCAAGTTTTCGGTCTCGAAGATGAGTCTGGAGTTATACTATAAACACGTCCCGCTCCATCAGACTTACGAGGAACGGGCTCCGCCGCCGCGCAAGGACAGCAAACGGAGAAAGCTGCTGGAGATTTTCCATCCGGAAAAGCTGCCGAAGCCAAAAGAAAAAAAGAGGAAACCGGAGGCTCCACCGCATCCGGCCTCGTCATTGAGACGGAAGCGTCGTGCTACAGAGCCGTTGCCTGAAACTGAGACCGAACCGCGGCCACAGAATGCCCGGGAAAGCAGCTTGCAACCCTTGTTTGACTTTCTAGGGTCTGCTGGCCGGCTTGAAGAAGAACAACCCACACCGACTCTGCCAGAGCAGACGGAAACTGAAGGAAGTGCGGCCGGCCCAAACCCAGCAAATGTTCCACACAGCACTAGTGAAGAGATCACATCTCATACTCCAGATGGGACTTCGTTGGAAGCATCAACGCAACGGAAAAGCAAGAATATATATCCCGGCATGATGTCTGGGTACATGTCCGGCGATCACCTCACCTGGGGCCGCAGGAAAGTGATCAAGGTGCATCGTGGGTCGCGACGCAGAGTGACAGCATCTGTTCCTGAACACACAACGGAAGTCACTACGACTCCCACCCCCGCTCCTGCTGAGACTGCTCCTCTGATCCAGAGTGTATTCAGCCCTCCAACTGAGGTAGACCTTCTGATGGCCAGACTTCAAGAGGCAGAGCGGAAGATTCGAGACCTTGAAGCAGAGAAAAACAGAGCAGCAGCCCCGATCACATGGACTGCGCAACAGCATCCACGACCACCACCACCACCACCTCATGTCGGAGTCTCTCATCCCTTCTACCCTCCACCACATTTTCAGTATCCCCAACCACAATGGCAGTATTCTCCTCATCCGCCTACCCTACGTCAACCGCCAGGGCCTGAGCCTTCCCGTCGCTCTCAAGGGCCGGGGTGGCCTCCACCACAGTCGGCGCCTCCCCGACCGGACCTGGCACCTGTAGCGCCACCCCCGATGACCCCAGCACCATCACTCACGGCGGTACAAATTCCGGAACCTACACCAACACCAGCAGTGCTTCCCTCGGCGGTGTCCACACCAGCACCGACACCGAACCAATCTTCGCAAGATGGCGCGCCGTTGTATGGGTTCGTCCCGAGTCCCGAAAAGATCGCGCCAAGTTCGCCTGTTCCCCCGCCAGGACCGTACCGGGCTCCGTAAAGATTATGGTATTAGCAGGGCGTGCGGACAACGGCGGACAGTCCCGACCAGCACAGCACTGGAACAGCCCCCCGCGAACGATTGATATTGAACATCCTGGACCATCATTCTTGGATGATGTGGCATGCTCTCCCATCAATCGGGCCACCGAAGGGAGCAAGATAATTGGGGGACGCTGTATTTCTTGCTTTCTTCCCGACGGGGTCAGACTGAACGCAGTTTGATGGTGTTGGGAACCATGGTGGTTGGTTTGTAGAGTATCTACCTATATATGTATCTAGTAAATTCCCCATTGGTGTTTGCGCCGCCATGACCAGCAGTGGCAGCTGGGAGTAGATGAAGTTATATCTTGACGAGAATGACTCTTTTGGCTTATGATCCATGTCAGAAAATAGGGCACCGAAGATGAGGTTTCGACTGGTTCCCGAAGCCTTGTTCAGCCTTGTCGGGACATGACACAAACCCCGGGAGACCATCGGAGCGAAGCTGGATCCTTTTCTGCCGGGAGCAACAAACATGCCAAGTGGGGCTAGAAACTTGCAACTGGAGCCGCAAGTTTGTCAAGTTTGCTCTTCATCAATTTTCTGAGCCAGAAAAAAGTTTAGTCTTCTAGATGAAGACAGCGATTCGTTCACGCAACACCTGCTGCTTATTCTCAGACAAAAGTCATGTCCAAAATGGCCGGGACTAAGCGTACAAACGACACTGCCGAGTCAAAGGCACATAAAAAGGCAAAGACCACCACCAGTATCTCCAAGCAGAGTAAAGCGGTCTCCTCGAAGCCGGAACCTCTCGAGGACGATTTTATCGGCTTTGATGATGCCGACAAGACGAATGCTTCAGCGTCGAGAGAGGCCCAGCAGAAGAAGCAGAAGGACAAGTATAGGCCTCAGGCATACAATCATGCACAGAAAGCTGAGCCATATCTGAGTATGTCCATGGTCATGATTGATACCAATGGAGACCCTAGTTTTGCTGACCAGTCTACCATTGCAGGCACCACATCCCGCGAAGCACATGCAAAGCAAAAGGCACTCGCTCTAGACCGCAAAGCCGCGAAGCCAAGTGCAGACTCGATTGCACGGTCTAAGAAGATTTGGGAACGGCTGCGTCGCAAATCGCATGTCCCGAAGGACGAGCGAGAGGTATTGGTCAAAGAATTATTCGAGATAATATCGGGAAAAGTGAAAGATTTTGTCTTCAAGCACGATGCGGTGCGGGTGATCCAATGTGCCTTGAAATATGCTACCCCGGAGCAGAGGAAACTTATCACGAGAGATTTGAAGGGGAGCTACAGAGAGCTGGCCGAGTCCAAATACGCGAAGTTCCTTATTGCCAAGATGGTCGTCAAAGATGACGAAAGCAGAGACGCCGTGGTGGAGGAGTTCTATGGCCATGTCAAGAGACTCATCAAGCATCCCGAGGCAAGTTGGATTCTAGACGACATCTACAGAGGAATCGCATCCAAGCAACAGAAAGCCATTCTGCTGAGAGAGTGGTACGGGCCAGAATTCTCCGTTTTTGCCCAAACCAACGGTACCTCTGGCGAGGTCACCGCCGACCTATCGGAGATCTTGAAGCAAAGTCCCGAAAAACGAGGTCCTATCATGCAGCATCTGAAAGAAATGACGAACCACCTTGTGCAGAAGAAAACCACTGGTTTCACCATGCTTCACGATGCGTTGCTGCAGTATTTCCTGAACTGCAAACCGGGAAGCCCCGAGGTCGATGAATTCCTTGCAATGCTACGCGATGACGAAGAGGGCGACGTTTTCAAGAATCTGGCCTTCACTAAGTCTGGCTCGCGACTTGTGTGCTTGGCTCTTGCATACGGGAACTCGAAAGACAGACGGGGAATCTTGAAATTCTTCAAAACGCATATAAAACTCATGGCTTCGGATCAGTATGCGCACAGAGTCCTGCTGGCAGCCTACGAGTGCATTGATGATACCGTCATGACGGCCAAGGCTATCTTCCCCGAACTTCTTAACAAGGATCTCGAAAAAGATGACCGTGAACAAGAGCTGCTCGCCCAGGTCGACCATCTAACCGCGCGCATCCCCCTTCTATACCTCATGTTCCAAGATGCCCCCAAGTGGCTGCTCCCCGAGGAGACGGTGCCGATCATCAAAGAAGTCCGTGAACTTCGCACCCAAACGTCGAAGAAGGATCCGGAGACCCGCCGCACAGAGCTGCTGAAAGCCATCTCTCAGCCGCTCCTGGACTTGATCGCCTCGCAAACTAGGACTCTAGCAGGTTCTACCTTTGGATCTAAGTTCATGCTGGAGACCTTGCTCGGCGGAATTGGAGAAAAGGAGCCTGCCCTTGCAGCCATCGCCAGCCTGGCAACCGACGGTGATAAGTCCGAAGAACTGACTCAGATTATCTCCTCGCCGCCGTTTGGACGGTTACTCAAGGGACTAGTTCAAGGCGGACGTTTCGACCCAAGCACCAAGACAGTCAAACAAGTCGACCCACCATTGAAGTTCCACGAATTGCTGTATAGCCAGATCAAAAGCCAAGGCGATGGCGGCGACGGGGCAACAGAAATTGTGACTTGGGCAACTGGACCGAATTCCTTCGTCGTGGTGGCCATGCTAGAAGCCGAGAGCTTCAGTCATCGAGACGAATTGGCAACTGTTCTCAGACAGAATGCGTCTTCTCTGGACGAGGACAATGCCGGAGAGCGGATTATCTTGGAGACAATCGGGATTCGGCCAGTAAGTGATGCGATGGATAAGAAGGACAAGGAGAATAGCAAGGAGAAGAAGAGCAAGAAAGAGAAAAAGTCGAAGAGTCAATAGAAGCAGTTGAGCGGGTTAGCCGGCACCGCTGTTCCTACTCATGGCACGTACATGTTTGCAGGTAATGAAGATTAAGACCAACTCGCTGGTGCCAATATGGCCTTGCATCCCGTCCACCGATTGGATCCTTGGTGTCCCTGATTCTAGGGCTCCTGGATGCTAACCGGCGGAGATAGTATCCGTGCTGTAGAGAGTGTGGTGTTGGATGGGTGGACAAAGTGGTTGGCCAGGTTGCCGAGAGGCAAGTCTGGATCGAGAGAGGTTCGGTTTCGGGATGCCAGGCACCTACTCCGTACCTAGATAGAGCCGGATTCCGCAACCGGTGCGGAGGGGAGGCAGACACCTGCATGCTGCGTAGTTGCATGTCCTGCGGTTGATGCAATTATTGCGCACAAAGAAGAACCCAACAGACCGCCAACACAACATTCCCCTTCTCCAGCCAACATCTTCACTACTCCCACAGCAGGTAATGGGCCTGATCTGACCTGACCTGACCTGACCTGACCTCATCCTTCCGTAACCAGGACACTGCCTTCTCTGCCTCTTCCGCCCTTCCCATCCCATTCCTTCCCTGCAGATGCTCGGTGATGGGTGCGCCCAACGGTACTGCCAACGGAGACTCTCCACAACTCCCTTACATTGACCTCGTCTTTGACAACAAGCACGTCGACGATTCCGCTCGCGCCTTGGTCTACAGGATCCAGCCCAAATGGCGGGAAGCTCCCGGGACACTGGAGATTGTCAGGTTCACCGAGGGCATCACAAACACGGTATGCCCGTCTCCTGCGTACGAGGCACGTGCTCAAGCTGATATCTGTGATCAGTTACTTAAAGTGTCCAAATACCTTCCAGGACAGTCCCATGCTGACGTCGACCGAGAATCTATCCTCCTCCGTGCCTATGGGAACAATACCGAGATCCTCATTGACCGAGATCGCGAGGCGAGATCCCATGCTTTGCTGGCAGAGCGTGGATTAGCTCCTCCACTGTTGGCGAGATTCAAGAACGGGCTGCTATACAGATACATCATCGGCCAGGTGTGCACTCCTGGAGATCTCATCACAGAGCCTGTATGGCGGGCTGTTGCTAAGCGTCTGGGTGAGTGGCACGCGCGGTTGCCAGTGGACTCGGCCTCTCAGGCCAATGATGTCGATAGTACCAATGGGACTACACCCAACTCTCCACGGCCCTACTCCGATCCTGAAGGCCGGAAGCCTGTACAGAATATCTGGTCAGTAATGCAGAAATGGACCGACGCGCTCCCATGCGACACGTCCAAGCAGAGAGCCCGGAAGGAATCTCTCCAGAAAGAGCTAAGTCAATCAATCACAGACCTTGACAATGGCCGAGGCCCTGGGTCCCATGGGCTCATCTTTGGGCATTGCGACTTGTTAAGTGCGAATGTTATAATGCTGCCCCGGGATTCCGCCAGTAGTAACTTGGACGGCGGGATCAAGGTCTCTTTTATCGACTATGAATATGCAACACCATGCCCTGCAGCCTTCGACATTGCCAATCATTTTGCGGAATGGGGTGGCTATGATTGTGACTACAACATGCTCCCCACCAAGTCCATCCGCCGGCACTTCCTCCAAGACTATCTCGAGTCGTACAAAGCCCACAGCGACAACCCTATCTCCGACGATATGCTTGATGTATTAGTTGATGAAGTTGATCGATACCGTGGTATGCCTGGACTATATTGGGGCATCTGGGCGTTGATCCAAGCAACCATCTCTCAAATCGACTTCGATTATGCCTCGTATGCAGAGGTCCGCCTGGGTGAATACTTCGCCTGGAGAGCAGAGCAGAATGGGAAGCGCGTCCAGGAAGGCACAGAAATGCCCCTTCGTGAAAGAAGATGGGCCGAAAATTGAGGACAGACATGAGATAGAAGGTGATACGGCGGTCTTATGACTCGGAGATTCAACATTCCAGCCAATATGGAGTCCAGCCGAGTTGAATCTCATCATCCTCAACACGGCCACCTAACGGCCATCTTGAATACTGTCAGGGTCCCACACATGCCCAGTGCCGATCCGGGAAGCTTACGTAACAAGTTATCTAGGTGTCAAGGTGTCACAGTGTCACCAGGGGTGGTGGTGTTGGTGATGTCGGTGGTGCTGGTGGCATGGTGGTGGCATGGTGGCATGGTGGTGGCGATGCGATGCTACCACGTACATTATTATTAAAATTAGTATTAGCAAGAATGCCGTTTCTGCTTCTGCCGAGAGTACCCAGTACGAATAGTACAGATACTATACTGCGTACCCCGTTTATCGGAGAACGTTGGCCACACTCGCAGTCTGTGATATGGTTTGGGATTCTGTCAGAAGAGACGGACCTGACCCCTTCTATCCCTAACAGGGTGGAAGAGAGCGCAAGATGAAGGGATGATGACATGCTCTGGGATTGGATCTTGGGGCAATCGAATGGCTGTCCGCCCTCTGCCACTTCGTCTTCCAACCGTCCGACCGTTCTTCCCCGCCTCCTCCACGACTTGGGGATAGATTTGCCCTAGCAGAAGACTTGATCTTGAGAGTTCTTCTCGTCGGCTATTCTGGTCCACCAAGAATCATGCATCGCCAAATCCCGCCTGCGCGGGTCGGCTTGGGGGCTTTCCTCCCCCTCCCATTCACTGGACGGAGGCAATTGGCGGCTTTCTCATTGCCTCGTTGAAACACCCTGGGCTCCCGGCGAAACTGAAAGCTAATTACGCCGACAAAGGCAATGCTTAAGGACCTCTCCGCGGTTCAAGGTGATGAGGGCAAACGCTAAATTGTCATGATCCATCTTATACCCGAGTGAGGCGACCTGACTCCATGTCTGCTTCAAGTGGTGGGCTCGCCACTGACCGCAGCTAGGCTTCATGCAAATCATTCGATCAACACAGCCATTGCATCTCGCCCGTCATTACCTTTGCCCAGCAGATTCAGTGATTCCTCAACTTAATCTCTGGCCCATGCGCGGCGCCCTCGAGGGCAGCACTACCTCGTCAATTCGGCGGACCATGTTGATACCCGCGCCCAGAGGTTGAAGGCTTGAGATGTTATAATAAACGCTCGCCGACCGAGCTAGGAGGACATTAATATACCATGGTCGAAGACAGAGGACCGGCCACTTCGGCCGTTACTATTATCATGACTGTTCTGGCCACTGTCTTCATCGCCGCTCGCTTTTACACGCGAATTTGGCTGGTCAAGTCGATCAAACAGGACGATTGGTGGATTCTGGCGGCCTGGGTTCTCGCTGTCGGGTTTTCTGCTTCAATATGCATCGCGGTCAAGTACGGTCTAGGCAAGCACAAAGCTGCCATAGCAGACGGTTCATTTGTCCTCTTGCGCAAAGCCGAATACACGTTTTCCATCCTCTACAATCCGGCCCTCATGCTGACCAAGACGTCCATCATTGTCTTCTACCTCTCGGTCATGAGCAAGGACGTCGACCCGGTCTTCAAGTGGTGCAATTGGCTGACGCTCGCCCTGGTCAACCTGGTGGGAGCCTCACTTACATTTTACAACATCTTCCAATGCCGACCGGTGGCGGCTGGCTATCAATATCCGACCCCGAGTCATGCAAAATGCACGGATATTCTCACCTTGTATCTGTCATCAGCTCCAGTCAACATCATCACAGACATTGCGGTTCTGTTTCTTCCGATGCCAATCCTAACCGGGTTGAGGTTGCCTCGCAAGCAAAAGATCATATTGGTCATCACCTTCAGCTTTGGTGGGTTTGCTGCAGTGGTTGACGTGGTTCGCATTGCATATTTACAGAACGCCGCTCTAAACCGCTTGAAAGTAGTCAAAGGAGACGGTGGGGTCAACACTCGAGTTGTCGAGCAGAATGACTTTTCGTGGTACGCAAGTCTGAGTTTCATGTGGTCGGCTGTTGAGGTTTGCATTGGCATCATCTGCGCCTGTGTCCCGAGCCTGAAACCACTCTTCTTGCGGTTCTTGCCGAGCTTCATCCGAGACGTGGGAGACGACATCTCACAACGCGAGAGCATCGACCGTGAAGCGCCAGCTAAGTCTAGTGGAAGCATTCCTTTGAGGAGCATTTCCCTGGTCACCAACCCAGCCGCATTCAAGAAGCCGAGTGTCAAGGAGTATTCTGGAGAGGACGACGGCGATCAAATGGGATTTCTAAACATCCTTGCTGCTCCTCCAGGGAAGGACGAAGGTCTGTCGCTTGCGAGGACGTCGATCAGGCTCACGAGGAGGGATACCAACAGACCCACCAGTTCAGACTTCGGCTTTGTTAACATGTCCAGAAGCAAGAACATGCTTAGGCTGTCAAATCTACAGAGTGTCTGGCCGGTTGTCGTGGTGACTTCAATCTTCTTCTTGTGGGGATTTGCCTATGGCCTTCTGGACACTTTGAACTCGAGATTCCAAATGGTGGTTGGCCTTTCCACTGGCGAAACTTTGGGTCTGCATGCTGCGTATTATGCGGGCTACCTTGTGGGACCTTTGACCTTGGGTCTCTTCATCATCAGACGATATGGGTTCAAGGCGGTGATGATCTCTGGGCTCTGCGTCTACGGCTGTGGGACACTGGTCTTTTGGCCATCGGCAGTACTCGCATCGTATGGAGCTTTCATTGTCTCGAATTTCCTCGTCGGGCTCGGATTGTCGTGTCTGGAAGTCGCTGCTAACCCTTATATCGCCCTGTGTGGCCCTTTGGAATATGCGGAGGTACGACTCAATGTATCGCAAGCCTTCCAGGCGATCGGCACCGTTTGCTCTCCGTTACTGGCGACCAAGGTCTTGTTCAAGAACGTGTTGGATGCCCCTTCACTTGTGAGTGTGCAGTGGACGTACTTGGGAATCGCTATATTTGTCTTCGCTCTGGCCGTTGTGTTCTACTACATTCCACTTCCGGAGGCCACAGATGAACAACTGGAAGAAATGGCAGACGGGCGAAGTGCGGCTTATCGCGCCACCGTCGGTCCGTGGAAGGTGGTCTATGTGACCCTAGGCCTGGGCGTTTTCAGTCAGTGGTGTTATGTCGGGTTACAAGAGTGTGTTGGGAGCAACCTACAGCCACTGATCAGCCTGCTAATGCCCGGCTCGGCGCTTCAGCCTTTCGATTTCTTGACCGTGGCCCATACCGTCTTCAGCGCTGGTCGTTTTCTGACAGCATTGCTCAACTATCTCTTCAAACCCAGATGGGTGTTGCTAGTGCTTTTTGGAGGTCTTACTGCGTGTCTGGCGCTGAACATGCATCTGGATGGAGACGCCGGGGCAGCGTTGGGGGTCCTCGCCTTTTTGTTTGAAGCTGGTATCTTCAGTAACATCTTTGCCATCGGCATGCGTGGACTCGGGGCGCATACTAAACTCGGAGCTGCCCTGATGACAGCGGCGGTCTCTGGAGGTGCAGTGTTCCCACCCATCCAATGGGCAGTGTTGAAGGGCCATGGCATACGATATTCGTACTGTGTGCCTTTGGCGGCTGCTGTCTTTGGCATGCTTTTCCCGATATACCTGACCCTCAGCCCCGAGGCTAGGACTCAGGTCGAACCGGTCCATGAGAAACACACGCGTCAACACAGGCGGAGGGTGATGCAGCACGGAAGGCCACCCGGATGCCACGAGGAATCCTTGCAGCACGCTGAGCTGGGAGCGACAACGGGAAGGCGCAAGAAGAAACAGCAGGCGGAGACACCATCGGTCCAGCACGTGGAACGACGAGCAGGCGGTCGGAATGGCACGCCAACATCGCCCGTCTTTACGATGGACTTTACCGACGAGAAGGACGAAAAGGACGAGATCATCAAGCCAGGCCCCGTCCGGATTGCGGCTCGCAAAGGTTTTGTCGCTGAGCTTGCTTCCTGGCCTGGCAATGCGGTATCCGAAGGCAGGGCTAGTAGTCGCGATCGCAATAGCAGCAAGGAGAGTGAACGGCACACAATGGCTAATGCCCACGGCTGTCACCCGAAGGACGACCCGGACCGGATTACTCGATACCAGCCTTCTTGGGTAGAAATGGAAGATGAAGAGACTGATGACTATCATGCCATGGTGAGGAAGATATGAACCGATCAACAGTCGGGTGTTTTGCCAGTGTTTGTGTTTTTCTTTGTTGCGTTCAAGCGACATTCCGCAGTACTCCGTACAGCAAAAGTGTAATATCTATTGTCCCTAGGTAGGTAGTTTGCATCTACTATGTATTGTATCCCAACTTGCAACCATCGACTACCTGACATACCTACGATGCCCTCAGTGGCGTGATGGGCCGGCAGTTGCCCTCCACCAGAGCGACTTGGGGCCGTGAATATTTCCACACACCGCATCGTACGAGTATTGCGTGGCAGTCTCTTTTCAAATAATGTCACACATATTATTCAACAGAAACCAACCCACCGAGTGCGAGTTTTGACCACGCCCACGCGAAGAACTGGGCACGGCTCAGGCTCAGGCTCAGGCTCAGGCTCAGGCTCAGGCTCAGGCGTGGGCACAGCATCGCGTCAACGATAGGGACTCGAGGAAGAGGCCGGGTGACAAGTCCAGGTCGGTCCAACGACAGCTGACAACGTGCCTTTACGCGGTTGGATGGCTTCTTTCCCCTGCTGCTGCACGTCCGGCGGATTCGGACCAGAACTATGCATGCACAGAGCACACATTGCAGTTTCTGGGCATGTGGATGGCGATGGGTGAAGGATCCGATTGCTGCAGTCTGCATGCAATTCTTGTTACATGCGGAGTTCTGTATACTCCGTAGTGCTAAGTAATGGTGTAATATCCCATCCAACATTCAGCCACGAGTGGACTGTGGGCTGCCAGTGGTGGACTCTGTACTCTAGAGTCTGGCCGAGAATTGCGCAGGAGCGCAGGAGCGCAGGCAAATGCTACCTTATGGTTGGGTACTCCGTACAAAATGCATGCATGGCAAGCTTGAATGGCACCATGTCAGGGCCAGGCACAGACGCCGGCACTGATGGCAGCCGCCACAGGCGAGTGGTTAGGCTCCTTAGGTGGCCCGGGGCACCTACGGAGCACCAGGAACAAGGGGAACACCTGGTCACCACTTGCACCCTTGGGGTATAGGACACGGGTGTACCTGACCCGACCGGCGCGCCGTCGCTGGGTTCCTGGATCCCTGGCACCCTGGCACCCTGGCACCCTGGCAGCTGAGGCTTAGGGGCTCCTCAAGGCTAATAAGGGGCTAAAGGCTTTGGGCCGGCCGTGGCCGTGACCGTGATCCTCTGTCTCTCGTGAATTTCCACCAGCCTGCTCTGTTTGGCCCGCTTGCCATCGCCCCTTGATCCATCACAGAGCACAGAGTTGCACTCCAACGCACAGTCTACAGAGTGCGCAAGATGCAAGGGGGAAGACCGCGTTGACAGGAAAGACTGGGGAAACTGCATGGCCGCGGGCCTCTAGGACCGTGAGCAAGACGGCCAGCTCAATCCACCACCCCTGGCCAGGCGCAGGCTCAGGCACCGCACCGCAGGGAGGACGGGAGCCATCTCAACTCTGTCTCCGCCTCTGCTTCTGCGTCTTTGTTTTCTGCAACGAGAGAAAAATCTCCTTCCGTTCTCTTTCCTATTCCCACACTCTCTCGTCCCAGTCTTTTCTTTCTTTATCTACTCTCTTTGTTCCCTCGCCGGCAGTGAAGACTTTCGCTCTCTCTATCCGTCCATTCACTTGCCAATCCTTTCCTTTGAGCATCCTCCTCTCGTGGACTTGACGTCCCTCTACCGTCCTTACCTCCTCGGACCAGACACAGGCTTGTCATCGCGACAAACTTCTCGTACACTCCTTCAGTGATCGATTCATTTCGAGTTCAGATCTCAGTGCCTCGTCACATCACATCACACATCACATCGTATTCTCATCTGCTGTCGAGCCAGATCTCCAGTCTTTAACGTCTACTCCAAAACTTGAACGAAGCAACCGCCCACCGTCAATTACCATCGAAATGGCTGTCCTCAAGAACATTGTCCTCGCAGCTTCGCTGCTCACTCCTTTGGCATTGGCCGCGCCCATGCTTGATGAGCGTGCTCTGCACACCAAAACTGAAGTGGTCTGGGTGACGATCGAAGAGACCACCACCGTCTGGGTTGATCCCGCTGCCCCTACAACCAGTACCGCAGCAGCCCCCGTTGAGGTTGTTGTCACCACGACTACCACGCCAGCTCCTGTTGATGTCGCCGCCGCCACTACCACTGAAACTCCTGTCGAGGTCATCGTACCTACCACTACCAGCACCGACCCTCCAGCAGCAGTCTTCGCCCAGACCACCGCCGCTCCATCCACCTTTGCCACCGTTGCAGCCGTTGCCTCTGTCTCGTCGGAAGCCGCGGCGGCTCCATCATCTCCATCGGTAGCTGATACCCCGGCCGCTGCTTCCACGTCTGCGGCACCTGCTCCGCAATCGTCTGCTACCAGCGGTGGAAGCAAGGATGTCACCGCCTCGACCAGTGGCACTTGTGAAGGGACGAGTGACGCCTGTGTCGGTGATGTAACTCACTGGGACGGAGGTATGTAAACCCTTTCTTAAATCATTCCGAACGTCTATGCTGACTTTGAGCTCCCTAGGCCTCGGCGCGTGTGGTTGGGATGTCAATACCAGCAGTGATTTGCAGGTTGCCTTGCCTGTCGGTTTCATGGGCAGTCTGTCCAACAGCAACCCGTACTGTGGGCGATCTGTGACCTTGTACAATCCCACCTCTGGCACCACTGTCCAAGCCAAGGTTGGCGACAAGTGCATGGGCTGTGTTGACCGCGCCATCGACTGCACTGATGCCCTCTTCACCGCCATCACGGATGGAACGGGCGATGGCCGTGTGAGTGGAATTCAATGGTGGTTGAGCTAGACTTAACCGACCTCGGAATGTGAAACCACAACCTCTCTCCTTTGGAAATGTTTACTACACCCGGGAGGATTTGATGCGGCTTTTGACAAGTCGCGGCAAGTGATGAAAAGAGAGGAGGAAAAAAAAGGGAAAAAACCGAGCTTCTGCGAAGCATGGACAAAGGGTCCTTTCATGGAAGAAGGCGAATCATCGTAGACCAACCAACCGGGACTGTCTAGCCTTCGGTAGAGCCTGGCGCCTTCGCCGCCTCTTGTCTGGACTCTTGACGAAATTACGATGGATATATATCACGATGAAAGGAAAACAGCAAAACAGCATCGGCATCTGCATCTGCATCAGCATCAGCATCGGCTTTTTGCCTGTCATGGCATTGCATCACATTGCATGTTGAAGTGGCACAAGCATGGCGCAAACCCCAAAAAATGGAAAGTGAAAATTGGAATGGAATACTTGGGAACCGGAACCGGAGACTTGACATTTTACTTCTTCTACCGTTCTTTTCTTCTTTTCTTGACAAGCCATGTATGTTGTGTTCCTAAAGACAGACCAACTGGCTCTCTTTTTCTTCTTTTGTTGTCCTCAAGATGGCATTTTTGCAGGATCACGGGGACTGTGATGGGGAAATATACGCATACAGTACAACATATCACCGACATCCTGTTAGAGCGCCACTTGTAGCGATTAGCTTGTAGCAATTAGCTTGCAGCTTACTCCGTACAGCTTAGGGCTAAGGCTGATTGCAATAGCAGAGCCGTGCACAGGAAACATGAACAGAGACCATACTGAGAAAAGCCATAGCGTAGATGACCCATGCCTAAATGTTTGCAGGGTTGTGATCTTTCTCGGCTCCTCACTCTATATCCTAGAACTATGAATGGTACATAGGTGAGGCGGCCAGTCAGAGCTCAGGCTACACAGTACCTTGCCCCTGGCCACGAGGGGACTGTAGCGAGATTTGGAAGCGCCCGTTTCAGAATCAGAACCAGAATTAGACACAGACACAAATACTCCGTACTCCGTACATATATAGGCAAGCCACCTCTACAGGCGTCCGGAGCGTCCGAAACAGAGAGAGTATAACACGGCTTGGACAAGCTCCTTCATTCGCAGTTCTTTACCTTCTCCTACGAGATCTGAACTGGTACCCAATTTTGACCAGTTTGTCCAGCACACGACTTGGCCAGCACACGATTTGAAAAGTGCCTTTGGCGATACTGTGGCGGTGTGTCCACTGTCCAGTGCCTTCAGCGATACGGTGCCGGTGTGTCCAACCCGACACCTATCTCCACGATGCATTTAGTGCTCTCTCGGATCGAGCCCAAGGACCTGGACGCCGTCGTGCCTATCCTGTTCAAATCATTCCACAAGATCGACTTGGCCAACGTCTTCTTCGGCCGCGAATCTCCAGCGTCGTACGCCTACGCCAAGAGACAGCTCCTGGAGGGAATGCAAAAGGACCCGGCCGACGTGTTTCTCAAGATCGAGGATCTCGATGCCGAAGCGGACGTCAATGTTCTAGACGACAAGGGAAACACGGTGCGCACAGAGCGCAGGAAAAGAATCGTCTGCGTCAGCAATTGGAAGATATACCCTACCTACGTGACACCCCAGGAGCTGCAGCAGCAGCAGCACGAGCACGAGCACGGGCAAGGGGGCCAGAGAGCACCGACCGATAACAAGCCCGATTATGGCGATGGCGATGGTGATGGCCGTGGTCTAGGATCAAAGCTGGAACTCAAGGCCAAGAAAGCTGCCGCAGAACCGGCCTTTTCGTATCTAGAGACAGAACAGGAACGCAGCGACGCGGCAACCCTGATGGAAGACTTCCTCAGTCGCCGACGGCGTGAGTGCCGCGAGGCCCATGTCCTGTGTTTCCTCCTCTTCACCGATCCCGACTACCAAGGCAAAGGCTGCGGGAGGATGATGATGCAGTGGGGAAACGATGTCGCGGATGCGCTGATGCTGCCGTGTTGGATCGAGGCCAGTCCCGAGGGCGAGTTGCTGTATCTTCAAATGGGTTACCTGGGACGCGAGAGGGTCAGGATCCAAACCAAGAGCTTTCTCGGCGAGTATTTGCACATGCGACGACCACTGATGGTCGAGCGGGTGAGATTGGAGGGGCGGACGTTGGTGAGGGAGCCGGCCGGCGGATCCTTGTCAAATTAGAGTACCCCGTACTCTGTAATGAAGGGATTGTATGAGACCTTAGAAGAATGTGTGTAAACATAGGATGACAGAGGATATGGACAACAGGTAGACACGTTTGAATAGCTGCGATGGGATTTATTATGTGTGTTGCAACGATGTCGATTAAACCTCTTACCTTTGTCCTGCCGCGTCGGGAGAAGGCGTGCCGACTAGTGGCCATCTCCTCCATCCACTGGCATCACATTTTTGTTCCATTCGATCGGCATCTGTTTGATCTGCTGATGGGTTCCATTCCTCCGCTCTTTTGACAACCCTATTCGTGATTTGTTTCTCCTCCTCGACGGTTCTGCCTTCTATATATGCAACACCGCCTCCTCCCTTCATGTCAACTCCCTAACCGTCTTCCGCACCTCAATGCGACTTGATCCGAGTGCCTTCCGGCGGGGAGGGGCCATCTGGACGTGCGCCCGGTGCAAGAGTTCACAGGCACCCCTCCACGACTCGCGGCGCGGATATAGCTCCTACAAGAGGCCGGTCAAGGTAGTGCGACCGCGCAGGGCTGTAGCATGGGCTGCGGCTGGTAGTGGCCTAGGAGCCAGTTTGCTGTTCTTCAGCGATGATATTAGACATGGTTGGCTTGCTGCAGAAAGGACAGGCCGGGTGGTCACCGCGCTGGCAGTGTGCATAAACGAGTACGAGGCGCTTCTGAGAACGACCGTTGTGAGAGATGCTAATGGATATCTGCCCCAGCTACCGAGTCGCGCTCAAACAAGATCTCGATGACCCCGAACAAGAAGCCGCCAACCTCAAAGCCTGCCACAAACGCTGCGCCGAACGGACGTTGAAGGTGCTGGAGAAAAATGGCTCGGTGTTCATCAAGCTCGGCCAGCACTTGTCGTCCATGGGATATCTCCTGCCTACGGAGTGGACCGACACATTTATCCCTCTGCAAGACAGGTGTCCGGTGTCGCCCTATGAGTCGATAGAGGATATGTTTCTCCGTGACACCGGCCACCGGATAGAAGACGACTTCGACGACTTCTCCAAGGAGCCGATTGGGGCGGCTTCGTTGGCACAGGTGCACACTGCCAAATTGAAGAACTCGGACCAGAAAGTGGCGGTCAAAGTGCAACATCCGAGTTTGGAGGAGTGGGTGCCGCTGGACCTGGCCCTAACGAGGTTCACGTTCCGTACGTTAAAAAGGGCGTTCCCGGATTACGACATGGAATGGTTGAGTAGGGAGATGGACTTTTCCTTGCCGCAAGAATTGGATTTCAGCCTGGAGGGAGCAAACGCCGTCCGGGCCAAGGAATACTTCGAAAAACACACCAACCTGCCCCTCGTCATCCCCAAGGTGATATCGGCGCGTCGACGGATCCTGGTCATGGACTACGTGACCGGGGCCAGAGTGGACAATTGGACGTATCTCGACAAGCACAACATCTCCAGAGACGAAGTGTCGGCCGCGCTCGCCAGGATCTTCAACGTCATGATCTTTCAGAACGATGCCCCCCTGCACTGTGACCCGCATGGAGGGAACCTGGCCATTCAACACAACCCGAAGAGAAGATACCCGTACAACTTTGATGTCATTCTTTATGACCACGGGCTCTATCGCATGCCAGATAAAAAGCTGAGGCACGACTACGCCAAGTTGTGGCTGGCCGTCATCAACGCGGATGAAGCACAGATGCGGAAATACGCGTACGAAGTCGCAGGCATCACCGACGACCAATTCCCGCTCTTTGCGTCAGCGATCACGGGTCGAGATTATCGAGTCTTGACGAACAAGAAGATCGCCACATCCTTACGCGATGCCGATGAAAAGCAAGCCATCAACGAAGTCTTTGGGGAAGACCTTCTTCAGCAACTCGTCCAACTATTAGGCCACGTTCCTCGCATTATCCTCCTCATCTTGAAAACCAACGATCTGACCCGCAGCCTGGACGAGTCGCTGGGCTCGAAGCAACCGATGCGGCCCATGTTGATTCTCGCCCATTACGCCAGCCTGACTGTGTGGGAAGAGGAGAAGGAGAGAATCCGTCGGCAGGGAGGTCTGCTGATTCCCAGGAATGGCTGGGCTTTGTTTCGAGCCTGGTTGAGCCACATGAAGATTGAGCTGAAGTTGTTCGGCTATGAGCGCTACTTGTCGATACGTAGGCATCTACGACTCGATGGGTAGCTCTGAACGGACGATACGTAGGCATCTCCGGCTCGATGGGTAGCACTAAACGGACGATAAGTCGGGTGACCATCGTGGTTCGTCGTGCTCCTGGAAGAAATCTCGTTTCAGCGAAGGCGCATACTTTGTCGATAACTGGCTCATGGATATATCAGAAGCGTCGGCATCAGCGTATATAGATAGCTTGGCTGTTGTGGGAGATGCTATCCCAGCTGCATCAGTATATAGATAGCTTGGCTGGTCGCGGGGAGATGATATCCTGCTGCATCAGTAACACAGCTTTAACACCTTTAAGTTGGTCTATTCCAGAGCCCGAATCCGGCCTTGATTATCGTAAATATGTGGTAGTTACTAGGTTTGCATGACCATAACATGGTCCGGTAACGGTTAGGTCTGGGAGTTCGTCAGCCTTGTTAGCCTGTCAGCCTCGTCGGTAGTGTCAGCCTTGTTGACTGGTAGGTGACTGGCAGGCGGACTCCCCGATTAGTCAATGCGCTTAGCCACTTCAAGACAAGTTGTAAACTGCTTGTATAGATACAGGAATAGTATACATGTTACATATATGTAGGTTTACAACTTGACCTGGAGCTGGCTGTACCCTGTACCGCTGTAATCAAGTACTTGCTCTCTCTCTCTCTCTCTCTCTCTCTGTGTGTGTGTGTGTATGTGTGTGTGTGTGTGTGTGTGTGT